CTTCCTAGTGTGTCGCATCTTCCCGATCCAACGTTGGGACAGGTTCCCAAAACGGCCACCCCACCTCCTGACCACAAGTAGGCTTTGTAACACAGCAGCAACGGAGGCAAGGTAGATTTTTGGTTCAGATTGATATCCCCTATGCGTATACCCTGGCTTAAAGCAATACATTAATTGAACAACGCATCACGATAACACCGATTCTCCAAACAACAGTGTTCTGTACGATCCTTGGGTATTACATATCTATGCCTTGCCAACAATAGCTTTAGGCGTATAAGCTCCACCACTCACCTTTCAGACGTCCCCTTGCTCACTAAGGTTTCCTTGCGTGTATTACCACGACCTCGAAATACGCATGTACTTTCCTCTCCTTGACTCCAGCCCTGAACTTGGCAAAGAAAATTTGAGCTTCTTGCACTGACCAGCCCATGACCTTTGTCAGCAGATACAATCCCCATCCCTCAGCTCCCTGAGTAATATGCAACAAATTCCATCTTCCCAACTCCTTCATATGAGGATCTGCCGGCCATCCGTTGACAGGGACTTTGTACACTCTTTCCTCAACGTCCACGAATCCCGCGTTACGGATATATGTCGATAGATTCCAAACCTCGTAGAAGGATTTACCAAAACGCTCTGATGCCTCATGGAAGAGATCGCTCCAAGTGGACAAGACGTGATCTTTCGTCAGTGTGCCATCGTCGGATTTGAATTGGATGCTCATTTCCAGTTCGTGGAGGTAGCCGCCTGATTCGAGATTGTCATAGCATTGCGTGTAGAGCGCGGGCCAATCGCCGATCGAGCCATACAGGGAGCGGATATTGATGAAGTCAAAGGACTGCGAGTACGTCCAAGGAAGAGTGACATCATCTATCTCAAACTTGCAGTTCGGAGGAGTGAACTGGGGTTGAATGGGGGAGAGGTCAACGCCAAGGATCTCGGCGCCAGGGTACTCTATAGATGGAGTTAGTCATATTGTCAGGATAGGTGTATCTTTGGGATCGTCTCTGGTAAAATAAGGGACTGGAAGAGACAAACCATCGGCCATGTCCATACACCAGATTCCCGTACCGCACCCTAGATCCAAGACCCTCTTCGGGTCTTTGATAGGCGCTAAATGTAGTTTCTGGTCAAGCAGAATGAGGAACATGTGGTGTGCAATATCAAGCTGGTCGTTCTGAACTTCGTCGTTGGGACCCCAATAATCGTTTTCGCCCTCACGATACTTATGGTATCGGCGTCCGTTTTCGAAGCGTCCTTTGTGGATAGACGATGCGATGGATGTTGTGTCACTAATGGCATCATCGTCGCCCAGAGCCGAGTCTGTGTCATCTGTACTATCCTGCTAACGTTAGATGATGCTCGATGTAATGCTAAATGGCAAGGAGTACTTTGTGGCGCTTGGATTTCGAGGAAATAGTCTGGCTGTAAGAAAAGTCCTGGTATACTTACAACTAAAACAAGTGGATTCACGAGCTGAGCAGTTGGTGCGGGTCCTTGTACGGTCTCTGAAGGAAGTTCTATTGAGTTTGTTGATGCAGCAGGTGCTCGTTCTGAATCTTGTGGTGCGCCTGCCGAGGCAGAAGGATTTGTCGACGGTAGGGCAGGTGCAGCTGTTTCGGACTCGACGCCTGTGGAGCCGTCCCCAGCTGTGAGACTATCAACTGCCGGTGTTGCTGGCCCACCCTCTCTTTGTCTCTCTTTACCCTTTCCAAAGTCTGCCATCGCTGAGATTTTGTTCAATTTTGTCAATCGACTTGAGTATGAAACCGAATGAAAACTGCCCGAGGAATGTCAAGGGTTGGTAGCCGCGACTGAGCCTCAATCGTGCAGTAACGGCCCGGAACGAACTGGGACAATCTGATAAGCGAACGCCTGTAAATGCTCCAACGCCTTGTGATGACTCTCAAAATGCAATTATTATGGATAGAGGAACAGCCAAATTCAGGATGAGGTTTTTCGCAATTGGAGAATTGTCTAGAACGGCGGATACTGTCAGGCAGAAAATGGCAGGGCGGAAGGACGGGCAAGATGACTCTCTCCGCAAAGCTAGAACAGAAGGGCTCTGACATCCGAAGTGCTGTATCCACCCAAATGTGCACACAGATCAGAAAACGTGGCTGTGGACCTAGATCGCGGGTGTCTCGTGCATATTGGACTTTCCGAGCTGCAACACGGTTTTTGGACCGGGGTTGTTTCCGCAGAGTGATCCGCTGTAGTGCAATCTAGACAGGGTGGCACGAAGTCAGTATACGTCTCACATGCAGTTCGTACATGGATACTTCCCCTCACGTCGCCCATCATCGATTGACTACGGTAGCCATCAATGCGTAAGCTTTGCTCTATGAAGGACAAGGCTTGTCGCTGCAGTACAGTACTGCGGCGGTATTTCGCCAACTCGGCTTGTGCACTCATTCAGCAAGGGAACCCGGAAAATCAACAACACGACACTAGCGCCAGCAATCCTGACGTGCCATGGCGCTTGCAAACTACTCAGATTCTCACTACTCTCGATAAAGAACGGACATGGGTCCCAAATGTCGTCGTGGCTTCCGCCATAGCTGTCGTTTGCTGGTGGGGCGCACCTAGCTATTAGTAACTCACGGCTCTGGGTACCATGCCGCTGCATGCTCCGCATCTTTTCCAAGCAACCAGTCAATTGTTGACCGATCAAACTGACCAACGATTATCCAATATAAGCCTGCAGCGGTGCGCTCTCTCCGCTAGCTACATAGTACACAACGCCGCACGCGCCTTCAGTGAGGGATACCCCACTTGTAGGAACGACTTTCATGAGACCTGTTCATCGTCTGCGACCTTGAACCCTTGCCCTCTAGCTCCACTCCAAGCAAGCCATGGAAACCATTCCGTCCGAATCAGCTTTCGACAATGTCTCCCGGCGTCTGTACGCCATCGCATTTGTCGCTGTGGCGTTCTTTGCTGTCGGCCGCATACGACAGTACTTGCGTCTGAGACATTTCGCGGGACCTAGGTAAAAGGCGTCCATGTACCAATCGCAGGTGAGATATGGACTGACTTGGTACGCGCACCTTTTAGGACGACGGGATTCTCTTGGTTGTGGCATTCCAGAGCTGTTATCAGCGGCCAATCTCCTAGGTACTACGGCGACGTGTGCGAGAAGTACGGTGCGTATCAGGAAGGGAGGATTGCTACATGACCCGATGCTAATGCTTCTGTAGGGCCGATTGCTAGGGTTGCACCCAACCATCTCATAACATCGGACCCAGAATTTTGGGCACGGATCAATGCGGTGCGTTCACCGTATGCGAGGTCATCTTGGTACTACCATTGTGCTCGATTTGAGACGGGAAAAGACAATGTCTTTACAGATTGCGACAACGATAGCCATGACGCAAGACGCAAGAAGATGACATCTGGGGTACGTGGATGACAACTTGAGTGATGAATTCGCCCACCCGCTGCAATTACAAGCTGGATTAGTGGTTAGATTGCACACCAGCTAACACGCTGCAGTACTCTGGTAAAGAAAACCCAACGCTGGAGCCCTCAATCGATCTTCATGTCAAAGAACTTGTGGACTTGGTGCACAAGTATGCAGTACCAACAGCATCAGTAGAACAATCTAAACCGATGGATCTAGCCGAGAAGATACCCTTCTTCACATTAGATGTTATCAGTCATGTTGGCCTTGGACAAGCATTTGGTGACCTGAAAGCCGACAAGGATCTCCAGAATTACCTGAAGTCGAGCGAAGAAGGTCTGAAAATTGGCAACACGGCCTTTGCAATGGGTATAGCCTGGCTCAGAGATACGCCTATCATCGGACCTGCCATCAGTCCATCGGAAAAGGACGCCAATGGCTTCGGTAGCATGATGGCTCAAGCACGAAAGATAGTCAACTCTAGGATGACGAAGTCAACTGATGACAAGTCTGATATGTTCGCGTCATTCGTTCGTCACGGTCTCTCTGGAAATGATCTCTGTAGGTGGCCCTGAAGGCTATGATCTGAGATGCCTGAGCGTTGACTGACCACTCATGCTTAGTTCAAGAGGTGTTCGAGCAGATTCTCGCTGGCTCTGACACTACGGCTGCTGCTATTCGGGCTATCCTGCTCTATGTCATGAGCCATCCACGTGTGTATGCGAAGCTCCAGGCCGAGATAGATGAGTCAGTCAAGGCTGGCACGGCGCCTGCATCTCCCGGTATCATCTCCGATGCAGAAGTGCGCCGACTGCCGTACCTGGGAGCTGTTGTTCGGGAAGGGATGCGGGTAAGTCTGATTCTCTTTCCACTAGCATTAGCCATTGTGTCAACATGCACTGACGATATGCTCTTAGATGCATCCGCCCGTCGCCAATCTCTTCTCAAAGGTTACGCCAGATGAAGGAGACGTCGTGACCATTAACAACAAGGAACACTTCATCCCCGGTGGGACTTTGATAGGCTACTCAGCCTGGACAATGCATCGTAACAACCGCTCCCTTTACGGCGAGGATTGCGGCACATTTCGTCCCGAGCGCTGGCTCATTGACACGAGCGATGCGGGCGAGAAGGCACGCTTAGCCCGGATGACAAAGACTAACGATATGATCTTTGGCTACGGTCGATGGCTCTGCTTGGGACGCAACGTTGCGTTGATCGAGATACACAAGTGCGTCTTTGAATTGTTGAGACACTTTGATCTATCATTGGCCAATCCATTGGAGCCGTGGAAGATATTCAACTCCCTCGGGCTCTGGGAAATCAAGGACATGTGGGTGAACGTTACTATGAGGAAATAGAGCTATTTGGACCTATGTTGAGGCATAAGAAAATCATGAAGACGAGAGAAAACACGTTGAATGCTTCCAGACCGACTTGAGTAGTGGTGAATTGATGTTGCAATGATATTTGCTTTGCTGTGTCGTGACAGCAACCTTGATGCGCAAAGTCCCGATGGGCCGTCCAATCGGCTGATGGGCACAGGGCGACGTACCAAGAATGGATACATGTGAGGCTCGATGCTTCGGCCCATGTATGGTAGCACTGACCAAAGGCATATTGCTCATATCTCGAGGAAATTCACGACGTGCGCAGATGACGGACAAGCTGCACAGCAGCGCCGAAGGCCCGCGGCTGAAGTGATTCGGAACGTAGCAAGAGCTTGCTCCATATCAAGCCGACCATGGCAGCCACCTTCAGCCGCCATCACAACCTCGATCGCGCGTGTGCGTATAGTCACGGCAACGCAATCGCGACCGCCCAGCCAGCGTACGATGGCTTTGCAGCGTCGCATCGCCATGGTGCAAGCCAACAGAGCAGCATGGCAGCCTATTGCGAGCCCACGACGACCGACGCGCAACAAGCCGCGAGTATGAACAGCCACGGCCAACAGCGCGAAGACAGCTACTCCCCAGACGACACGCCCAAAACCTGCTATGTGGGCGGCCAGAACACGGCAGCACTGCCGCCGGGCAGCAACGAAGCGGCCGACAGTCAGTTTGCTATGCTCCCACCCTCCAGCTCAGTCCACGCTTCATGGCAAGCACTGCACGACTATGCCCAGTCGCACGCCGCGCAGAACGGCTACGCCCTGTCCATCAATACCACGGCTAAGAACCGGTCCCGCATCAAGCTCGCCTGTGTCTGCTATGGACAGCCCAAGAACACACACAAGCTCACAGCTGAGACGAGGGTCAGGAAGAACAGGGTCAGCTACAAGACGGGGTGCAAGATGTGGATCGAGGGCAGGAGGCAACACGACGGCACGTGGCTGCTGCGTGTGGGCGAAGCGCAACACAACCACCCTGGACGTCAAAGTGCGGGATGGGCCGTACAGCGGAAGAGGACATGGGGAGTTGTTGGTGGGCGCATCGGCGTGGGAGGCGTCACGGCCAAGGAGGAGCTCGCCAGGTTGAGCCTCTCGGACATCAAGGACACTCTCGACGACGCGGATGCCGAAGCCGATGGCGACCAGGATGTGGAAAGCACGTCTGTACAGGCACCGAGGAAGCCACAACACAGTCTCGAACGTGGGGGTCTTGTGTGGAAGATAGTCGAACAAGAGATGCTACGCAAGGGTGAACCAAACCAGGGCCGCGACCGAGGCGTTGGGAGGACTGTGGATGTCTTGCAAGCGAGGCTGCCCGGTATACACATCTTTAAGCGCGACGTATACAATATACGAGCGCAGATAAAGAGAGCGAGAAAGGCAGCCGGTCAACAAGTCGGTGATGGTCTCAACAGCTCAGACGACGACGCTGAATCCGAAGCACACGACACCACCCAAAGTAGTAGAACCGGCGCAAACCCGCTCAACCACCGACACATGCAGCAACCACTAAATACATACCAGCAGCCCACTGTTCACGCCCCCAGGCTCTCGGTGCCCTTCCCGCCCACTCGGAAAGACTTGCGTATTGATCCCACGCTCGGCGACCGTCCCCCACCACCACCACCAGCAACTCCCCCTGAGGTGGTTGAGATGGAAGTCAATCAACTTAGGCGCGAGAATGCGGAATTGAAGCGACTACTTACGGAGAAGACGAAGGAGGTCAAAGAAAAGTCCATAGAGATGGCTGGGCTCAAGAGTCAAGTTGAGTTGCTGAGCAATATGATGATGACGAGCGGGAGGGGATTGATGGCTGGGTAGTAAATGGGCCGTTGATGAAACAAGACTTTAGATACCCAGTAGCTATACAGGAAGCAAGGAGGGCCATACAAGCATCCATCCATACCATGAAGACGAGCAGACGACGATCAAGATCAGATACATGATATATATATAAACAATAAACTCAAAATTGGGTAAGCAAAAAGACAAGAGGTATCTCAGAAAGGTATCCGTAAACACAACCCCCAAAATAACCCTTGCAAACGCCCAACGTTGAAATCGTACTGGACAAGCCGTCTTATACAACAACGAAATTCCAACACCAAGAACACCATCGTAAGCTCATTGTCAGCTCGTTATCCATCGCTCTCATCACGCATAGTATGCTTTACGCCGTGTGCTTTACGCCTCCTCAGCCATCTCTTCGTCCTCATCCTCGGCAAGCATATCCTGCTCCTCACAGCTACGCTCCACCTCATCGGCAATGAACTGCTCGTACTCTTCCAAACTCTTTTGTACGTGAAGTTTGAAGCGCACAATGTCGTCAAGCATGCGCTCAATTTCCGTATGGAGTTCTTCACGGAGAGCATTAGCGCGGAGCTGAAGTTGTTCGTACCTGGTGTACACAGTTAGTTATCGTTCAGGGTCACCTGTAAAAGTGCATGGGTCCAAAACTTACTCGATATTGACAGCCATTTCTCTTTGCACCATCAGCTGCACGCTTTCTCCTAGTCCGCTGCGCATACGACCCAGTTCTTTTTCCATGCGCTCGATCTGTGCGTCAGATTGACTCTTTTGCGTATTCGTAATCTCGCGTAACTTCTCTAGCTCTTCTTCTGCTTGTGCTACGCGATGGCCTAGGGCTTCGACTTCTGCTTGTTTGTCGTCCATGGCTTCTTTGATTTTGTCTAAGAGGTCGTGGTTGTTCATGTCGGCTTCCAAAGCTTGATTGCGTCGTTCAGCAATCTCTTTGCGGAGTGCGATTATGTTGGCCTTCACTGTGCCGCGGAGGTCCAGGTTGAGAAGATGCGCGGGTGAGTACCCTGTGCCTGCATCGTGGAGAAGGCGGTCTGATGCATCTTGCGACGAGCCACCCATTTGCGATCCTGAGAAGTTGGGGCCATCCGTGATGGTGAGGACAAGCTCGTAGTCTTGACCCTTGGCGTTGACCGCTGTAGAGGGAATCACACCAATCTGATATCCTAGATTGTTGTATCGTTCAATGGTTTGTTCGAGTTCATCCAGTTTGCGAGACGCAGCGATTTCCTTTTCTGCAACCCGTTTCTTTGACTCTTCCAGTCGCACTGTTGTTGCCTGGAGAGAAGTATCAAGGCGGTCTCTTTCATTTGCCATGCGGTCAATATCCGCAATGGTCATGCCTCGACCGTCAATGATAGCTTGTAGCTCTTGCTGTTCCTTCTCTGATGCTTCAAGTTCTGCTTCAATCTCGTCAATCGACTTTTCCAGGAACGAGCAGCGATCAGTGTACTTCTTGACCTTTCCTTCCATAGAGTTGTTGTAGTTTTCAAACTTGACGCGGTCTTCTTCTAGGATGCGAATCTGCTCCTCGAGCTTCTGGATCCTAGGGCCGGACTTTCCTAGCTCTTCGATCTGGTCTTGGAGGTACTTGTGCTCGGCCTCTAAAAGGCTGACTTGCTCGTGATGCTGTGCGTTTGCGGCATCGAACTTGGCAGCCATGGTCCTGATGTGAGGCTCCATATGCTTCTGTTGTGCTTCTTCGTCGTCGTCGTCATCTTCTGCTGATAGCCAAGTGCTGTAAGCGTCCGACAGAAAGTCGAAGATGATGCGGTCTCCAGAGACATCGAAACCGGCCTCAAAGCACGCATCGTCGTAGGTACCGGCCTCGTATGCTTGCATCAAACGCGCCAACTGCATCATCCAGTGCAACAGACCTAAGAAGGTGTACCAGTTGTTTCCACCAACAGCGGCGATCTGAGATTTCATGATGGACTTTTCAAAAGGGTAGCGCATCTGCTTCAATAGTACTGGCACCTCCTGGTCAATGGATTTCTGAAAGCGGTAGCTGGGGTCGATTCGGTTGTAGAGCCATTGGAACATGCAGTTGAAGTCCTTCTGCGTGGGCGAAGTCATGGCTTTTGCTGAGAGGACATGCTTGGACTCCATCTCAAAGTTGTTCTGTGTCAGGTATTCGAGCAGCTCCTGCGCCATGTGCTGGCGGGTGCTTGCGTCTTTGAGTCGTCGGGGGTCCGTTGGAGGGACGGAGGGCATGGGCGCCGTTTGGAAGAAAGACTGCTTTACGCCGGACTGTCCAGACACATGAGAAGTCCGCGACTTGAACACGCTGCTCCTCCGCTGTGCGCTCTGTTCGAAGTTGGGTCCTGAAGGCGGCGCAGGCGTTTGGAAGATAGAGGCGCCGGGCGCAAAACTCTTGCGCGCACTGCTCGCGCCGAAATTGCTTGTGGAGTTGCGATGTACCGACTGGAAGCCCTGGGCGAGGTCTGTACCGGAGGATGAGCGTGGAAAGAGGGGCTGGCTCGGACGGCCAGGCGCGAGGGACATTCTACTCCCGCTTTTCGATCGCGCGTGGTTGGGAGGGAATTGAGGCTGGTTCATGTTGTTGATAGAGCTTGAGCGCTTCATGGCTGAGGCTGGCATTGGAATCGCAGACGAGTTGTTGTTTACTGGTCCTAAAGTCTGCGCGTGTGGTTAGGAGATGCGACAAGAGGGGGTAAGGCTGTGACATGGGGGGGGGCTCACCTGACGGCGCACCGAGAACATTCCCGGGTCGGCCATGATATGTTATGTCGTCGCAATTGTGCTGCAATTGTTCGCCGTTATGCTACTTGGCAGTTGGCTACGGCTGTCGACCGGTTGCGATAAGGGTTGGTGTTGATGCACCCGTTCCCGCATATGCAATGTTTGTTGTGATCAGGGTTTCGCGCTAGCCCACCGCAGCAACGCGCGTGGTCCGCGCCACGTGGGGTACGTATCCTGCCTTGTTGACGTCTGATTTAGTTTCAACACAAGGCGCAGAGTCGTCTGTGGTAAATAAGAATGTGTATTTATAGTGGCCGGCGGTACAAGACGCCGCGGCCAAACATCCATCGTTGAAGTGAACGCTAGCAGAGTGTGATATGTAAAGCCAGAATAATAGAAGGCCACCAAACCCATCGTCGTCCCCAGTCGTCACAAGATCTCATCTCGGACGCACTCATACGTGCCACTTCATCGCTATACTGTATCGACTGGGGTATCGTTGTGCACATGCAAGCCAAAAAATAACGATGCCACAGCTTTTCAAAACTCCAACCTGTGGCCCATGAAAGGTATAACGATAAGGACATTAAACTCGAAACCCATTAGAAATGCATCATGAACATGCCCCCATTACTAATGCCATGCCTCCTTCCTTCTACCACCTTGTCGACTTTGGCACGTCGGCCTTTCCGATGTTTTTGAACATGTCGTCGGCACCGAGACTCAGCGTGTCTTCGTTGACACCAAAGGAGCTGAGGCCAGGCAGCGCTGGGGGCGGCGGACCCTTCGGCTTGGGTGCCTGCGCGGCGGGTACGGACGGTTGAGAGACGGTGCGGCCATTCGAGTAGGTTGTCGGGTCGGCGTGTCCCTCTGGCACTGACCCGACGGCGAACGTCTTTCTCTTGCCGAACCAGCTGCCGCTCTTCCGCCTGTTCAGACTCGGTGCCTGGCTGTTTATTGTGGCTGGCGAGCCTGGCCTCTCCGACTTCAGACTGTCGTTTGACGATAGCGTGCGAATGCCGAGGAACTTGCGGACGGATGCAGGCCGCTTGTTCGAAGGGCTCGTGGGCGACATGGTGCTGGTCGCATCGCTAGTGCGGGTCTGCTGCAGTTGTGGGCTGGCCGTCGAGTCCTCGGACGCTTTGCCTGGGGGCGGCGACTCTGTTTGCGGCGGCGAGCCGGGTGACTTTGGGGTGGGGTGCGACGACAGCGGACCTTTGCCGGGCGTGGGAGGACGGGGTGAGTCGGGCGGGCTGTCGAGCGGCGCAGGTATCGAAGTGCCCTCGGTCAGAGAGAAGTTGATGGGCGCAAGCGTCAGTGGCTTGAAAGAGAACTTGTTGGAGCCCATTGCGATGTCTTGTTTACACGCTCGTATGGCAGATTGCGATGTGTGGCAGACCGACGCGGGTTGAGCTGGAGTGGAGGCAATTGAGGGCTGGGAGCGACGCGGCAATAGATGAGAGAGGGTCGCAGAAGCCGCAGGCGGGTGGAAGCTCAGGAGGTGCTTTCGTGAAGCGGAGTACGGGCCAGGGATTACACGACGGTTAGCAGGGATCAGCGCCTTGCACGACACGAGAGGCGCAGCGGATGCGGCGGGTCAGCCTCGAACCTTCCCCAGAACCCCAGCCCGTCCTGGCCCTCAAACACACGGAAAAAACAAGACGCTCACGAAACACACGCGCGTCAAAAAACCGTCGTGCAGCTGCGAGTGAAGGCGTGCCTTTTCCGCGTCACCGACGGCCTTCTAGCGCGACTGTGTACCAGAGAATGCTGTGGGTCGCCCGCCCGAGTCAGGGTCAGGGTCAGGGCATACTGCAGAAGAGCCGTTCCGAGCGCACATCGTGTATGTCGCCATCTGCCTCCGCATATCTATTTATTGGCACCCTTTATCAATCCTCTTCAACGGCTATCTAGGCGCCGGTCGCTTCCTCGCCGACACGCATCAAACACATGCTGTAGCCATATGCCCTGCAAAAGTCAACCTGCCGCGCAACCTGCCTGCCCCTATTGCCGTAGCTTCCGGAGCATTCTGATGTCATTGCCATGCACAACCTGATCATGCACGCCTTCATCTTGTCTTGCGCTGGTGCACCTCGTCCAACTCGGTAATCTCATCGAGCAGCTGGCACGTCTCTTGCGGATTCGCGATCCACGCCGTCGTACACGCCAATCGCGCCTTAAAGTCGTTTGCTCCAGCACTCAAGAACTGGTCTCCTACATGCAGCGTTTTGCTCCCTTCAATCCCCCCAAAGATTCGCTGGCAGGCTAGAACACCCCATGACTTGTCTCCAATGTCGACAAACACGTCGTTGCCACCGTTGAAGGCGCAGAATGGGAGGCGCTGGCCGACTTCAGATATTTCCTAGCAAAGTTAGTATCGTAAACATTGCGCATCTACTCAAGACCTACAAGTATCTTCTGCACGATCAAAACCGTCTCTTCGAGCGTCTCGCGGCAGAACTTGTGCCCGCCCTTGGGTACAATGCCTACTGCTCTTTCCTTCCGGACGATATCTGCCTCCATACGGAAGTTCCTAACCGTGTCCCTTAGAGACGCTTCTGCCAGATCAAGCAAGTCTTTGATGTCCGATTCGTGCCACGAGAGCATCTCCTTGAGCAGCCATTCCTCCCTGGGAATCAGGCGCAGCAGGACTGGACTGTTCTCGTCGAATTTGAAGCAAAAGTTGCTCTCGCCGCCCATGATGATGAGATTCTGCCGAGCTTCCAGAGGCAGGTCAGAAGCCTGAATAGCGTCCAGGAGTCCATACAGTCTGCCGTAGTAAGGTTTTGCCTCTGTATACCCCGCAGCTGTAACGATGCCGATCTTTGATCCGCGGCGCATGAGATCCAGTATCTTCGGAATGATGGGATTGTCTTCTGTCAAGTCCTTGCCATCGTCATACAACGTGACATCTCCGTCAAAGGTCACGAGTTCAAGTGGGCCATTACGGATGAGACTCATCACTTGAGCTGTATTGAGAACTAGACGCACGTCGTTGAAAGAAGGGGGGACGAATCGTCGGTGGCTGATGAAACGCCTTTGATCTTGCCAGATGAAAGCGTCGTGCAGCGCTAGGGACGTGAAGAAATTCGCTACTGTTGGAACGAGAAGCTTCAGCTTTGATCTGTCAGGTTTGCCGTCCTTCTGGTGCTGAACTGCATTGGATTAGCCCCGAAAGTCTGTCGCAGGCCGTATGAGCCCGCCTGAGGTCGCAGCATACTGTGGTCGTTGATGATCTCCTCAACGTCTCGTAAGATCTCTGCATACCGCCGTTGGGCAATGCTCGCTTGGTGCTCGACTGACTCGTCATTGGGCTCGAATACCGCCGTGGGATGCGAGTGCAAGACAAAAGGTACAGCTAGAAGGCCCTGGAATGGCATTAGACGTCGTCCAGCATCGTCTTTCAAGTTGATAGAGCAATACCTTAATCCACTCTATCTGTATCATGCATTAGCCGGACATGTCAGTCATGCAACACGAGGTACTCACGAGTTGATCTCTCCTGTGGGTCTTCAAAACGTGTCAGTCTCTTGAAAATGGAAGTTGAGTCATTGTGTTTTATACACACTTTCAGGGCATCTGCCACACGGGAAGCCATCAAGTTAGCGTGCTTATCTCTATGCCGACCTCTTGGGCACAATGCAGTGTTTCTGACTTACATTCCACGCGGTATCGTGTAGTCATGTTGAAGATGTCTCGATTGATGAAAGGGAATGGAGAAGAGTGAAGGGAACAGTGAGCCGTGAGTTGTCAGTGTACAAGCTGCTTGTCCAAGCTTCTAAGGTTATCGGAGACGGCCGTTAGTGGCTGGAGTGGGAAGGGGCCATGCACATGTGACACCGTGTCGTCCCCGCACAAGGGCAGACTAACGCCCGAGAGCTGCTTGTAAGCCGCCGTACGATTTGACGGATACTTTGCTTTTGCCTGCCGATTGCGTGTGCAACGCGCGAGATTCGTGGGTTGTAGGGTGAAGCTACAATCGATAAGCGGGGATCTACAACGGCCGCTACTGAGAGCTACGCCTTTTATGCAAGGGCCCACCGCGTCGGACAAACCACAGCAACGCAACTTCAACCCAGCTATCCCGCCGTGTTTACCTCGTCGCAACCGCCATGGACTCACTCAACAACGTGGCCCTGCGCCCATGGCCAGCCCCAAAGAAGGAGGAGCTGACGCAGGACGATTTGCTGTTCAAGATCGAGCAGCTAGCCAGTGAACGGGGACATTTGCGCAACATCACGGAACAGTCGCTCCAAGAAGACATCGACGCGGGCAAACATGTACCAGCCGATGCTGAGGAAGGAGCAAAGGACGAGAAGAAGGACAAGGAAGTGCCATCTCGACAGGAACAGCTGGAGAAGGTCTTCAAGGCAGGACAGGAAATGTACAGCCATCTGGAGTACGTCTCGATGCGAATGCTTCATACCGAATGCAACGACTGACCAAAGATAGATGGGCCAAGTTCGCTGCTACCAACGCGCTCGATCTCGTCTCGCTCGTACTCTCTCAAGACCCCAACAAGCGCAGCCTGAACTTTTTCAGCCCTACTTTTCGCGATCAAGGCCTGAACCAGGGCATACCACTCGGCTCCTTCGGCATCAGCAAGGAGAACCATGAACACCGTACTCGTAAAGTGGAAGAACAGCACCGTCTCCAAGACCTGGCATCCAAGCAAGAGGCAGCGGCTCAAGGCGCACGCATGGGAGCACTGGATTCGTCGGTAGACGAGATACTAAAGGCCGCAAAACACCTGGAGAAAGAGATACGCCGCGAGACAAAATACTGGCATGAGATTGTGTCCGTCTCTGACAAAGGGTGGCCCATTCAGCGACTACGCCAGAACGTGCGCCATGCGCCTTTTGCTGTGCGATATGGACTTCCCGAAGGTATGGACTGCTTATTAACTCGCATGCTGAATTTGAGCTGACGACATTCTAGCTAGCGACCATTTCAAGGCCCGTGGATTCGCACCTCTCCAGATGGACAAAGATGGAAGTATCATACTAGATCCAGCTCTTGCGTTGAAGCCTAAAACATTTCGCGTGCGAGTCAGCATCGACGGCAAGATTACAGGTACATCACAAATCCCTGTCGACGGCGATTTTGCAACCCGGTCTCTCGAGAAGTCAATTCAACTTGCGCGTGACTCCCTACTCGAGGAAGAACTGTATTATGAAATGAGCTTGGAGACGAGGCAGCTCTTGGCGTATGGTGTCGCATTTCGGGACTCAGTCATCCACATAGATGCGCCCCAAATGGGTAGTGCATTCCAGGACCGAAAGTTGCTCATTGATTGCATACCTCGAGACGATCCTATAGCGAGCAACGAAGGTCATGAGCACGACTGGCTCGCTCGCAATATCGCTGAAGCGCTTCGCTTGCTCCTCGCTCATGAGCACAGCATGCGTCTACACCGGAGATCGCAGCTTCCACCTCCATTGACCGGCCAGACACGGGAGAAGCTACCACCGCCTCTACTGCGTACGCTTCTCGCAATACTTAACCACATCGCTGGTGTTGACTCACTCTATGCTTACCTCGATTTGGTCACAAAGACTCTGAAGGGTGCAGGCCTTGATGCGACACTGGAGACCACGCGTGAGACATCCTGGGCGAACCTCGTAGAGAGCCTAAAAACGACGTCAAGAAAGGGTCTGTCTGCAACCGACCAGCTGCTCGAAATTTTCATGAAGCCTTTCGATGGGAAAGCTACATTGACCCTCCCCACCTCCAACAGTGCACAGCCGGAAAATCTCATCGTTGTCACACGCACGATCATCGGTCAACCGACTTTTGGCACAGAGCACAAGCTTACACTTCCATCCACTTTGACTTCCGATATCGGATTGTTCCAGCAACACAAGTTTGATAGTGTTACAGAGTTGAAGTCATATCTCGACTGGATTCTCTCCCTGCATATTGCGCATAGACTTCTGAAGGGTGAGTATGCTTCACGCGCGCAAACGAGAACCCAGGATCCACGGCTCTCGATTCGAACTAAGGACAGTAAGAAAGGCACGAAGCTCACCAAGGATATCAAAGTCGATTTCAATGATGGGGAATTGAAGGTTACTGCTCTGGCTGTCGATACCATAGCAGAATCAGGAGACAGTGAGCAATCGCATGTTTGGAGCGGAGCTGCTGGTAGTACATCTTTGAAAGAAGTTGTGCAAGAGTGGGTTGGCTAAACATTATCGTGGAAAGGATCGTGAAATAGAGAGAATTAAAGACCTTTCCAATCCGCAAGGATCCATGTCAACCACGGCACTCTTTCCGCTCACGAAGTGCTGGTGCGCCAAATGGTATTGCATCACAAAAGCGGGGAAATGCACCGTCGATCCTGAGCCGTAAGCGGGTAGCTTCCCTATATGCAGCCTCAAAGATCATCCATACCTAGGTAGTTGCTCGATTTTATCCTGGTACCTGACATGTACATGACGTGAAGACTAGCAATGCCCAGATGTCCAGGTACCGTCTGAGGTAATGTTTGCAGTTCGCGCTTGGATGCTCCGAGGCTATATATACTGCCTGTCAGGCGTTGTGCCGTGGTCGTTACATGTCAACAGAATCTTGTCGCGTCCATGATGTTGTCCCCTCTTGTATTGACGTTGAGCACTTTGCTTCCTGCACTATCCGGTGCACAGCGCATTCGCTCTGATCCCGGTGTCGCTGGCCCAGCTCTTGAGATTGTGCATCTGTACAACGACCAATGGCCTACCGGTACCAATGCACTCTGGCAGCGTTGCAAATTTATGGCCACTAACACAAAGCAAAGGAATCACCGTATCGAAAGGCGGCCGCAAGTTCTCGAACTATCCGGCAGGCCTAGATGCTAATAACACAAATACGGGTACCAATAACAAGTATGCCGTGGCAGAGCTCACGACTAACGGCACCGAGACACCCTATCCTAGCGTGGAGATTAACAACCCGCCAAATGGAGCTATCAACTACACAACAACTCCGCCGACTGGTGCAAACTACCAGAATTACCTCATCGGCGTACAGAGCGTAGTCTTGGATCCCCAAGATCGCCTATGGATCTTAGATACGGGACGCGCATTGACTGAAGATGGTACATTAGTCAATGCGTCTCCTGGCGGTCCCAAGCTTGTTGGAGTAGACATTGAGTCTGACACAGTGATTCAGACTATAGTCTTCCCACCCACGGTAGCATTCCCAGACTCGTACCTAAATGATGTCCGCTTCGACTTGCGACCTTCCGTCTCTGCTTCTGGCAAAGGAGTAGCCTACATCACCGACTCATCGTCTGAAGGCCGCAATGGAATCATCATCGTAGATCTAGGCACAGGCGAGAGCTGGCGCCACCTCGATGGTGCAAAGGAGACGAGGGCTGAGAGGGGGTTCGTTCCATATGTCTGGGGTCAACCGCTTTACTACATTCCCGGTCCTGGTCAACCGCTTACCACTGTACCGTTGGGTAGCGATGGTATCGCCTTGTCAGCTGATGGTGAATACTTGTACTTTGGCCCCGTTGGTGGACGCACATTGTACAGTATCCCTACTGAGCGCCTACGGGACCGCAGTCAAGCTTCTGAGCTCTTGGCGCTGGGTGCCGTGAACAACAAGGGAGAAAGGGGTGTTAGTGATGGATTTGAGACGGACACCAATGGCTTCATCTATGCGGGTAGTAAGTATCCCTGTAAAAACTGCATGTGAGATATACACTGACTTTGTTCACTCGTAATAGATATGGAGCAAAATGAAATCGGGTTTCACAACCCGATGAACGCGTCTATGACGCTGTTTGTGAGGGACCCAAGGATTAGTTGGGTGGATACCAGTGAGTCCTTCTTGATACTGCTCATACTGAACGAGGTTAATTTATACAGTGTCTGTCGGAAGCGATGGTTACCTTTACTTTACCGACAACCAGCTTGCCTTCAGCTCGGCCTTTTACCCTGGCACGGATCGGAGGGAACGACCATTTGTGCTATTCAGGGCGCCTTTGCCTAATAACGGTTCGAGGGTTTTCTTGCAGTAAGAACATCTAAAATAGATCATAACTTCACAGTTTTCAATAGCTAGACGTATATACGCCGTGAAATGTATGCCTCTTATTTGGAAGGGTATATAATTTACGTCTTACCGAACACAAAAATGCCCTTGCCATCCCTGTACCCCTCCAGTGTATCCTTCACCTTTCCTATCAATTCTTCGCCCTTGGTATCCCATTCCCACTTGATCTCATCAACAGGCGTATCCTTGAACTCGCCCTTTCTTGTCATATCCAGCACGTCAGCAACAGTCTTCTGTTTCTCCTCTGGATGTTTCTCTGCCCATCTGCTCACCCAAAAGCCGTGGAAATGGATGTCCTTGAAGATGAGCATGGAAGCAGGAATGGTCAAGGGTTGCTTAGACATGGCGCCATAGGTAACGAAGTGTGAGGACGAGGAAAGCAGCTTAGCCATGGCGGTGGCTGCCTTGCCGTTCACGCAGTTGAGAGCCAGGCGTATAGGCGCGCGGCCGCCGTTGGTCCATTCCTTGGCCTGGTCTTTTATGCCCTGAGACTGCAATTCTGCATCTGTGATTACGACGTCTGCACCTAGATCTTGCAGTTCTTTCTTCATGGCTTCTTCTTTGCTCTTGTCTTCCCGGCTACGAATCACATTGATGCTCTTGTGACCCCATTTCTTGCCTAGCTGGATAGCTGCGCGGCCGACACCCGAATTTGCACCATTCTGTATGAACCAGTCGCCTTCGGAGAGGGTTGTGAAGTCGCGCAGCATGCGGTATGCTGTGCATGGGTTTATGGATACGGTGCCGGCCTGAATAGCGGTAATTCCTTCACGCATCTGGTCATCGAGTTTGACGACATCGTTGGTCGTGGCGCTTGCATGTGTTCGCCATGTACCGAAGCCAGGACCTTTCATAAAGACCCAGTCGCCCTTTTTGAAGCCTTCTTTCTTGACACCCTCGCCAAGTGCTATGATTTCTGCCACACCTTCGTTTCCAGCGACAGCAATTGGGTTGGGGGTGCCCAAGTTTGTTGTGAAGGTTGGCTTGGAAGGGTATACACCTTGGATCTGGTTGATGTCGGCGGGATTGATGGGCGAAGCGAGGAAGCGCAGCGTCATGTAGTTGCTATGTGGTGGCGAGATGGAATGACCGTGAAGAGAGAGCACTGCTGGAGGCTCGCCATAGTCTGAGAAAGTGAGGGCTTTGGCTTGTTCGTAGCCGTATGCGGAGATGTAGCGGCGCTGTGGGAGTCGAGATACGGTCGGTGCTAGATGTCGCGTGCGACGCAGACATGACTGCGCTAATCGTGGCGACGCGGGAAGCAGTCTGGAAGCCATTGTGAATGATGCAGGCGCTATGCGACTGTTGTGTGAGTTGGCAGCTGGTGGAGCTCATGGAAGATGTTTTGAGAAGACGGAGCTATGACGTTGCTAAAGCCGAGGTTTGGTGGAGCAATGGAGCGTCACGGTAGGCATCACGTCCCCATCAGGTTCATATCTACATAGGGTCCTGACGTGCGAGTGCATACCAATGCTGGATTTATGCTCTCTATACGCTCGAGTAGTGCAGTGCCTCACATCCCACCCCTAATTGCGTCTCTAAACCCAAGGATTTACTTCTTAATGGACTGTTAGAGACAGGTGCCCCTGAGAGTACTCGTGTATAGATGGCATGTAGCCACGACATGCGCAGTCAGTTGTGTGTGTGAAGAAGCAACCAGTGGTGGTAGGCATTCACATGCAAGACAGCCCAAGCAGCGCTTCGTGAAGCTTCCCGCCAGCCCTAGAGCGTGGGCATCTAGACGCCACTAGCACCGCCCCGCGCGACGTCATCAGCCCATGCGTTGCCAGGCTGCGCCCCTCCCTGAACTGGCTTCTTACACCCCTCGACCACTACAAATAGACCCTGTCTCCAACACGTAGTCTACTACATCACTCATAGAATCATTGCACTCTTCTCAACTACTATACCCTTACCACCCAATTCTCTCAAACCACCCCACCCTACATATACGTCAACATGGCTGCCACCGTCAACGTCGAGAACATCTCCACCAAGACCAGCGAGGATGAGATCAAGAGCTTCTTTTCCTTCTGCGGAAAGATTCAGTCGCTCAGCGTGAAGCCTTCGGGCGACGACACACAGTCAGCCTCCGTCACGTTTGAGAAGGCCGCTGCCGCCAAGACCGCCCTTCTCCTCGACAACACCCAGCTTGGACACAACTCGGTCCAGGTCACATCAGCTAAGAGCCTCGACGAGATTGCCGGCGAGAAGTCTGCCGCCGCCGAAGACGCCAAGGACGGCGACCACCACATCGAGCAGGAGCAGAAGCCCCGCGCACGCATCATCGCCGAGTACCTCGCCCACGGCTATGCCATCTCCGACAAGGCCATCGAGAAGGCTCTTGCAGCAGACAAGCAAAACGGCTACAGCACCAAGTTCATGAACATCCTCAACAACTTCGACCAAAAGACCCAGGCTACACAGAAGGCGCAAGTCGTCGACCAGAAGCTGGGCGTAACAAACAAGGGCTACGCTGCCTTCAACATGATGACCAGCTACTTTGACAAGGCCGCATCTACACCCACTGGACAGAAGCTTCGTGCTTTCTACGACCAGGGAAACAAGACTGTCATGGACGTCCACAACGAGGCCAGGCATTTGGCAGACCTTAAAAAGCAGAAGCCTGCTGGTGAGGAGGGTGCTGCCGCTACCGCCGAGAGCAGCGAGAAGCCCGCCCAGGGTCAGAGCGAGAAGAGCGCAGACTCCTACGCTGCTGCTGCCGCTCCTACTTCCTAGATGCAAACACTATTGTGCTGACAGCGGAGAGCTGCAATGGCTTTTCTTTCGGTTTTACGATTCCCACTTGGTTTACAGTCTGTATGAATACTTGCGCATGATACCGATGACGGCACGAGCATGGAGTTGGAAGGAGATGGTTTATTCAGCCTACGAGAAAAGAATTCTATCTAGTAACCATTGAAAGTGACTTGTGTGCTGTTGTGTAGTGATGACATACTCATCGAATGAAACATGACGAAGCAATAACCCTCTATTACACTCTTTCTCTCCAACAATGTAAACAACATGCAAAACCCAAATACACAACACGGTGAAACAATGCAACTGGACAAACCTCTGCATCCAGTTAGTATCCCCACTCTCCACTATCCAACAGACTCTGGCTAGCCACAAAGCTGAATCCACCAAAAGGATTGCTAGAAGCCTGGCTCTGACTTTCGAACATCAAGTCATCAAACTTCTTTGTCAGAACAGGGCTCAGCGGAAGATCGGTGAAGTCCTGAGCAAAGTTCTCTGCCAACTCCGGGTCTGTGATAAGTGGTTGAATCGGCGGTGTCAACTCCCTCGCCTCCAACTTCTTCCAATCGATTTTGCGGAAAAATCTATGTTTCTTAATGTTGGGCAGGTCCTTGGCCATGTTGAATCCTAGGCGTTTCTTCGGGTCTTTACGGAGAAGGCGGGTGAGAAGGTCTTTGGCTTCGGCGCTAAGGTAATAAGGCAATGAAAGTTTCTGTTTTACGATTTTTTCCTGGATCTTTGCGTTGTTGTTACCAGTGAAGGGAGGAGCACCGGTGAGGAGGTCGAAACCAAGCGCACCTAGGGACCACCAGTCGACTGCCGCGCCGTACTCGAGGCCTTGGACTACTTCCGGGGCCATGTACTCTACGGTGCCGAGGAAGGAGCGGCAGGGGTTGTCTTCATCAAGACTGACTTTGCTTAGGCCGAAGTCGGTGAGGAGCAGGTGGCCCTCGGAATCTAGAAGGCAATTCTCTGGCTTTAAATCACGGTAGATGACGCCGACTGTGCGGTGAAGGTGGTCGAGCGCAAGCACCATTTCGGCCATGTAGAAGGCTGCTGCATCTTCAGAAAACATGCGCTCGGCTTCGAGGTGGTGGAACAGCTCGCCTCCCTGGGCATACTCGAGGATGAGGTACAGCTTCTCCTGGTCTTGGAAAGCATAGTAAAAGTTGACGATGAATGGGTGGCGGTTCACACTCTCGAGAACATTGCGCTCCGTCTTGGTCTGCTCTATGAGCTTCTTATGCACAGTGATGGAGGCCTTCTTGAACTGCTTCTGCGCGAAAAGACGGCCTGTGGCGCGCTGCCTGACCAACAAGACGGTGCCATAGCTGCCCTTGCCCAGACACATCAACGGCTCGAAGTCTTCTGCCGTCATCTTACGCGCCATGCCATTGTTCAACATGGTCGAGGTTTTGGAGAGCGTATCAACGCTGAAGTCTTCGGCGTTGAGGTCGATTTCATAGCTCTCCATCTCGGTACGATCACTGTCGCTTTCCCGGCCTGACATGCTGGTGTTGCTCGACAACTGCGACGTGACTCTGCTCATAGGCACGCCCTTTCCTGGGTAATCCTTCATGGGGGAGTCGCTCCTCGGACCTAGATTGAGCGCCTCGAGTTGGGCTTTGAGGTTGCTGATGCCTCCTGCCGTGGACTGGGGGCGGAGCGCTGGGCTGCTGGTCACGCTTGGGAGTCCGGAGCGAACAGGGCCAAAACGTGGTGTAGTCGCCAGAGAATAATCCGACTCTTCCCCACCAGACGTGACTGGAGTGTGGAAACCCCGGGTGACACTCGTAGCCTGTAAGCCTGCCTTCAGACCCTTCTTCTTCTTTTTCTTGTTCTTCTGGGCCTTCCTCATGACAGCGTCGAAATCCAACTTGTCCGGACCCTGCTGCTTGCATTCGGGATCGGGCTGCACTGCGCGCTTGGGCATAGGGCTGACGATGTTGATCGGCGGAGTGCCCACATGGAGGGGCACGTTCGGGGGGCTCATGTCCATGTTCCCAGGTGCGAACATGTCGGCATCGTCAGGCACGGCAGGCTCGGGATTTGGCAGCGCATTGGCTGGAAGGTGCGCATCGTTCTGGTCGAATGCGAAAACCATGACAGCGGTAGTGGTGGGGTAATACGATATAAATTCGTCAGTCTTCAGGCTGCGCGCGAATTCTGCTCATGATTAGCATTTGCGCCCCTGTCAGAGGGAACTGCGCGCACATCCAATGCCCGTCTTGGGCAGACCAATACTACAGTCCGCCGCGAATATTCACGGCGGAACTCCTACCCCTAGCCGAACCAGCGATGCGAAAGAGGCGTCCGTCCTGTTCAGACCCGAGCTCAGTGCGCTGTACGGAAAGAGGGTGCCAACTGCGGTAAGCTGAACGGTGGGGAGGAAAGTGGTTACGGCGAAGGAAGCAGAGCCCATAGATGGTCGTGTTGGAATATCGGGAATGGTGATAATCGAGGCCAGGATTCGGAGCCTGGCAGTAAATCTGTCTTGTTGGTGTGTCGCGGTGTAGTGAAAAGGCGTGTTTGAAGGGGTGCTGGAAGAAAGGACCGCGATCAGCGGGAGAGGCTCAAATCGCTCGCTTTCTTAATTTGGTGCCTTGGCGACCTGGCTGCGGTGGCATGTGAAATGAGCTTGCGCTTAACTCGTCACCCGCCCCAGACTCCGTCTGCTTCTCCACAAAACACTCGGAGCCCTACCCCGTGCTTCGTTTACATCATGTTCCAGGCTTGGTGCGTCTTACCAAAGTCATGCGCTGGCAACTGTAATGCGACCATCATCGACCTTGTTCGATACAATACGCCTTGAAATTGAAACCGCCAGCGCGTCTCAAGGCGCCAAACAGACTGTGCGACGCTCGTCGAGCGCGTTTTTTGCTCGCAAACAATTCGACGCGGCAAGGCTATACAGTTGCTGCCGTGAACCGACTTGAACCATTGCTATGGCCAAACGAAGCCACAAGCAATAGTCCTCAACGATAGCTAGCGGCCCCCTGTCTTGAATGACATGCCTAACAAACAGCAAGGCAGGCACGGTGCATGACGGCATAGGGGGCGCCACAAGACAAGTACACTCTTCGTCCATCACACTACGCTCCCTGCGACTCCTCTGCATTTTTTAAGAGCGACTGCGCAACTGAGTCACTAGCAGGAAGGTGCGCGATGCTGCTATCCGAAGCTAAGCGGGTCCTGCTATTGCATCAGGTGAGGTTCTGCCACCCCGATGCAGCACCAACCAGCGGCAAGCCTACGACGCGATATATTAATGTTTCAAATGCTTGACTCTTCATCAAAGCCTTCCTAGCTCAGTGGTAGAGCGCGTCACTAGTAATGACGAGGTCGTCAGTTCAATTCTGGCGGAAGGCAATTGAAACGATTTTTTTGGGATGGTCATTTCCGGGTAATGGCCGATAGGAGCGCCTTTCTTTTTGTTTTTGCCATCACAGGGAACCCTTCCTCTATCGAGCTTCAAGACCTCTCAGAAAGATGTTCTTCTATTTCAGACTTGCGCCCAAATCTTTCGCGTTGTTCTGCAGCCATCGAGATCCAAATTTCAAGGGAGGACTAGGACAAGTCTCTACGCTTCACCAATATCAAGTTTGTGCAGAACAGCTTTTGTTCACATGCCTCAACTTGACCGCCGATAGTCCCTCGTATGGCAACTCGAGAGATTGGTTTAGTTGGAACTATATCAAATTCTCCAACGGGTATGCCTCATCAAGTCCATTGGTATGCATAGCCCTAGTCCCAAGAGGCTTTGTATGTACTTGCAACAATAACGTTCAAAACAGCACAACCTGAAAGGTGCGCATACAAAATTTGATTTATGTCGCACGTGCAGTTCGTGAAAAGACATATCTTGCCAACTTTGAAAGTAGGGGGTCGGTTTCATATACAACTTGTATAATCACAACCCATCTCTCCGTCATTGTTTGCTCAACTATGATTCCAGTTAGAAAACGAAAAAAGGAGTTGTATGACCACATCATAGAGGTCCGGCATAACGATGATGCCAATTGGCTGAGTTGAACGGCCATGTCTAGCAAATCGTCAGGGGTGTCCATTCCTGTGGTCGTCTCTGTTTGGCTTCATCAAGCGCACTCTGACTGGAGTCAAGACATGTGTTTCGGCTTTTCGCATGCAACCTGCTTAGTCTTCGGTGAACTGAGCGTGGTATGCCAGCCTGTCTTATGTTTCAATATTGTTTACTCTGCTGAGCAGGACGCAGAGCCCAACGGACCATACGACGTGCGCGACATTCCGAACACGTGGGGCTATTGAATCAACAGATGCAGCAGCAATGACTCCTCGACCGGATCACGTTAGCATTTGCTTACACCTCGTACCCGGCAAAGTAGATATGGACGGCTCTTCCCTTTGCATACTGACGAAAGTCTGGGCGACTAGTGAGATTCATGTTTGTCATTACCTTAGCCTGCTGTATATTGTGCCGATAATAGAACTTATAGTCTCATCGACCTACAATCAGACAAAGCACGTAACAGCAAAATTGCATCCGGTACGAATGTATGAGAGACAAGAGTGTCGAACAGGCCAGTAACCGAACCAGAGCAAGGTCAAGGCTGGAGAGTTTGTACGTAATGACCGCCCCTCTGGAAGCCAAGATAAAGTAAGCAGCTCATCTTCATTGACCGCCTAATGCTAGCAACAATTTGAACCAGTGGTCAGTCAGCGTATGCGATCAACCTCGCTGTATCCCATTCCCTAACCACAGCCGCTTCGGGGCGAGGAGTGCCTCTCCTGCAGGCCGAAGTAAGACACAGGATGTACAGAAGAAGGTTTTGCTACCAGTCTGACCGGATCGCATCAATATAACCATATTAACTGTTGTGTAACCTCAGCAGATCATGTCTGCATTCACTATGCCAAGGTTCTTGGGGTCATGAAAACGACGAATCATCACAGCAGACTTTGCCCTTGAGATTCATATGCTAGCTACTACGCCCACAAAGGTATTGTTCGGAACATCGCCTTCGTGTCTCGACGCCTCGAACCTCCGCCTGTTATGCGATCAGCTTACCCCCACCGTCATTGCTATTCGAGAAAGATCGTATAGGCATCATTAGTGCTATTCAATCAGCGCGGTGAGTGAATGAAGGACGTTGAGTGGGCACGACGACGAACGAAGATGTGGTAGTAGCCTCATGCTAGACCTCGAACCCCGAGACAGTGACCCAAGTTAGGACTTTGTTAACCACACATCCACCTGGAAAGACTGGAAGAGCTTACCGATCAAATAAGGCGGTGACGGGGAAACAGAAATATAGAGAGAGAGGCGAGGAAGAACAAGTATAAAGGATGTCCAGAATTCGACTTGAAAGGACTCATCAAGCTCCATCATCATAACATCAAACTACTTCACCAGCCTTTCGCTAAACACACCACTCTTACAAATCAGTCAATATGCGTTTCTCAACCATCACCGTCTCTGTACTCGCCGCCGGCCTGGCCGTCGCCTCCCCGAACTCCATCGCCAAGCGCGAAAGCCAGGAGATGACCAACGTCATTGCGTTCGCTGCCCAGCAAGCCGACTGCAGTCTCTTTGACTGCGCTGCTGTAGTCGCTGCTGGCGCCTGTATTGCTGGAGCACTCGCAGTTCCAGGTGCCGTTCCCGCAGTTCTGGCTTGTGTTGGTGGTGGTGCTCCTTCGGTACGTGATTTACCATCTTTACAGATCCTCTTGTACATAAGGCAATCTACTAATCATCTCAGATCTGCCCCTGCGCCGGATGCATTGACGCCCTCAATAACTTCCTGGTCGAAAACAACGTCTGCCCCGAATAAAAACAGTAGTGGACAATCTGAGAATCATTCTATGATCGAGGAGTGCGAGAAGTAAGGGGCTCAGACGGACAGTGGTCCATCGACATTAGACCTGCAGTGTTTAATGTAGGCTGAGACAAAAGGCTTTCACGGGCATCTTACATGTATCTCATTGGTGCTTGTCTATGTACACTCGCTTTTCAATGAAATCGCTGGCCGGCACAACCAATTTCCGCTTGCATTTCTTCATTACAAAACGCTGCCATGACACAATGGGTGATAGCGTACCCTACATGTTAACATTTCGGTCGGCACAAACGCTTCCATGAGACGACGTGATGATCAAGTTGAGAGCTAGATACCTTGAGTGAATAATCATGGCACACTTCTAAACATAAACTGGCAGTCGATAAAAGTGTCACTGTACGGAACAAAAGAGTGGAAAGGTAATGCGATTGATAGTGAATGATGGGTATTGTGTATCGATGGTTGTCATGATCTATTACGCGATTTGCTACTTCTTTTCGTCGTCCTCAGCCAACCTGCGACATCTGACACAGGAATTGTACGGTAGTAATCAATTCAGCAGAGTACAAAAGAGTAATGTACAAGAATATAGTTGAGAACTATCGTTCCTTTTTTTATATAAACCTCGTCGCGTCGTTCACGGGGCTAGCCCCGTCATGTCTCGATGACGATAGATTAATCGACCCCTGATACAGAATTCTTGCTTCCAACTAAATGAGGAAACGCAAAAGTGGGGTTGACTTAGTTGCAGGTACCAAAGCCAGATTGGCAGCCAGTACCGCAGTGACCGGTGGTGGTTCCGCACCAACCGTACTGGGAGCAGCAGTTTCCGAAAGAAGATCCAGCACATGTGAAGCCAGAGGTTCCGGCACAAGATCCGTCAGTGGATGCCTTCTTGGTTGGGGCAGCAGCAGCCTTGGTGGTAGTGGTAGCAGCCGCCTTGGTAGCAGACGCTCCAGTGCCAGAGCACGTACCGAAAGCAGAGTTGCAGCCAGTAGAGCAGTGGTCGGTGGTGCTTCCACACCAGCCGTACTGGGAGCAGCAGTTACCGAAGGTTGAGCCGGCGCAGGTGAAGCCAGAAGCACCGCCACATGAGCCATCGGTGGAAACCTTGCCTGCAGCAGAGGCGACAGGGGCCTTGGAACTGGTGGTAGCAGCATTGGTCGTCGACGTAGCCTTGGTGGTGGTAGGAGCGACGCCGTTGCTGCCGCAGTTACCGAAGCCAGACTGGCAACCAGTTCCGCAGTAGGCTGAGGTGGTACCGCAGTAACCGGAAGAACTGCAGCAGTTACCGAACGAAGATCCCAGGCATGTGTATCCCTTGGTTCCACCGCAAGTAGCATCGGTGGTGACTTGCTTGGTTCCAGTGGCAGCGGGGGCAGTAGCAGAAGTGGTAGGGTTGGCAGAGCCAGCACCACCAGCAGTGCGGTACCAGTTTTCCTTGGGGTCACCGAGGCAGTCACCAACGGTAACAGCCTTGTAGCCGAGCTGGGTAAGGGTGGAGAGCATGTACTCAGTAAGGTTCATGGCAGTCTGCTCGTGGATGTCATGTCCAATCTCGAGCCATTGGTTGCTGGCAGCGGGGCCGCTGGTGACGTTGCCCAGGAAAACGTCCTTGGAGTACTGGATCAGAGTGGTGCTGTCGTGTTCATAGTCATCAGTGTCAAGGTTGAAGTATGTGACGTGGTAGCCAAGATCAGCCATGTCCTTCTCGCAGCCTGACTCAGCAGTGCAGCTGGAGTATGGGGGGCGCATGTAGGTGGGGATCTTGCCGACAATGTTGCGGAGAGCCATCTCGTTCTTGATCATCTGGTTGTAACGGTCTTGCTGGGAGATGGCGCTCAAGTCCAAATGAGTCCAGGTGTGGGAAGCAAGCTGGTGACCTTCAGAGTCCATGCGCTTGAGGACATCGCTGAACTCAGGGGTGATGTCAATCTGTCCCTTGTTGATGTTGTTTCCAGTGATGAAGAAAGTAGCCTTTGCGTTGTACGAAGCCATGACATCAAGAATGTGGCTGGTGAAGACCTTTTGTGGGCCATCGTCGTAGGTAATAGCAACCGTACCTGGTGTGGTACAACCGTAGATACCAGCACCACCGTACTGGACGTTACCGAGCTTGGGACGAGCGATAGAAGAGGTGTTGGTACCACCTGGAGTTGCGTTCTCAGGGCAGCCAGGGCCGTGCGCGTAGTCGCATCCGGGAGAGTAACAGTAGTCGTCCTCAGTACCACAGTAGCCAGCCTCTGAGCAGCACTGGCCAGCGGGACAGTTGCCGACACCTGCACCGCACTGGCGGTCATCCTGACGGGCAACGACGGCAGTCTTGACCTGGGTCTTGGGCTTGAAAAGTTCGTTGACTCCAGTAAAACGTGCTCCGGTGCGAGAAAGCAAATCCCGAGCGCGGAGATCCCTGGGGTTCAGTCCAATGATGTTGGGTAGGGCAGCTCCATGAGCGTTGACCAAAGGAGTAATAGCTGCAACGGCAGCAAGAGCGGTAGAGTAGTGCATGTTGTAAGAATAAGGTCGGTTCGAATTACGGAATTAAGTGTTGATCTGGTAGGTCGGATCAAGAGAGGTGAGCGAGTGGATAGTGGTGGTCAATATCGACGACACACTGGGGAATCTTGGACCGAAAAGAAGGAATGGTCAAGATGAAGGTAAGGTAGAATTAGAACTTCGAACAGAAGGTACCAAGAAAGCTCATCAAGGCGTGCGGGCAGAATCATCTTATGAAGGACGAAGATGATCGACAGCCAGCCAGCAACCCCCGTAAGGCATGGTGCTAATGTTGACTCGCGTTACGGCTAGCGCTCTCGACACTTGCCTGCAGGTGCCGGTCAGCCTGGGAAAAGGAAGCTTGGTGCCGCGGGCCCCTGGGGCTGGCAGATTTCAAGCTGTCGACCCGCGGCGCCGGCTTCGCTTCGGGCGGACATGATGCGCGATTGGGACGTTTCGTCATGGGTGGTAAGTAGCACGGACTCCTTTGCCATGCAGGAACCATCAACTCTATCACGTTGTCGAGCGAAAAATAGATCATGATGGTTGATCCAAGCCGTTTGAAACGTGTTTTGGCATCTGTGCCATCCGAAATGTTATTACCACACGCCTCTGACGTCTGTAGGCCGGCAATCGCTCGAAACAATGAGTGATTCATCGCACACGTTCTCCACCATTGTCCCTCACTTAACGGTTGCTTGGCATACATGGTCGTCGCGCGGTCGCTGTTCAACATGTTGCGATGATGGTATTGTGCCTATACGCTAGAAAATTATCATTTAGCTGTTGTAAGATGCTAAGCGCGTGGCGATGTGACGTCTTCCATGATCGGTCTGATGGTGCAGCACCTAACAGATGGCCCTTCGGGCGTCAGCCATGGCGTTGAGCCATGAAAGCACCGACATACGCTGGCGCATTGGCAACAGCTGCCGAGGACGCCCAACTGACGGGTGCAGCTCTTGGAGGAGCTTGTTAGGGATAAGAGATCCGCCCCGCATCACCACCAAAGTCTTCGTGTAGGCAGTCGTACGAGTCTTTCAAGCCAAGCCATGCAATTGCATTAAGTTTCTTCCGCGAAAGGTAGCATGTTGCGCGAATCCACTACCTTGAACGTCTCCTCTCCCCCTGTGGTCCAGACGCCTGCAGCTTCCGAGGAAAATTGGAGTCAAGTGGGCTTTCCGATGATACGAGATGAGCCAATCACGTGCCCTGCCAAGCGAGACTCAATACTAATCGCTCCCACCCTCCAACAGGACGGCATACTTGCTTCCGCCAAACGCCTCGCTCTGTCGGTATACCGTCGCGAATCGTCACTCTTTGCCCACGTGGATGAGTCGACGCCAAAGGGCAATGGCGCATTGTAACACGCAACCACGAAAGCAAGCCGCTCAATAATCAATACTTTTTGCATCGAGACGATTGGAATCAAGGGGGACGGGAAGACCTCGTATCCCCTCTCTGTCTCCATGCAGCTAACCACTCGTACATCTGATTCAGGCAGCCTCTCCAAAACCTCCACCACTCCATAGTCTCATAGAACAGCTCTACTGTATGCACTTCGGGAATACCGCAAGGAATAAAGCCCGAGTCTATTTTGAGCATATTGCTTTTCTGTTGCGAGACAAGCTTTTGCTCAAGTGACTAGGTTCTTCAGCCTCGTGCCGGCGGCTTGACTCGCCAAAACAAAATTGCGATAGACAAACTCTTCTCGTGCGCAAGGTACAGCACGACCATTTCTTAGCAACTCTTAGGCTTACGGAGTCCAACGGTGGAGAAGGATCGTTTGCGGCCTGTATCGCGACTGGTAGAATTCCCGATCGCATATCTCAACCTCCGCCTCCCGGTGCCGCGTGAGCTGGGATGGCAGGCATCACCACTGACCCTTGTGCCACTCATACATCCTACTCATGGGCTAATAATTTACCCTGACACATAAGGCCAGAACCGGATAGGACGGCCCTGCAGCCTCCACATTATCGATATCCAGCTGCGGTCATATATTCTTTTTCTTCCCTTACGATGGATATAGCGTCTCCAAGGGGCGATTGAGCCAAGGAAATCATGTGGAGAAACAAGGCGTCCCCTACCCGTATCGCTTCTTCTGCTAAGCAAGAACAAGCACTTGCTCTGCCGTTGCATCTCGTGGCACTTGGCGCATGCCGTATACCCGCAAATACTCGTATTGCATGATGAGCACGTCGGCTGCAGCCTGAGAAGTTAATGTACATGAATGCCTCAGGGGTCGTAGTCTGTCTGGGCGTGTTGCACCGTGAGGACGTCTACTTTTTCCTCCACTAACATTTGTTTCCTTGTCCGCCAGACGTACTTTGTTATACAATGAGTGAACTGTAAGGCGATAGGTCGAACCTAACATCGAAGATCAGCATCGGTTACATGCACGAGCGGCACACAACGTTGTCGCACAGAGGATTGTCGTCCCGCCGCTGATCAGTCGTAGATCACCGACATCAGGAACCTGCACGGAATTATGAAGAACAACATGACAAATGTAGATCATCGCAACGTCTATCGATATCGAGATGCGATGTGGATGTAGAGTCGGATATGTTCGTCAAGATCTACTATTGGCCCTATGCCTGACATCCGTGTTTGTAAACAAAGATTTCGTGAGGCTTCCTGTCCGGAATGGAGTCAGACCGAAGAAATAAGGAAGGTCTAGCAAGAAGCACTGCAGGCGGACAAACGCGATCCATGAACCACGAATATCTCGCGCCAGTGGCATACTTTCGTGTGCATATTCTGCGTCATAGATCAACCACAGTCACACTTGACACTCTGCACCGATAGCTCGACTCGATTGGGCAAAAGGATCATCACCACGGAGAGGTATCGGCCAAAAACTTCAAGATGCTGTGCGGGGTGCTGAATGCCTTGTCTGACTACAACGTTCCTACAAATATTCACGTAAGTTTAATACTTCGCTTCGGATCTTGTGTAAGACTGAGGAGGAAGTCTGTTCTCAAATTATCAAAAGCAATTCAACATACTTAGCTATTCCAGACGTTACGTCCCCCTTTTCAGTTGTCTCCCAGTGACAATCCCGTTCTTCCCCGCGATCCCGTTGTTTACTGCAACAGCAAATGCAGCAATATCTGAGTTGGGCTGTAACCCCTGCTTTGGTCTGTCAAACGGGAAAACCACACTCTTATCCCTGACTCCAAGACTATCTACGAACAATACGTTTGGGAAGCTTTGCGGCGTAAAAGCGTTCCAGGCTTCGCTTATTAGATCATCGAAGGCTGACGCGGCCATATTCCTATGTGTCATGTTAGTCCAGGGAAGAAATTGTAGGCAGGGAAGACGGATTACGAACATGATGGCTTTGTCAAAATTCAGTACGTCTTCAGGTTGTTGCGTCAGCGTCCAGGAGAAGATGTGGAAAGCATCCTTCTTCTCATTTTCTTCCCCCACGATGTTTCGATTCTGCTTTAGTTTGGCTAACTGATCGCTCTTCATGTTGGCAAGGTTGTTGCTATTGCTGTATTCGTCGTAGAACGGAAAATTACGACCGGAGTAAAAACCCTGGCTTGCAAAGTCGCCCAGTGTTATACCTTCAGGTATCTGGGCGACCACGAGGACTGAAGCACGGTCGGTGATGAATTCTCCTAAGCGTTTATCAGAGAGATCAGTGGTGCCTGGGTTTTCGAGAATATAGCGGTCGTTGATGCTCTTTAGTGTGGTGAAGAGATCGTTCCATTGCGTTTGGGTAAGGTCTTTGTACTTGTTGTCTGTGTCGAGCGTGTGGCTTAAATTTATGATGACGAGCTCTTGGTAATCTGCTGTAAAGTCGTTGATCTGACGTATGATCTCTTCAAGCGTCTGCCCATTACCACCAAGCCAGATGTCGCCAACTTGGCCATAGTGACCGGCTACCCATTCCCCTCGAGAGAGCACTGGACGAAGGTCAAAATACCGCGATCCGGCCATTAGTTGTTGATAGAAATCTAGGTATTGTGTCTGGGTGTTCGCAAAGTGCGCACCGATGGTACCAGGTTTGAAGGTACCCATGCCTGCATCGTGAGAGCCCGGCATGCAGATGTGCTTCAAGGTTCTATTCGCCAACGAGCCCAGGCTCTGCTGCATCCAATCCGAATACGTACCGCTGTTCGACCACCAATTACCTGCTTCGTCCACAGACATGATCCAGTTGACTGCAGCGTTGTGCCGAAAGCCCAGGTCGATCTTTGCTCCTTGCGAACTCTGCTTCGTCGACATACCGTCCAAAGATATGGTGAGCTTGTAGTCTGAAGGCTTTCGACTCAATACTGTGAACTTGTCCGATGTTTCATCGATACTGTAGTAGGCCTCACCCGCATCGTCACGGGTGCTTCCTCTGGTCCCGAATTCCACATAGACTCTGGATGCTTGGCCTTTTTTAGTCAGTGGCGGTGTCGTTTCTAGTTCAGAATTGTTCATACCAGCGTTGATTGTTGGCCATATCCATGTGTCCATTTGATATGAGTGTTGGCTGTTTAAAATCCACCTGAACGGCGAACCGTTCACTAGAGTCAAATCTCCGCCTGTTGACACATAATCAGTTTCGTCACCTCTCACCACTCTCTATAGACCATTAGATCATGACTCACCCCAACCCATAATTGATGACCCTTCCAAGTCTTTTTCACTCGTCGACTTGTTGTAAGAGACTGACTGTAGTCTTTGCTGGTGTATGTGCTCTCCAGGCGCAGCGTAACCAGTACGATCGTCCTGAAATCCAGATCCTCGCACAACGCCATGCTGGGGAAGCAGCAGAATTAAAGCCAATCCTCCCCAGAGCCCAGAAAGCAGGCGCATAATGCCCAAAATTCCCAGGTTCTGCATTGTATTCTAGCGGCACCCTACTGGGTCGGCCCTCTCCGTCATTCCCGTGCTCGCGCCGCTGTCAGCCACTCAATCGAAGCTCGTGTTTATCCAGATGCACCCCGAATCCTTGCAGGGCTATCTGAGTTGTTGTAGACGGGTAGTCGCTTTATAGATACAGCCGAGGATTGGTCGTGTTTTGCCGTCACTTTCCTGATTGGGCGAGCTTTGTTGTTTCACCTTTACACCCACTCCGCCAATAAAGACTCCGATAGCCTCAAAGAGTAGATACCAAGGTGTTGATTGCGCTTAGCGGCATCCAATACCTATGCGCAAGAGTATAAAGACAACGTAAAGCGTAGCGCAGCGCAGATCCAGATGGCTAGGGGGTCTTGAGGCTTGGTGCTGTTTGCCGCATCGTTACGCCGGTAATTGCCCCGAGCGTCGCGTCACGTCGCGTCTACAACGTTATTAGGAACAAGAAAATTAAGGAAATATGAGCTTCTCCCTATAAGATCACGCATACACCAGGAAAAAGCCGGAAAATCCTAAGAACTCTTTCTTAAAGATAGAACAGGAAGGAGCATCGGAGATCCACAAATTGACCACATTCTAGGCGGTCAAACATTATTTGCCGTAGATGCATGTTTGAAGTGCATGTTCCATCTATATTCACGAAAGCACGACATGACAGCTCACCTGTCAACAGTAATCATCCAACCATCGCCTAGTACACTACCGTTCATGTCAACACCACCCCACACTACACATGTCGCTCCATCAACCTCTGTACCCTTGGCGATACCGAAATGTCCTCTTGCCCCGAGACCCCTCTTTGGTTTTCCTGGTATCTCCTTCTCTTCTTCGCCCTTTGTGTCTACGTACCGGTATACTACCTCGGCCCACTGCGACTCATGCGTGTCCCTCTTCATACCGGAGCGGATAGCGTCCTTGGTGGCTGCAGCCGTGTATCGCTCAGGTGCAAGTTGCAACGCCCATATATCGTCAAGATAGCTCCCATCCTCAGTTTCTCCGCCGACAGCTAGCAGGTAGTGTCGCCCTTGGCCTGTCGTGACGCCTACAAGTCCTGCGTCCGCCCGCGCCTGTGGTGCTGTAGCAGTACTACCTTGGCTGTCCGTGTGCTTCACTTCTTCCCAGCTCCAGCCACTCGCGACCGGTGTAGTTCCGCGTTCTGCATGCGTCCATACATGTGATGCGTCCACGTACTCAGTCGCACCTGAGGCAAACGTCTCGATGCCCTTGCCACCAAATCGATATAGGCGACTGCCAACGAGTGCTAAGCCTGCGCCTTCTCGGGGCTGCCCTGTTGGAGAAGGTATATTGGTCCATGTTCTCGTCTTGACGTCAAATGCAAGCGCATCATTTGCAAGGTCATTGCTCGAAGTATCGCGACCTCCGACTACGAAGATGGTCCCGTATGAATTAGCTTCCGGCGGCTCAGGAACATTCTTTGCGGGGTCAGCAGGTGCTTGTGGTGCCTTCTCGACATATGTCGTTGTCTTCGGGCCTGGCAGATCTGAACTCGCCGAAGCATGACCAGCTCGCTGGCTGGGATAGAGCGTGCCTTCCGCTGGATCAAGGTAAGACCAGGTGTTCGATACTGTATCATAAACCCAAACCCGCCCCTTCTCGTTTGCTACACTTTCTCCTTCGCCGCCAAACACGTATATGCTATCTCCTATCACCGTAGCCGTATGTCCTTTTCTCGAGTTCGGTACGTCGTCCAGACCGTTTGTCGCGCGAGCGGGATACTTGGTGTAGTCAGCATCGAGAACGCCGCTCGACGGTAGAATGACAATGTGCATGTCATTGTCTGCGAGCTTGCCAGCCTCGGTCTCTCCTCCAAAGATATATGCGCGACCTTTGACTACTGAGACAGTGTGGTGCGAGCGAGCGAGGGGAACCGAAGATATACGCGTAAGATTTGCCTTGATGGGCAGTGTCGGATGAGTAATGCCCTTTACGAGGGCGACGGCACCCTCGAGTAGATTCTCGGCTGCGTAGAGCACACCAGCGGCTCCGGCCTCCATTGTTGCTGGCAAGAGTGTCGTATGTGTTAAGGCAAGAAATGCAGGGTTTCGGTCAAAAGGTTACGAGGCAACTCTATTAATCGTTTAAATGAATTGGGTGTAAGACGTATTGTACATGAGAAGAGTGATGTTGTATGGCATAGCTGCGAAGCTTACCCCAGGCGTGACGTCATGGCACAAGACCCCTGCCGCCTTGACGCGTCCCTCCACGGTAAGCGGGTGTTTAAAACCGTGGAATGACAGTGCAGCGCCTCGGCTTCCAAACGCATAGCAAGACAGATGGCTTGTGATATACATGTTTCTATACGGACGTGACGGTGCCTTTAATGTGTAAAGACTTCCACAAGGTAGTGTTTCTGCCTGTGAGCTGGATGTATGAGACGGCTTGCGTCTTTCAGAGAAACCAATTATGGTGTCTTTCACAATAGCTGAAAGTTTGAATAACACAGAGTATCTCATGCGGTAGTATGCATGAGTCAATTATATATTCGGGGAAAGCTGGTCGGACTTGACACATCGTTCGACCTGAGTGTTTGTTAGTATCGCAGTGCAACACGAGTGTAGTTTGCCATACCGTATCAATCGAGGCTTGCAAGAAGCTGCGTGCCTCAAGACCGACCCAGACCTTGAGCATCGAAAAGTCGCCTCCACGAATCATCGAAGAGCCACTTTGCGTGCCGAGTTGTCGAAGTATTGGCAGAGCACTGACGATGTTAGTAGATGACCCTCTGTACTATGCTGTATGACCTACCCTGCAAAGAGATCCAGGTTTGGGTTCAAACTCCTTCCAATACCCTCTAGGAGGAGGATACTAAGAACAACGTTTACAAAGTCGCCTTCAAGCCGTACATGATGCGTTCGCACCATAGAGAGAACCTCGTTAAGGATATCTCCAATCTTGATGTTGCCAAGAGCAAAAGTACGGCTCTTGACTCCCAAGACCAAATGTTGCATGCGCAAAGCAAAGACTTCTCCGTCGAGTACTGCATCTGGTTGTCTGCATCTCTCTACCATCAGATGTCCTGCCTTGTAACCATCAAACTCGGCAACAGCCTTGAAGAGATCCAGAAAATTGGCGCGATTCTTTCCATTGAGTTCCGTTACCAAACCCGTATCGATGAAGATGAGCTGTGGTCGATATCCTTCGTTATCGATCTCCTGTAGCTTCGCTTTCCACTGCTGGGGATCTTTCTTGTGTGGTCGCAGACGCTCAAGTACCTCTTCGGTAACATCGAGCGACTCTTTGGGGCCGGTCCTTCGATCTTCCTTTCTGGCGAAGATTGAGACGTCTAGCTGCTCGGGCTTGTAAAACCGCACCATTATGTTTCCCGGATGTAGGTCGGCATGGATAAAGTTGTCGATAAGGACCATGGTAAGAAAGGCATCCAAGCCTTCATCTGCAATGTCCTTTTGAAATACTCCACCTCCATTTTGTAGAAAGTCTTCCATAGGAATACCCTGGGCGAATTCCTCGATCAACACGTTGCGCGTAGTGTATTCCGTGTAAGGATAAGGGAACCAGGCTGTGGTTCGATCTTTGAAGTTTCGTCGGAAGAGGGTGAGGTTCGCGGCTTCGATGCGTAGATCTAATTGCAGTCTCATCATCTCACCAAACTGTTCCACTTCATCGGGAAACGACAACCACTCCATGGTGGGTATGGCGTTGATAACAGCCGCGAAGAAACCCATTATACGCAAGTCTCTCCGGACTATCTTCTCGATGTTGGGATGGAGAACCTTGATGGCAACATGACTAGATGGCACTCTCGAGGGTGAGCTCTTCAGCGTCACGTCGACGTTCTTCTTGATCCGACGCGCTAGATTGGCTTCTTTTCGATCGATCGAGTTGTCCTCTAGCGTGGCAAGGTGTGGCTTCAGCTTTGCCTTGTACACCTGCGCGATGGCGCCCACACCCAGTGGTTTCTCGTCAAACTCCTCGAAAATATCGTCGAAGCTCTGTCCGTCAAATGCCGCCTCGATTGTTCGCTTCGAGGTTTGCAGTGTGTGCGCCGGGGCGTTGGAGTGGAGGGTTGACATAATGAGACACATCTCGGTCGGAAAGACGTCTGTTCGGGAGGCTGCCCATTGCCCAAGCTGGTAAGAGGATTAGTCTGCAGTCGATGGGCCATGTTCTGGTGTAGCAATACGCACCTTGATGAAGGCAGCACCAGCCCTCTCCATGGATCCGACCAGGAAGCCATACCACCACAGTGTCCCGCTCCGCTCGTTGTCCCTATCCGGCTGCCGTGATCCAAGCCATATCGCAGGTATCGTCACTATGACTGGCACGAAGATGATGATGAGATGGAGAAAGCGGAATCCGGTAGCTATGGGCTCGATGATGTAGTCGTCGATGAGGAAGTATATGCCTCGCCTGTACTTGGAAGAGTTCCTCAGCGCATGGGGCACCTGCTCATTCAGTTCCTTCCGCGACGCCTCCAGCATGGCCTCCTCGTGCGTCTTCTCTCCATGATCCGACTCGTCGTTGGCGACCTGGACAAATGCGAGTGGGCTGAGTATCGCGCCCCCCGCAGCCCCCGTTGCTGCGCCTGACCATAGCAGCGTTCGGCCCTTGAACTTTGGAGTCGCGAATTGTCGGCCGAGGCGAGATGCCTTGCTGGTCCATGGACGCGTGCATGCGCGGGCGGCGAGTTTAGGGAGGCCTGGGCGGAAGCATTGGCGACCAAAAAGGAACGCTGTCCTCATGGTACCGGGTGTTTGGTGGATACAACGCGTCTGACTTCCATGGAGCAATGTAGCGAGCGATGCTCGACCTCAGCCAGGTTGCAAGCGTGGGTCGTGACGTCGGTCGGCGCAAATTCCATGTGACACCGATCGTCATCCGCCCACCACCGCTCCTCCGCGGCCACCAACAAGCCTACCCCTCTCCTCCCACTACGCCGGACATGACCTCGCATACCCCCACGCGCGGACCATCCTCCTCATGCAAGCTATACCCAGACGGAACCATGGTCTCCAACGAGAAGGACTACAATTGTATAATCTCAGCTTCTTCTTCTTGCACACTGGAACAAGAGATTGTAGAGCTGCATAACAGAAAGATGAATATAGTTAATTACAACAGATAATAGCCCTATTCCTCGGCAATGGATATCTACGCAGTAACGAAACCCTCAAAGCCCTTATCCAGCACACTCCGCGTCATCTCACTGTACAATGGGAACCCGCCCGCAAAGTTCAACTGCTCTCGAAGCTTGCCAGGAATGTTGTCGCCCATGTACCACGACTTGGTCTGCGGGAATAGTGTCTTATCGGAAAGCTCGGTGATTTTCTCTCGCCATTCCTTCTCTGCTTCGTGTGTGGCGTCGCAGTAGTTGATACCTTGCTCTCGGAGCTTAACCATGGCATCCACGATCCAGTCTCCCTGGACCTCAACGCACGTGGGTCCGTTGGAAAACGCCGTCGGACCCTGGGCGCCATAGAGGAAGAAGCAGTTGCTACGATCCAGTCAGTATCTCCAATAAGCTGGCTGTGTTTGGCAACTTACGGGAACCCGCTCAAACTCATACCCAGGTACGAGTAAGTACCGTTTTTCCATTTTTCAGACAGTTCAACACCGTCAACATCCTTAAGTCCCATGTTCTTCATTCCACCAGTCACTGAGTCGAAGCCGGTTGCGAGGGCGATGACATCAAACTCGTGAAGCGTACCGTCGGATAGCACAATGCCCTTCTCTGTAACTTCCTTGATCGGATTCTTGTTCACATCGACAACCTTGTTCTCGGGCTTGTCGAGCATCTCATAATAGTTTTGTTCCAGACTTGGTCGCTTGGTGCCAAATGCGTGCGGGGGCTCCAGAGGCGCAAGAATCTCACGCTTCTCTGGATCTGTTATCCGGGCACGCGTCTTTTTGGCCCAGAAGTTGTAGGCTTCGCGATTGGCCTTGTTATCAAATAACAAGTCCTTGTAGTTTGCCTGCAGATATGTAAGTTTCTACCGACATCCGAGCTTGACGTGTGTATCTTACCAGCCAGAACTCAAAACCACCGTTCTCCCACATCTTCTCGTAGAACGCTTCGCGCTCCTCAGGCGAGTCGTCAAATGTGTTCTTCTCAATGTAATCGTACTGGAAGCCAGCGAACGTTGTCAGCCTTCTCTTGAAGATCTCCTGATATTCTCCTTGTTTCCGCTTGTCCTGCTCCTCTTTGGTCAGAGGCTTTTGCTGCATAGGCAGGCAAAGGTTCGGCGTTCGAACGAATTGCGTTATACTTGCGGCCGTTTTCGAAGTCTCTTGGGCGATTTGGACACCGGTCGACCCAGTTCCAATGACGGCAACACGCTTGCCCGTGACATCTACTCCAGATGCAGGCCAGAATGAGCTGTGATGGATCTCTCCCTCGAATTTGTCCATACCTGGCCAATCGGGAAAGTGGCGCTTTGCCGCGAAACCTAGGGCCAAGAGGAAATATTTGCAGCGCGCTGTGCGACCGTCTTCTGTCTTCACCACCCACTTCGACGAAGGCTTGTCGAATTGTGCGCCGACAACCCTGGTGTTGAATGCGCAATCCTTCTTAATATCCAACTTTCTCTCGACGTGGTCAAAGTACTTTTGGAGCTCTTCCGTACCGGGATATCTGCACGACCAGTTCCAATCCTAACAAACAAATGTCAGTCTTGACAAAAGGAGATTGGTCAAATATCCGGCTTACCTGCCAGATCTCAGGCATGCTGTACTCATAGATAGGAACCTGAGAATCGACTCGAGCTCCAGGATAGCAGTTCCAATGCCATATACCACCAATGTTGGTACCAGCCTCCATAATCTTGCATTTGAAACCCTGTTGGCGAAGCTTGTGCATTAGGTAGATGCCGCCGAAGCCAGCACCTACGATCAACACATCAGTCTCGAGCTCTTTTGCATAGTTCTCGTTATTTGGATCCGCCGCTTCATTCGTCGCGCCAATATCTGTCCGGAAGTGGACCATCGTGAAGATAGAGTTTTTGAAAAGAGGGAAGATTGAGAAATCAAAGGGTGCTGTCGATCTCACTGATGGGCACGGTATGGGCGACGCGCTATCTTTATATACGTTGACCTACAAGATACCCCTCCCACGCGAATCCTGCATGATCGTCACGCTACTCGCGATCCTGCAACGATTTTGTGCCCGACAACCAGGGCGAATTGTGTTTCGTCCATGGATGCCGCTATACTCGAATCATCTTTCGAGACTCTGTCGATCTTCTCTAGTATCCCATCTGGCCGGACGTGTAAAGGGGTCGGATATGTCACGGGTTAGGACATGAGACTGACAATCTGGATGTGCCTGGATGCGGAAACACTCCGTGGTTACGCCACGCACACACATGCGACCGTGACGGTTGCTCTCCGAACGTCTAGTTTGCGGGGTAGCTGGATCTACCCCGGTACCCCGCATAACACCGTTCTATCGAGGCGAAGATGGTGCCGAGCGACACTCCGGCTTGCCGTTTCCAGCATTTCCGATACAACGACTGTCAACCTGCTCGAGATTCTTTCCTATCAAGAGACACAATGACGATCTTGTCGCTCATACGGATGCGTTTGCAACAGCAATGCTTCCCCAGATCATTCTCAACGGGCACTATCTAATATACAAATACCCGCTGCGTCAATAACTCGTGTTCAAAATCGTATGCATGCAGGCTTCTAGGACGATTGCTATGTACTACTTCGTGTCACATGAGACAAACTAAGTTTGACGATCCGATCGCCGCCTAGCCATTTTAGTAGTCGATGGGAATTTGGCTGTCTCCAGCATGCGCATCTACGGAGCATACACACGCTGCCATCCGGCCCGAAGGATCATCTTTGCGGAACCGCATTCTACAATGGTCGAACAAGGATACTTATGCGGCTTTCCCTAGCTGTCTGGGGAGCTTATAGGACTGGATGAAAGGAGGCCCAGCCCTTCTGAAAATGGCATCCCTTTCCACTCGTACGAATTTAGCAGAGTTGGTGGCAGTCATGAAGCATCGACGAGCTGGATGGAGCATCTGGAAACTGGCTTACCACAACTCACAACAAAATGGCAAGAGCTTGGTCAGACCTAGCATGGTCATGTGGCTGATACGCGAAGGAACGACTCTAATCGACTCGGTCAAGAGATGACGTGGACTAAGATCTCCACTTCGCTAATAACTTGCCGTGCTATCTTCGCTACGATTCGAGCGGACAGCGATTGACCGATCCGTCCGTTGTTCGCGTAAACGCAACGTCGGTACACGTAGTCACAGCCCTGCTCCCGCGATGCTTCTCCGATGTGGTGGATAGTACCGATCGGAATGGCAGAATACTTCGAGTGGATTTGCATGGCCATTATGCATCCTGTGGCAAATCCCCCAAAGTCCCTCCAAATACCTTTACGTCTATGATGTCGAAACACCTTTTTGAACATTCCAGCTTTTGGGGCGTCTAATTCGTTATATTTTGGCAGAGTATCTCTACAGACCCAAGCCCGCCCAGAACTATACTGACTGTCTTAGCCCGAACTCGAAGGACCTTTTATTACCAAAACACTGGATCGATCTCATGTCCCTCTACTCTCACCATCTAACTCCTGGGGATCCGGGTTCGGCATCTCTGCTGCGATTTGCCCTTTGTCGCTGACCTCATGACATGTACCTGCCTTTGATGCGTCCACCGTGGAGGCGTCTACTTCGTAAACATCGAATCTACTGTGCTGCTTCTTGTTCTTATGACGACGGAACAAAAAGAAGGCCACAGAAGCTGAGGCTAGGACGACGACCGGAACGGCAACGCCTGCGGCTATGGCAACCGTGCGGTTGTTCTTAGGAGTAGAAGCCTGCTCGGTCGCTTCCGTTGGCTGAGGTGATGATACCGGTGTTGTGGGGGTAGATGTTGCTGACCGTGGCGTCGATGCTGGAGAAGCAAACGTAGATGACAGTAATGATGTTGTCGATGGTATGGATGTTGTAGCAGCTCATCATCATGTTAGTTCGTCACCCTCCAAGTCAGAAACACCTCATTACTCACCAGTAATCTCGGCCAATTTAGACCCTCCAATCTCGCAATAACTACTGAAAACACCTAATGCAGTCGTGTTCTGTGAAGGATCGTCAGGACATTCGGTGGCGACATGAACACCAATCATGCTGGAGAACTTGGCAGAGCTCTCATAACAGACTAAAAAGGGGATAGATACAAGGTTAGACCATGTCTCACACGCATGTCGTATCCTATGATGGGAACTCACAACAAGTAAACGACTGGAACGCACCGTCGCCACCATCTCCACATCCGTACTTCATATCCCGCACAATGGTCGATAACTCGAGCTCTGCACATGTTGCCAGGAGAGCATATTCGTCAATTTGATCGATAAAGATACTCGTCGGTCCGCTGGTAGCCACGATGTTGGCCAAGGCTAGAACAAGAGCAAGAGCGAAAACGATTCTTATTCCGAACATTATATTGTCTGTTAGCGTATCTTTTCTTTTGCCGAGTAAAAAGATGAGAACCTTCTTCGCACCGGAGAGGCTATCGAAAGAGATGCGGAAAATGCTAAGTCGGAATCGAGCCGATGCGTTTTGTAGGCAGGGCAGACTCGAACAATGTGCGTCAAACCCTCCCGTTCTTCATTCTTCAGAAGCGGATTTGTTGCTGTGATAGCAAGCACACCTGCATGCGCATACCTGAATCGGCAGAGCTGAACTCCTATTGGCCCCCATGCGCAGATAAATGGGATTTGGCCTCAACATATGGGCAAGGCTGAGAAAATGTGCTGCATGTACAACGCCGGGCGAGGGACGCTGGTGGTCTGATAGTGACGGATAAGGCTCTGGCGTTCTTATTAATGTCCAGCGTTTACCAGGTTTGGCGAGTTCAAAGCCATCGATATTTGGGCTGCTTGTTGAGCCAATTGAGGTGAGTGGGATGGTGCGGAGGCGCCTGCAAGGCTGCATGCACGGTACTGCGGAATATCTAAACAAGTGCTTTCGCACCACTCTATCACAAGCAGCTGACAGAATCAGACTGGGCTACCCGGAGATTCTCGGTGATACATAAATAGTCGATCGATGATTTAAGTGGCTTGAGAGCCAATATGGCTAGGAAGGCTAGCCCCATACTTCTTACCATAGGTACAGACGTATTAGGTTATCTGCGACACCAGCAAGGTTGACTTGAATGGCCTTTATGGCGTATAAAAGCCTTCTCATGGTGACTGCGAGTGCCGTTATTGAGCACTGCTGTAAATAGCATCTGTTTCTTCTTTTTATAACCCTACTCGGGTGAACTGACCAACACCTGCAATATGCGCGGCCGTACGGTCTTTGCCGTCCTTGTCGGGTTAGTGGTAACAGCAGTCGAGGGTTTCGTACCAACGCGGAGACAAACATCGACATCCTTTGCAGGAAGTAACGAGTACTTTCTTCATGCGCTGTCTGCTTCCGAGCAAAAGACATACATCGAGACACTTGCTGGATGGGGGGCGAAGGTCATAAGGCTATGGGGTGAGCAAAGTCCTGATGATTTATCCCACAATGATACGACGTCTATGTACAACCAAAACCTCCTTCAAAGCCTTGATGAATATCTGCATAGGCAGACTGGAGGAAATAGTGAATCGGATGCTAACGATCGGTGTATAGTAACAAACATTGATGAAGGGTGCTTGAAAGGAAGCACGATCACCAATTCCATGCCGCCGCTCGAAACCTCCGTTGGCGTATTTGATACCACTGTGTTAGCTGAATTGGACGCTACGCTGAAGCTTCTCCACGACAACGGGATGAAAGCTATCATATCTCCTCATAACGCCAACTCACTAACTGGTGATGTAGCCTGTGATGCGTACTGCCAAAAATATACCGATGCATCTACCTTCTATTCATCGACCGAAGCCAAAGCAGACTACGACAAGCGACTAGAAAAGATCCTCAACTACCAGTCGCCAAACTTTGGCGAAGCCTGGAAAAGCCTGAATCAGGTGATTATGGCTTTCGACCTCCAGAACGAGCCTCTGATCAAACAGCTCGACAAGTTGAACAACAATGACCCGGATGACTGGCTATGTGGTCGTGCTGGAGTGATGCGTAATGCACTTGGATCGTCTAATATCAAGATCGCCACAGGCGGTATTGGCGGATCTCACTATTGCTGTGACCACGAGTTCAATACGCTGGAGAAGGCCATGCAATGCGATGCAATCGACATCATCAGTATGCATGGATACATGAGTAAGGCATCCGACTGGGCCTACTACATTACCGGCGACAAGGAAGTTTTGAGCGGAGCAAGAGCTGCAGGAAAGAACATCATGATGGAAGAGTGGGGCGTTTCGACTGACTTCCAGGATTCTTTCGACACTCAGGCCCAAATATTCAATGATGCTGGAGTTCCTTGGGTAAGCATGAGAGCTGTACATATTCGGAAAAAGGCATGCTAATGTACAATGAAGCTTTATTGGCAGTTCGTCCCTGGCTTAGACGGTTCTGAGCCAGGAGCGCCGACCGGTTGCGGTTACGATGGTTTTGAGATTGGATTGGACAGCCCTAAGGGTGATGCTGCTGGCGCAATTGCTGCAGCAAACGCGGCTACAGCGGCACAAAGTTGGGCAAATTATCTGAGATAAGCCAATCGGGCCAATATTTGCCTTCTGTGTCTTTGCAGTCGCAATTTCTCGTATCGCAAGTGCGATTTCCGATATGTCATGAAGGATTCAGCAATAAATCAGGCAGAAAAGAGCAACTTACTCCAGCCATCTCGATACTGTACTAACTGCCTCACAAACAAAAAAAAGATTCATGAAACTGCTTAGAGTGTGAGGACTAGGCGCCTTGGACAATGAGGAGCTTGGAGTGGTTTTGGTAAACGGTAATAGGCTGCCTCGCCAGATCCCGACCAATTAATAAGAATTTGTTGATACTAGGAGACTCGCCCAACCTATCAATAATGCCTCATCTTCTTCTTACTCCGTCTCTACGTCTAGCGCCGGCGGCGGTAAGCCCGTTGGACTGATTTCCTTATCAAGCGCCAAGCGTTCCGGACTTACAATCTCTCCTGGGCTTATTATTTCGCCCTTCTCATTTGCAATAGGTATGTGTGACGCGTCTTCATCTCGCTCGTCTGATCGACCTCGCTCTTCACTCTCGGTCATGTTGTGCTCTTTCCCATTCCCGTTGGTGCTACGCTCGAAAGCCTCAGGAACCTTTTCGCTGAGGTCGATGGCGACGAAGGATTTCGGGAGTTTGACGCTGGAAATCGTTAGTGCAAGCTTCTGAAGCATTTGATAGCTATGAGAGACACTTACGTATGGAACTTTGCGCGAAGAGTCTCGAGGACTTCTTTCCAATCTTGGTGGAGAGTGAGGCTGCGACGAGGCGCGAAGCCAATCATATGGCGTGAGTCCAATTGTCTATTCACGTTAGTAGCTACCGAGGTATATAAGGCAGAAAGCGTGACTTACACATCAAGTGGAGCGAAGGCATGACAGCCTGGCGATAACGTGATGCGAATACTATAGTTGAAGGTGTGCGGCTTATCATCGATACTAGCATTCTCCGACTCGTAGAGCTCGAAATTTATCTGCGACAAGTAATCGAGCTCTGGAATAGCATTGCGTTCGATCTTGGTCTTGATACCGCCCTCCAGAATGCAGTTGAGCAATGTGTAGATGTGTGATTCCTTGGTGAAGTAGAAGAAGCTCTTCGGCATGTCGGACGCCTGGAGCTCTTCCAGGTCTCCAACAATCTCTTTGAGTAGTGGAAGCGATGTAAGTAGGCCAATCTCTAGCTTCTCCTCGCTCTCGATGCCGTATTCCTGTGGTCCGATGTAGTCGAACAAGACCTTGCAGAGGTGGTACATCTCACGTAACTTGACAAGTCGCGCATCAGTCTGTGCCTTGGACGTCGCGGTCCCGAGACCAGAATACAGCTTGAAGTACGACTCGTGTACATACGATGGGGGCGCAGGAGCTTTGACGGTAAGCTCAGACTTGCGCCTGAAACCCATGCGATGGGACAGGCTACCGCGCTCATGGGTCTTTTCCGTGCTCTGTTCTTTCTCCTTCGCCTCCGCCTTCAACTGAGCTTCTGATGGACTCGGGCCAACTGGTATCGACTTCCCGGAACTGTTGTCAGGCGTAGTCTGCTTTGACCCGTCCGCAACTGAGTCTTCATCGACAAAGCTGGCATCGGGCGTAAATACCCATTCAAGGAAGGCGCGGTTGTGTAGGGCGTCGAACTTCATCGTGTCGTAAAGCTCAGATATTTTGCTTGGGTCGACTTTATCAGCGTCTCCAAACTCCTTGAACAACTTCTCCCACCGTTCTTTGAAAAGTTCAGGGCCTTCATTACAGCACCAGCGCGATTGAATGTGGTTAACATTGGTGTACTGGGATTGCCCTGACGATTGTGCCCCGCCTGGTGGAGATGCTAGTGCAGCTAGCGACGAGATCGCTTCGGATTCGATCTTCTTGAAGTTGTGGTTCATAACGCGCTGATGGAACTTCATCAGATCCACCACTTGCCGAACGACAATGTAGGGCTCTGGTACATCTTTCGGCCACGCGAACTGAGGTGGAGCTTTGTCGCCCGCGCGTAGCAAAGTCTTGAGCTTCTTCTTGACCTTGTCCATGACATCCTTTGCCGCGTTCGAGTCGTCTAGAAGATCCTTGCGAACTGAGATGTGCTCAGATTGGTATTGTTCCTTTTCCAGGAATGACGCTCCAAATATCTGTGCACTGGTGGTCACTCGTCGCTCCGAGCTGCTGAAGATATGAACATCGTCTAATACATCGCGATTCATCAACAAGAGGTCGTTGCGGAAGTTCGCACCCATGTCCTGTGTTTGGTGTCGAGCGGAGTGAGTAGGTTCACCTCCCCACTTAATAATCAGTTGTAGTTTGTCCAGTACCATGTTGTTATCTTGCGCGGTGATACGAGACAAGGTAACACCAGACATGGAGTCACTCCTGTTCTTAAGTGGCTCGGGTCCGCCTTCTTCGCCAGTAGCCTCGGTCGTCTCCTTGGCATCAGCAGTTGGCTCAGGCTTTTGTGCCTCAGGAGTTTCTTCGGGTAAAGTCTCTCCTGGTAGCAGCTCTTCCTTTCTTCGCTTCCGGAACATAGGCTTGATCTGCACTTTTGTTCCAGGCCAAGCGCCCTTCTTATTCAGATACAATTGCAGCTCACGCAGCTTCTTGGAGTCTTCCAGGCCTTCGTCCATAGCCAACTTGACGGCATCGCTCACACTTTGCAATGCTACCTCTCCAATCAGTAGCACTTCTGCCTGGTGACCTTTGAGTAGATCGACGAATGGCTTGGAATGGAAAGTGTACTTGAACTTCTGCTTCGGAGTGCGATCCGCATGTCGAATGACAGACACAACACCTTTGAGCTTCCACTGCGCCGCCGTTGCTGGAGGGGGTACCTCTAGATGATCTTCTGACATTGACCTTTCTGGTTCGAGTTCCAGATCGTCTTCTTCGAACGCAGACGGAAGTGTGATATCAGGCTCGGACGCCGGGCCATCTGGTGTTGAAGTAGAAGTAAAGGCTGTTGGGCTCAGAACTGTAGCAGGATTGGGTTTTTCGAAACTAGGTGAGGATGCGATAGGGGTAGAACTGAGTGATGTGTCGGGTGACGAGGGCATAGTGTTGGATTGCCGCATATGATGGAGGTTGTGCGCATGATTTCCCATTCTCGACATGCTGGGACTCTTGAAAAGTTTCCCAAGAGTCTTACGATGGTTTGAAGCACCCTTTCCAGGAATGTCTGTACCAGCTTGTGCGTCCGCAGCAGCATGTTGAGCGGCATCTTTGCGTTGTTTCCGCGCGATCTCTTTCAGGAACATGTCTTTTAGGATGTTGGCCGCCTTGTCGTAATAATCGCCGTTGTCCTTCACAAAGCTCCACCCATTGACATCGATAACGTAGCTCTGGTCTCCAGTGCGGAGCAGATCAAATCCGCACACCCGCTGGCCAAATCCTTCTGAAATCTTTGCTGCAATAGCGGCCTCTGACTCGCTCAGTTTCGTGACATATCGGACTTCCTTGCCGCTAGGGTTGCGCTTAACAAGACCATCAACTACTGGTGACTTTCTTGTCTCGGCATGGCAGAAGTTTGGTCCAACGGTATAGGCTTTGACGTCTTCAGAATTCTCCACTTGCAGAAATTGCTCGTAAATGTAACTGCCTGTTGGTTCGAGTATGGCCCTCGGTACGTCGAGAGTTTCATCCTTTTCCGAGCTCTTGTTGTTGATCTTCCTGAACAATCTGCGGCCCCCGCCGCCATCCTTCTTGTGGAAGTAGATGTGGATGTTGTGGTCTTCACCACTCACTGGCTTCTCTACGAATGGCTTTGTGAGGGTAACGCCATCAACGCGGATGGTGTTGTTATCGTCGATGAGTTCAATGTTCTTCGGAGCCTGGAAGCCTCCACCAGTGCCGTCTTCAGGTCCTTCCAGCTTCAGACCTGTCCTCTCGTACAAGGCTTTGGCGAATTCAGCCGACGGTAGCTTCGGTCCGCCATCTCGACTGACGTCGATGCGCTTTGGCGTAGGAACGCTGAGCTTGTCCAGTATACCAAGACACAGGCGGCGATCCCACAGCACCTGTTGCATGGGCAGGTCGTTTACGCAGAAGGGCTTGCGCAGTCGGGTGTAGGCAATGGCCTTGTCCAGGGGGAAGCCATCGGAGAAGAAGGAGATGAGGAAGTCGCACACTGGCCAGTTCTCCACGGCTTCGTCGAGGATGATCTTGTCGCCAAAGATCTTGACCTCGAACTCGTCGACCAACTTGCCAAAGATGTTGCGCGCAGGCTTACTGCGAGCTTTGGACTCGAGTGCGCATACGCCAATGATGCCTTTTGTCGGCTTCTTCTCCCTCATTTCTCGGCTAGCCGGGCTGCTGCTCGTAGCCGTGCTTCCGCTGATGCGCCTCTGGGCCGTCCGGCTGCGTGAGCGACGGGGCTGGGTTGACAGAGGCGGCTGGCTGGTGTGGGGAGACGCGGGGTGGACTGGGGCGGCGCTGGGGCTCGCGGACTGATTGCTGGCGGCTTGGTCTTGGGGAAACAGCAATTGCGTAGGCGAGGCTTTTGTGCCGAGACTGCCATTCTGGCTCGAGGTAGTGACGGACAGCGACGAGGTGGCCGTCGTGGTGCCGTGTGGGTTCTCCATCCTTGCTGTGCAGAGTGGGTGGGTCAGTCAATGGCCGCCATGTGCATGTGAAAAAGCTACGAGGCCGTGTCGGCCCATGACGTACGTACCTTCCGGTTCAGAGCCCGCTACCGAACTTTTTCCACTCCAACTGTAGCCCCGATTGGAGATGGCAGACACAAACGAGGAGATGGACAGTCGCTTCGACTCTGTCGCTGCTGCAGTGCCGACGTCAGCTCGCGCATGTCGGAAGGAATCCGGCAGCAGCAGAGGATTTACTGGGGCGCTTGCAAGACTTCCCCGGGTGCTCTCTAGCGTTGGCGTCGCTTGATCCGAGTCGTCGACAGCAGAGCCAGACCAGGCATGTCCAAAATACTCAAAGAGACTGCTATCCGATGCCTTGGAGGGGCGGCGCGCGGGCAGGCTCTGTCGAATCGCCGCGCGACCAAGCGAAGGGACTGACACACTGGGACGCTCTACGTTGTCTCCGCCAGTCTCGGGTTCGCTCGATCTTGCCTTGCGACCTGCTGCTGATGCGCCGCTCGCACTCGAGAGTTGTTGCCATGACCGTGTGCTCTCAGAACTCACTGTACGGGAGAGTGACTGCTCCATGCTACCACGCCTTGGACCCGTGCGTCGCGGGGTTAATTGGACAGGGTCGCGAGATGGCTGGCACAATCGACGTTCGGCGACAGTATCCTCACGGCTTCCTCATGTCTTCGGGTGCGCAGTAGAAGATGATTCTCTAGGCAAGAAGGAATTCGAAACAGCAATTCACAGACGGTACGTCACTCAGCGCAACTTGGCAGCATGGTCCAACCCCATGATCTCAATGGACAGACTTGTGCGCCGCATGCATATGCTGTGCCGTTTCGAGCTCTAGATGTCCACTCTCGGGCTGCAGCGAGTCTACATGTGCGCCACGTGTTGCACATCACATCGGAACGGGTCTCGCCCGGCGTGACTTGTAGCTAGGCTTCTGGCATGCTTGGAGAGCACGTACTGATGCCTTGAGACATTGTAGATACAGGTCGAAATGTTTCCCACAAGTGTTCAATGGTCAAGGGCACGTTGCTACAGATGCATACGTGCGCTGTACATTGGAAGAAGGATGGCGAGGTTGCGTCGAAGCCTACTACTGCCATTTGTGCTATGCATAGCGGGAAACGGACCCTGACGCTGGGTCGATCACTTGGCGTCGATCTTATCTAATCTAATCTCAATCTGATCTAATCTCATTTCCCAAATTTTTGGTCGCGCCGTCCGAGGTTGCGAGAACACCAGTCCATGCATGCGCTCTAGTCCTTCTTCCCCAAAACACACATAACATGGCAGGTCCAAAGGTACAGGAAAGTACCGGCAGTGGTCCCGTGACTAAACGCCAGAAGACACAGAGCAATGGCGAAACGAGCTCTGCGTCGCTGGTCCGCCAGTCTAAGATATTTGCGCCGTTCCGAGTAAGCTCCAACGACGCCATCACATACTTGCGCACCGCTGACTCCATGGCAGACTGTTGGTCTAGTGTCGCCTACAGGCGTTCCCTTTACTACACTTCCCCTCGGCAAGACTACCTTCCAAATCACAACCTCCGTCGGCCGCTCTCTCCAAACCTACGATCTCAAGCGCGGACTCAACCTTGTCTTTATAACTCGACCGCAGACACCCGAGGATATCACTGCGACTGTGGCATGGAAGAAGGTCGTATTTGCAGCCTGGTCAAGTCCCAAGTCGAAAACCCAGGCTGGCGTGTGGGTGTTTCAGCGCGGAAAAAAGACTGCAGAGTTGGAGCTACCACGCGGCGGCATACAGCGCATCACAAGGCTAGTAGTCCTGGGAGAATGGATTGTAGGATGTGGCAAGACCGAAATCGAGATCTGGAGGACAGCTACCTTGGAGCACTACACGACCCTACAGGGCGCCTCTTCCAGTGCGCTCTCTGGCTGCATCTGCAACATGCCTACCTACTTGAACAAGATATTCGTGGGCCGAGCCGATGGGTCTGTTGAGATTTGGAACATCAGCACCGGAAAGCTGCTTTACACACTCCTCCCACCAGCAGCAGACTTTGGCGCTGTAACTGCACTACAGCCGACGCCCGCTTTGTCGCTCCTCGCTATCGCATACCAATCAGGTCCAATCACGATACACGATATCCGTGCAGACAAAGAGATCATGCGCCTGAACACGGGTGGCTCGCGGAAACCCTCAGTGACTTCCATCTCCTTCAGGACCGACGGACTGGGTGCCGGCGACGATGGTCGCGAAGACGGTGTCATGGCAACAGCTAGTCATGAAAGCGGCGACATCACCTTCTGGGACCTCAACAAAGGTGGTCGTAAAACTGGTACCCTCCGAGGGGCTCATGGGCCGCCTCCATCTGCGAGCGGAGGTGTCGGTGGTGGTATCAGTAAGATTGAATTCCTCGCGGGGCAGGCGGTCATTGTATCGAGTGGCTTGGACAACTCGTTGAAGAGCTGGATTTTTGACGAAACACCCTTCTCACCCCTACCGCGCATTCTGCATTCTCGCGGCGGTCATGCTGCACCAGTCTCAACTCTCCGCTTCCTTCCTTCCAACTCGGACGGCTCTGATGATGTCGGCAAATGGCTTCTCAGCGCTAGCAAAGACCGAAGTCTCTGGGGCTGGAGCTTGCGACGAGATGGACAAAGCACAGAGCTTAGCCAGGGTGCTATCCAGAGGAAAGCAAAGAAGATGGGGCTGCTCAATGGAAATTCCGAGGCGTCCAAACATCATGTCAAGTTGGAAGATTTGAAAGCTCCAGCAATCACCTGCATGGCTTGTTCTCTCAATCGCGACGGTGGCATGGGTGCGATGCCTGGCGTAGCGGGTATATGGAATAACTCATCCAAGGTCAAGGGGCAGGATAAGAAAGCTATAGAAGTTAACATGACTGGATGGGAGAGCATCGTCACAGGGCACGCTGGTGACAAGACTGCAAGAACCTGGTTCTGGGGCCGTAAACGGGCCGGCCGATGGGCTTTCGACACAGGCGATGGTACAGAAGTCAAGAGTGTTGCAATCTCGTCTTGCGGCACGTTTGCCGTGATCGGATCTGCAGGTGGCTCCATTGATATGTACAACCTTCAATCTGGCCAATTCCGACGCAGGTTCCCAGCTCGACTCACTCCAGTGGAAGCAAAACAGCACAAACTTCGACAATTACAGGCCGAAGAGGCTCTAGAGTTTGCGGATGATGCACCTCGGAAGTTTGCAAAGGGAGAAGGCAAGCACAAAGGAGCCATCACTGGTCTCGCTGTAGACGCTCTCAATCGCACGCTTTTAAGTTGTTCCGACGATGGCAAAGTCAAGGTAAGTCAAACGTCCGTCTTTCTCATCCACCAGCGACTGACGCATATTGTAGTTCTGGGATTTTGCTACGGGCATCCTACTTCACGAGATTGATTGGTACCCTATGACGAAGATCAATGGTCTGCGCTACCACCGGAACAGTGATCTGATAGCACTAAGCTGTGACGATGGCTCGATCCGCGTATTGGACATCACAACCAAGAAACTCATTCGAGAATTATGGGCATCCCAATCCCATGTTGCACTGCAAACCCTCGATTACACCTTTTCGAGTGACGGCCGATGGATCATTTCTGCTGCCTCAGACTCCACCGTCAGAGTTTGGGACTTACCAACCGGCCATCTCATTGATGCTATGAAGCTGCCCAAAAAGTGCAACACCGTGGCATTCTCACCTTCGGGTGAGTTCCTTGCCACCGGCCTAGACGGCGAAGTAGGTGTGCATATCTGGACAAACCGAACACTCTTCACGCATGTATCAACCCGTCAAATAACAGAGGACGACATTGCCGAGGTCAGCGCGCCAACAGCATCTGGCGAAGGCGGTGTCGCTATCATTGAAGCTGCCACCGAAGAGCAGGCAGAGGATGAGGATCAGGATGAAGTTACCGTTCCGGTCATGGACCAACTCAGCGACAAGATCACAACACTGAGCTTGGTTCCAAAGTCCCGCTGGCAAACCCTCTTACACCTTGACGTTATCCGTGCCCGCAACAAGCCCAAAGAGGCTCCGAAAGCGCCAGAAAAGGCCCCCTTCTTCCTCCCGTCACTTGGTCAAAACCAGGTTTCGGGAGCAGAAGACAATGCTCTCGCGCCACTCGATCAAGATCCGAAGTCTCGCATCTCCAGCTCTGCGCTTGCTTCGCGCTCTAGCGCCGCCACATCTACTGATGTCTTCAGCCGTCACCTTGTACATGCGACCGAAACCGCTGACTACACTCCTCTCCTAACTCACCTCTCTTCACTCCCGCCTTCGGCAGCGGATATTGCAATTCGCACTCTTGATACAACGGAGCCATACACAGAGCTGCGAACGTTTATCGAAGCGTTGACCGCGAGACTCCAAGAAGGCCGAGACTACGAGCTTGTACAAGCTTGGATGAGCGTATTTCTGCGACTCCATGGAGATATTGTTGTCAAAGACTCTGACCTAGTAGGCGAGCTAAGGAAGTGGCAGGAGGAGGCGAAGAGAGGACGCGAAAGGGTGGGCGGATTAGTGGGATACAGTGTCGGTGTAGTAGGATGGGTTCGAAGTGCGCGATGAGTCTTTCACATGTGCACTTAGTTTAGCATGATGTATATACTCTTGTTCACAGCTGACGCTGGGACTCTAACAAAAGCGGCATGCAGATTGAATTTTCAGGTTGTCTTTTCACTGCCATTGCATATCCTCGGTCATGATTGATAGTCAATGATACCAAAAGGGATTGGAAAGCCCCAGATGGATATTATGTATATCTTTCTCCATCGCATCGTCGAATTAAAAGCTTCTCAGGATGCCACGACACGCCTCCTCGATTCGCCAACTTGTAATTGACCAAAGATCACAGCACAAGAAAGACTAGAAGAAGTCAGGCGCTCGACTGAATTACATAAGTATGAAATAAGATAGAATTCGTGATGATCGTTAGTAACAGTGTTGTACGTGAGCATGACCCGCTCTGCAGGTACCCCTTCTCCACCATGACATCACAGCAAAATACATCATCGAGATGATAGAAATTGAACACGACAGGAACTTCTACCCCTCATATCAACACATCTTCCACTCCTCTTCCCTAAAATCCCATCAGACTATCACACCACCCAATTCATACTTACATTTCATCATGCCTCGCAACGGAGACGGATCTTCAGACAACGGCCCCATTGAGGCCGGCCAGGACGCAGTTCACGGTGCTTCTGGAGACGTAAGTACCCTCGTCTGCTACAACTTCTTACGAAAAGCTCGGCTCTGACCATATGGCAGGCAACTCTCCAGCACACAAAGAACAATGTCGCTCCCATGCCAGAGATTGAGAAGGGCGAAGGTACGACTCGTTTGCCCCACCTACCCCTCTTCGTTGCTCCTGCTCCTCAAATGACAGCAAAGAAGGAAAAGGAATGTTTTGAGAGGAAAGCAAATACTAACATGAGATAGCTATCGAAGGCATGAACGCCTCTGGCGCCGGCGACGCACCAAAGGCAGGCCACACCGGCCAAGGCAAAGCAGCTGCCGACTCAAACAAGCCTGCCCCCGTCGACCAGGCCACCAAATAAGCAGGTCACCAAATAAGCTATCAGGGTAGTGCAAAGCTCGGAATCTAGGAAGAAATTCCGATGCATGCAAGGGCATGTTGCCACAGCCGATAGATATGGCTGGCTAGCAGGCAAAGGAGTAACATCTACAGTACGACGGACTCCGAGTGACATCGGTAGTTGCGTTGCATTGCATTGCGCATGCAAGGGCCCAGATAGCTACGACTGTAACGAATGAAAGCAACAAATGTAAAATGCCATCCTAAAGCAATATGTTCTAGATCCGGTGTTTGTGGGGCAAAGCGGTGTACATGTCGTGCGGTGTACTGTTGTTTTGCATGCAATGCCCTGCGACGCCAAAATGGTGTTGAGCAATTCAGGCCGGTCTTTTCATGTGGTTAAGCGAAAACTGATAAGCCCCGCGCACATTGCAAAGACCGATTCCCTTGTATGGGTCCCGACACGGATGAGCTGAGCAGTACAAGTTTACGACTGCTTCGTATTGCGGATGTTTGAATTCCGCAGCAGCCTATGAATAGACTTTCACGAGTGCCTGGTCACGTCATCAGACGACCTAGAATAAGTTGGTGTCAACTGGGCTGGTAGTTTGAGTGGAGGTTGTTGGCGTCAGCCTGCATGCGAAGTGTGTCTCGCCTCAGCTGAGCCGGAGTCCGAAGTGGAGGTGGGATGGTTAGCGTTGGAAGGGGGGAGAATCGTGGAGAATCGGTGACACACTGGAGTGGCAGTGGGTACTCAACAAAAAGCACATGGAGAAGGTCGAGCATCCAAGTCAATGAGAAGACATCACGATGCAAAGGAAGAAGGGTAAATGAATAGTAGATCATGGTATTTGGCCAGATAAAGGCACCAGCCCTTGGTGTATCTTGTCCGCCATATGTCCCATCAAGGAAACAATATCCAGAAAGGTTACCAAGTCTAAACGAAACTGTTGCTACAAGAGTGTACACGCTCAGAACGCCGTCCCACGCCCGGTAGTGATGCCACACCCCATGTTTTCCCAACCCAGTGCCCCCGTTAACCTCAATGATCGCACCTTACGCCTACCCAATTGCTTAGGCCTAGAAGACCTCATCAGTCGTGAACCACAGCCACCATCCACCAACTCAGCTTGCTTCTTCGCCCCCTTGGTGGATTTCGCGACAGCGATAGTGCTAAAGTTGTCCCGCTGCGAGGGCCTCGTCGCTAACCGAAGTTGCGCCAGAGGCACTCTGCAAGTCGTTGAACTTTGCATCAAAGCCGTCAAGAAAGGCATAAGAGTTTGAGAAAGAGCTGTGGTCGAAGGGTGTTGGACCGAAGACATCGCCTGAAGAAGAGTCGACCATGCTAAAAGCGGGCTCCATTGGTGCAGTCGTTGTTGGACTGCACTTTGGGAAGGGCTCGAAGTCGAAGAAGTTTTCCATGACGACAGACTTCTCATCGACTGGAGCGTAAGGTTGAACAGAGAAAGGTAGGCCCAGATCGCCCGTAGAGAGGTTCCCGAAGTCGACTGACACGGCAGGTCGCACAATATCGCGGCAGGATATTGTGTCGAGTCGAATTCGGGAGAAGCCTCAAAGCTTGACGGGGGTGTCTCGGGTTGACAGGATGAGTCACGGGGTGAGTCCATCGAGTCCATGGACTCGGGAGGGCTGGGGAAGGATGTTGGGATCTGCGCGGGGCAGATGGTGTCGAAGGTGTCGCTGGGTGGTGTAGCTAGGTCGAAGACCTGTTGGGGTGCTTCGCCAGGGTACTTGGAGCGGTAATATCTAAGCTCGGCCTCCATCTCGGCCATCTTTTGTTTGTAGGCCTGCATGTTGGCCTCGAGCTCGTCCTTCTCGGTCTGTAGAACCTCGTATTCTTGTCGTTTGCGTTCGCGCGAGTTGTGGGCGGCGAGGCGGTTGCGCTTTACGCGTTCTATCCGCCGTTGCTCCTTCTCGTCCTCGGTCTTGGCCCGCTTCCGTGGGGGTAGGCTGGTTTTGGGTTCGGGGAGCACCTGGCCCCACGACTTGCGCTTCTTCACGGGCTTGGAGCCATTGCTCTCGGGTGCAGGTGTGTGTGATGCTTCCGACGAGTTGGACGAGTGATGTGCGGGTGAGGGTGAGTGGTCGTAGTTCTCAATCATCTCCATCTTGATGGTAGTAGGCATGGCCTCAACGGATGGTGGGGGGAGAGGCGTGGAAGTCATGGCCGAATTGTTCATGGTCTGGGAAAATAGACTAGAATCGAAGGTGTACTGAGCCATGGTGAAGTCGACAGTTGACGGGGCTATGAGTGGGCATAGTGGGTGATTATCACTAGGACCCGGGCTGTGCGGCGAAGAGGACAGGTGGCATTCACGGACACTTTAATAGGCAGCTGCCAAGCGCAGCCATGGACCCCTAGTGCGCTTGCCCGCATCGGGGCTACGCTAATTGAGCCCACCCTCCGATACACGCCCCCCTACGCTAGGAACTCAGGAACTCAGCCGCCCGCCCCGTCGTTTCACTACCCAAGTCAGGGGACCGCCGTTGCAGTCTTCGTCCTACAACCTGCCGGACTTGATTCCTGCTTGCATGTGCCGCTTCTACCACCACCAGACGACGGGGCCGCTGTCCCAGGCTTCCGTCTCTCTTGCTTCTGAGGGAGGCGTAAACGGGCTTATCCAACTCCGACGTGCAATCGAGGCGTAGCACGAGCTGGTATTAGCCTTCTCGTGCTCGACCCACCTGTATCACTCGGTGCACCTCAGTGGCGACACGAAACAAGTTCAATGTAGCATGTCGTAAGATGCCGTCAGCCAAACCCAATACGCCCCAACGCCGCGCTGCATCCAGTCCCCTCCGGATCAACTTCACAGTCACGCACACCCCCCAATTATTGCCCTCAATATGCTCGTATACTTCAGGCACGGCTGGCGTAGATGAAGGTCCGAAGCCGTTCCTTCTCGAAGCATCTGCACCCCATAGTTCCAATCTATTTTGCCGGGTCGCTAACTATTCCACCCACACATCTTCATATCCCCACACAACCTTGCAATCTATCGTGACTTCCATAGTGCGGCCTATTGCCGGAAGATTTGCGCAACCTGGGGTAAACTTCCTTTGTTCGTGGAAACACCAGGGAAGCCGCATAGAAGCTTAGCCTTAGCTTCCTTCCTTTATTGCTGCTCAAAACCGAAGCGTCACACGAGTCCCTTTGCCTCCGGCTCTTTTGGAGCAAAGGGTCCCTGGTGAGTTTATGCGAGTTTCCACTCAAGCTTTACGAGCATGTGAGACGGGGGCTCTCCGGTAGTAAGAAAATAACAAGCCGGTGGTTCATTGATCAGCTCTCATAATCCTGCGGTACCGAAATTACTTTTGCCTTATCGTTCTCTTGTCATCCTGTCTTCCGCAGCCGCCACGCAATGGACTGATTGCGCACGAATTTGGTCTTGAATAAAGATGGCGTGCGTAACAGTGGGCTAGCGTCTCATGCGTTCTTTGTCGTGGGCATCGCACTCTGCTCCACCAACCGACTCGTCACCGTTTCAGGCACCAGAATTCGGACCTATCGCATCGGAGCCGCCTACAATACAGCGATCTAGATCTTACCACCGAAATTCTTGACTCAGTACACAAGATCTACATCAGTAATACTGCCGCCTACCGGCTATCCTCTAACGGGCTTCTCAGGAGAGCATGTGGCTCTTACCAATACTCCAGCGGACCAGATGTGCCCTCTTCTTCGCAGAACAACATGTCAGTGCGGGCCGATGCTGGTAGAGCTGGTGCGTGGTGATCCAATAAAGGATAGGGGAACGTTACGACGACGTCTACGAAGCAATCGTTGCCGCTTACGCAGCAGTCTTAAGACCACATCACCATCGTGACGAGAATGCTGCCGCCTGTTCAAACGTCGTGCAATGGCAGTGCCCGAACGACTTTGTGAGAAAACGAGCATCTTTGTTGAAATGGTGTTATGAGCCGAAGCAAAGCCAAATTTGGTGCCAGACTCGTAGCAATAAGATCGCTGCTGGACGTGCGCTGCCACTCACTATTCAAGGCACTCATGTAGAAAGTGGGCTATCAAAAGCGTCTCTAAGACTAGTGATACCACAAGGTATCAGCACAACTCAACATGCGTCCACTCTGAGCATCATCACCAGAGCTTCGTTTACTAATTGAACTTCACATTGCGATTACAGATGATCCATCTCCGACATCTTGTTACAGGAATTTAGCACTTAGAAAGGTGTTAGATGTAACAAGCAGCATAGAGGTTCATATCCGTTCTCAACCAGTAGTCGGACGCAATGCATTGCAGTCCAGGGGAAAGAACATCGACAATATCAAGAATGGGGTTGTAGTTTGGAATGCTGGTGCGATATCTACACGTCAGACGCAGGCACCGAGAGAGCATTTGTATGCTGCTGAAGGAGACTCAGCAGCCCTGATGTGGCGACCAGAATGCAGTATTGCGTTGGTCATGAAGAAAAAAGGCAGTATCTTGTGTCAATGACGTTTTGAGATAATTCCAGTGCGCGGCAGGGACCCGCTTATTGAGATGTTTTATCTCAGAATATGTTTTCTGGTCCGTACATTCGTCCATGCACTCTTTCTCCCTGTGCAGAGGCGATGCATTATTCAGAGGAAGCGTTGTAATCAAGGCATTAAACGATCCTATACTAAGCTATCATCGTGCCAGTGTGTATGTTGCGACCAAGGAGCACGTGGCGCTCGGCCTTGTCGCCATTCATCAACGACATGTACGTAGCGCGCCAAACGAACAGCGGATAGACGTGAATTGTCAAGGCACGGGATGCAAAGGGTCGTAAGATCATGGCCAAGACATTAATGTAAAAGAGCAGTAAACTGTGTATTATGAATGACTTGGAGCCGTGTCCGTGCGGCGCTTCATTCAGATATCGCAATATGGCGAGATGTACCTAGTTGGATCCTCTTTCTTGAATACGGGACCTGTTGATATATCGTACGCCAAATCGCGCCGTGCTGGAAACAGTACCGGTATCTAAGACAACATATGAGTAAATAGGTTCCTGGACTCCAGTCTGGTTTGGATGTCTCAAACCGGGACGCCCACAAAGCCTATCTTCGGTCTCACTCTTGCACCATCAGTGGTCTCCCCACCCCATTGACTACGCCACTCTTGTTCCTCAGCCTTGACCTGCTCAAGAGCTTCAAGTTCTTCGGGCTTCATTTTTAGCCTGTCTTCGTCGTCCAAGACTGGTAGGCCATTGGTGCCAACATCAACGAAGTCACCGTCGGGTCCGGGTATACCTAGCCCGGCGAAAGGGGGCTGTTGGAAAACAGAGTCGACCACGAGGTATTTGCGACGGACCAGCGGAGGCACGTCGGTTTCTTCGGCTGAGACCTCTTCCCATCGTGCATGTGTAGGTTGTGTGACCTTTGGATAGCACATCAGGTTGGTGTGTGGATCGTAGACACCAGTGAGGTTTGCTTTCCGTAGCTTAGAGAGGTTTGAGTTGAATCGACTGGGATAAGTTAGCTTTGCTGATTATAGGTTAGTAAAAGGGAAGTTTTGCTTACCTTGCAGCTCGTCCATGCTCGAACTGCCAGTTAGCAGAGGTTATGTTGACCTTCCGCTTCCCAGGCACAGGCTTGCCATTAGCGGTTGGCACACTAGGCACACCAGTATGGTACACACTACTGGCACCATGCCAAGCGACGTATTGGTTCTTGTTGTATGGCTCCCCAGGAGGCGGTAGCCTGTCGTTGGGGTCTGCAATTTCCCCTTCGACTGCGCCGCTTTCCTTTGCTGCAGTAACATAGTAATCGTCGATGATCCTCTTACCTCCGATGATGATGCGTGCGCCAAACTCACGGAAGACGGATCTGGCTGTGACGACACCAATGGCACGACCCTTGTATGAGTGTGGGATGATGTCGCGGTCGATCAAGTCCCTCTTCTCGGTATCGTCGATGATGATTTTGTAGAGCTTCATATGTTTTGTGAAGAACAGATAACTATCCCTGAATCCACAACAACGGGCTGGTTCTGTCGACAGCATGTACTGTCTGTCGCCTCTGCCCTTGATAGTGAATATGCGCACACGGTAGTCTCGTCCGCCCATAAGGTTGCCGAGTTTGTCGACCTTCTGCTCGCCTTCCTCGTCTTCCGGTAAGTCGACCTCATCATTGACTACATCCATCATGTTGCCCTCCTTGTCAATTGGGACGCGCGTCGTATGCGATGGCCCTCCTTTTGGTGGCCGTCCTCGACCTCCGCCTGACGGCCGTCCCCGCTTGCGCTTAACGGGTGTACCGCCTTCGGAGTTGTCGGGTTCGACAACGTTCCAGTCTGGTGGCCTGTTCTTAGGAGGGCGACCAAGACGCTTCTTACGGGGAAATGGCTGGATGACTGCTGGAGAGGGCGAGCGCTCAGAGGGTGCCGCTTCCTCGTCGCTTCCTTGAACTGCTGAGTCGGCATCTTCTTCCTCTTCCTTGGGTGTGTCGGCGCGCGATTCTGGTGCATCTACCATTTCCTCGTCACTGTCCTGCTGAGGTGTTGCGCTGCGAACAGGCGTACTGCGACGCGCTGCAGCTCGAGAAGGGCGACCACGCGCCATTGTGGCTAGTCGAGAACGATGCCGGTGTGGCGCGTCTGAAGCTGGCGACGATGAGTGTGGCGTACGTATGGGCGACTCCTACTCGGATACTCGAATATAAATTGGGTGAAGGGCGGCGTTGAAAGTTGATGATGCGCTTGCACTCCACGACTGCTAACGTTCGCGACGTGAAGGAGCTAAGCAAGGGTCTGGTGCACGGGCTGGTCCAATCACGTGCACCGCTTGAGCCAAGCGTTGTCCATTCACGCCTTCTCAGATCCAGCGGCATGTATTCTTGCACGCCTCACTAAAGACATGCGTTCATCATCAGCGAGATTGGGTGAGCGTTCCGATACATACATACGCCATACGTCAATACACAATGATTATCTCTGGATATGCGATCAAACTCAGCATGTTACATCGCCATCCTATGTATCCCTAGATTCGGTTCTTACTTCCTCAATCTGCTGACGAGTTGATCCTGCCGAACACATCACAATGCTCTTGCAAACTACCAGCCAATGTCACGTAAAGTCAGCTTGGCAGGAGCTGACCTATATATCAACAAACATAGCTTAAGGTCAAGAGCCTCGGATTCAAGTGCCATACGCTTGTACTTGCTCGTGGCGTCAACCGTTCAATCCATTTCGTAGTCTTCAGCACACTCTCGAGCCTACAGTGTATAACCAAGGTAGCAACGAAAAGCCATCATGCCTCTCGATCGCCTCATCCAGGCCAAGAAGAGCGTTTCGGATATATTCACTCGGATGAGCGGTGCACCGTGAGCGACGGTCTTTCCTACCCTGTTTCTGCCATGCTAATTATCTCAAGGATTCATTCACGTTCTCCTAAGCGAAATGAAAACGATGAACCAATTTATGAGACTCCGAATCCATATTCACCAGGAGCAAACTCCACCGTACCCGATGCAAGTGACGAATCACCTGTACGAAAAGGTCTAATGGGGTCGTTGAGAAAGCAAAAGCTGCGCAGCATTAGCTCATTACGAAGTCTGCGGTCGCCTACCAAGACCAAGCAGCTTGACACACCTGCATCACCGCCGGCCGACGTAAGTGTCCCTTCAAATTGTGGCGAAACATCTACTGAAGTTGTGTTTTACAGGGTCCTTATACCCCAAAACACCGCCTTAATTCATCCCTCGTACTCGACTTCGAGGAATCACCCTCTGACAAACCAATATTCGATCTCGACCGCAAAGACTCTATCACCTCAAGCTTGAGGGTTCACCACTCCTCGCCCGTGCCTGTTCCGACATCTGAGAAACGGAATCAGCAATCATCTGTCGATTTATCGCTCATTCCTTTTGGGACTGTACCGCTTTCACCAGCTCCCATCCAGAGAATCTTGGAGTTGGACCAGACTGGGAGCCCCCCTTCGCCAACGTCCATCCTAGCATATAACCAGGATCAAGAAACGATGAAGAGTACGGCGTCAACAAAGAGTGCTGTCTCTGATAGTCTTCATGGTGCTGGAATCTACCTCGATGAACCCGTTGTCAGTCACGACAATTTAGAGCTCAACCATCTGCTTCCAGACGAGTCCCTCACGAAAATCAATAACACTGAAGAACCACGACAATCACCAGCCTGTGAAGAACCGTCTGGTGTACATCGTATGGAAGATTCATCGACCCACAAGACAGACGACGAGCAAGTTTGTACACGAGGCAGTGCCACCAACAAAGCACTGAATCCACCAGATGTAAACAAGATGGTAGAAAAGCAGGCAAAAGTCATACTCGATAAAGGTTATCATGCAAGGACCTATCGTCGAGCAGATGGGAGATGTCGACTCAAGATCAAGCTGCTCGCTTCCGACTCGGAGGGTGGCGACGACAACGCTCAATGTGATAATGAGATACCGTTCAAGCTTGTTGGTCCTCAAGCAGACATATTAGTGTCGGAACTTGGCTCCATCGTTCGGGAAAATGGGTACGAAATGTTCCTGAATGAATTGCATCTGAGAAACACACTGACTTCGTATATGCACCTTGTAGGATGGTTTTTATATCTGATGATAAGCTTGACAAAGCGTTTGCAGCGGGAAAACTTCCAGCATATCTAGACATTGCTCTGGACGAGGGCAACGCCATGGTTGTGCAGAGCCACCTCCACAGCCCGACAGAGGTGGGGAAGCACGATAGCACCTGGGGCCAGCATACAGGACTCTACGATGGCTCGGGCTACGGAGCGGGATCCAGCTTACAGCCTATGACGGGTGTGACTGAGATGGCAGACGTGTCTTCCACAAGCATCCCTGGAGCATTCTCAGACCATGAGAATGAAGCTCCCACAATCATTCGCAGGCTGTGGGAGAAAACCTATCGTCACGGTCTTGATACAGACTTTCTTGGACAGGCTATCGTGGGTGACGCAGCAATCTCCGAGGCGCATGAGCAACCCGAAAGCCATTTCAAGGACTACAAGCCTGTCCAGGGTATGCTCAATCCTCGTGGCAATGCATAGATCACCAAGTACGCGGGTCAATATGCAAGGTCGGTCAGGATCGCTGGGTCGGGCCGTAAAAAGTGTGAGGATGACAGAACAGGAAGGATACATGCGGCATCATTCGTAGAAAACAGCATCATTCCATCAATAGAGTCTCTGTAGCTAGCAATGCACCACACAAGCTCTTCAATGTACGCGTCTTCTTGCTTGTCCCATATATGCGATGCAGGGGTTTCGCGTTCCTTAACTCTCGTGATGATACGATGGCATCCAATAGCCGGACGTACAATGGACGTCAAAGTGTGCAGATGATCCGAGTCTTGCATCAGTTAGTCGGACCAGCGGTAATCTAAAGCGGCGGAAGGCCGGGCTCCAGAGGGTGTTCTGGAGAAAATCAGGCCATGTCGGTCATGCTACTTACCCGAGTTTGGGACGTCGACTAGGGTGCGGAGTGGATCAGCAAAGGTATGCGGAACAGCTCGTACGATGTTTTGCGTCGGAGGTGGATAGGAACATGATCCAACACATGATGATTATGCTGTGATGTGAGACGGCGTTTGTGCGCCAGCCTAGACGAAGAGGAGTTATTGGCACCTTTAAAGGTCTGGCGGCGGGCGGCTCGGGCATGGAGGCGTCGACTTGTTCGTTTCGCTGTTACGTTGTCCCTCGATTTGCCAGGCGTGAAGTTCAGTATGCCAGGTGTAGATTATAGTTCCTGCGGGGAAAACACCAACGACATTGCCATCTTGGGCTGCGGTATCATCGGCTTGTGTACCGCGTACTACCTCACAGAGAGTGGAGCGACAGACCCAAAGACAATTCACCTGATTGATTCAAGTCCGGAGTTGTTCCAATGCGCGTCTGGCCTTGCTGCGGGGTTCCTCAGTGCTGACTGTACGTATGGGAAGCTTCCGTCGCGTCTGGGATGGGCGCGGCGCGTCATCTATACCCTGATCGCATTATCTGACTACAAATCAGGGTTCGCCCCGTCGGTATCTTCGCTTGGCGCGTTGTCCTTCAAGCTTCACGCCGACTTTGCCAATGCGCACTCTGGACGCTCAACATGGGGTTACTCGCAGTCGACTGGCATCTCCCTCTCGCAAGACAGCGAGTCAGCCATCGGCGGCAGCGGCGAGGACTGGCTTGAGAATGGGACGAGCAGAGCACAGCTAGCGAACCACAACAAGCCCTGGGAAGAGCAGGCTGCCGGCCCAGAATGGCTTCGGCGTACACAGGAAGGCATCATGGAGGTCATCAGTCGGGATGGTACTACGGCACAGATCGATCCCTTGAGATTCTGCCAATGGCTGCTTAAAGAGGTCAAGGAAAGGGGAGTACGGATACATCAGCCTGCGAGGGCGACAGCAATCATCAAAGACGCCGACGACGTCTTATGTGGCTTGAGGATCTCAACGAGCGATGACGCTGAGTCGGACACAGAGTGTAAGATCCCAGTCGACAACTTCGACTTTCACATGGCGACTGACAATCTGTAACAGTGCCGTGTACTCGCCTCGTTATCACTTCTGGCGCCTGGTCTCCTCGTGTTTTCAGCACCCTCTTCCCGTCGTCCAAAGCACGCATCCCTGTTTCCTCGTTAGCCGGCCACTCGCTGCTCGTCCGAAATCCACACCACAAACCCGAAGAGCTCGATAAGGAAGTCTGCCACGCAGTCTTTGCAACAGATACACTTGGCTTCTCACCAGAATGGTTTGCGAGACTGGGTGGAGAACTGTACCTGGCAGGACTGAATAGCACAAGCATACCGCTACCAGATGTTGCGACGGATGTCAAGGCTAATGACAAGGCCATTGCCCAGTTGAGACAGTGCGCAAAAGCTATGATGATGAATGTTCCGGGAAAGGACATGGAGGTCTTGAGAGAAGGCTTGGTACGTCACTATCCTAGGGGTAGGATTCTAGACATATACTAACTTTCGAGGTAGTGCTTCCGTCCAGTCACGTCCAGCGGTCGACCTATCGTATCGCGAATACCAGACGACAAGCTTGGAGGCACCAAGACCAAAGACGGAGAGAATGGAGGTGTCTATATAGCGGCGGGCCATGGTGCTTGGGGTATATCACATGCGCCCGGCACTGGGCTTGTTCTGTCTGAACTGATAGAAGGACGGGAATCTAGTGCAAAGATTGAGGCACTACAATTACCATCGTAATGTTTTGATATTCGATGAGAAACTGAATAGAGTACCGCGCTTCTCAAGTGTTTGTGGTCTGCTCATTTGGCAACGTATGGCAATGAACGTGCTTTGACACTAACAGCAGCAAGATACTATGTATACATAGAGGACTCCGCATGCATTGTCACGGTCTAACGAGTAGAGTATATGTCTGATGCATCAAATACCTCGAGAGTTTGTATTCGTAGACACTTCGCTGACTTCGGGCTAGCTATGCTTTGCCCAAAGCAGTTAGCGCAAGCACCTTGGTAACCCAGCCCATCAACGTCGCTTGGTCTCACGTCGTCCTGTCTCGCTATCCTGTAGTACCATCTGGCTCGGTGTCATCTCCTTGTATCACCAGAGTGTTTCCTCTGTACCCTTATTGACGGCATATCGAAGATGAGCTCTGATCACCACGCTGCGTTTTTGTATAATGAAACCATGTTTGATCTGTTCACAGAGGTCCAGGATGGCTGTAAGGTTCCTCGACTTACCATCGTCGATGATAATGTTGCCGGTACGATTGATCTGGTCAATTTTGTTGCAATCGCCACTGATGCCTGTGATGCTAAGCTTTTCCAGTCTGCCCAAACCAAGGATGGCATCCAGTTCGAAACCACATAGATAGTTATCCACTGCAAGTGAATATATAGGTGTAATTTGGAAACCGTTCCAGAGTGTGTCCCCAAACAGTAATGGCGCGTACAGTTTGAGATTGAGCTCGCGAAGTTCTGGCAAGTATGGCATCGTAGAACACAAGAGGTTGTTACATTCTTGCGCAAGTTTACGAGCATCAGTTTGGCTTTCTCTGTTTTCAGATCCGAAAAGAAGGCGCTTCCGTTGTCCATTAACGTTTCCTATTGTAGCCTTTCGGACTGTAAGATGGAGTCGCAAGGAACAGTCGGCCAACAAGACCAGGATACGACCAAGGACTACACCATCGTCAAATTCGAAATGAGCTGCCTCCAACAGACAATGGAGAAGTTCACTTTGCAGCTTCTTGTTGACAAGGCAAAGAGAGGGAAGAAACGGAGCAGTCCTCCTTTTGAGTCGGATCGAACGCTCGTACTCTTGAGAGAATTGCAAGTGAGGCCAGTTCCGACAGGCTATCGAACTCTTTTCTTCTAAGAAGTACTGATCGTAAACCAAGCAACGCAGTTCCTAGCGATACACAAGAGTTAGTGTATGAACACCAAACCATGAGCGCGATAATATTCGTACGATGGGTAGTTCCATGAAGAGGTGGAATGTCGGTTGACAAAGCATGTCGTCCATGTATGGATTCAGTGCCATGGGGAGTCCTTCGAAACTACCCGCATGGTCAGGTTCCGTGCTGTGAGCACCAGCATTTGCCGCTGGGACCATGTCGTAGCTGGAGGCGGTTGTGATCACGTTGGCACCCGATGCAGAACACGCGCAATCTGTCGAAGGAGTGGCCGGCGGAGACAATACCTGTCTAGATTGTGTATCCATCTCACAAGTCGCTGTAGTGTAGTGACCTCGGGAGCGCAACGCGCAGTAGGTACCGAGACAGCAGGGTCCGTGGCGATGCGCTAAGAACAGTCTTCCAAGGTTCGCTTGAATCCCCGCCCATCATACCTGGCCCCGAGCTCAACAGCCGCCGAATCTGCCATCTGCCATCTGCAAGACGTTTTTCGAACTGTACATCACATAACTGCACTATCTTCAAGCTCGGTTCTCGTGCTCGGCCTCTCGGCCTGGATCGACTTCCAACTCCACTGGCGTCCGGTTTGCTACCGCCAGCCGTCTTTTAGACAAGATTCTCCTCCTTCAAGACCACAACAAGAGTAAAGTGGCTCTTGGCATCCTTGGCACGACACCATTTTCAAGCCTACCAAGGCCTCTTATCACGTCTTGACATGGCTCGTGTGCTTCTTCGCTCGGCTCCACTCCGTTATTGGCGGGTACAGCGTAAGCTTCGTATATTACCGGCTCAACTTGTCCGTATGCAGCAGGTCGAAAGAGCACAGTATGCAAAGACGTCAGCAGGATCTATGTTCCTGGTCGCTGGGCCGGACACAGCGATGGAGAGATGGTAACAAGCATAAATTGCGCAACGTACCCGGCAAGTTGCGAAAAACCACTGCCTTTCATTGCTCACTGTTCAACTACAATGGCTGTCTTGAAGTCAATCGCCGTGGCTGCTGCATGCGCTGCAGCAGTAGATGCCGCAGCTATCCAGCCTCGTCAGTACAAGACGCTTGTCGATTCGGTATGCGATTTATGACAACATGCTCTTCTCTCCACTAATTCGCGCAATAGCAATCTCTGCGTAACGCTCTTCACATCGACAACTTGTACGCAAGAGCAGAGAAGCTCCAAGAGATTGCATACAGTACCCCCGGCAAGAATCGCGTCATTGGCAGCCAGGGCCACGAAGACACGGTCGAATACATCAAAGGGGAACTTGAAGCGTTCTCAGACTATTACGACGTATATACCCAAGATGTGCCACTCTCCATTGGGTATAATGCCACCCTCAGCGCCAACAACAAGACTATCGAGGCTTTCGCTGTGACGCTTGCTCCAGGTGGTAATGTGACCGGCCCGCTTGTTGCTATCCCTAGTCTTGGATGTAATGAGGTAAGACAAATTACTGCATCTTCACGAGCAACATTAACACTACCTAGGAGGACTTCCCTGAAACCCTCGAGGGCTCCCTCGCTTTGATCCAGCGTGGTAACTGCTCATATGGTGAGAAGGTGCAACTCGCAGCTGCTAAAGGTGCTCTCGGCGTCGTGGCATGGAATAACGCTGAGGGTACTCTTGAAGGATATTCATTGCAAGTCTTGTACCCTGAGGGCGATTTCGTCCCTGTTGCTGGCATCACCCTTGGCCAAGGAGAGTCCCTTCTCGCCCAACTTGAAGCTGGTGTGGACATCACCGTGGATATGTGGACAAACGCTACCGTCTACAACACTCGCAACCTTATTGCTGAGACTAAGGCTGGTGACCACGACAATGTCATCCATGTTAGCGGTCACTCCGACTCAGTTACAGCCGGTCCAGGTATCAACGACAACGGTTCAGGTTCTATGTCTATTCTGGAGATTGCTCTCCAACTTACCAACTATACTGTTAACAACGCCGTGCGATTCAGTTGGTGGACTGCGGAAGAGGCTGGTCTGCTAGGCGCCGAATACTACGTGCATGAGCTGCCTCAAGACGAGAGGGACAAGATTCGTCTCATGCTTGATTTTGATATGATGGCATCTCCCAACTTTGCCTATCAGATCTACGATGGCGATGGTTCCGCTTACAACCTCAGCGGTCCTACTGGATCCGCCGAGGCTGAGCACGAGTTTGCTGCGTACTTTGACAGCATCGGTCTCAACCACACTGAGATAGAATTCGATGGTCGTTCGGATTATGGTCCCTTCCTTGAAGCTGGCATCGCAGCTGGTGGAATCGCAGGCGGAGCTGAAGGCATCAAGACTGAAGAAGAAGCCGAAATGTTTGGTGGCGGTGCTGGCGTACCTTACGATGTGAACTACCACGAGGACGGTGATACAGTCAACAACCTGAACCTGGATGCTTGGATTGAGTTCACCAAGGCTATTGCGCACATGACGGCTACGTACGCTGTTTCGTGGGATAGTATCCCTCCAAGAAACGCGACGGCTGCGCAAAAGAGGTCTGAACGTTACACACAGTGGAAGCAGGAGTTCCGCCAGACAAAGAGGTATCAAAGATGGGTGTAGAAAGTCAGCACTTTCAACAGGAAATTATTACGTAGTATGAATTTAGATGTGAATTGAACAAAGTTCTCAGTCGAAGCCCATTACATTCTATCTCGCCAGCCAGGGTTGCTATATGGCTACTACGCATGTTGGCATTACATCTCTACTCGTCGTCGTCATCATCGTCGACCACAGGTACGGGATCAGCCTTGCCTGTCGTCTTGACTTTCCGATCTTTCTCTGCGCCAGCTGGTTTCTTGGCTTTGGGATTGGCGTCCTCATCGTCATCGTCATCTTCCTCAGGCACCGCGGCATCGTCATCATCATCGTCGCTTACATCGTCTTCCTCCTCCTCGTCTTCGTCATCCTCATCGTCTTTGGGCTTGGTGCGCTTGGTCTTCTTCTTGGGTGCTGTGGCCATGTCAGATGAAATGAGATACAAGGATGTTGAAGGATGGAAATGACTTACGGGGCTCTTCGGCGTCAGAGTCGTCGGAATTGAAGTTTGAGCCTTCAGATTCGGCGTATCTATGAGGCGGAATGTTAATCTTGTTTCATAGATGAGGACGTTCATTGGCTTGCGATCACAAGCATTCACATTGTGACCGACGTGGGCATCGAAGGGGAACGCCAAATTGGGGCTATCCGGAGCGTTGTTGCGGAGCGCGATCATGTCAATTGTTCCGGTCACTCAGCAAGCTCGCAACGTCGCTTCGATGTATGCAAAACTTGGGTAGAGCTTGGAAGCGTGACCAAAGGCATGAATTCGCTCAAATGATAAAGAGCGGTTCAATGCCAGCAAGAAAGGTGCATGCGACGGGAGGTACAGAGCCATGACGTCAAGGAAGTGCTCACTTACTCTTCTTCCTCATCACTCTCGTCACTTGGGAGGGCGACAAGCTCCTCCTCTTCGTTCTTCCTCTTTCTTGTAGACATGGTATTGTTCTGGGGCAAATTGGCAAAAGTTGGTAGGTCAAAGTAGTGTTTTGGGGTAGGGCGAGAGCTGGAAGCTATGGAGAAGCTTGCGAGCGGGGGCCCAGAGACGGGGGCCCGGATGAAATACACACAACCTACGCAAGCCCTATCAAGGAGGCTGGGAAACCAGGGCTTTTGCGGGCTTTTGCTCAATGGCTTAGTTCGGGCTGTTCGGGTGTGTTGTGGTTAGCCAATCATTGGCCATGTGGTCATCACCCGCATTGGAGCCCCGGGATGAGGGCACACAAGCGTTGCACTGCTATTGCTTTGCTGCAGGTACCGCGCAAGGAGGTATCGGTTGACTTGGACGATTTGTCAGGAGTACTCAAAGGTTACATGTCGATGGCATCCTGCTAGATTGGCCTATATCTGAAAGCTATGTACCTAAACATGCCCGAGTATGTGGACACGCTGGCGGTGCATTGCAATCGAAGAAATGGTATGCAGGCGCAGAAGAACGTCATATCGGTTCGCTTCCATCGTGAAGCTGCATTGCGATGCACATGAAACCGTCCCTACGACCGAGAGCCCGATGTGTACATCTGTGACTAGGGTGAAAGTCGCCGTGTTGGCTGGGTGTTCGCAGCTCAAGGTGCAGAGCTCAAGGCCGTAACAGGGAAAGCGTACCCCACTTGGCGCCAGTCATGGCTAGTGCTGCCCCTCCCGCGGTACCGCGTCTTATTCGTGCTGGCTCGACTCTATTTCTTACCCTCAATAGTTTCTTGTCCGAGTCGACTCAACACTCGTTTGCACCCACGCCACATATCCGAGTACACGCAAAATGTCGGCACCCCAGGTCGCAAGGGCGCCGGTCCAGCGGCTTCGGGGCCTCAACGATTCCTATCACTACCAGTCCAAAGCAACGCAACGAAGACAGGCGCCTCAGGTCGCTGCGCCCCAAGCCGCCAAACGCACATACACTTGCTGTTCCGACCCCCAAATCGACACTTCAGACAATGAAGTCATGTGCTACAACTGCGGTCATGTCCACAACGAAAGCAACATCGTCTCCGAGGTTACTTTTGGCGAAACTTCGGGCGGAGCAGCCATTGTCGAGGGTGGCTTCATCCACGCGAACCAGCGACATGCAAACTCCATGGGCGGGACTATGCGAGGCTTGGGCGGCATGGAGAGCAGGGAACAGGCTGCGATGAGTGGCAAAAATTCTATCCAAGCTCTCGGCGCATCTCTCAATCAGCGCGAGGCCGTCATAGAGCAAGCCTTCATGTGGTACAAGCTCGCCATGAACCATAGATTCATTCAAGGTCGCCGCATGAGGAACGTCGCTGCTGTCTCCATCTACATGGCTGCGCGGAGACAACCCGAGAATACGCTTATGCTTATCGACTTGGCCGAGAAGATTCAAACAAACGTCTGGGCTTTGGGAGATACGTACAAACAATTTCTGGAGATGCTAAAAGAGGAGGATCCAGCACAGCTTGTGGGCACCAAGGCCGTCCAGGAGATCGAGCCTTTGATGCTAAAGTACTGTCGAAAACTGGAGTTTGGAGATGACTCTCACAGAGTTGCCGACGACGCCTGTAAGGTCCTCAAGCGAATGAATCGAGATTGGATGGTACAAGGTCGTCAGCCGGCTGGGCTTTGCGGTGCTTGTATCATCATAGCCGCCCGTATGAACAACTTCCGTCGAACCATTCGAGAGGTCGTCTACGTAGTCAAGGTCGCCGATTCTACCATCACATCCCGCTTATACGAATACAAGAGAACACAGAGCGCGGCTCTGACGGTCAATCAGTTCCGAGAGTTTGGACCCCGCCTCAAGGTTAAGGCTCAGCCTCCTGCCATCTGGAGGCGCGCAGAGAAGGAAGAGCGCAAGGAGAAAAAGAAGCAACGGGCCCGTGAAGGAAGTGATGTTGCACCCCCACAGAACGAGTCAGCCGGTAGCGAAGTTGAACCAGGCGAGGATACAGCACCAAAACGCACAAGCAAGAGGCGCAAGTCGAATGATGGTTCGTCTCAGCCGGCCGGAACACAAACTGAAACCCTTGACACACAGGACAGCGATCCGTCCGCTGAAATAGAAGCGTTCGATGGTAACAACGAGGCGGTCGTGGAGTCGGTTGCTTCTGCAGTTGAAGAACTTGAGGCTGGTGAGACCACCGATCCAGACTTTGTCATGCCCAAGAAGCGTGGCCGACCACCAAAGAAACGGGTACCCGTCGTCATCGACGAAGAAGATCTTGAAATTGAGCAGGATCTGGAGGATGAAGTCACAAGCACCATCAAGGATTGGGAGGGTATCTTCAAGGAGATCGCCAACAGCGAAGACCACGAGCTTCTTAGGCGCTCTGGTTGGACAGCAGCAGAGATGGCCCGCGTTGCTGCTGACACCCGCGATGTCGTCCCCGTGAGTTTGGATCCTGAAGTCGGTGAAGACGAATTCAATGATGACCCAGACGTTGCGACCTGCATCCTTGCCCCGGAAGAAGTCCGCCGCAAGGAAGCTATCTGGATCACGGAAAACGAAGATTGGCTGCGCGCCCAACAGACGAAGATGTTGGAAGCCGAACTTGAAGCCGCGGAAGACAAGCCCAAGAAACCCAAGCAGAAGCGCAAACACCACCAAATGGGTGACGGTAATGTTCTTGAAGGCCAGCCGGCAACTAGTGCAGCGGACGCTGCTCACAAGATGCTTAAGAAGCGCGCCAAAGCTTTCAGTAATCACATCAACTACGATCGGCTCAAGGAGCTATTCCCCGGTGGCCAAACTTCAGCGAGTCCATCTGGTAGTGGACAGGGTGCCAGTCCGTCTTCCAACGCACCAGGTGCTGTACAGCAGGCTACAAACGTTGATGCGGAGGGTGAGGAAGAAGAAGAAGAGGAGGAGGAGGAGGAGATGCAAGAGGCAGAAGAGGAAGAAGATTTGGAGCACAACTACCTGGAAGACGACGATGAAGGGTTTGGTAATGAAAGCTACGACTACTAGAAGTGAACGGCAGTGTATTGTGGGCAGTTTCGGTTCAAGTATATCAGAAGATTGGCGATTTAGGTTGAGCTTCATTGGCGAAGAGGTCTACTGGATATCATGGTAATCATGCACGGCGTACTTGAGAGCTTTTTTTTCGCAGCCATATTGGCTAGGCAGTTAGAAGCGGAGCATTATTGGGATTTAAGCTTTGCATACATATATACCCCCGCTTGCAAGCGTAACATAGCATCGTAGTAACGGAGTTTAGCCTTCTTCCAATGGTACCTGTATCTCTCATCTGTCGCTCATGCATAGTTGGAAGTCTTGGCTCATACATCACGTCTCATAGTCGAGGACAGCAATATTGGTTGTAGGGGAGGAATTCCCAATGATAGATTGGTCCCTGCTTCGTAACTCATTCACACATGCTCATGCTACCCTAAATTTTTGGTATGCGAAACCCTTGCCCAAACGCCGATTAAGTCTATCATGTAAGACACAGGCGTCTCATTGCCCGAACGGTAGTGACGCCGTCCCAAATCTCACTGTACACGCAAGACACCAACTAGCACATCTTGTACTGGGCCTCGCCAGACGCTTGTCTGTGCATATCGCTCGACTCGAGCTTGTATGAGATGTTAATGTCCAAATCGCGGTGGTTCTTCTCGTTGGGCTTGTTCTCTAGAATGCCGCTAATGGTTTCGCCCTCCTCGACTGTGAGCACATCCTTGAGGTAAAAGACTGTCTGCTTCCAGTGAGTGTACTTTGTGTGGGGACCGGTGGAGAAGCGGATGGGCTTGTGGCAGGCGGCGAACTCAATGTCGAACCAGGCGATGACGGCGTGGACAAAGTCGCTACGACGCACCTTGAGCTCGTACGGTAACCGGAAAGCGAGGTCGGCGACAGTGCAAGTGTAGAGATCAAGGGTGATGACAGGCGAGGGGTCGGTGACGACGGCCTTGATGTCGACGGTGTCGACGAGGGGCTCGGTGATGGCGGTTGCCTTGAGGGGAGAGTAGTCGAAGCCCCAGACGTTGTCCCAGACTGCTTGAGTCAGCAAAATTTTATGAGAGTCGGAGTTGTGCATTGCTTACATCCAATCTTCTCCTCCTTGTAGTCGCCATCCTCGATACCAGCCATGAAGATGGTGGCCTTGTCGGGGAAGATCAAGCCGTCCTTGACAAGGTACTTGTCGCGTGCGTACAGAACCGTGTCCAACATGGATTCGTAGAGCAAGAAGTAGCCCATCCACTCGGATATTATAATGTCGACCTTGTCGAAAGGTAGTACGACCTCCTCCATCTTGCCCTGGAGCAGGGTGATCTTGTCCGACATGCCGTTGACCTCGACAATCTCCTTGGCCTTGTCGATGATGGTCGACATGTCCACACCAATGACATGCTTTGCGCCGGCCTTTACGGCGAACCTAAACCATTGTATCAACGCATGCTCGCGTGCTATAGGGTGGGGTGCGCAAACATGCTGAGAATGGATGTACCGCATCCAACGTCAAGGACGACCTTGTCCTTGAAAAGGTGGGGGTTCTGGTAGATGGCATCGCGGTAGCTCTTGGTTCGCACCTCATCTTTCTAAACGCGCACCGTTAGCCATGCGTCGCGATCGCTGCGAGGAGCAGCCTGAGAGGGCAGGGTGGGGCTGTCGTACCAGCATTTCCTCGTGGATGCCTTGACACGCGCATTAGTATCAGTCATATCATCGGAGCGACTCGGTACGGACCATGGTGGTTGTAACTGCAGGCAACAATGTTAGCGAAACTCTGCGTGTATCTGGACCCTCGAAATATGCCTACCTGTTGAAGTAATGCGCCTCAGAGTGCGCCATGCCCGTGAGGGGGTCCTTCTTTCCGGCTTCTTGTTGGTTCGCCATGTTGGTATTCGGATAGGAGAAGGAGGTGGATTGTGATTAAACAAAAGTGAGGGAACAGAAACTGGCGCAGTTGCGGTCAAAAGTTAGGATAGGGAAATTTTGGTTTTGGTAGTACCAAGCACAGACTCAACACCAGGGTCTCAATCTCGGAAAGCGGGGCATCTGAGACTTTGGAAGCTAGGCTTAAAGAGGCATGACACCACGACGATTTCGTTTTTCACTGCTGATTCCACGCCTCGCAAAACAACGTTTCTGAACCATTATACTAAGTGCAATAAATACAGTGGAGCTACTTGTAGAATTAAGAGATACGTGGCAATTTGTGAAATCGAATTAGAGAAAGCACTGAGAGGGGTATATCGTGCCAGAAAGCAGAAACCGCCCTCGTCGTTACGTCGTGTGTTTTCGTTTAGGTCATGTCGTTAGTCGTGAATGAGTTTTGTTCGTAACGTCGTCATGTATCAGCGAGTGTCGGACAGGTCTGTCAAGGGAAGAGTGCTGCGCTGGCTTTATCCCAAAGCCGATCAGACTCGGATGCTATGGAAACTGTCTCTGAAATGCTTCGCATCTAGCCAACATGTCAGTTTCGACCGGTCACCGGTGTAAGCAGCATGAAAGTGACGTACCTTCTGATGAAGTAAAGGTCAACCGGTATTTGCCCGTAGAGCCTTTGGGTAGCCTGTAGCCATCACTGAAAACATACGGATGCAGCTTCTCAAACTGGATTGTATCGGGACCAACGCGCTTCATCCAGTCGCTACGTCCAACATATTGCGTAACGAATGCAGTCCAGATAGGGATCGTGTTTAGCGGCCCACGGCGAGCAGTAGCCTCGAATCGTACGCAGCCAGAGTCTGTGTCATAGTAGATGCGGAAGGCATGGAGATACCTGTTATCAGTCGTCTCACTGAACAGCGTCAGCATGAGATAGGAAGCCACGACTGCCCACTTACCCAGAAAACACAATCTTCTCCCCGGGCACGAAAACATCTTCCAGTCCCTCTGCAATACCGGTTTGATCTTGACGCTTCATAGCAATGGCGGTGCAGTAAAACAACACCATGCCTAAGAGAATGTCAGAATATTTTGCATCATCAGTTCAAGTCTACTCACGCTCATATAAAGGGAAGCGCAACCTAGCCCATAGGTCAAGTCGACCATCTTCACGGTTGACCCGGCAGAGCCGCAAGGATGATCCTGCACGCCGGAGTGCCAATGCGGTGATTGGGATCTGGTGTCTCAGGCGATGTCCGTCGGGATCCATAGTGAGGAAGAGTATTCGTGCGCGGTTGTCATCAGCTCTCCAGTATATCCTTACCCAGACATTTGTTGCTTCGAACGGTAATTCCAAGACCTTCTCAAAGCCATCGCTATCTAGCATCTCAATTACTCGGGGCTCGTCTCGTCCAAAGCACTTGGTGCGCTCTGCAGGGCTTTGGAAAGGAGTGGAACCGTGGCGACCATCGAATATCTTCATTGCCCAGTGAGCGACCGGCTCAGAGTCTGTCGACTGACTTGAATAAGCCTGTGATGATGCAGACGAATATGTGGGCGACTGAGGGATCTCTGGAACCGGTGGTGGGACGAACGGTATGTCTCCTATGCCTCCCCACGTCGGTGCAATATGAGATCGATGGGGTAGTGGTAGCTGCGGTGCTTGATATGCGTACTGAGGCGCCGGATACGTAGGGTGTTGGTGTATCTTCGGTCTGGGTACTTTAGGAGAAGGCGGCTGCGGCGTCCTAGCAACGCCCTTCCCATTGCCGTGTACCGAAAGTCTACTGAAGTAGGATTCGACCGGCATTGGCTTTTGCTTCTTGAGTAATCTTGATAGTAGAACTTTGAATTTAGCCAATTCTGCCTCATCATCCTCCCTGGAGCCAGTTAGCCATTCTGTTAGAGTGCCTTTCTACTAGTACCTACCCTTTCAAAGCATCATGCATACCCTGTAGATACGTTCTAAAGGTCTCGAATCTTTTGGGCAGGGACATGCCCTGTGAGGTGAAATCCGCAAGCGCATCTTCCCAGATAATTGCGTATGGTGGTGTGCCCGGAAAAGCACCTGGTGCAGCGTGTCTGCTCTTCTTGGACCTATTGAAGATATCTTGCACGTCGTCAAGCGTGTAGCCCAAGCTTGGAAGGCAAACCTCTAGATCCTTCAGGATGTGGCCTGCGTACCTGCCATAGCGGGACAATTGCAATGCATCGTGCAATTCATGCAGAGCGTGCGATATGGCGAATAGTTCAGCAATATGGCTTCTGATGTCCTTGCGATATTGCGGAATTTCTCCTTCAAACGAGAGAAGGCCTGCTGCGGTCTCTTCAGCTTCCTTGGCGTAGTCGAGAAGTCGCCAGTCCATGATGGAGTGCGTGCCAGGGTAGATAGCCGAAACGAAAGATTAGTAGCAACGCATGCTTTAGACGCCTGAGAATCGGCGAGAAAGGGACAAGAAGTCGCTCAAGCGATGGTGCTACGAGTTGAGCGTCTGGGGTAGACCTCTGGTGGCATGCGCGCTTGAGGAGGGTCGGCTCTTGACGTGTTTATGCAGCAGCTCGCCGGTGAGAAAGCCAATGACCTATGCCGACAAAATCCCTTACCAAGCCTGCATGTAGCCCGCAGTCCTCGCTTCCTCTTTCACACAACTTTTCTGTTCAACCAGTTTGGCCCCCAATTTTAGGGACTGGAATTCCATAGTGCCGGCTTTCTGTACGCAATTGTGCTGCGATGCTGGGGTAACATGCTATTCTGGACAACCGGAGGCGCCACTCCGGCACAACGGCTGCAGCGCTGCGCTGTCAGGAGAAGAAGATCCTTTCCATCATACCGATTCGCGTGACGATGAATATCGAAGTGTCCAGTGCATCCGACTTAATGACATCGTTCGTCTGCATGTCGGCTACTGGCGCTGCGGAACAGTTTTCTGCCTAACTTGCTCCACTATGGCATGGACTAGTCCTGCAATGTAAGCAATAGTCGTTCAACAGTCGATAGAGATGTCGAAGCTGTGGTTACGTGAAGATGTGCGGCTTGACAGCTGTCAACTGATTGACAGACACAAAGGCACCACGCGCGAGCTAGGTATCAACGGCCGGACGTAAATCACAATCTCTCAAGTTTTTGCCATTTGAAGGGACATGCGCAAAATGACTGCGAGTGTTTCAAGATGAATATTGGATAGTCATCTCAATATATACGTGCTGGACAAGGAGCAAAGCTGCGCCTCACTTTGTCCAAGCCACCACAATGGGGCTGCAAGTCACCCCCATGAGCCCCTTTCAAGGCAACCATGTGTACAGTCGAAGCGCATTGTTTTGTTCTGGTTGGCTACTAGTGTGGGACCATGACTTCTACGGCATTGACGGCCAATCTATCGACTTGGCAGTCGCATATTGTCCAACAAGCGTGTCTATGACTTCCCAAGAGCCTTCAGTCTCTCGTCGACTAATTTTGAAACCATCTTCTCCAGTATCGCAAACTCGCCGTTTGAAGATCCCTCAAAGTATCCAGCCACGCTCTTCTCCACGTATTTGCCGACCTGGTCCACCTCGACGTTGACGTCGTCGCCTGGCTTCTTGCCAGCCGTGATTACTTTTTCCTGCGTATAGGCAATCAACATGACCTCCCACCAACCCTCAGGCCCATCTTGCACCTTGGTTACAGTCAAGCTAGCTCCGTCTATGGTAACATAGCCCTTCTCAACAATGTATCGTAGCACCGAAGTATCGCGAGGTTTGAAGCGGAAAGTCAGGGCGTTGCCGTCGGGCGTGACGGACTCGATGGTGGCGATGGTGTCGACATGACCCTGGACGAAGTGGCCGCCCATGCGCGTGTCTGCAGAGACAGCGCGCTCCAGGTTGACTTTGGAGCCCTCTTGCAGCGACCCCAAGTTTGTGCGCCGGAGTGTTTCGGGAGCGCATCCAATCTTGAATGACGACTTGGTGAATTCGGTGACGGTGAGACAGGTTCCTAGCCGAATCAGACCATGAGTTCCATCAGACTAGTGCGAGCATACCATTGACGCTGATACTGTCACCCAAATGGGCATCACCCAGTATGTCTTCACATCCGGAAATGGTCAACGATGTCCCGCCGCCTCCCGAGGCCGTCTGGTCGAGCTTCTCAAGGGCGGCAACAGCTAGCCACTATCAGCCGAGCCGAACGCAAAGGACAATGCATCGTTGCTTACTGCCAATGGTTTCAACGAGACCAGTAAACATGGTGGGGTGTGGGTAATTGGAGAAAGAAAGTTGGTGGGGTTCTGCAGCTAACGATGAGCCTCGGAACTGGCTAGCTCATCTTCGGGAACACCTAGCTATGCCGTGGAAACATTTCCGTCACCAGGCACATGTCGTGATTGTACCTTCTTTCAACCTAAAATGACAAACATGTTATTGAGACGCTCAAGCTGTGCTTTCCAGACGAGCCTGTCGGCTTTGCGGTCCAATCGAACACGACCTGGCCATGTTCGACAACTAGCAACTGCGGCATCGAGTGCAGATGCGTCTAATCTACCTCTTGCCGGCATCAAAGTCCTTGACATGACAAGAGTGCTCGCTGGAGTAAGTCGTAGCTTATGAAACGACAACAAATCCTTCTAATATTCAGCAGCCGTATTGCACGCAAATACTAGGTGATCTTGGGTATGCGACGGATGACCCTGTACGGACCAACAACCGAGGTTGGCATTCTGCAAGATTCCTAGATTGACAATTTGATAGAGCGGACGTGATCAAAATCGAACATCCAACAAGGGGAGGTAAGCAGAGGCATACATCATGATACTTTTTCCAAACTAATTGCTATGCCTAGATGACACACGAGCATGGGGGCCGCCCTACGCCAAGTACACCGATGAGCAAGAAGGGCCGGGAGAGAGTGCATACTACCTGGGCGTCAGTGTAATCATGAATCCCTGGCTTTTTAAACTCACCAAGAGTAGGTCAATCGCAACAAGCGGTCGATAGGTCTGTCCTTCCAGCATCCAGCTGGTGTAGACATTCTACATCGTCTGGTCAAGGAATGTGACGTGCTTGTTGAGAACTACCTCCCGGGATCTCTGGCAAAGTACGCCATGGACTATGACACCGTCTCAAAGATCAATCCGGGTATCATCTACGCCAGCATCACAGGTTACGGACAGACTGGACCGTACAGAAACAGAGCAGGCTACGATGTCATGGTTGAAGCGTACATTTTTCCGACCCTATGTTTTTTTAGCGCGACTGATGCTAACACTTCTCAGCGAAATGGGTCTAATGCATATAACTGGAGCTCGTGATGGGCCACCTGTAAAAGTAGGCGTAGCAGTAACCGATCTCACGACCGGTCTCTACACCTCCAACTCCATCATCGCTGCTCTCTTCCGGCGCCTGAGAAACCCAAGCAGCAAGGGCCAACATATCGACGTCGCCTTGTCAGATTGCCAAGTTGCCACACTAGCAAATATCGCCAGCTCTTGCCTCATTAGTGGGAAGCGCGACACTGGGCGCTGGGGGACCTCACACCCGTCGATCGTACCGTATAAAGCCTTCAAGACATCTGACGGGGATATCCTGCTGGGAGGAGGTAACGATAGACTGTATGGTGTGCTATGTAACAAGCTGGGAAAGCCTGAATGGATTATTGATGATAGATTCAAGACGAACGCGTTGAGGGTTCAACACAGGGATGAATTGGAGGAACTTATTGAAAGAGAGACGAGAAAGAAGAGTACACAGGAGTTGCTAAACTTGCTAGAGGGAAGCGGAATGCGTAAGTACCATCAACTATATGCCCAATTGTTCTTGACTAACGAATATAGCATACGCTGCTATCAACGACGTACAGGATACACTGAACCACGAACACGGTATGTCTGCAATCTTTGCTTAGTGTGGGTTTCTTTCTGTGTATTAATGCTTTGCGCAGTCCTCGCAAGAGACATGGTCAAGCAAGTAGATCACCCAGCATGCGGACCTATCAAACTAGTCAACACGCCCGTGAAATGGTCCGATTCGACGCCTGGCATACGTCTTCCTCCACCCACCCTGGGCCAGCATACGGACGAGATACTTGGTGAAACACTGGGTATGAGTCAAGAAGAGGTGGAAGGTCTGCGCAGTGGAGGAGTTGTCGCATAGATCCATTCCTGGTCTTGCAATTCATGTCTTGGGCTGAGGACGCCATAGTCAATCTTCAATAGGTCTCAGGTAGACTGTCCATGTTTCGCGAAAGCAACCAGGGAAATACATCTAATGATATTTGGGGTGTTTTCTGTTCCAATGGGTAGGCTGATACCAGACCATGTAGCAGTGAATCTGGTTGCACTCCGCACCCCCGCTCTCTGTCACATGTCACTGCGTCATAGCGTGTCATGGGTGGCGCGTTGGTTGTCCAGGGCAACGGCGTTCTGGCCATGTTGACCGACACGCGCGCGCACGAGCAGCTCCACATGGATTTGGTGCACCACAGTCGACTGACACTTGGCCTGCATCTCCAAAGACGAAATAAACACAACCAAACATGGAGCCTCCGTCGCGACCCTCGAGTTCGTTGTTCGATGTCTTTCTGCGTCTGCGCCCATCCAACTCTGGGAGTGCGCGCTTCCTCAACGTCGAAGAGAGCGAGAGCAGCCATGCCACGCACATCACCATACAACCGCCTACCCAAGACAAGCGCAAGCGCGCTGTTGAACGATTCGCCTTTACACAAGTCTTTGAGGAAGATGCGCGACAAATGGATTTGTTCAAGGGCACTGGTGTGGTTCCCATGATTGAGGGCGTCATGGGCACACCAGGCCACCACGGGCGAGACGGACTGCTGGCAACCCTGGGCTGCACTGGATCGGGCAAGGTACATATAAATGGAAAAGAGCAGCCCAGACTTCTTGTACTGACGTGACCACAGAGCCATACGATCCTTGGTACCAAGTCCCAGCGCGGCCTCGTCCAGATGACGCTGGATACTATCTTCCAAGCATGCGACGAGCAGCTTGTACAGTCCTTCTATGGTGCTCCGGCATTCTCTTCACTGGCAGCAGCAGATGTGTCTGAAGCGCAAATGTTCACAGCAACCGCATACATCGACTCAATGTACGGTGACGAACAGTCCGGACGCTACTCACGAGCGCAGACCCCCATGGCAGTAAGTTGATACAGGAAGCTCTGCATGGCACTTTTCCACAAACAACAGCTAACAGACACAACAGGACTGTAGTATATTCTCCACAGGAAGCACGTACAAATCAAATAAGATGCCGCGTCCGTCAACGCTACCATCGTCGCCTTCTGTCGCCGACATCCAGATACCCACAGACCCCGACGCAGAATATGCCATCGTCATGTCCATGTACGAAGTATACAACGACCGCATCTTCGATCTGTTGAGCGGGAACACGGCAAAGAACAAGCAGCCAAACGTAAAACGAAGGGCTTTGCTCTTCAAGAATACTGAGAAAAGTCCAGATCGAAAAGTTGTTGCTGGTCTCACCAAGATCATCTGCGGAAGCTTCGAAGAAGCCATGATGGTACTGGAGACTGGTCTCATGGAGCGCAAAGTCACTGGTACTGGGAGCAATGCTGTGAGCTCGCGAAGCCATGGCTTCTTCCATGTCGAGATCAAGAAGAGGGCTGCAGAACGCAAAGGTCCCTGGTCAAGCAGTAACCTCACCATCGTTGACCTGGCAGGATCAGAACGCGCCCGAAATGCCAAAACTGCGGGCGAGACACTTGCCGAAGCTGGCAAGATCAACGAGTCCCTCATGTATTTGGGTCAGTGTATGCAGATGCAGTCCGATAACCAAGGAGGCTCTAAGGTACATATTTGTATCCATGTCTGTAATTCTTCGACTAACATGCGTCTAGAACATTGTGCCATTCCGTCAATGCAAGCTTACCGAACTGCTTTTCTCAAACTCATTCCCTGCCTCTGCCCGCCAAGCACAATCGCACCGCCAGCCTCAGAAGTCCATCATGGTCGTAACTGCAGACCCCAAAGGCGACTACAACGCCACATCTCAGATCCTTCGCTACTCAGCCCTGGCTCGCGAGGTCACCGTGCCGCGGATGCCGTCTACCTCAGACACGATCTTCTCTGGTGCGCCACACAAGCGTCCTGGTACAGCTTCGTCAGGCCGCGCGACTCCTTCAGGCCGTACAACTCCTTCGGTCGTCATGGAAGAGCTCGAATATGCCAACGCCGAGATCGCACGCCTCACAGCAGAAATGGAAATCTTCGCCCTTCGCCTTTCCGAAGAGACAGCTCGCCGGAAAGCAGCCGAATCGTCTTGGGCCGCAGCCGAAGACCACATGGTGGACCTTGAACAGGAAATTCGCGACGAATGTTATCTTGAGATGGAAGCAGCCGTCGACCAAGAACGTCGAAGATGGCAAGCAGCCCTGGACAACGAGCAAGACAACCAGCAAGCACACATAGATGCCAAGGTCGACGTCGTCATCCGAGCAACAAAGGCACAGATGAAACAAGATATCAAGGTTTACGAAGACCCAGATCCAGAACTCAGAGACAGGGTCGATGAGCTGGAACGTGAAAACGAGATGCTACGGGCCAAGTTGGAAGCCAAAGAGCGTGAGACGCAGCAAAGATCTGCGAGCCCTGTGAAGAAGATGAGGATTCTTAAGAGTAAGAAGTGGGAAGATCCTGAACGCGCAATGGGCGGATTGAGCATCGATGATGAATGAGCGACGACGTTAACGGCTTCATGATGAGAGCATGCATGGATGGCGTTTACTGCATTATTGATCTTCTGGTATGGGTAATAGGGGTACTTTCAGACCTGTTTCTTGCTTAGCTATGTTTCTCGAGATACCACGCCTTTGTTTAATCGAATCTTGTTTCACTTTGACTACACGATCGTTGGATGATCGTGTCGTTGGATTGTATTAGTGTAAGCGTGCTTCAAGAGCGTCAGTCTGGTTCGAGTCAAACTTGCGCTTGCCCTATAGCATCAGCAATTAATCGCCCAATGTCATCTTCATCCATATCCGTGAGTTCTTCACCACTACTCTCTGCTAACACCTCTCCAGCAGTATCCTAGACTACTTTCTGTCCGTCCATAGCGTCCATTGTACCATCGGCGCCCATGCCCGTCCCGTCTCCCTTCCACCCATGGCTAAACACTTCAAAGTTGTCGTCGACGAGCCAATTCAGGTCTTCGCTCTCTGGGCGTAGTGTTCGTGCGAGTCCGTTGCCAGCTTTGGGGTAGTGTGCTGGCGGATCGGTGTCGTAACCATCGTCTTCTTCGTACTGGTTGCCGGCCAGGTCTATGGTCGTGCGCGGCTGGTGGCTGCTTTCGCCAAGGAGCTGTGCTTCTGCAGGGTCCATCTCCGAGTGTGAATGCGACGAGAACTGCGGTGTGTGATGTGTTGTTGTGTGGCCGTCTGGGGGCGAGGTCATCTGGGCGAGACTGAAGTTTGGTGGGGGTTGATAATTAGCATAGTGGTGGGTAGCGGAAGGTTGTTGTTGCTGGGGCATTTCCGACTTGATAGCGGAGAAGTTTGTCATGAGATTCTTTATGTTGGGGGGGAATATGGGCAGTTCTGGATGTCGAATTGTGGCTGTTAGGAGGAGGCCGACTAGTTGGTTTTGTGGGAGCGTATTGAAGTATGCGCGTTTCTGCTAGTATTAGCCTGTATCTGGCCTACGCTATGGCATACGCATACCTCATCTATAGTCAAGTCCTCGGCCGCGATCAGATTCTGTGCGCCTTCCACGACTGTCTGCTTGGCCCGTATACATGGTCCGCATAGCCACTCTTTCTCAAGCACAGTGACAACCTCGTTGTCGATTGGCGGATTGTGGCAGTATTGGTGATATGCGGTACTACACGCATCACAGAACACTATCCGGTTGTTGGACGGATCGGTCTCTCGATGACAGGTCTTGCACTTTGCAGCAAGTAGGGTCTTGGTCGACTTCCTCCGCTTAACGCCTTGAGCTGGCTCCGGAATAACGGGTACGAATGCGACGGGCTTGTTTATACTTCGGCCGGACTTGGTTCGTGTGGGTAGTGGAGTGTACGAGTCGGAGACATCGGAGTCGTCGTTGTCGTTCTACACCACGTTAGTATGCCGTCTCAAAGCACACGACAATGACTGACGTCGCTCTCCTCGTCGCTCTCGGAACGTTTCCGCTTGCCGCCTCTGCCCCCGCGTCCGCCACGCCCTCCACGACCCCGTCCGCGCCCTCTGCCAGATGCACGACCAGATGAAGGGCCCGAAGGTGATGCGCCAACTTCCGTCTTCAGTCCACTTGGTGTGCTGACTCTCCCCCCTCTTCCTCTACGTCCAGTACTCGCAGCCGGCGGAGGCGTTGGTAGTTTGTCGCTAGTAACATAACTCTGCAAGATCTCTGCCCGCTTCGCCTCGAAGGCAGCACTTCCGGCGGCATGTCCATTCTTTCCTTGGAGGCGTTCAAGAATCGCAGCGGTGGATGCCGAATACTGGGCAAAGTTTGGGCCTCCGGTAGCGCCGCTATTTGTGGGAAAGGTAGACATTTGTGACGACCATGTAGGTGGCATGGGCGTTGTCGATTGCGCTTCTGCATGTGGATGCGGAGGAGCGGACATAGTGGCTGCGCCGCCGATCGCATTTGGCGTGCCATTGCCAGCGCTCGGTTGGCCGTTTGGCGGATTTGGCGCATCCATCCTGCTCTAGCAAGCTCCGCGACTGGGACTGGGTAGCTAAGAATGATGCGATTGTGCTCGTTGAGCAGACGGATAGCCCGTTGCCGCATGACAATCACTTGGAGAGAAGCCGCGATTCTGGCCCAAGCTTCACGCTAACGAGTAAGACGACGTCGCGTTGCATCACTGGTCCGCCTCGCTTCTACTCTATAGTCTTCACCTCCAGCATCCCAATCTATATAATTAGAAACAAGGGAGACAAAGACGCTTGTCGGCAGAGTGGAGAATCACGGATGTCGCCAAGACCGCATGCTGTCAGAAAATTGTATGAATAATCATTTGAGCTGTCAGGTGCTATGTACTAGAGCGAGTGTTTGTTCATCGCTGGTAAACGTCAAAGTTGTGAGCGTTGATCAACTCCATGCCCTCCTTCCTGTACGTATCCGGTTCCGCATAGCTCGTCACATTGGCGTCGAACACAAAGTCCATCGGATTAGCGTTATCGTACCGAGGCCACATGGGCTCTGTTCCATTGAAATCGTACGTCTCCCTCCACGAGTTGGGATCGAGATCATGGATAAAACTGACCCAGTTGCTGTTCATGAACCTTGAAAGGTCACGGTAGTTCTCGGTCTTGTTCTCGAATGGAGGAGTAGCAGCGGGCCGATATCCAACACCTTGTAGGTTGAGGAATACGAATGCGACTTCTTGGAAGTGCGTGACACCGACTGCAGCAGGGAGGCCAGCCGGGATCGCATTGAAGCGATAACAGTATGCTGACACATTGGCAGCAGCCCATGTCTGACATGTCAACCTACGATTGGCAATGAAGACTTGGTCGCCAAAGTATGACGCTGAGCGGCGAAACTGCGCTCCAAATGCCGGGCCTAGGGTGAGGTTACCCAAGCTTGCGATAACATTGACGGAAGGATCGTCAGGGTACGCTGCAAGTAGCTGCTCTGTCAGATTGGCAGGAACTCCGCTCGCCATGATGAAGGTACGAAGATCCTCGGTGGAGTTTACAGGCTGAGGGCTGAATGCTGTACCTTCATCCGAGTTGGCACCCGAGATAATTGGAACATGCACAAACTCGCCGGCTTCAAGCTGAAGAGAGGTGCGCTTCTGAATGAAGTCACCATCCAGGCAAGGCATGAAGTTCGTTATGTTGAAGGTCGGAGTTGTGGTGTTGAGAGCAGTGTTTAGCTGCTCAGCAGGCAACTGACGTAGACATTCGAGCGGACTGGTAGTGTTTGCACAGTTGGTTCGGCGAGTGAGCTCGCTGTACATGTCGGCATAGCCTACTGCTGGGTCCGGAAGAGGCCCGAAGTTGATGGGATTGCCACTCTGCATGATAGCACCACGGAAGAGCTTGTCGTCGCGTCCGCTGTAGGCTGTCAAGTGGAATCCAACGGATGCTCCACCAGCGCTCTCGCCATATATAGTCACTTGTTCGGGGTCGCCTGTTCCATGTTAACTCATGTACTTCGGACTTCGTCTTGAGCAGACATACCTCCAAAGGCTTCGATGTTCTCCTGTACCCATTGCAGCGCCAAACGCTGATCTCTCAGGCCCAGATTCAGGTTTCCGGTATCCCTGACTTCTTCGCTTCCACTCAGGAAGCCCCAGGCAGATAGTCGGTAGTTGATGCTCACACCAATGATGGGCTTTCCAATCTTTTGAGCATTCTCCACGGTAAACGAGAGGTTATAGCGCTGATCGACACCTCCTCCTTCGAAGAAGCCACCTCCATGTATCCAGAATGCGACTGGAAGTTTTTCATCCTCGCTGCATCCTGCCGGACGAACAACATTCAGGTACAGACAATCTTCCGAGACCTAGAAATGGGTAACGAGTCAGTTTAAGCCGAATCCTCGGTTAGTTTGACACCTACCGGATAGTTCCATTGATCAGAGCCATATCCGTAGCACTGTGATATTCGTCAGCCCAAGTTCTTTACCATAGATCAAAACATATACCTCAGTAGAGTACTGCGTAGCCGGCTTCGTCTCGTCCCAGGTGGTGTTGAGGCCAACAGGATTTCTGAAGCGAAGACTGCCCACGGGCGGCTGAGCATACGGTATACCCAAGAAAAAGTCCTGATCATATTCGGCAGAGTGTATGCCGACATACGTTCCATTCTTCGTCTGAGCGGTTGGCACAGCAGCGTCGGAGACTGCTAGGCCGAAGAACAGCGCGGTCGCTAGAGCTGCGTTGCGCAACATGACAGGCGATTGCAATGACTGGTGTGATCAACCCGGAGCATCGCTGAGGTTAGCCATGCTTTATACTGACAAGCTTTAGCTCGCTGTTGCTAAGTAGCCTCGTGACGGGGGCATAGTCTGTGTCGTACTGCGCGACTAGACATCTGCCGCTCCGTCTCGAATCCGGGGTATGACGGTATAAGCTCCAATAGTGAATATTCCCCGAACCGAGGACCAAGTATTGCGGGGATCATGACATCGTGACGCTTGTTGTTTTTCTCGCGAGGTGGAGCGATCCGGGGTTGCCATTGGACAGGCTCAGCCCGATGTTTGCCCGTGGGCCCCCAGATGTCTCCTAGCGTGGTTATCATAACGATACTGTGGGGTACAGAACATGGCAAATCCCAACGGCATTTCCCAGTCTGGAACTCAAATCTACCCCCGACGGTGAAATAGCATGTTCCTGTTGTCATTCTGGTTATCGTCTCTGGTTCACACTATTACTTGGGTACCTGCTCAGCGTCAGAGACGCCGTAGCTGAATGCAGAGTCTCTACTGCTGAGACGCGTGTGTCTGGCGAGAAGAGTACGAAAGGTTTCGGCAATTCCATCGGAGACACTATGGTATTCAGCCACCGGGAAACCACTCCCACTTCATGAGGCTCTTTCTAGGTTCGTACCGATTCAGCCTTCTTTTCTATTGCCAAGATACTTACTCGGTAGCATTGACAATTGTGCTCTCCATCCCTGTTCAGCTAGTCTTCCCTGTATCTTAATCTTCCTCTCCACTTCTCGGTGCAAAAGTCTTGTTGCCGCTTATCTCCACCTGGTAAGCAGCGCTCTCTCCAGCTTGACGCCGTTCAGATGTCATGGCATTTTAGCGGATCCGGCAGCTAGTCTTGGATGAGGCAGAAAACCAACAGCTAGAGCGTCCACAACGTTGGGCGGTATACCAAGGGTTCCGATAGCCTAGTCTCTCTAGCGTAGAGCCATGACTGCTACCACTACTGCCCCACGAACACCTGTTTGTTGTCAAACACTGTTGGGAAACGGCAAGTTCCCTTGAGCAAATTGCACAGCGCCAGTCCCCAAACACTTTGCGGCGGACTGCATGTACTCGAGATATGAATGTCGTGTGAAAGAATACTGATTTAACTAAGTGGTATCATCTAAAATATGCTATTATCCGCACAAGTGAACGGTCCGTTTAAGGTGCTATCAGGATCGTTGTAGATGTCGATGAGCGCCTTCAGAGATGTGTATAATCCTCCCACCATCAGAAAGATGGTCATAAGCATGATGCCGTAGTTGACAACAGCCAGGGCCTTCTTCTGCGGTGTACTCCATTGCGTCTTCCAGTTCAGATGCAGCCAAAAGATGCTCGTGAGTCCAAACGTAAACCATGAGATAAAGATGGCGGACGAGATATTGAGAATCGACGAGAAGATTGGAATCGCGTTGGAGATGACGAAGGATACGATCCAGAACAAGGCGCCGAGGCCGATCCACAGAGTCCAGGTGAACGTGTTGTGGACGTTTACCTGCTCAGGCTTTGCAGCTCGCATAATAGTAATGTACTACGTTGACGTTAACTTATGGTTTCCTCTGTAGGACAAAATAGTTCTTACCATGAACTTGATGGCCGTAATGCCAATAATCAGACCAGTTCCCAGCACCGAGGGGATAAGAATGCCGTAAGCAATCTTGGCAGTCAATTCGGGAGCCGAGCCGAGCGCGGGAGATGTGACTGCATTGCCTGCAAGGCCATAGATGACACAGGCGACTACGATGTAGATGACCACTTCGAAAGATTTCTGCATAAAGAGCGCAGGAGGGAAGTCTTTGGATGGGTCTCTCATCTCAGCCATGACACTGATGAAACTCTGGTTTCCGGCGAAAGCGAAAGCCACGTTCAGCAGAGCGTTTACGGCCTCGACGAAAGTCGGCTTCCCAACTAAATCTATCGAAACCTCGAATCCGGGTGGGGCGTTTGGTCCAGCAACACCAAGTGCAATCATAACGATTAGAACCGCAGCTACAATAGAGATCGTGCATACCCAGCTAGCGGCGGCGGCGAAAGAGAGCTTTCGTGGGATGCAGAGTAGCCAACAGAGGATGTGAGGAAACGCCAGGAAAGCCACCGTGCAGAGAGCATGGCGCGACAGCGTGTTGAGAGCCACCGATAGAGTAATGTTGGCGGAAGCGCAGATGAGAACAAGGTTGAAAACAAAGGCAATTCCGAGAAAGGTTTCGAATGGCTTGCCTCCGACGTATAATGCGCAGTCGACCAAGTTCGTAACCATGGGGTATCTTCGATAGAATTGGAGAAGGATGTATCCGCAGTAGGTTGTCAAGATACCAAATCCAAGGATTGCGATGATTCCGGGTATCAGGCCGAGCGTCTTCAAAGCGGAGGGCAAACTGAGGATACCAATTCCGACTTCGATCGTGATCAGAATGACGCACGCTCGCCATCGACCCAACGTACGGTAATTCTCTCCTGGAGTGTTTGGGTATTCTGTCGCCCCAGCGAATCCATCACCCGTCCATCCCGTGGTGATGTCGGTGTTGTGTCCGTATGCCTGCTCCATATCGTCCTTCTCCGATGCGGTCGTGTGAGAAGCAACATCGTCGTTCGAGGGCGCTTTGTGCTCTTTCTTAAGGAAGGCTTTCAGACCCATGGTTGAGATTTGGCCGTAACAACGGATTATGGGGTCTCAAATGATACTAGATGAAAGGTAACTTGGCAGCGAGAAGCGGCGAAGCTGGGTCTTTTGAACCTGCGCGCCTCCTGTATCGGACCTCTGGGTCATCATCCTAGGACGTAATGTGTGCTAGTGGCCGAACAGACCCTGGGAGATCGCCTCCCGGTGACTACTGCACACGTCGCCTTGAATTCTGGCTAACATAGTGCACATCCTACGGATCCACTGTCAAGCTTGCAATAGCGGAGTAAAGTTTGTGGGGGAAAGAGTACGATAAGGCTACATGCGGCATAGGCTTTTGAAAACATCGTCGCTGCATAATACCAATGCAGAAGGGGTCTTGGAGTTTGATGAGGAGTGTGGGTCATCGTGAGTAATAGTGTGCGCTGAGATGTGACCGTGTCGTCCGATGCTCCACATATCACGTAAAAGTCTTCGAGAAATTCTTCGCGCCGGGATTGGCCGCTTGGCAACGTGCTTGAACCAGCCGAAGTGCGGTGCCAGAGCCGGTGGGACGTATGAACAGGTTGTAACACATGTTTGTCAGCATATATGTAGACGTCTGAGTGATGCAGTCGACAAAGCGACGCCATGTCAGCGGGATGGAGGTGGGACCAGGGCGGGCGCTAGCGACGCTAAGACGGTACCCTCTACAGGGCTGAGGCAGCAGAAGTCGACAATCAGAACCTGAGCACGCGACAGAAGCCGTATCACCCGCATCGCGTGCTACTATAGATATATGAAGATTTCTAAGTAACGGTAGTAGTGGACGACGGATTTGAAGGTACAACGAATTCGGTAGATGCCACTTGTTTGTCAAGACCTGTTCTGTGACTCTAAAACTTGCTCACCTCTCCGTCTTGTCCGTGTGATAACGGCATTGCTGTGGTTTGAAGTTAGGAGTTTGCTGTGTATTTAGCCATGAGTAGGACAGCTGCCGATATTTACTTCACTCTGCGTGCTTTTCAGTGGATTTCTAGATCCAGTGAAGACGTGGATCCGTATGGCAGTGGTTCAGGAAGCTATTGGCTGTTTACATGTGGCAGGCAGATGGCGTATCTAGGTGTGTAGCACTGGACCTGAAGTGATGGTGTTGCAAAAAGGTACAGCCGCCTTCTGGTTGGCCATATGCAGAGCGATGCAGGGCAACGGCTAGCTTCCTTGGCCGCCTATACATTAGGGTGTCTTACCCGAGTTCGATGATTGGTCTTTGTGTAGTGCACCATGTGCTAGATGTCGATATGAATATCATCTAAGGCTGAAAGCGATTATACAAGAGATGTTGCACCAAGAGAGGAGAGAAAAACATGATAACGATGACGTCGCTCCGTCTGGTTCACGCTTGATGTCACTAAAACGCAGGAGAACCGCGGAAACGGCTATGAGCGCCAAGTCACTAGCGCACCACTATCGCCACCGCCATGTGGGTCACAACTAGATGTAACAAGGTTCCCCGACGTGCTCCACGGTATCTTCGCGGGAAAATCAGCGGGTGTGTCTGTATTGAGTAGTCAGTGAGGTATCGAGTTGCGAGTGGAAAGGCGTTGTGCCGCATCGCCATGCAGAATGTTGATTGTAGATTGCAGGCAGGGTAATGTGCTCGCCAAGTCTGTCTAGTGCGCCTGCCGATCGTCCCGTCCTAGTGGCTGGCTTCCGTTGGTTGGACGGGCACCGACCAGAACTTTCCTCCTCCATTCTCCTCTCTGCATTCTTTGTACAGCACACCGCTATCACACAACTTCTGTTTCTAGCCACCGCGCCTTCATTTGTTTGCTTCTGGGTCTTTTTAGGTCAAACGCAGAGAAAGCTCTACTCACACAGCAAGCCACCTCCGAGCTAAAGGACAACTGCGTGTTGGCGAAGCCGTAAGAACCAAACCAGGTTGCAGAATGTCATTTCTTACCAAGAATCGAAGAACAAGTCCCCCCCAAGATGCCTCCGAAATCCGCGAAGATCAATTTCCCGCTGCTCAGCTCGGTCTCCTAGGTATGACTTTCTACGTCACTGACACTAGTTGTCACTAGCCTGAGCCTCGCACTGACAGTACATTCCAGCACTGGTTCGAGTCGCAGAACCAATTGCTCTCACTTCGATACTTCCATACGCATGGAAACTCGTCACCAACTTCCAGGTTGGCTCCGAAGCGAATGCACCGTTCTTCGCCGGTCTGCTCATCTCCGCCTTTTCGCTCGCTGAGGCATGCTCGGGCATGTACTGGGGCTCAGTCTCCGATCGCATAGGTAGAAAACCCGTTGTTATACTTGGGTGTCTAGGAACAATGTCTTCTTTGCTACTTGTTGGCTTAGCTCCTAATTTCTGGGTCGCCCTTCTGGGTCGGATCATCGGCGGTGCGCTTAATGGTAACATCGGCGTTATCCAGACCATGGTGGGAGAGTTGGTCAAGCGACCCGAACATGAACGTAAGTTCCAACGCCTGCTTCTGTTAGATGTTCCTAATTAGCAAATAGCAAAGGCGTATGCGGTCATGCCGTTTGTATGGAGCATTGGTACTATCATAGGCCGTAAGACCTCACCCATCCATCGTCCCCTAGTCACCTATACTGACTGCTCTAGCATCGATCGGCGGATATTTTGCTGAGCCCGCTCGAAACTTTCCATCTGTCTTCAGCCCCACTGGTCTTTTTGCCAAGTTCCCTTACCTACTTCCAAACATTATCTGTGCCTCTCTACTCCTACTCTCTATCTTGATGGCATATTTCCTTCTAGAAGAGACTCACCCAGACAAGCAGCCTCGAGGTTATTTCGAACAATACGACCCAGCCGTTGCAGAGACGCCGCTTCTCCCAGCCCAGGGTGCGACAGCTGATGCAGCCGCAAACTTGACAGCAGATTCTTACGGCACTTTCAACGCCGTAGAGGTTGAACACGACGAAATCTGGCGTGTGCGCTCTAACGGAGACTGGGTAGAATCGCCAACAGATGAGAAGGTCTTCACACGTCCAGTCATCTTATTCGTCGTAGCACTGGGAATCTTCACGTACCATTCTGTAAGTCCAATAGATATCCCAACATGAACAACCGGCTGATGTGAATTTAGATGACATACGATCACCTACTTCCCATCTTCCTCCAGGACAAACGCGCTGACAGTGATATGAATGCATTGGACATCTCGCCTTCTTCTTTGGGCGGTGGCCTTGGTATTCCTATTCAGAACGTGGGCATTATCCTTTCCCTTAACGGCATCATTCAGCTCGCGATCCAGGGCTTCGTCTTCCCTCTATTGGCGGATTGCTTTGGTGTATGGCGCCTGCTCCTCGTGGTTACGCTCGCACATCCGATTGCATACTTTATTGTTCCCTTCCTGCAGCTTCTACCCGAAAACTTGCTCTACCCCGGTCTGTTCGCTTGCCTGACCGTGCGAAATCTGACATCGATCCTGGCCTTCCCACTTCTCCTGATCATGATCAAAGAAGCTACGCCCGACAGGTCGCATCTCGGAAGAATCAACGGACTAGCAGCGTCGACAGGTGCTGCCTGCCGTACAGTGGCGAGCCCTATTGCTGGCTTACTCTACGGTCTATCTATTGAGCTACACTTCACACCCTTGGCCTGGTGGGGTTCCGCCCTGGTCGCAATCTGCGGAGCTCTCCAGGTGCCATTCCTGAATCGCGCCGCGCACGAGTGTCACGCTCGTGTTCGTAACGTAGCTAGCGACTATCTTACCAAGGAACGTCGTCGGAGTGAAGTAGTGCACATTGTGGTCGAAGACGAATAGTTATGGAGGCAGCAACTTTCCGGACATAGCGCGTAGACGCGCAACCATAGATTGGAGTATTATGTTCTCGCCCACTCGTTTTTGCGCATAAATTAGTCCTGCGAAACGCGATTCATCTTCAAGGCGTTTTGGGAGCAACGGCAAAGATACCAGAATTGTGCGGATATCAGTGCTGTGCATTGGGGGTTTGGCGTTCACTGCATTTACATCGGTGTAGATCACGGTAGAAATTTGCAAATGTCTACGTTCCATGAACATAGCAATACGACAGGTTCCTTCTTGCATAACTTTCCCGTGGCTGTCATCGTCGGATGCGTTACTAAAGAGACTGGGGTAGTCTTAGCATAATGTCAGTATTTCATGCGGAGTTCAATTCTTGAAACGACTGGGTTGTCATGGACTTGGGGAGTACAAGAATAGCAACGTGTCAGGGCTCTCCGAAGGTACAACCCGACAATGTACCGAAGCAGCGAGGTACAATCGGAACTGCCTTCGGCGGAGTTCTCTGTACTGTGTTTCTTGATGATAATCTGAAAGCTTTGAGGATGATCCATGAGCCAATGTAACGAACGTCTTGCAGTTGTGTACAAAATCTCCTCTCATGTCGCATCCTCTTACAACGTGGCTTGTGGTAAATTGCAGCCTTAAGATGCCGTCATTCTTGTTCAGGAACTATTGTCCTGCGTCAGTGTTCCGAACGCTGACATCGCCACTTCCGCGTTCACGACATCTCTGTGGCCTGTTCCACATGCTGCAAGGTACCCGTGCGCCATGTCTCCAAAGCTTGTCAGTCCACCCCTGCACCATATGCGATATTCTGAGAGCTATGCAACCTCTATCTGGCAACCAGATTACCTTCCGAAGGACGTTCAATATTGATTTGCAGATGGATAGTGAGTGGTGCGCGGGTGATGAATCGCGCATGCCCCTCCATGCCTCGGTCTTTCTCGCCCGAACTTCAGTAAGAACAACGCTGCCAGTACTCCGAGCTTGATAAGCTGGCAGCTCTATCGTGGCTTTCAACGCTCTTCTTCATGCTACCGTCCTTCTAATATTGCAAACAAGCCTTCGAGACGCGGGCTCTCGATGGACCTAGGATCCATGTCGCGCGAAGCTTGATGTTCCTCACGCTGGTTGGCTACTGCAAGGGCGCAATGGCGGAACAGCCGTGAAACACGCTCGTGCATGTTCCTTCAGAACGACAGCTTCACGACTATAGTTAGTGGCGGGATTGGCTCGAACGGGAGATACAGATGACGGAGAATAGCTTGGCTAGGCAATACGGATCTAGACGGATGCAGGGCAAGGGACTGGCGGGCCAGACACACGAAGAAAGCAAATATGGAACCCTCCAGATGCCCGTATATATCGATCCCTTAGTGTCTCCGCGGTACCGCTACTGAAGTTGATCCGGGAGGCAACAGAGCATAGATGTGACGACTCGTCGACAGTTTGCGGCTCTGCGTTTGTTCGAGAATGTGGACATCGGGCCTCACCCAGTCGTGAGAGTATTGAACAATATACTTGACGCTGCTGGCTTGCCGATGTACAACCTCTTCACGTCATTGGCTCGTACCTGCATGACAGTCTACTCAAGCCTGCTATTTAGGGCGTTTCGGAAGCGCCCCTGTTGCCCTCGCTTACAACATGCTCACGCCAAAGCCGTTCGACTAGGCTCCACAACCTCTACCCAGGCCATCTTGTAACCGACGACACTATTGCCATGTGGACCTGCAGAGCGCGCGACAAAGACGGACATGGAGGCCCCTTGGGCGACTCGTTCTGATCGTGGCTGAGCAGACGAGTCGGAGGCTGTCGGCGGACCAATCCTTTGGAAATGTTTCGAGCTGGCTTGTTTCGAACGAGCGTGGTGGTAGAAGTATATCTTCCTCCATTGTCCTTTCTCCTAGTGTTTCTACACACTCTATCTTCTTAATTACAGCATTGAATTTGCTGCTACTTTCGCTTACCAAGGCGAACAAAGTCACACTCTTTCGACTTTGCCGTCTTGTCAGACCGTCATTCGTTCAAGGTCCAACTACAACATACTTTATCTTTATTGCAGCTTTTGAATTTGAACTCGACTTCCATATTTCACCATGAAGTCCACATACGCTCTTTTGGTCACTGGCCTCGCAGCCCAGCAGGCCGCAGCACACTGGAACTTTTTCGACAACTACGGCACACCCAACTACAGCAAGAACGTTTGCGACGACAAGCAGAAGGGTGGCTTCGACTGGTCGGATCTTACAGATGGTCAGTCCGTCGGCAACTATGGTGATTTTGACTTCTCTGGAGGATGGAAATGCTCCAACTCCTTCGGCAAGCGGGACTCCATGAGCAAGCGGACGTTTGGAAACAAGTGCATCAAGAACACCGTTCGCAAGGACAAGCCAGCCGCATTCGGCTGTGCCCAGCGTGGTTTCTCGATCACACACATGGATGTTTCATCCGAGTTCGACGCTGAAATTGAACTCCATTACAAGATGGAGGACGGATCTCTCTGCAAGCAACACACCAGCTGCTCGGCCGGTGGATCGACGTTGCAGAACACACAGTGCGGTGGCGCCAAATCCGTCGAGGTCTACCTTGGCTCCCACTACAAGGGCGAGAAGGAGTCTTGCGAAATCGGTTTCCACAACATTGGTTTTGACTGCAATGCTGAGAAACCATACACTACTCCCACCCCACCTGAGGTTCCCTCTACTTCAAGCGAAGTTGTATCTTCCACCATCGTCGAGTCATCCACTGCTCCAGCTTCCAGCGTTATCTCCTCCGCTGTCGAGACCCCTGCTTCCTCTGTGGTCGAGACTCCTGCATCGTCTTCTGCCGTTGAGACACCCGCAACCTCTGCCAACGAGTGCGGACAGTATGGCGAGGCATGCAACACACCTGTTGAGACACCTCTCTCTTCCACTGCTCCTTATGCCAACAGCTCTATGCCCGCCTACACTCCTCCGGCTTCTTCAGCCGTCGAGATTGAGTCTTCCTCTGTCGTCGAGGTCTCCAGCACCCCTGTATCGATCCCTTCCATTAGCACTGCTACTCCTCAACCGGAGTCTTCCACCGCTGAGGTACCATCTACATCTCAGAGCTCTGTTGCTGCTGGTTGCGGTTACGGAGAATCTTGCGAGCAGTCTTCAATCGTCGCATCCTCAACGGCCGCGTCGTCGGCTGTTGTTTCATCTGCTGTTGTCACTTCTACTGTCCCTAGCTCTGGAACTCCCCTCCCTGCTACCAGCTCCGCCGCTCCTCAGCCTTCCAGCCCTAGTTACCCTCCTGTCGACATCACAGACTCGGTCCCTAAGTGCATGAACTCGTGGCTCCAGATTTCGGCCCCAGATTGCAAGGACAACACCGATTCCAACTGCTACTGTGTCAAGCCTGAATTCACTAAGAACGTCATTGACTGTATCTCAGCTCGCTGTGGTAGCGATGACGAAATCAGCAAGGCCCTTCAATACTTCATCGGCATCTGCGCTGAACACGTCCCCAAGAACCCCAGCATCGTCGATGACTGCCCTTCGTACATTCCCTTGAACCCTACTCCTGCCGCCCCATCTGGTGGTGCTTCTACTGGTGTTGCTAGCAGCAGCGAGGTTCCAGAGGCCGCTGAGAGCAGCTCCATGGCTGCCCCTCCCGCTGGTGGCGAGAGCTCTGCTGCTCCCTCTGCCCCTGCTCAGGACACATCCAGTGCATACGGCCCTGGTTACCCTGGTGAGACACCTGCTGTTCCTACCCAGGGTACTACGACCGTCCCTGCCGGTGAAACTCCTGCGATTACCACTGTCGTCTCCTCTGCAACCATGACTCAGGTTGTTGGCACCACCACTCCTGCCCCTGAGACTCCTGCTGCAGAGACTCCATGCACCACCATCACCTTCGGTACCACCACACTTACCGTCCCACAAGTTCACTTCACCACCCAGACCAACTCTGCCGGCGCCAACCCAACTGAGCCTGTTGCCCTTGTGCCTGGCACTGCTGAGCCTGCTCAGACCCCAGCTGCCACCACACCCGCTGCTGGTGGTGCTCCTTACCCCATCCCCTCCACCATGGGCACTGCCACTGTTCCTATCGGTACTGCCACCGGTACTGGAGCCATCCGCCCTTCTTCGCCAGCTGAGTTCACTGGCGCTGCCTCGCCTTTCACCGTGGTGCCCAAGGGTGCTCTATTCGGTGCTGTTCTTGCCTTCCTCGCCTTTTAGATGCTATACATTGTAATATGGTGTAGCTTTATCTCTTTTGTTTCGCTGTTTGTATCGAGCTACTGGTGCCTTAAATGATGCACAATTCGTATCCGAGGACTCGAATCTGTAATGCAAGCGTTTCCTTTAAGCCATAGAGTATATAGAAAAGTATACCACGAGTGATTTACAGACTTTCACACGATTCTTGAGTTCCGTTATGATTGAAGTCCATGTTGCTCGGAGTTGACGGCAACAAGGCACTGCATGGGTTCGCATGTGAATAAGATGGGGCAGAGGGCTGTGCCGAGGTCCGCTACGCGGATCATAGGCGCAGCATTCAGGGATCATCGTCATATGGCTAGCTTCCCCAGACTCTCTAATGACAACAACATCCCCTCAAACTATGGTCCTGACACATACAACCGAAGACGCCCAGTATGTCGTCGTCTGGCGCATCGCAGCCCACGCCGCCCAGTAAAGCACAAAGCGTCGATCCAATATTGCGCAATGCGCTCCGCTACACCATCTCGGCCAAGGAGTATCAGTTGCTGCACCAGTACCTCCTTTCGCGCGCACCCGTCGTGAAGAAGCGCACTATACATCCTAAGCGATACGACGCGATTGTCAAGGGTCCGGATGACTACAACGTAGCCGCATTCCGCGCTGCACTGCGGTTGGGCGTTGTGACCTTCTCGGGGCTGAAGGCATGGGAAGTGATTAGCACGAGGCTCCTTTCGCGGGGAACAGCGAAGAGGTAGGTCCGGTCCCGCTTTGTATCTGAACAAGTCGCATTAATGCTGTGGCAGGAGTCAACCTAGGACATCGGTCCTCAAGTCACCCAACGTGCGCCTCAGCAGCTCCCTCGCCCTCATACTGCTATTCCACCGCCTCCTACGTCGCTTCTTTCTGCGCATCCGTGAAAGCCTACTCAGCCACGAAGGCAAGTCGTTCCGGCGACGAAACCCGCGCATATCTCGTTCCTTGACGTCGAGGTTGGCACCGGCCATTGGATCCAGCTTGGCGGGGTTCTTCCTCGCAGTGTACCCCGGGGACCAACTGCGCGTAACAATTGCGATATACATAATGACAAGAGCTCTGGAGTTTGGCTACAATTACTTGGAGGAACTAGGATACTTCAAGAACAAACCAACCTGGCTTGGTTCCTGGATGATAATGCCAGTGGCATGTGGACAATTACTGCACACATTCGTCTTCGACCGTGACTGTTTCCCTTCTGGCATGGGCGATCACATATTGAAGAACTCACCAGAGTACATACAGAAACGACCGAAAGACTACCCAAGCACGGCGCAGTGGCCAGGCACGTTTGATATTGTGGACAACCTAGCCGACATCTCGCGGCAACGCTGGCCAGCTTTCGTATCACCCATCCTCTTCCCCAATGCAGAAACGCTACCAAAACGCCTGTCGTCCATCTCTCCCATAACCTCTCCTGCACATCCAGCCATCAAGTCCTTGTCGTGCGCCTTACTCCACCCACAAGATCCTTCCTGTCTGCGAACCTACGTCCAGTACTGGATCCAAGCCTTTCCCAAAATCGCCCGTTTTTTCACTCTCTTCTTCGCGGCTATGAGCATCACAAAGTACAAAGCTTTCCTCTCCTCGCCCGTCGCCTCATTAAACAATCTCGCCAAACGCGTACTGCGCATGTCGCTCTTCCTCTCTGGTGCTATAGGAACGAGTTGGGGCTCTATTTGCCTCTTCCAGAACATTCTGCCCCGGACTTTCCTCTCCACCCAACGCTGGTTCCTAGGTGGTTTCCTCGGTGGCCTATGGGCTTTCTTGGAGAGGAAAGGTGGGCGGAGTAATTTCCTATATACAGCCAGAATGTCGATTGATTCACTATGGAAAGTGGGTGTCAAGAGGAGATGGTGGAAGGGCGTGAAGAATGGAGACGTACTGCTTTTTGTTGTTAGTTTGGCAACTGTTAATGCTTTGTATGAGGTGTCGCCACGGGCGGTTAACAGTGGTGTTGCGAGGAAGGGATTAGGTGTGTTGAGGGGTGAGGGCTGGGTTGACAGAGCAGTGGTGCCGACTGAAGGTAAGGGCAAAGAAGGTGCTGACCAGGAGTAATGATATCCAGCTGTTTTGTGTACGAATACTTTGAATACTGAACATGGTGATGGTGCATTTTGAATCTCAAGGTATATATGTAACGTGCTGAATTGGCATACAAGTAATGACTGTCATAACAAATTCGCTCCAAAAGGACTGAACAATCTTGAGTGGGGTATAACAAGGCTTTTGAAGCCAGACAAACACACTGAGTCGCTTCTTCCATCTCCTACCATTACATCCACCGCCTTCTTTCCCTCCTCGTGGTAATATCACATGTGACATCAAGCCATCTTCATACTCTCGGCGCTCTCGGCCAGCTCTGCCCTTTCACCACCATAACTCTTCGGTACACCCTTACCCAGCTCGGCGGCAAGCTGATTTCCATAGCTCAGCACCACAAACTTCTTGCTCGTCTCCTTGGCCACAACCAACTTCATTGCGTTAAACAGCCAACCCATGACCACGGGTACGTTGACGAAGAACTTCCTGCTCAAGGTCTCAGGGTAGTGACGTCCTAGTATTTCAATGGTCTTGTTGGTTGCCGTCTTGACAAGGGGGTCGCGGCGCAAGAAAGAGACTTGAAGGTAGTCGTGGATTTGAAATCCTTGGTATGGGTCTGGACCTTCTCCGAAATTGGGGATGGGCGTCGTAGCGGCGGGGAGGTTGAGTGCTTGGACGGACTTTTCCATAAGGCCCACACGCCAGCGGAGGAAGCTGTAATGTTTCTGTTAGAATGGTTCCACTTATGGCATTAGGAGCAGAAAGAACATACCCATCTAGATCACCAAATGTAGCCTTGTTGTCCTTCACAGCTCCATAGATGTTGAAAGTAACAATATCCTTCTTGTTGGGACTCTCCGGCACGCCCTCGACCTCCAGCACGTATCCTAGCCCATCGAACTTGCTCTTCTCGAATGTCTCCCCTGCCGCCTTGGTCGGATCGAACTCCTTTCTCCACTTCAGCGTATCCAGTAGCTGTGACTTCGCTTTCTCCAGATCGTTTTGGTTGGCTCGGAGGAACTTTTGTAGTATGAGCTTGGTATGGAAGGGTTTTGATTTGCTGAGCTCTATGCCATAGACTTCTCCATGCTGGGCTTCGGTAACGAGGGCTTCGAAAGCATCGTAGAACTTGGTGAGTGGGTGATCGGGCGCCGTCTCTGGCCAGAAGGGTCCCTGAGTGGGCGCTACGGTGTCGGCTTCGGGTTCTTTCTGTTCCACAGGTTTGGCTTCGCTGTGTGCGGTTTCGGGCGCCACGGCATTGGCTTGGGGAGTGACGTCTGCTTCCTTGTTCTCTTCTTTCTTTTCGTCGACAGAGAGATCGGCTACTGCCGCGGTGGCATTGTCGATAGCCTCCCCTCCATCGTTCTTGTCGTTAGACCCAGCCACAAGATCAGGCTCCGGCTGTTTCTCCAGACCCGCTCCGCTAAAGAGACCGGCCCCCTCCGTAGGTGCCGTACTCGCGTCCTCGGGCTTCGCTGCCATCTTTCTTTACTTCGCAAATGGGCGTGTGCTAGTCGGGCTGCCAACGTTGTGTTTGGAGAATTGTTTCAGGAATGCGGAGGCCGATCCCTAAACTCCGGAACCGCGATGCGCGTCCTCACGTGTCTGAAATCGATATGCGATTGTACATCAGCTGCACACACCGCTCCAGATTTATGGCCAGTATAACTCAATTAGTTCTATGTACGGAATTTGTTCGACAGGAAAGCTGCGTGACGTTCGCCCCATGTTCGTAAAAACAAAAAGGTCTTTGCCTATAACAAAGCGTGCACATGATGTTTAGCTAGGACAAGTTCCTCCGTAGCAGCCTAATCCAAGTATGCATTTACCACGATCAAGAGTCTATTTGAATAGATTCTGTGTATATGCAGTGTGTACTAGGAGTTCCATGTTCACTGTCAATGTACTTTTGCGAACAGTCAAGGTTCAGTAGTAGTTTAAATATTTTCATTATAAATAACAAACTACATAATCGCGCTGTACTTCCAGACAGGCACCTCTATTAAATTCACTTCGTCTCCTGCTGTACACACCTTGTTCAATTCCATCGGCGTGTGACAACGGCTGAGAAGGAAGGAAGAATGAGTAGTGGCGATGCACGATACGAGCGTCACCTGCGACTGACAGTCAGCATATAATGTCCGTCGTTGATTTGAACAAATAAAGCAGTTGAAGAGAGCAATCAGTCGAAAGATGAAAAGTCTCGAATGTTTTTTCAATCAGTGAGGCGAGCCCCGTCTGAGTTAGCATGAATTGGTGTTCATCATAGCATGGAAAAGAAGAAGAAAAAAAGACGTGGGTAATGTACCTTTGCACTGCGCAGCTGACAGCTGAATGATGAGTTACTTCAATACTGTATTTACCTAGAGCAATGTCAGTAACAATTCAGACAGAAGACGTTTTGACTAGAGCTCGGGTATGGGAAGAGATTCAGGTAATCGAACTAGTTTATTCCCCACGAAGTGGTCGGTATTTGATAATACATTTGTTGCTCATCATCTAAGGATGGATGCTGGGGTGCGAGGGATGTGGTCTAACCTTTTGGATCATAACGCAGCCCACGAAGCCTTTGCCGTCTGGACAACGCTATGACGAGGTCTGCTATCGCTTGTAACCAACGACCATAGAGGATGTGCGACAGGCGTAAGACTTCGTGGGGCTACGGACCGCCATGAGCGGTGGCGCTTCGCAATGCGCATCATCGTCGCGAAGTCATACTGCGACGGACAACTGCGAGACCCTTTATAATTTGTTAGCGTTGGTCCCAGCAGAAGTTGCAGTAACAAATTGGTAGATGTTGCGAACGATCAGTATTCTCGTTTGGCTTGAGTGGTCGGATCACCATAGAATGTATGATAGGGGCGACACAAGTGTTCATCATGATAACAACAGTAAACAGAGAGAGGGAGGGTATGATGACTTACCAATAGTTGGGCGCGTTGTTGGAGTGAGAAGGGAAGCAGCGAGCGCAACTTTTGTATGGGAACTTTTCGCGGCGGTGTTTCGTTTCGCCGAGCGGGTCGTGGTCCAAGCTTTCATCCATGCGGCTCTCTTGCTCATGGACGCGCTCCACCGTTGTTCCTCGGTCGGCACCTACGCGCTTCCTTTCTACATCAACCCACCACGACGAAACTCCATTTGCACCCTCACCCAACATGGTCGCCTCAACCTCGGCATCTTTTGAGAACTTTGTCAAGCAGACAAGGGAGAAGAAGAAGAACGAAGCCCTCGCGCAGCAGTTCCTAGGCGGAGCCAACCGAGGACGGAAAGCGAACGCATCAGGCGCTGGTGGACGGTCGCGCGTCGAGTCCGAGAAGCCTTCATTGCTCAGCCGGATAAACGGGGGTGCCGGCGTCCAAAAGCGATCATCGAGCGCAAAACCAGCGGGCAGCATCGAGGGGAAATGGCAGCATGATCTGCATAAGCTGAACAATCCCCGTGGCGCAGCCAACAACAGAAACACCCTCGCTCGGACGGCTTCAGCATCGCAGGTTGAGCGCAACAGTAGGACGTACGGCAAATTTGCTCCCGTTATCGGTCAAGGTGCAGCAGGCTTCAGCATTCGAGGTGTTGCGACTGGAGGCCCGTGTACCGTCATCGCGAGCAACTTTGCACCTGGAACCACAGCCGCGGATATCGAAGCCGTCATGAGCCCAATTGGCGGAGAGACGCTGGGCTGCAGACTTTTGTCTTCCAACCCGACCGTCATGGTTGAACTACAGTTTGCAAGCAGAGACGGGGCCGAGAATGTTATTGCAACATTCAACAACCAGAAGGTCAGTCGTCTGGCGTGCATATTGCTGGGCTGGACTAATCAGAACAACAGGCTGATGGAAGACTACTCTACGTCTACATGAAGGATGTTCCTGCGAGCACCCACGTAGCGCAACCCCGAGCACCGCCCGCTCGCCTGACACAATCCATGGATGACATGGACGTTGATACCAACGCGGGCGCACAAACCGGTAGCTACCAAGATGGCCGATTCGGCTTCAGCGACGCTGGTCGCAGGGAACCACCGCGCGGTCCCCGCCGACGATACTAGAGCTTAAGCATCAGCGCACATCTTCTTCGATTTCCCCTGTACGATACCCTTTCACCAACGATAGCGATGAACAGACTCCACTCGGCGGGGGCTCTAAATCAATGACATGCAGATGAGCCGTGTAGTATTGGTTTTTGTTTCGGAGACATAAGCAGGGAGTTAGGTTACATAGACATCGTATGCTCTAACGACTTCCTCGCAAAGGATCTGGTATCTAGAATACATCTTTAATTATGGACGCATATCATCTCTCTCTTTGCCGTATTCCTGTCTGTTTTCGCCTCGGGGGAACTACTTGCTGGACCAACCTGCAATAGCAGCATCGACCTCGTTCCTGTACCTTTGTTGTCCCTCACACAGCTCCAGGAACACCTTGTACTTAGCGTCCAATAACTTCTTGACTGTCTTGTCGGCTAGTGGCTTCACAGTTTTTCCAGGCTTGCTCAGTCTGTCCATGATGTCCCAAAGCGGTTCACTGTTTCCGTCCTTGTCGGTGCTCGCTGCCTTTGCACCCAGCATAGCCGCGCCGTGCACCACAGCTGCATGTACATAGCGTGGAATCAGAACGGGCATGTCGCATGCGGTGGCCATGAGTTGCATGAGCAGGCTGTTCTGGCACTGAGAACCAGACATGAAGATTGAGGAAATAACGTGGCCGGAGGCATTCATCGCAGAGACAATCTGGTGTGTCTGCAGAGCGATAAACTCCATGGTTGCGTAGTAGTATAGCGCCAGACTGTCGAGACTCTTGTCGGAGCTCAGACCAATTACAGAGCCCTTCATGTTAGGGTCGGCGATGGGCGAGCGATTGCCGAAGAGATCACCGTAGAAGAAGAAGTGGCGGCCAAGCCAGGCGATGTGTGGGGCATTTTCTTTGTCTGCCATCTCGCGTAGGTGTTCGTTGAGGTAGTCGTAGATGTTGGTGTTGTATGTTTCTGCGACAGACACGGCTTCGTTGAAAGCTGGATGTGTCTCGATTACATGTTTGAGCAATTCACCCGTTGCACTTTGTCCTCCTTCTGCCATCCAGTAGTCTGGTAGTAGGACGTCTCGGTATGGACCCCAGACACCGTCGACGAAGACCGGGTTACGGGACATGGCAAGGTGACAGGTCGATGTTCCGGCAACGGCTGCGAGGCGCGTGAAAGCTTGTGAGACGTCGTTCTTGGGTTGATCCATGTCGAGAGTATCTTCGTCGAGCTTGACTTTGGCACCAACTGTACCGATCCAGCCAGCGTAGGCATCGATAACTCCACTGCCGACTGCGATACCAGGCTGTAAGCCCATCTCCTGTGCAGCCTTCTCGCTGAGTGTACCGACAAGTTCACCAGCAGTGAGGTAGCGTCCGTTCTGCATGCATGTTAGCTGGTACCGTCAGGTGCTAGTAGCGAAGGACAAACCACTTTATCAACACCTCCCATGCGCTTGAAGTTGTCTTCGCATAGGTCTTCAAGTCCAATCTCCTTCAGGAAGTCTTCCTGCCAGCCCTTGACACTCCCATCGACTCCGACCGGTACAAAGCCCTGCTTACAGACTACACTACAGTAGCTTCTGCTTTCACTGCCAGTAGCTAAATGCGTAAGAGCATCAGTCAGATCGTAGAACTTGCAGCGGTCGAATAGCTCCTTTGGCATGTTGTTCTTCAGCCACAGCACCTTTGGAATCTCCATCTCAATAGACATCTTGCCTCCAACGTAGCGGAGCAGATTATGCCCGGTAGCGTTGATCTTGTTGGTTTCCTCTACAGGCCGATGATCGAGCCATAGGATGACATTGCGATCGTTACCATCCTTGTTATCGAAATTGGGTCCGGTGACCGCAACAGGCTCATCAGTGTCGTCTCTGAAGACTGCGAGCGAGCAGGTGGCGTCGAAGCCGATACCGCGGATAGTGCTCTGGTCGATGTTGTGCTGATCCATTGCTCGGCGGACTGAAGAGCAAATGCACCGCCAGATATCCGTTGTGGATTGTTCCTGATTCATTTAGTTTTCGGTCACAACAGCTGTCACATGTGAATGAAGTACATAGTAGCCAGTTTGTGGTTGCCAGAGGCCAATGTTCTCTGATGCCAGTCCAACGATGTCTCCCTGATCATTCATGATGCAGGCTCTGGCACTACCAGTACCAACGTCGATACCGATGTAGTGGTCAACTTGAGGGTGGAGCTCATTGCGGGGGTCCGTCGACAGTTGACGCGACTGCTTGCGCTGGGACTGTCGGAAAGGAATTGCCATTGCTGCAAACGATTATGAAGAAGTGTCAGAAGGGCGATGTGTTAGAATTGAGGAAAGCTAGCAGAAATCTCGAGGACTTGAGAATAATGTTGAGATACAATACAGCTGTCAATGCGGGATGAGCTCATAAGAGCTCTGGGGGAGCTCTAGTACGGTGGGGGTGGGGCAACAACCCCAGCGTTCTGTGCAATCGGACTACTCGTCCTCAGGGTCATCGTCGGCCTGAGTGCCGATCTGCTCGCAGACAGACAGAGAAATGTGGGCATCGTGAGCGTCGGGTCCACCTTTTGAGGTATGCCGGATGCTGTTGGGCCAGCGTTGGCTGTCAAGAACGCCACGCAAAGCAAGTTCATGTCTTGGATGCTGGCTGATCATGGTCATCGGTGCGATTTCGGATCAAGCGGAGGTGCAGGATCATTTTACTGTTTACCTCAGGAGATATGGGATGAGGAGGAGGGGTCACGGAAGCGTGGCTCGCTTGAGTGAATGGCCCGTCGGTGATACGATTCGCCGTTGAGTTGAACTAGCCCTAGCTCTCGTAACCAACACGGTTGCGCATACAGATAGCAACCGCACCAGCACGCCAAGATGTTATTGTCAAGGCTTCTTCTGCTTCCCTTTGCGGTCGCATCGTCGGTCACACTTTATGTCTCCTCTGTCCCAGCCTCAGCCGACAGCGCTGTAATTCCCTCCCCAATCCCGCTCGCGCAGATCGAATACGATGCAGACCAATCCGTCGGCAGTCTAGCTTCCTTCACACCACCCACAGGCTCCTACTCGCCTGATCATCTTCTTCGCGTCGGCCTTACAGATCCAAAATCCGGCTCATGGCGGGGCATTGTCACATCAGCAGCTAGCTTCTCCGACCGATACCACAAGAAGTTTATCATCCATGTCGATGACAAGGGGGAACCTTTCCACATCGGCTTCGGTACGAGCGCGAAAGGTAGCGGAGACGAGGTGGAGGTGGAGATAAAGAAGAGGAATGTTGGGCCAAAACCGGTCCTCAACAAGCCTATCGTGCTCAATGCCGAGGGGAAGCTTGATGGTAAAGAGCCGGAGAAGACGTTCTTGCAAAAGTGCGTAGTGCAACAGTCCTCGCTCTCGGAGGCTATGCTGACTTTTTTACAGGTACTGGTGGGCTCTCGCTCTCTTCTTAGTAGTGCAATTGGTTGCAGGTGGTGGAGGCGAGAAATAAGGCAAAGGCGATTTGGACCCTCATTGATTCCCAGTTCAATCCTAAATGCATTTTCATCTCCATTGCCAGTCATGATTCCTTTGAGACTGGTGCTACAGGTACGGTATTCTCAATATTTTCAAATTGATTCCATGTAATTGTGAGCAACAAGTGTTCTATCAAAGGTAAAGGGCATAAACTATCATATATTCCGTTTCGTTCCTTCGTCTTAACGTCTATGATCTGGGGTAATCATACATTCATCGTAAGCGCTCTTAGGCGAGAGCTGTGCTAGCAGAAGTAGGACGAGATTGGGCAGGTGGGGGGAACACAGTCTTGGGGACTGCGACAGCTGCAGCAGCTGCAGCAGCTGCAGATGTAGCCAGAGAAGACAGTGTTGGGATGGATCCAGTCGAGGTCGCATTGACTGGGGTACGGATAGCAGGAGATGGCGTTGACTTGGGCTGGTGGACGTCCATGGGTAGGATCTCCGTCTTGAGCTCCCTCGTCTTCTTCTGCTTAGGCTCGGGGGCCTTCTCGTTCTCCTGGACATAGAACTTCCGAAGCAGCATGATTGCTTCCTCTCGGAAGATGCCGCCGGTGACTGGATAGGGCTTGTCAACGCTGGGGCTACAGGAGTCAGTACGGACAATTGATGTGTCTGTATAGAACGAGGGTCACATACTCAGAGTGGATGTTCAGCACTCCTCCAGTACCGCCGAACCGCTCGTTCCAGCATCCGAAGTAGACTGCTCGAATGCCGTACTGGCGCAGCATGGATGCACACATGACGCATGGCTCGACAGTGACATAGAGGTCTGTCTCGTTGAGGATGCTGATGGGGTGCTTTGACAAGATGCCAGCGATGGCGACGAACTCTGCGTGTCTGGTACCGTTCAGAGTTCGGTTTGTCTCGTTCATGCCTCGTCCAATGACCTCGCCATCTTTGACAAAGACACAGCCAACGGGCGTCTCATCACTCTTCAGTGCAAGTTCAGCCTGTAGCGGTGATGAGTCAGCATTGGATCCAAACACGGTAATGGAGGCTTAGGATAAAGGTGAAATGTTGTAAAGCGAAGGGCGTGATTCACCATAGCGATAGCCTCCCGCATGAAGCCTTCATGATACGCTCTCTCCTCCGGATCCATGGCGTCTGGTACGTGAATCGCTTCGTTGTCTTGGCACTGTTCTGTATGCACCCGAGAAGTATTCGCAGATTTCGAAGTCGGTGTTTGCTGTGCATGTAGATAGTAAAGCGTCAGGCCAAGAGCGGCAGACGCGAGCACGAGAGCCTTCCATGATTCCTTCGCTTGCCAGATTGCAGTCATTCCAAGGTGAGGCAGTTGCGACCATACAGAATGTTCTGAAACAGAAGGTGCAGGTCCGAGTTCTCAGGCGCTGAGTGCCGGCCCAAGACGGTTTCGGCAAGCACTAGCGCCTAGTTTACGTGGACGTGGAAGCCGCGATCCGACCGAGGGCTAAGCTACCAAGAGAAGCACACAGCCATTGCCATCGCAACGCCAGGCATCGACCAACATTCACTCTGTCCAAGCCTATTCACTGCACAGCCACAATCACATTACGCAGCGCAACGTACACCAACGCGGCGCACGATATTTCAACAAAGCATATCAAACCTCGCGTGAGACATCTTCCAAGAGCTTCATTCAGCTTGCGCCAGCAACAAAGCTACCGGAACCGCAACCCAGACATCTGCAACACACCACCTTGCGCATCGCCCAGCACAGCTAGAGTTATTCGACAGGTAGTTGCACCGCAAAGATGACGCTCGCAGAAGAGTTCAAGTCAAGGAATTTCAGTAAGACGCCGAGTGCCCAACCTGTTATTTGTTGCTGACATGGCATCTCCACAGGTATCTATGGTCAATGGTCAGTCACACCAGTTGCTATGCACATATCCACTGCTTGCAGCATGCCATACTAACTCATCCGCAGGACCGGAGTGTTGTGTATAGTCCTTTGCTTTGCGCTGGGCATAGCCAACATCTTCAACGCCAACTGGGTCATCGCGTTTAGCATTGTGTGTTTGTACGTTTCCCGTGGCCTTCTCCCAGACAAAACCACATCTAACCAGCCCGCAGAGTATGTTCGTTCATCATCATCTTCATCGAAATACCGCTGCTCCTCCGCATTTGCCCAACGTCACCCAAGTTCGATACCTTCATCCGTAAATTCAGCTCCAACTACATGCGCGCGGCCATCTACGCGGCGATGAGCGCCATACAATGGGCCAGTATTGCCGCCCGGGCTACTAGCTTGATTGTTGCGGCCGTCTTCCTACTGCTCGCAGCCGTCTTTTACGCGCTTGCTGGCTTCAAAGGCCAGCAGTTCCAGGGCAGCAAGACACTGGGAGGACAAGGAGTCGCACAAATGATTATATAAGGCGGAGGTGGAACTGGACAAAGAAGCAGTAGGCATGGGCGACGAATCTGGACGAACGACACGTTGTTTATATAGAGAACGCAAGGATCGACGAAGCAACTGAAGTCTCTAGGACCAAGATGATGAGCTTGGCCTGTTGGCAAGCGGTTATAGGGTGTGGTGTAACTCCTTTGTAGCAGCATTCGGCAGCTGGGCGTTCTGGGGGCTATATCTTGTATGAAAATCCCTTGGATTTGGAAATGCTTGGTCAACCTGCTAGGCGGCCAAAATGCGACACATTTTTTTCTCCGGTACTCATCATGTTCCCATGACAATTGAGTATTTGTCTGTGAAGCATATCTTCTCGCTGTGTGGGGGCACCTACGTAATTATACACAGGTATTGATGTATGGGGACGAGTGCAGGGCCCACACGAGTCCCTATGACGATGTTCTAGAAGCTCGTCATGGATGAACATCGCTTCAGCCTCTCTGGTTTTGAATAGTCAAGATGCATCTACGAAACAGTTTGTCAAGGTCAATTCGACGCTCATGCTAGAAAGGCGCCGACAAGCACGCGCAGTGTCAGACCAACGACTGCGGAAACCCACCATAGATAGACTGGCATCTGCTCGCCTTTGGGATGACGGTGACTGGCTGCTACAATCTCGCCAGGAACCACACTTGTTCGGCGCGGGGAACGCTAGCGGTCTAGCGGTGCCGGAGCTTGCGCGGGCGTTGAAGATCCTGCCACACTCACCGCAGCTGATGGATGTAGGTCAAACAAAGATACATATCGTATGGTGAGCTTTGCAGTGTAATCCGCACAAGTCTCGATCCAAGTTGGAGCCTCGCAGGCTGCGAAACATGAGCATGCGGTTGTTGCAGTCGCATAGTCCCCAATGTAGAATAGCGTCTGGCGAGCATCCATGGATGTGTGACGCTCAAGTGCTCCATTCCATCCGCCAACAGTGACATTGACGTGTCGAGCAAGACAGCATCTTCTCCACGACACTGCCATGTGGCAACAGTAACCAAACCATGCAATTGACCGAGTCAAATCATGGGTGATGGGTATGCAGGTTTTGGAGGGTGACGATGGTAGCCGCGTGCAGAAGACCAGGGCCCATACGCCATACCCAGGCATGATGCAAATGCGGGTCGCAAGCTCTCTGCTACATAAGTGCACCGCCCCAGCTTCACAAAACCGATCCATTTGCGCCATTTTGGCTATCTGCCCCTCTTGCCAGCCTCATTTGTAGTCTCCAGTCCAATTGCGTATTCGAGGTGAGTACCCAGTGTATCCGCTTTGTCCAGCATCGTTGGGTCTTCAAGTCCTAGCCGCGCTTATTGGCCTGGCCTGCAGGAAACTGCCCGAGCCAGAGCTGAGCAGTTTTCTACAGCTGCCCGTTTCCTCTGCTCAACTGACCGGGCTGCTCCTTACACCCTGCTCAATTCAAGCATTCAATGTTCCGGCTCTGTCACTGACATTCAACGTCGTGTAGTTTCCCCAACACCCACCCCTCACCTACCCACCCGAGCAACAGACTCAGAAACAATGAGTGCTCCACCAACGATACCTCCACGCCCCGCGCGGGCCCAGAACAGCTCTTCTCCTGCGCCGGGCACCCACATGGACGTCCCCAAGATTCCTCCACGCCCGAAGCGTGGCGTCGAACGCTCCGTCTCTCCAGCTGGGGACCGATATGCCCGCTCCCCTCTCAACGACCCAACCTACGTACATGGCGGACCGCCCAGGGAGGGCGGTCGTCTTAGCACCGATCTGCCCTCGCGTCCACCGAGCGTCTCCATGCCCTCGCTCGGAGAAGAAGGCAACGAATACGCCAGTTTCGAAGATCTGTCAAAGACCCTCACAAGCGAGAACCAGGGCGGCTCACCACAACATATGAAGAACGTGGCAGGAGACTTGCCTTTGCATGCTCCAACTGCCTCAGTCCCCAGCTCAACCGCGAAAAGTAGGATCCAGGCCGTGACGCGGACCGACTCGCAGACAGCTGCTGCCGCTGGCTTTGGCTCGCAGCTGTCCGTTGACGACAAGGTCTCTCAGGCCAAGTCCGGTCGCTCAGGATCTTCCGCTGGCTCACGCCCCAGCTCTCTCTACAACGACAAGGATGAACACGGCATTCCCGAGATCGGTGTGCAGGTACCCATGTTCCGCAACGCCGGAGATGTCCAGGCTCCCAGTCCTTCGCCCTATGCGCAACAGCCCGGCACCCAAGGAGTAGGTTTCCACCAGAAAGCCGGAGGTCGTCATCACGGCCGCACCAAGAGCGGTCGTGAAATCTTCCATGGTCCTCCTGGCAGCTACGGTATGCACGGTCATGGCAAGATTTCAACAGACGATTTTGAGCAGAAGTGGTATGAAAAGCATCCCGAGGATCTCAAGCGCGAGAAGGCCGGCGAGTATGGCCCTCACATTCAAGAAAATAGGAAGGATTATCATTGGCGTGCGGACAACCTTGAGAAGCTAGTGCACACCAGGTCTCAAGACGTTGGAATGGGTAAGTTGGCAGCAGCTTCTGTGTCAAACAATTGTTCCTAACTGGTTTTTTCAGGCACCAGCCGAGATGCAGTCAGTACACCCGACGAACAGATCGGCTACAGGGCTACTGAGGAGTATGCTTCGCGAATGGCCTCTCCCAGGCCGCAGTCGTCGGGTCGCCCTGCCTCAATTAAGGGTGGTTACGTCGACTCACCGCTTCGTAACGAAGCAGGCCAAGAGGTCAACGACAAAGGCGAAGTCATTCATATCGATCCCCCTGCGCACCGCGCTAGCAAGGTTCACGGTGGAGGCTATGATCCGCCAACTGAAGATCTTGGTCCTGAAGGTGGCAACACGTCTGAGAAAGGCGGATGGGTTACTGAGCGTGGATACGGCACTCCCATCCTAGCTTCGGATGAGCTGAAGAAACACCCAGACGCCGAGTGGAGACAGCCTGCTGTATCACCTGAGCTAGAGCGTCACGGCAATGAGTACACGCTTAACGAGGACGGAAACCCGCAATATGTCACAAAGCAGCGCACGCACAGCAGGAGCTCAAGCCGGAACAATAGCACGCAGCAGCAACGCGTCATCTCTAGCCCAGCACAATTTGATCGCGGGGGTACCCCACTAGAGTCTCACAAGGAGTATGAACCCTTGTTCCCAGAGGATGAGGAAGACAACAAAAAACCCAAGTCTCAGGTCGACAAGCTCAAGCGTCCAAGCGTTGCTCGCCACCATTTCCCAAGTCAAGATGTCTGGGAAGACACGCCTGGTAGTCTGCAACTCGAAACTACCGTAGACACTCCTCAAGAGGCGGAAGAGCCAAGGACTGCTGGTGCCAACGACAATGTGAGTCCTGCAAAGGTCTTTGAAGACCCGAACATAGAAGAACAGCGCAAGAACCAGATCAACAAGGAAGACCAGACATCATTTCTCCCCGAACACACTAGACAATTTGCGGCAGAGAACAAGCTCCTTGGGAAGGTTCGAGACGATACGCCTGGTCGCCCTGGAATGCAGCAGCGCTTCCCAAGCCAAGACATCTGGGAAGATGCGCCGTCTCACAACTATCTTGAAACTACAGTCAGCACACCACAGATGGAGGATTCGAATGAGTATGCTGAAGACTCGCCAATTGACCAAAAGCCACAGGTGCCGGCTCGTCCTAGTGTTCCAGCCCGACCAGCTAAGAGAGAGGCTTCTGGTGACGACAAGAAAGCGCCCATCATTCCAGACCGTCCGAAGCCGCAAATTCCTGCTCGCCCAGGCAAGCCATCTACCGGCTCTTCGGAGAAAGTACCAACTGTTGAGTCACAGGCAGGCGATAACAATGCTTCTCAGCCGAAGGCGAAGCCTCCCGTCCCCGCCCGGCCCGCTGGCTCAAAGATTGCAGCTCTCCAGGCTGGCTTCCTGAAGGACCTCAACAGCAAACTTGGTCTCGGTCCTCACGCACCACCTAAGGTCAAGGAACCCGAAGAGGAAGAAGAAGCAGAGAAGGAGACGGCACCACTTCCGGATGCTCGCAAGGGTAGAGCTAAGGGCCCGCAAAGAAGGAAACCTGCTGCATCTCCGTCACCAGCTGCAGCTGCTACCATTACTGCTGAAGTCGCTGTCCCGAGGCAGTCGCTTAGCTTCGGTCCTGTTACCGCTATTTGGACGTTCAAAGAAGATGGTAGTCTCGATGTGCCCGCTGCAAAAATGGCGGCTCAGATACAGCAGTCACTCAGTGCTTCGACCAAGACGGATGAACCAGCAATTACTGAGGGTGAAGTGGACCAACCCGTTTCAGCGGAGTCGGAAGAACCACAGCTCACACAGAGTACATCAAAAGATGGTAGCGAACCTGGCCCTGAGCTTGAAACAGTCGAGAAGGCGCCATCAACCCTTGAACAGGCGGCTTCTCAAGTGTCGGAAACTCTGTCATCCGTTACTTCTAAGATTTCATCTGCACTTCAACCAGAAGAACCCTTGGTAGCTGAGACTGTACCCGGTTCCTCAGATGCCCCTGGCGCATTCCCTGAATCCGGTTCAAATATAAACAACGAGGACAACGTCAAGGATGCCTCTTTGGATCAGAAGCAGACGGAAGACAAGCCCATCAGTGCTCCCACTGAGGAGAGGAAGACTAGTGAGACCACTACGCAAAAAGAGGGTGAGGGTTTCTCACAAACATTTGCTGGTTAAATCACGTTTTAAGGAAGATGGGGCTGAGCAGTGAGTTTATCTGTATTGCTACAGGGGAGATTATGATGTCATTAGTAGACCCTAGGAACGTGTTGCCAAAATCGACTTTTGTTTAGTACATGTAACTTTTCTATGAATGTTGCTGCTATTTAATTTATGTCTGGTCCGTACGCTTCTGATTGAAATTTCAGAATATGAAGTCCTCAATACACACAAATACAGGCCCCTACGTCGGCCACAGGCACCTCAAGTACGGTTCAAAGTTGCATAACATCCTAGTTCTCGTGTCGAGCGGAAAGGCATGCAAGAGATGTATAGAACAGAAAGAAGTGTTAATTTATTTATGTTCCATGTACAAGGAAAGACCTCTTGTTTATATAGAAGAAAGAAAGCAAGGAAGTACGCTGGTAAGTAAGAGAGAGAGAAACTCGTAACAGGATACCTAAATAATAAGATAGAACCTAGGGCAACGACGAAGAAGCGCACGAAACCATTGTCCAACAAGATTTCCGATGTTCCTGTGACTGAGTCGTTCGATACCGCCCACGTGGTTGGGTACAAAGGTTGCGGACGTCTATTGACCCGGTTCTAACTTGTGGCTGGTGAGGCTGAACAAGAAGTGTTTTGACGGAAAGTGACTCCCATGACGCCTTCATGAGGTCACATTACGCAAGCCTACAATGTAGTTGTTGTCATACTGTTGGAGTAGAAGACCTGTGAGATAGACCTACGGTTCTTGGGCAACGGATATGCGAGGTCCGAGTGGGATACAGAACCCCTTACCGAGAAAGAAGGGAGATGGTTGGTTTCTTGCCCGCGAAGAAATGATGATCAGTACTATGACGATGAAAATACCGGTGAGCCTGGGAAGACCAAGAGGAAGAGGAAGAGGAAGAGGATGAAGGTAACCCAGAAAGGGTTGGTAGTAAGGTGTCGAGAATCTTGAGCAAAAATTTGGGCAAAATAAATAAAGACGGCCGTGATTCAGAGCTGGAGCAGAGTAGTAGTTACGCAGATGGTTAGTTAACTTGAAGCGATGCCATTCACACATAAATCCAAGACAAAGAGACGCTGTTTAAGAGAGTGGTATGCTCTAGTTTTAAGAAGTGCTGGTTCGATCTTGATCCCGTGTCGGATGACATGCAAAGTTGGAACGATCGCGTTGTTGGCACGCATTTTACAAACTCTCATAAAGAGAACGATCCCTTACTAGCAATGAGTCGACCTAAGCCTATCTTATATGGGTGTCGGTCTGCTCTTGAGTCATTGCTAGTACTTGCTAGAGTGATGCCCAAGATACTCAGTACGTCTGACAATCCGGTGTGCTGGCTGATCAGGTGCTGAGATCACTGGTGAATCGTTTGCAGTAGCTTCAAAAGACGCCAATAGACTGTTTGGAACAGAGAGTCTTGGGGCAAAGTCTAATAACGAGGCTCCGTCTTGCAGCTATCGGATTGGGAGAGGTGTTAGAATAGGCCGAAGTTGGGTTTCTTTGTGCAGCTTTCTTTGGCCCTTCCTCATGGCGTCTTCGATACTGGACACCTTTCTAGGTCTACACGATCGGCCTCAATTAAAGATGAAAAGAATGACTTTTGGCGTCTTTTACTCCAAAAGCTGCTTGATTGACTGCCCTCTAAGCAGACAACACCCATGCTTGCTTTTCAGCTCGGGCATGTCTCCTGAAAACGGTGTTTACCGTACATGGGCGGTCACTCCTCTGCCATGACCAACGCCTTACCTTGACCTGGTCTAGGCGCAGCAGTAGGTAGTCTTCGGGGAAAGCCGAAGCCTTGTGTACTACCGACTATTCGAGAAGGATACGAATGGGTGAATAAGCGACTGGAAGGAATCTTCAGTGGGGCCCATGCTATCACGCCGCTTTACAGCAACAAAGGAAGATTTGGCTGCATATCGAAATCTTACCAAGCGGTGTGTGCGCAGACTACTTTGCGGACACATGTTACCGCAGACTCCACATCATGGCATGCACGCGCCTCAACACCAACACAGAAAGCTCACGATAGTGCGGTTTATAACACCCGAGGCTCGGGCGAAGCTGATACGAGGGACCAGCTTCCCGAGGTCTCATCGACAGGTACTGCCGCCCCCAGCCACGCACGCTAGTCCTGACCATGGTGTGATACCTGCGCCAAATGCGAAATTCCTGCTAGTAAACGGAAAAAACTTTTTCTCCATGTTTTTGTGTACAAACTTCCTGGCTGTTGGTGGGCCGGGCATACTAGGCGGAAAATTCTCCGTAGGAAAACTGACAGAAAACGTGGTTGTGTAAGGAGATACGTCGGACTAGGATCTACCCAGCTGGTGCAGATGGTACGCTCTAGAAGTTCTCTTCCGTCAAATTTTCGCTGCTTTGCTCGAACGACTTCAGGGCTCCTTTCTTCCGTGCTAGAAGTTTCCTGCACAACATGTGCTGCCTCGGTGCGGGTCGGCGCGAGGTTCTGAGCGGATCCGTATGCACAATCAGTTTTGAGCTTGCTGCTTTTGGAGGCGTCGGCCGACACAACAACCTGACGGTTGCGTATCGGGTTTCGAGATCTCGTTGTTGTGTCGAAGGAAGCTGGCAACTTGAATCAATGATACGGAACACCGTATAGTGAAAAGGGAGTGCTTGGCAATCCGCGGAAGCCGTTGACCAAGCGATCGACATGAAACCTACCGATCTTGGTAAGGTCGTAGATCTTCTGGACTGGAAGGACAAGATTCCGCTCCCGGCGCGCGAGGAGGGCGTGTCCGAGTCCGAGGAATCCGGCTTGACAGCGAACATGTCATAGACCCTGGTTCCCGCCCTGACCGTTGACGGCATCATCATGGGAACCAGCTTATCGAAGCTGGCAAGTCCAGACCTCGATCAGTGAACATTGCTGATGATGCAAACGACCTCGGAGGGGAAGGAACGGTTATCGCAAGCTTTAGGGGGAGGGGGAAATGAGGAGATGACCATGGCTGGTCACAACTACTGTATGCACGTGGCTGATGATGTGGCTCGATTATGCTTATCTTATCACCGTCTACTATGTCCGCTCCGCCCCAGATGATCAACAACAAATCATAGTCCGTTCTTATTGGCAAGGTATCGACGATCATTCTGTGTTCTCGTAGGCCAGCTTCCTAGGCGACCCATACTTGTATCGGCGTGAGCTGAGTGAGAAGTGTTTATCGCGGAATCTGATTACAGACGAATGACATCAGCAATAGGCATTGATTACATGTGTTTGGGTAAGTTTGAGTGACAATGTGGTGTTTATCGAGCAGCACCCAGGACGTGCATGCGCGGATCATGTTGGCGTAGATGATCTGATCGTCAGATCGGGGCTGCCTGAGGCGCGCCCTGTTTCCCTGTTTGAGCACCAAATTCCTTGATTGGCAATAAAGGATCAGGAACAAACAGACATAAGGCGTTGCCAGGGAAGACGCGGCACAGAAATAAACAAGCAGCTGAGTTGGCATGCCAGCTCAGCAATAATGACCATGACACGTTATGGCAACATGCTCCAAACTTGAGAAGCAGGGTCTTGCTTCCTGTGAGCGGATTGCTTAGAGCGAGCTACGCGCGAGTTAGATTCGTACATGTCTCACCAAGACTCGCGAACCACAGCGCAGCGTTGCATGCCGGACTAAACTGAGGCCGCCAACGGACGTGTGTAGCAAAAGCAAATCGTCGATGGTTGTACGAATACTCTGCATCTGAATCGTTTCGTTGACCAAACAAATCGAAACATGATGAAACTCGAAGATGTTGCGCATAGACATGTTTGGTGTCGATATTTGGTACCGACTTTGACCTGAGATTTGATCATTTCAAATGCCATGCTGATGTTTCGAGACGACCGGTCAGCCCCGGTATCGCCGCGACACGGTGGGTGGAGCGTGGGGAAAAGGAGAGATCAGCGCTGTAACTTCCGCCTACAACTTGTGACAGTGTGGAGACGGGAGACCATGCTCAGATCAAATCTTGCGAGGGTCCAGAAGGTCTCGACAAGTGGGTTCTGCGACGGGATGCCATGGTCCGCTCATCAAGACAACTGTCAAGTGCATCGAAATGAGAGTGTGAGTGGATAATGCGTATCCGCGTGAGACGGATCATGGCTCCCTGATGATCCGCTCCATGGTCTGGCTCACATGCCCGCGTTTCGACCGAGCGGAACAAAACGTGACCGTCCGTACTGCGAGCTCCTGTTGTGTCCGATCGGGCACGTTCAAACTCCGAACATCCCACCCGCATACGTATACGCATACTTTTCGGACAAGGACACGAACAAAGGCCGAGTTGAGCCGGCTGCGTGTGTGGCATGCTTTGCATAGGCCGTTTCTTCCAAGGCAGAAGTTCTTGGAGGATTGACGGTGCGTGGGGCAGTGTGGTCAGTGTACGCAATCAAGTTCGCATCGCCTTCTTTCTGTATGCGGGGATACGAAGTTGATTGACCGGAAGTGTACTTTCATCAGGCAGGCGTTGCGAAGGCGATGCGAAAGCGTCGCTCCGCCATGCGAGAGGCTCGCTCGGCGAAAAGCAGCCGTGGCCGCGACGCGAGGTGCCCGCCCTATGCGGGAGGCATGCGAGGGCCAGGGTCTGACGCACTGGCCAAAAGTCGATCAACCCTAGAATTTCCCAGTAACACATGTGTGACTGCGCAAATTGGCAGACAACTGTAATGCGTGGGGTTTTTGTACTATGTGCTGGTGACAGTTCATCAGTCATGCATGGCAAGTGTGCCTGTGACCCGATAGGATGTGATTAGCATGCAGAGTGCAGCGATAGTAGAGCATCACCTGAAGAGAGTGTGGAGATTGTTTTTTGTGGGTGTAATGATCATCATTGAAAATCTAGCTATAGGCGGGAGTCTCGACCATCGCCTTCGGGAGACTTCGAACCGCTCGCGACCAATGTCCCAAATCCTCCTATCCCATATCCATGCAACATTTCAGAGTAGAGTAGTTTCCTGATATCTTCGTGAAGATCCCAACCGCCCCTGCGGTATATGCCAATAAAATAAAACCAAAGGATATAATGCTCAAATGCCACGCTATGCTGTAAAGGACACGCTCGCTGAAAATGCTAGATCAAAAATCAAAAGGTCAGAACACGTTGATGTGCTGGCCTAATAACTTGAGATGAGCGGAGCGGTGGTATCCATGAACAGCGGATGGTCCTCGATGTCTTGCGAGGCTGGTTTTGCGTCGTAGAAGGTTGTTGTAAGCATGGCCTCCTTGTCGGAGAAGTTGAAAGACGCTTGTGGGGGCGATGTAGGTGGTGACTCGTCATCGGACTCTTCTTCGTAGGTGAGCTCGGGTGGTGATTGTAGTTGCGATGGCACTCGAGTAAGAGCGAGCTCCGAGTCGTCCTCCATGTCGTCGTAGAATTCGTCCTCATCCTCGTCGTCGTCGACCTCCATTGTGCTGATCTGAACTGGTGACTGAGCGATGCGGCGAGGCAGGGGGATCATGTCAAAGTCGTCTTCGTTCTCAGAGTCCGAGTCGGACTCGTCGTCGTCGTCTTCCTCCTCAGCAATGCTGTCGGCCCATTGAATGTGGCGGGGCTCTTCGGACTTGGAGGCCTTGGCCATGGTCTGGTTGAACCATTGTTCTTGCTGGCGTTCGGCGTCTTGGAGCTCGACCATGAGGCTGTCGAGGAGGTTTGCGTGTCCAACGAGAAGGCGGAGGTCGTGGTCGGCCCTGCATGCCTCTTTGCCGAGCTTGGAGCGGGCGGAGGCAGCAATGTAGTAGGTTTGGGTGAGAGACATCTTCTGCTTCTTTTGCGGTGGTGAAGAGACAAAGTGGGAGCGGGTGGTCTCGGCGGTGAAGGGCTCGAAGGAGGTTTGTATGCGGAGATGCGATGAGGAAGGCATGATGTTTGTTATGTATAAGGCAGTAGTCTATGGTGAGAGGCTAAAAAATGTGAGTCAGTTTGGTTTATGACTTGGAGAGACCCGGGTGCAAACCTACCTTAAAGCAGCGGCCAATCGAGGGAAGGTGATCCGAGCGTGGGTAGAAGCCGGGAAGGTGTGATGTAATTGATGGTTTGTGGTAGCGGCGATGATGGGCAAGTCGGAGTCTGGGGTAGTCTGTTATTCGCTGTGGTGTTGTGGACTGGTGTTTGAGCTGGTGATGGAATCTGAAGCGAGGGCACGCGTGTTTCTTATGTTTCCCTGACGCATAGAGGATGGATAACGGGTTCTCGGAATTATTGGCATGTTTCCACCGCTCTTGGCCGAGCAGGGACGGATGCGGTGAGCTAACACACTATGATTCACACGACTGCAGGGGTGCTAGCGCGGCTTACGAGACAGCCCGGTCGGTCGTAGAGACTTTCGCCCGCATGCACATACGGGCGTTACGAAGCGGACACCGGACGTTGCGCGGATATACAGTCTGCCCAGCACATGCTCTGCACATGGCTAGCCTAATCGGCGTCTCGCTGTTTGTCGGCGTTTACTAACTCACGATGAATTGCATCACACATGTCGCTCCCACATCGCGCCATCAGGGTTTTCCTTTTTTCTTTGCACTGACTGCTTGGGCTGATTGAGCCTGTCTGGCTGCCTGCCTGGCTGCCTGCGCTGCTAGGATGCGCTGTCGTAAGGGCTAAGCCACGGACCTCTGTACAAGCAGAGCGGTCAGCCCTGAATCTGTGGCTGTCAAACGTGGCCCCGTCACCCTCTCGCCCAAGGCGCCTCTGTTGCACCTTGACAGCGCGCGCAACCCTGTCGGGCCCGACGCTGCACAATCCCTCCGCGCGACAAAATCACCGTTAGGCTTACTGCGAATTGTTTGCGTTTTCCTACATAGTCCTCGCCTCGGCCGATGTGCTGCAACCTTGGTTTCGCGGCTGCCTAGCACATCGGCGTTTGGCTATCCTCACGTCTTTCGTCCGCATCGTCAAAAGCCACCATCTAGGCCACGCGGACCTGCCACTCACTCTCACCCCCGCGCCCAAGCACATCATCATCAAAGACAAGGCACCAATCACGCCTGGGCTCCGACACTGTCATTTGTCCCGACCTCACAATTACAGAATTACTAACTCCCATCTGCACCCCGGCTGCCATTGGTATGCGGGCTGGCTTTGTCATTGATGCTGAAAAATACCTTCTGACAAACCCGCTAACGACCCTGCATGAACCAGTGTAATTTGATGACACGATCATGCGCTTTCTTCGCAATCGCGTGCTCAGTAGCAGACAGCCTGCGATTAGGCTATTTGCGCACTCGTCATCGTCTTCAATTCATTACTTTTGCGCTTCTACAGCCCGACTGTCCAATGTCCTGAGCTTTTGGCATCTGTGCGTCAAGTGTCAGGCACAAACAAAAAAACGGTGAACAGTGCGTCCGTACCATCCGTCTCCGCTCCGCCCTTTCCCACTACACCGGCTCCGGCGAGGGCGTGCTTCCAGGACGAACGATCCCGAAAGAGGAAAGCACAGCTTGTGGCGCTTTCAGCCGTCGCTTCGTATACCGGATTGCGATTACCGAGTCTCTCATCTCCATGCGCACAGCCCTTTTGTGCCATTGAGTAGTGCGGCTCGCATGGGTCCAGTCTAACCGTACGACTCGCTTCGACACGTATCCGTTGGCCTGACTTCACCGCTGAAGCTGTACGAGGCTGATCAGGAGACCGCTAACCGCCAAATCCAAGAACTCGCATATATGCATGCTGCGGCACCATAGCAACGCAATGCTGCGATGCGACTTCACGTCGCTTTCTGACCAAGTATGAGTCGACTATGCCAAGTGCACGATGCGGTCCTTGGAAGCCTGAGCCACCACATGTTTACGAACACCAGAACCCCGCGTCAACAGCTCTACACCGAGATGCGCTATTGTGCCCGCCGCACGCGCATCGCTTCTTTGCTGGCATGCGGCGAGTGGGTCAGCGTTTGCTCCGCCCACCTCACGTCCTCTTCACCACGTTCAGTCTAACGTCGGTACCAGTCTTCGCCATTGCGTTACCGCTTTAGGTATTTCATCAGATTGCGGCATATTCTAACAACCAAGTGAGGATCTTCAAGCGAGCGACCAGCCCCCGTCTCCAAGTAAAATCACGCAAGCGAATCTCTAGTAGGATACTCTCTAAGCCATCAAATCGCTCAACCCGCAACTGGCCACGTCTGCCGCCGACGAAAGCATTTCTCCAATCCAAAAATGATATGCATTCTCCATTGCATTCCGACTCCTGCTATGGATTCTTTCCAGTCGACGGTCTGTCCGGATATCAATTCGGGTCCAGGCCATGTTTCTAAGCAGATAGCTGCGCTACTACGTGCATCACTAAGCACCATTTCCACAACTATTGGTTACCAACACATACACATCTACCGATATTTCAACACTCATGTAAGTCTCAGCGGTATCTATATGACGCAGCAATCGTACGAAGAGCGCACACCTAGAGCAGCTCAATCATAATCGCATCAGCGGGACAAAAATCCACAGGAGGCATTTGCCAATGAAGATGCGAGACGCCATGAAGAGGCTTCAGGTTTCCGGCTGACAGATCGGGAAGTCAGGAAGTCTATCTGCTTTCAACTCGAACCCAAGTTTGAGCGCACGCTACTGGCTCGCACCTCCGCCTTTGTAAGACAACGCTAAACAGTATTTGTGATGGACGGTCCAATCCTAGTATGATCAATACTAGTCAAAGACTCGCAACTGGGAAATTGTCGACGATGCGCGAAGAGCGTAGAGTACTGTAAACTCGTGCTCGATGAACCCCCATCTCCAATGCTGGTCAGCTTGTTCCTGGTCTAAACGGGAAACCACTCAAGAGTAACTCGCACGAAAGAAAACGTAGAGAGCAAGGATCCAGCCTGTCTTTGCGTTGTGAATATCAGTCAAGAAGCCATTCCGCTGATGGCACATGCAATGCTTCCACGTTAGTGCATCTAGTTGATTTGTGTATTTGGTGGAAGCACATGCCATTATCAGATTGTCAGTACCAATCTGCCAACGCGCTTACGAAGAAAGCGAGTGCATAATCTACCCTCCTTACATGCGGACAAGACGAGTCAGCTAAGAAGGACCTTGCCCTTGGAGAAGAACCTGTAAAGTGTACATGATGATGTTTCTCAGAGATCTAAATGTGAGAATACGCGACTGTATGTTACTCTGAGGCAGCGCACTAGTCACTACATGCATCCCATTTTGTTAGAGTTAGCGCCTTCCGACTTGACTCGTATCGCCTAGCCTCTCTCTGTCACCCAAAAAAAAAAGGATTTCGAGCAAAATAAAACGTTGCAAACTTCAAAAACATCGACGTTTGCCCGCTCACGGAATCGAACCGTGGATCTTCGCATATCGGACATATGCTGCGTACGAGTGCGACGCAGTACCACTGTGCTAAGCGGGCAATTTGGATGATGAAATCTAAAATTGGCTAATTAATAATTACGAAGAATTGACAAAAGAATCAATGCCATGGTAACATGATCACATCGGTGGGGGACGATGTTCTGGTGGGGTCAGGTACCGTTGAGCCGAGATCTGTGGATGGACTCGCTACTAATGCTGGTCTTGGTATGGCGTGTCGGATACCACAACACAACCTACGAATGACCGCGGACGGCAGGAACAACTCGCCAGGATACAGAAAGCATGTCTCACAACGTTGCTGTATGTTCGTTAGGTGGGCACAGAAGCAGTCATGTCCGTTCATATGGGCTTCTGATTTTGGTGAATGAGATTGATGTGTAGAGATGATAGAGCCGACATTGTACAAAGCGAAGAAGCGTGGTTGAAGTTTGCTGCCATTGTCCTATTCTTCTTGTTTGGTAGCATAGTTCTTCATGCGCCTACCCGATGACTTACGTGCCTCACACTAGGTGTCTAGCATCATCTCGAGTGTCACCTTATACAGCCAGTTCAAGTAAAATATCTCCATGTCGTAGTATTCTGTGAAAACTATATTACACGACGGCAGCCCCCTATGCTGATGCCGTTTGCGGCTTCCCAATGAGCGCCAAAATATTACTAAACAAACCCTGCGGTGGGGGAGGGACAGAACCGTCATGCAGCACGTTCTGCAAATCCTGCATGCTGAAGACCTGCTCGTCACGCTCAATATCTTGAGTGAGATCATCGGAAACCAACAGTTTCGCCAAAGGCTTGCCAGAGTCGTCTTCCTCGCTATCCTCAGGGTAGGAGATGTGATGCATTTCGAGTTGCTCCTCTGGTGGAGGAGTCAGCAGCTGCAACGACCCAGCACTTGGGGTGATGGTCCTGAAGTACGCCTTTGAGTCAAGAACAACGTAACCGCTTTTCTGAGATGCAAGACCCATGGTAATACTAGAATATGTGTCTTTCCAAATGGGCTTTTGATGCTCTGGTCCGTATATAAACATCCTGGACGAAACCTTCTTAGTGGGGGTAGGTGTGGATTCGTTCTTCTCGAACCGAGGTAGTGATACAGCGAATGTACCGTCAGTGCTGTTGCAAGCTAGTCGAACGAGCGGTGCGCGCTCTAGGCGTCCGATGCCGGGAGTATCGATTGGTATGCTGTATGCAAGTCCGTCAGAGACCATATCCCAGACGGTGATGGCATCAGCAACCACTATAAGATATTGCCCGACGAAACCAAGTCCAGAGAGGGCCGTTACATCGATCTCAGTGAGCGATCGTCGAACTGTTGCAGATTGAACATCGATCAGATGTGTGACACCGGCGTCTTCTTCCAAATCCCAAGAGATTGAAGCAGCAAGGACCGAGCCATCGGATGAAAAGGCCAATCGTGAAGTGCGCGGCGGTAAGGTACGCTGTGAACCTTCGGTGATGTCGAGCTTGTCGTTGATTTCAATTGACCGGTCGAGCGACCAGGTGACCAGACCTTCCTGTTGGGCCCCACGAACGATGACTCCATCGCGTGATCGTGTCTTAGGTCTCCATATCCGTACGACGTGATCTTCGCCGACAGTTGCGAAGCCCGCAGCAGCCGGATCAGCGACAAGATGGAATACTCGCCCATTACCACATACGTCTTCGAAGAAGTGTGGTGCGTCAATGCGTGTTTCCAACTTCCATTGCGCGCTGCTTTTGTCGCGTCGCCAGACCTTGAGATACACCTCGCGGCGGCGCAGGCGTTCCTGTTCATTGAACTCTGGAATACCTTCATTCACATAACGAGTGTCCAGTTGTGACGGTACCCACTGCAATAGGCACAAAGTCAGTGTATGTCTTACATGCATCTCAGATAGTCAGAACTTACCTCATCAATTGTCGCAAGCCATTCTCCGTCATGGCTGACTTGGATATGCGTAACTGTAGGCTCCTTGATTTGGCGTCCATCAGGGGCGACATTGGGCTCCGTCGCATTGTTGCGGGTGAGCGCCTGTCGCCCTTTTGCGCGATCATTCGCAAGGTCAAATGTCTGTAGGTATGGCTCAGGTCTGAAACCCTCGTCCTTCTTGTTGTGACGAGGTTGTGACGATGGTACAGCGAAGAACACTTCGGTCGAGTTGGCCGGGTTGACAGCCATGGGCACTGCATCAAAGATGCCAAACGTGTTGTCACCATCCCTAGACAGCTGTTCGACGTCGATTCGACGTGATTGGATACCGATGATGTTTGTGCGGGCCTCGAGCTCGGTGGTAGACAGAACAATGACAGAATTGTTAGCCAACGTCAACGCATACGCTGAGCCCGTGGGAGAAACCACAACGTTCTCAATAGCCGCGGAAAGATGGGGTAGATGCTGTGGTTGTCCAGTAGCAAGCTGCCACATCGTGAGGACTGTCTCATCACCTCCCGAGATAAGGTAGTTGCCATCCAACGACCATTTGACAGACCCTATCGCATCTCTATGCCAATGGAGTCTCTTGGGCCTGAAGCTTTCGGCATTGCCTTTCTCAACTGCAGCAAAAGAAGCCAGAATGTCTTCGAAAAGAAGGATCACCCCGGTTTCTTCTCCAACAGCAATGTCAAGAACATCCCTTTGACTTTGTGGAGTCTTGTTTCCGTTGTCATTCTCTTGATGCTCGCGGTGATAGACGTTAAAGGTCGTGATGTGCTTCGAGAATTTGAATTCCCGCCAGACGTACTCCAAGTCCTCGAATGCTGTCTTGCTAGCCTTCGTGCGCTTTCCGACCACGAGAGAGTCAGATGTAGCAACCACGACGTACTTGCCTTGCATAAGTACCTGGACACCGCGGATTGCAGAGCTCGCACTGCTCAGTATTTGCTTGACTTGCTTGAGTTCTGTCCGGGTATCTTGACGCTTCGTACGAAGTGCGTGCACACTGATGGTGTGTCCCTCATCAGTTTCATGACAATATGTAAGATCATCCTCGGAGGAGTCTGACTGCGCAATGACTGTCATGTGGCGGACTGTAGCACCAATGTTCCATCGACCAGCTTTCTTGCCAGCCACCCAGTTCCACAGTATTATGTGCCCAATTGAGTATGCGACGTACACGAGGTGGGGGTTCGTGGGTGATAGAGCATAAGCTGTGAGGGCGCCTGTGTCGTCTTCGGAAAGTGTATTGGCGAGCAACGATGTTTCGGTTGCATAGACACGAAGTGACTTGGCGTTGGCGATGAGCAGGTATTTCTCGTCGGGCGAGAAGACAGGGTCGGCTGGTAGGAACCATCCTCCATGAGCGGGTGACGAAGCCCACCTATCAGTCTTCTTGCTCTTCTTCTTTTTGACTATACCTGATACCTCGGCCTCGATCAGTTCGTTGCGCTCTTGTCTGTTCCTTTCCTTTCTGTCCTTCTTTTCCTGCTTCTTGAGAGCTGCCTTTGATAATCCTGACATGTCCAGTGCTCCGTTGACTTCAGCCGGCGCATCTTTGCTCGCACCATTCGTTTTCGGGGTAGACGTCGATCGCTTCTTTGGCGTAGACGCATTCGACTTGGGCGTTGCACCGGTTGCGCCATTTGAAGATTCGTCGTTGCGACCATCGTTGAGCGCAGCGGCAGCGGCAGCCTCGTTCTTCCTCTGCTTCTTGGCCCTCTTCTGTGCTGCAGCCTCCTCGGCCTTCCTCTTCAATTGGGGAGTCGCGTCCTCCATCCTAGCTGAGTCTCGAGTGGACTTGCGTGTAAGAATCCGCAAAGGTGGAAGTCGTGAAGTTCGTGTAGCATCGACATGTCGAAGTTGAACTTTTTCGATGGAGCCTGGCCCGAGCTTTTCACCGCCCGCGTCCTTAGCGCGCCCGCAACTTTCTTTGAGACAGCGTCCACCAACGTCCGGCATCACGACAACCTCACCTTACCTTTGCGCGCTTCCGTAGCTATCAGACCGTGATCGCGTGTCCTCCTAAACAACACGAATACCCTCGAATCACCAAGATGATTGTTCCCATCCGTTGCTTTTCGTGCGGCAAGGTACTACAACTACATTCTAGCTCATGCGCGCCCTTGCTCACAGAGTTCCTAGGTCACGGGCGACCTGTGGGAGAAGTACATGACCATTCTCAGTGAAGGCAAAGAAGAAGCGTAAGAAACCTCGTTCATAGAAGACCCCAGCACGCCTACCTTGCAGCCAAACTCGACCTTGTTCAATACCACTACCAGTCCCGTACCGACACAAGACATTCGCTAACGTGTACCCCATCTAGTGAGGCCCTCGACGAGATCGGTCTCCAACGCTACTGCTGCCGCCGCATGATTCTTACCCACGTCGATCTCATCGAAAAGCTCCTCAAGTACGTTTCCGCCGCCGATCGCAACAAGCTGATGCGCTGCCAAAATGCAGAGATGCAGAGACACCAGCGGTAATGACGCCCCGGAAAGGAGCTAACACTTCATACAGATACAATGCTAGCGAAAGAGAACAAGCCCGCGCCGCCCGGGGAGGACGATAGTCGGCAGACGATACGGACAGGCAATTTGGAGTTTTGGAACGGCATACTTTATCATGGCGAGGCGTTTTTCGGGCGAAGCATATTGGGTTGAACTAGATCTTCTTCCATCCACGATCTGGAAGTCTGCAAAGACAGGAAATGCCTGACTATAATGAGAGTCGCTAGCCTGCGTGGACGTAGTTCCATGCGCAGGCACGTGCAGAGTGCGGGATTACAACATCTACCTGACGGACAGAGCAAAGGAAACCCAGTTCTTGATTACTCTTAACATCCCTTACCTTCACTCCCCCAATGTTCCTCCACCCACTCCGTCATAATATCCGTGAAGCTTTTCTCGTTATCAAACGCCTCAGTATCCTCCAGCCCACGCTGCGCACCCAAGTACTCAAGCGCCAGCAATATCCATTTCTCAATGAACTGATTATACATGAGATCAACGGTTTCTGGTTCTTGGACTTTGTTTCCTGGTCGATCGAAGCCAACAGCTGACTGAATGCAGTTGGGAACATTGTAGAAGGCGATGGGCTCATGAACTGTGTCGTCGCCATCCGCACCGGCATCGTCTTTGGTGGTATAACCTGGGAAAGGTTTTGGCTCATCCATATTGCGGAGAGGTGTTTGGCCTTCATGGAGGTCGGCAAAAGCAGAGTCGAAAGATGTGAGCATGTGCGGTCGAGACCGTGCTGCTAAAACCTCTGGGGGCTGCAGGAATGCGTTGCTTTCCATCATGGCCAGCATAATAGGTCCTTCGTTGTTCAAAAGTTTGAGTACTTGGCTGGCGGCTTTGTAAGGTACGTCCTTGATATACCGGATGCCACTTGTGAACGGCGAGACTAGGAACTTCGTGTCCTTGGTGAAAGCTCCCTTGAAAATGTCAAAACGGATGGCACCGGTGTTGGTAATCACAAACGCCTTCTTGCCATTCTGGATGCGATCGGATTTCTCGATAGTCTGAGGTAGTAGCTGTTCCTCGATCCAAGTGAAGATACTCTCGTTGTGCGGGTAAGGGCGACGACTGATCCAAAGATCTTGTGGCGCACAGCCGTAGACCTTCCCAAGTCCGAGAGATTCTCTGGCTTCGCCGATCGCCTTGGAAACTTTTTTCCCATGGTCAGTTGCGAACGATTTCGCGTCCTTCCCGCTGTGGTGTTGCATCGAGTAAAGATTGTTGTCAATATATCGACGAGAGAATGTGAGCTTTGGGCTCTGGAGTGCAGGCGCTCTATCTTTCGTGCCGCGAGTACTGAGACCGTTGATAGACGCAAAGCCGAGCGTCTCCATATACCGCCCACTCTCGAGAGCAGCAGCTTTGGCGTCAAAAACCTTATAATCACGGATATGCGTATGACCTCCGAAGAACTGGATAGGCGTATCCCAGTGCAGGGAACGAATAGTAGAGAAGAGCACTGCATACTCTTCAGAACGGATATCGACGTGACCAAAGACGATGATCAGGTCGATGTCTTGATCTTTGAGGGCTTCCTTGAACCACTCTTCATGCACCGTGTCTTCGACTCTGTGAATCACAGTGTTGTTTGCATTGCCTGTAAAATCGAAGATGAATCCAAAAGCTAGGATACGTATGCCTTGGTTCTTAGTAGTGAATTTTTTGAAGCGCGGCGCGAATGGCTCCAGCTTTCCGGTCTTGGGGTTATAGATGTCTAGATTAGAAGCCAAGTAGTTCTCTTTGAAGTCAGGAACTGTATGGAAATATTCACCCTCGGCAGTGTTTGCTTTGTAAAGTTCGTGATTCCCAGAACAGATCAGATCGATGTTTTGTTCTTTGGCAATTTCGTATGTAAATCTAGATATTGGGTTACGAAGTCAGTGTAGGTCCCATGTGTATTTAATGCAGGGCCCCACTAACTTTCCTCGAGGCTTAGAGGAATCGTAGATAGCGTTTCCCTCTACTCTGTCTCCGGTGTCTACAAGAAGAAAGTCCGACCCATCCGCGTCTGCTTTGTCACGCATGTGCTGAGCAAATGAGACATAGTCGCCCCAATCGGACGAAAACGACGCCCTGCAGTTGGTCAGATCGACGTGTGTCAACATAGTAAACTTCAGCTGAAGGCGTTTTTCGGTAACCTACTCTTGTAGATGGCCTCCCCACCACCCATGGATATCAGTAGTATGCAGGAAGTTAAGTTGCGCCCAAGGTAGATCACGCAGGGGAGCCGCTTTAGGAGACGGCGCCTCAGGTTGGACGCAGTAAATCCCTTTCAGAAGCGCAGAAAGAACAATAGATTTGTGAAACATGTTGAAAGGCAAGATGCTGTGCTACTCGCCCCTTTCGCGAACTGCGGTTGTATCAGGCGACCATCTAGGTACTGGGCAATGGCTGGACGAATTTCGATGACGAACGACAGGGACTGGGATGCAATACGTTAAAGCAATGTGTAAAAGCACGAGAAGGCGTTGCAGTGTTGATGAGGCAGATGAGGCAGATGATGCTAGATGTTGTGAGTGTCGGACGGTCAACAGTTGATGGTCAGCCAATCAGGCAGTGACGTACGCGATGAATGGTTGACGGGCCGTGGCTGCAGCGAGCTGGTCCATGTAAAGTCTAGCGCCGTGCTTGCCAAATACAGTTCAACATTTTTCTATATACGACAACACCAGCCACCTCACAACAACTTTCCACCCAAACACTTTTTACGCGCATCAACTCTCGTTCGTGTCGCGCAAAATGGCTAGAGCTTCCCGTTCTGCGAGCGCAAAGCCCGCCGAGAAGAAAGATGCCAAAGAGGTCAAAGTAAACGGCGCCGGTACGTCACGCCCACCCAAGGAAATCAGGCCACCGCTAACCAACCTCGCAGTCCCACGAAGAGGCGCAAAGAAGACCGAAGACGCGCCTGTTGCCAATGGCATAGCCGAGGAGGTTGAAGACGCTGAAGACGTCGAAATGGCTGATGAAGACGCCGAGGAAGTCAAGGCAGCACCACAGAAGCGTAAGGTCAACGCGTCCAAAGTAGGGCTATCTGCTAAGACGGGTTTAGCTACTGGACGCAGTCGCGCAAAGAAGACCGAAACTCCCGCGCCTGAACCCAAAGCCGCGCCTAAGAAGACGACAAAGCGCAAGAAGGACGAAGAAAGCGAACCCGAGGTCGAAGACGCGCCTGCGCCCGCTGTGAAGAAGCCAAAGGTCGAGCGCGCGAAGGCTGCACCCAAAGCTGCACCAAAAGCCGCGTCAAAGGCTGCAACACCAGAGCCAGAGGCCGAGAAGATCGATCCGGCTCTGGTTCCAAATCCCAAGGGCCCGCGCCGCGCCAAGGGCAAGAAGACAGAGATCAACTCGATCCGCTACACTGAACCTTTGAAGGTATTCGTCTTCGGCGAAGGTTCCTCTGGTGAGCTCGGCCTTGGCGCTACAAGCAAGGCCATCGACGTGAAGCGACCGCGTTACAACGAGACTCTGTCCAACATGAATGTCGTCAAGATTGCTACTGGTGGCATGCACGTTGTTGCACTAACCAAAGACAACCAAATCCTGACATGGGGTGTTAACGACAACGACGCCCTCGGGCGCGACACATCGAACGCCAACGTCAAGATGCGCGATCTCGATGCGGACGACTCCGATTCTGATTCTGAAGACGAGACTGGTGGCTTGAACGATGCCGAGGCTACACCTGCGCCTGTGCCGGCCGAGTTTTTCCCTGAAGACACCACCTTCGTCGATGTCGCTGCCGGTGATAGCTGCTCTTTTGCCCTTACTACCGAGGGCGCTGTTTACGGATGGGGCACGTTCCGAAAGAACGAAGGCATCATGGGATTCGCAACCGACAACAAGACGGCACCTCGGCCTGTCTATATTGACGGCGTAAAGAAGGTTACTCAGATCGTGTGCGGTACCAACCACGTCTACGCACTTGACAAGGACCACCATGTATGGGCTTGGGGCAATGGCCAGCAAAACCAGCTTGGTCGCCGCGTTACCGAACGCAACCTCGTCCAAGCTTTGCAGCCGAGCAAGGTTGGTTTCCACGATACCTCTATCAAAAAGCACAGCCAACGCATCACGCACATCGCATCCGGTGACTATCACGGTCTTGCAATCGCAGATGACGGGCATGTCTGGGGTTGGGGTGCGAACAATTACTGCGAAACTGGTTACACCGAGAATGCTGGTGCAGACGATGCCAGCGTCCTACAACCCAAAATTGTACACAGCTTGGAGGGCAAAGGCGTTCATACGCTTGACGCAGGCTCGCATCACAACCTAGCCATTACCAAGGATGGACAAGTGCTCGTCTGGGGTCGCTGCGATGGTTCACAGACCGGTCTCCCTCCTTCCCAACTTGACGCAGAGACGGATGAGAGCAAGGTATTGAAGAACAACGGCAAGGCGAAAATTGTTGTACAGCCGACACCCCTTCCTGACCTCAAGAACATTGTCACCGGCGCATGCGGCCCTGAACACTCTATCGTCATTGACGAGGCCGGCAAGGCCTACTCATGGGGTTTCTCAGTGAACTTCCAGACGGGTCAGGGCACTGATGACGAGATCGAGGTCCCGACTATGATCGACAATACTGCTGTGCGAGAGACAAAGCTTGTATGGGCTGGTTGCGGTGGTCAGTACAGTATCTTGGCAAGCAAGAAGGAGTAGGCCACTCAGGCTGTATCTCCATGGTGTAGAGAATTCCGATGGCGGCAACCTTCTATGAGCTTACTTTCTTCCATTTCCTGATATTTAGTCTGGCCTCACCTTTGAGGCTTTCAGACAAGCATTCACGGCGTTCAAGTTCCTCTCGGGTATCTTTTGCATAGCGGATATCTGATTCGGTACACGGGGTTATCATACGTATTCATTCATTACGTGGCTGAGCGGTAGGCCAAAACACACGACATGGCTATTATTAGAGGGCGTAGACTGGGCGGTAGGCTCAGTCGTGCTTGTGATCAACTTGTAATAGTACGATGCTATGCTATTTATATCTTTTGCGCGTATGCAGTGGTGCTTTTCTATGCGAGTTGTACTTTCAATTACAATGCGGTGAAATGAAATGGAAGACTGATGCCGTGGAATATGCAGGGCTCATGCGCAGTCGCAGCTTCAGATGCCTTACATAATCAAACCGTGATGACGCTCGACCCTGCCGACCAAAAATCACCATCACCGAAGCGCATCGATACTACACCCACGACACTACTCCACCACTACCGCAACCTCTATATATCGTACGAACCCCGCGAAACAGAAGCCGTGTGTTCCCAATATTGACGAATTTCGCAGCTTCACGCTCACCACCGCAACAATGCCACCCAAGCAAATGGCAGGCAAGGGCCGTACTCTCAACGAGCCCAGCTTCGCGTCTAGCACTATTTCGGCCTTTACAAGCAAGGAGAACAGGAGTATTGTTACTGCTGCGGGGATGTTTGCTGTAAGATACTCTATGTGATGGCAGATATCGGAGGGGCGATAGAACACGATTTACAAGATGGAGAATTGAACAAAAGATGAGCGCTGACGACGGTGTACAGATCGGTGTAACATTCTTGCACAGCAGCTGGGCCGAAATCCTACTCCCCGCGTAAACCCAAATCCATCACAAAGGGACAATGCGCCGGCGCTGTGACAGCGAGGCGGCAAATGCGAGCAGCCATCGCAGGGCAATGGACGAACCTTGACGCCATGTACAAAGAAGGAAATTTCATCTTGGGAAGAGCATTGAGAAGGGCGTTCAGGCACGGATAGCATACTCAATGGTGTGAAAGCAGGGTCAAAATGCGACCTACAACCGGGGTCATTCGACGATCTTGCAACGAAATGTACAACAATTCCGATTTTTTTCCTCCGAAGCAATCTCAACTAGATTTTTTGATAACTAGTCTCATTTCATACCCCTCTCGACGTCATCCCAGGACATATGGTAATCTGAAACACCATGCGCCTCACCTGTATCGACGCGTATGACGGTTCTGTAACCCACATGGCTGGAACACACCAAGCACTGTCTTGCTGTCACAGAAATGCTTAGCTATAGACATTACGGATCAAGTCGCCCTATGAGTTTCTTCTTCTTCTTCTTTTTCCCTCTTCCGAGACACAGTCTGAGCTTGACCACAGTTTCACGTCGCCTCCTTGGTTTGTTCAGCTTCATTTACCACCATCGTTCGTGTCAGCTATGGCGCGCGTCGAGTGTCGAGTTGGAACTCCTGCGGGCTGGTGCGAGCATAGTGTGAGCTCTTGGGGGAGCATTTCTTTTTCCACGAGGCAAAAGCTGGGCAAGCGGATCTGAGATCAACCGTCCGGATTGCTCCGGCGAATTCCTATCGGGCGCGTAACTGGCGTATGAGAAGTATACGCGTGGCGTGTTCAGATACGTCCTGATCGAGCTGTTGGCGGATGGTATCGTTTGGCTATCGTGAAGTGTGCCTTGGCGCTCGGAAGTTGTCTGTTGGCATTCTAAGCGCCAGTCAGTTGGACAAAGCAGCCTGTGTTGGTTTTGGAGCAGTTTGTAAAGTCCAATAGCAACGTTGATTCGTACTCGGCATATTGCTTTCATACGGCACGGTGGCGTCAAGAATCAATTAGCATGCTGCGCAGCAGAGTAACTCAATTGTTAGTCTGCGAACCTGGTTGTTGGTACTTCGACGCGCCGGTGGCGCATGCAGAAGGCCTTACTGTATGCGATCATCTACTGCAGGTACTCTGCATACTGATAATGCACATGGTTCAAGGAACATCACATAGCTAAGAAAACAACCATTCGTGGTAGCTATTCATTCGTAAGATTCGATTACGCTATCTGTACATGCAAAGCCGACTCTGAATAGCGGATCAACAGTCCGGCTGTGAAAGAGAGTGTACAAGGGTTTATGCATGCCCACAAAAACCAGCAATTATGCTCGCTACAATTACAGCAAAATTGGGCGCTATCAAATCAAAGACGCCGGAGCAATTGATAGGCGTCCGAAGAGGTAATAAGGAAATGTTATGTCGTTCGTAAATATGCGTGATGCTGGGGTATCTCTAGTCTATACTTCTCTAACCCAAACCTGGTAAAATAGTCAGTGTATGGTCTTAAAGCTGTTTGTCTTACGAAACTTACCTCCATCTTCGCCATATCGCTGCCTTCCTTTCTAGCAACGCTCTTCGCCGTCTGAATGGCCATGTCAAGATCATCTTGGTCGGCCATGGTGATCATGTCGCCATCATCTTTGAACTCCACCTTGAATTTATTTCGCACACCAAACTTCTCGCGAATCTGTTGCCAGAATTCGGTAATCAGTTGATCCGAGTTGATGAAAACATAACGCGTGTCACTAGAGTGAACCTTGACTCTGATCTTACTACCTGCACCGCGGTTGCTACCACCCGATCTGGTGGAGCGAGCGGGTGATCGTCTCCTAGATTTCGAGCGGGACATCATCTCAAACTCAGCATCATCAAGATCACTACCGTCGTAGTCGTCCTCGTCCTCTTCCTCGATGTAAGCTGGCCGCCTGCTCTGTTTTGAGCGAGTATATGCGCCACGACTGGAACGGGAAGGCGGGTATGAGTCGTTGTCATAGTAGTCGTCGATGATATCGTCGTCAGACCCACGACGTCGTGGCCTGTAGTCACGATCTCGCTGGTCTCGCTGGTCCCGCTGGTCCCGTTGGTCCCGTTGGTCTCGCGGATCGCGTTGTGCTCGGTCTCGTGTTGACTCTGAGCGGCTTGGTGGTGGTCGCTCAGAGGCGGAGCGCTGCGTTGGCTGACGGCGAGGGGGCTCGTTGCTGCTTTGCTGGTCGAAAGCAGCTCGTCCGAGGTTCAGAGGCTGGGGCTTAGGACCGCCACCTCGTACGGACTGTGCGCGGCTCATCGGGGCATCGGCAGCAGGTCTTCGCTCTCCACCAGATCGCCTGTCACCAGACCTCCTGTCTGCCTCTGGTGGCGGTGTAGGTGGAAACATATTACGGTTCATCGGCGGCTCTGACTGCTGGCGGGCTCTGCTCTGAAGCTCTGGTTTGACTAGGTTGGTCGCGGCGTAGGAGATCTTGTCTTCAGTCCTATCGTCTTTTGCAGCTTGTCCTCCCTTCTTAATCTCGGCACCGGCGAAGCCAGTGAAGGCATTAGCCCGGTCTGACGCAGCGACAAGACGGGCCTTTCCGAGATAGTCTTTTGTCTTCAAGTTCTTTACCTTCGCTTCGTTGGGACGGTAGACGATACCGACGGGGATGGAGAAGACGGTGTAGCCCTCAGCTTCCTCGCGAATGGCCTCGTCAATGACATCGTGGTCAGGCACCACCTTCTCTTTGGCTGCGAAGGACAGATCCTGTAGACCTGCGTCTCTTTGCTGGAGGTAAATGTAGCAGAGACCGCGGTTGAAAAGCACCTCGCAGGAGTATAGCTTGAATTTCAGGCCCAATTGCTCGTAGTCAATGTTGTTGTTTCCGCGCAAGTAGAGGAGGGTATCGTTGAAGTTGGCGAGGGCTTCCTCAAAATCGCCCATGAGGAAGTTTGAGACGCCCTGTTGGAAGTATGCGACGGCGAGGTATTGGTCCAGACGCACAGCGCGCTGGTAACAATCTACCTGTAGAGCTATCAGCACGTGCTCGTGGCATTGGAGCCATTATCCTTGACTCACCGCCTTCTCATGCTCGCCGAGAGTGGCATGAATCACGCCGCAGTTGAACAGAATCTTGGACGTGTCGGAGATCTGGTCAAAGACCTTCAATGCGACGTCAAACTCGTTGTTGTCGTAGCTGGCGAGGGCTGCCACCCAGGTTTCGATTTCCTACCCCGCCTATCAGCAATTGGACTCGGAAGGAACAAACAGACGCAGGAAGAAGGAGCGCACCTGCTTCAGAGACATGACGAGTGATCTTCACTTGTTACCCGGCAGTATGGTGTCGTCAAGCCTCAATCTACGGCCTCTCCTAGCACTCCACCGTGGGACGAGGGGTCGCGTTCCTTGTCAAACACAAACTGCCCAAAGTGCTCGTCTCAATTCCGCCAGATTATAGAGTAGCCGCCGGGGCTTGTGGGTGTGCGCGACGTGGTGAATTATGGTGTGGTAGAGGCGGTGGGTGCTGGCTATTATGGTCGTCGAGGTACACAAGTACCTGGTGTGTTGCGCGGGGAAGTAAACGATCGTACAGGTGTGGGAATTAAGGCACAGTTGGGAAGCCGTTCGAGAGAGGGAAGGAGGTTTCGAGGGCGGCACTCGGAAGAGACAGGGACACGGTGGGAATTTGGCGGGCGGTTGCAGGAGGGCTACTGGTGGGGAGACCAAATCTGAGGTCCAGCGCGTTTGAGAGACAAGCCTTGGCCGACACGGCGACCGCCACGCTGATTGGACCCCTGCACCGTGAAGCCCGAGAGCCACAGCGCTACGCGCCAGTCCAAGACGCCGCAACCCAGCCCATTGCAGCATGACACCACCGCCTCCCGATGCCCTGAGAGCCTAACCATCCTCTCCAGCGCTTCCGAAAGGACCGGAGCCTGGCTTGGTGACGCCGACTGCCAGCAGCGAATATCCGACTGCTGGCCCCCTTACGATCATCGAGTGATGGCGTTTGAGGTCTGTAACATGAAAAAGCTCCGACTGAGACAGCCACGTGACGATTCGTCCGCGCAGCCACTCACCCCATCGCCGCGCTTTTCTCAGGCATGAACGCATGACTATGCCAGGCCTCGCAAAGTCCGTGTTCGCGCAGTCCTAGTTTCGGCCTAGATTTCAAGGTGCATGCATTATCTCTCCTCACCAAACCAACACGGCATTTCGACGGCACTTGTGGACTTCTTGGGCTATCTTGGTCTGTCTTGAGCTCATAGCATCCCACGGTCGCGCTGCTCCTCTCTCTCCTGCCAGACCGTCTTTCCGGAACACGAACATACCGTCTTGTCGTCTGAACAGCCATTAGCATACACCCATCTAGAACACACGAGCCGCCAGAAGCAGAACACGTGGGGTACCAAGAGCACTCACTGTCCCAAACACCAGCGCTACGTGCAATGACACCCACTAGCGTATCCGGATCGTTCTTATCAAACTGTCCAAGGTCAGATTAGATCTCGGATCAATTAGCGGGTTTCGCATACCTTGCCGTCTTGCTCCTTTGCAACTACGATGCTGCGTCCGATCATCTCCCAGATGTGGATGGGCTTATCCAGGAACACAGATCCGACTCCACCCTTCCCTACCTGAACGGTTCCAAAGACGCCTCGACACGGCTTGCCCTCCTGTTTGGCTTTGTGATGTTCCCAGATGGCGCCGGTAGATTCAGGTCCGTCGGATATGTTGCCAGATTCGCGGATAGTTGCATGGTATGTTCCAGGCGACAATCCTCGTATACTCAGGTCAATGATGGTCATACTTGGAGCCACTTCCACCATGCGCACAAGCCCTCGAACCTTGTTCTCTACATGCGGTGCATGCGATTCTAGAATGCAAACTGCGGCGCCTGCTCTCATGTCAGAATCATAACACATCCAAACTCCTACATTCAGATGGAGCATACTGTCTGATCTTCCAGATCCTCTTAGAATTGCATCACGACCAGTAGCTTGAATAGCTTCAACGATTGCCGATGGTGCTGCTGTACCCTCGATAGATACTAGTTGATCTTTGAGGTTGGCAGTGACTTTGTTGATACCTATCTTGTTAGAAGCTGAATGACGTGCGTGGGGATCGCTCGTACCACCCAACTGCTGCAGAGAACCTTCAATGTCGTTGATGCATGACTGGCAGGTCATCGGCACCGCGAAGATGGTTTCAAACGACGGAACAGTCATCTTGAAAGGTGTAAAGTTAGCTGTAATCCTGCTTAAAGCTTTGTGCTATTGGTAGAAAGATCAAGTCGTTGGCATGCGACTTTGCCGTCTGTCGCTTTGAAATCCAGGCCCGAATCCCCGCCGAACATCCACGGACGGATCTGGCATCGGAGCTTATCTTATCGATCGATCACGTGAGGTTGGAAATGTTGAACAGCGGGCTTGGCATCAACCTTCACTGCACTGCGACCAGTCCACCAATAGCGCTTGCAGCTTCGCCTCCCTCGTTGTCGGGGAATTTCAGACTTCATACCCTCTCATAGCTTAACTAGGGTCTGCCTTCAGGGCATTGACTTCGCAGCCCGACATGTCGCAAGTGATTGGAAAGGTGTGTATTCCATCGGACCTCCGCAACCCAATATCTCTATGATCGCTGCCACTGTCTCTCTGGTGTCATGTTCTACTCTCTCTCTACTTCCAAAGCTAAAACCGTTGCATAGACCCGCCTGGCATACGCTCGCTCATGGCACCACCTCGACATCGGCTCCGACCCACGCGCGCTGGGCCGCGTCGCCTCTGCCATAGCCCTGACCCTTATGGGAAAGCACAAGCCCATCTTCGACCCCTCTACCGACTGTGGTGACTACGTCGTGGCTACGAACTGTTCTCAGTTACACACCACCGGCAAGAAGCGCTTTCAGAAACTCTACCGCACGCACACGACCCGCCCCGGCTCCCTCAAAGAACTCTCCATGGACAGGATGATGGCCAAGTGGGGAGGTGGAGAAGTGTTGAGGAAGGCCGTTAGCGGCATGTTGCCGAAGAACAGGTTACGGAAGGACAGGCTGGCGAGGTTGAAGACCTTTGAGGGGAGAGCGCATCCTTACAAAGAGAACATTCTGCAAGTGGGAAATGGTGGTGGACAGAGCATAACGGAGCATGGAGATGTTAAGAAGACATTCGCGGAAGCGAAAACACAGGCTCCCGAGGCGCCAGTATCATGACGAGGGGGTGAGCACAAAGAGGAAGAGAAGATATACCAAGAATCGGGTTTGTATAAGACATGTAAATCTAAATTGCAGGGCTTGAGCCAAGTTTTGGTTTGGTTGCTTCGTGAACTTGGTTTATTATTCCACATCTTGCTGTTGGCAATCTTAAGCGATTCCATGGTTCGTCGAACTGTGAGTGGGCATGAGATGAGTTATGTTTAATGCATTTAGGGTTTTACCAGATAGATTGATCATGCACCTTCACGTCACATGCATAGGGTGTCAAGGAAGATAGCGAGCCAAAAGTTGAATTCCTTCTACTCGCATGATAGGTGTTCTACTCTCACTCGTCCCCCCTGTATAAAAAGAAAATGTGGTATAATGTTCTACTCTCGCTCGACAATCTTCCCCTTGAAAGTCACTGGATAACCGAAAGAAATGTACAAGAAACCAAAGTGTAACGGGAACGTGCTGCTGTATCTACAGCTTCGACTTGGTGCCCTTGCGGGTGACGGTGCACTGAATGAGGCCGTTGGGGTCTGATTGAGGAGCGAAGACAGTAGCATCCTTGCCGGTGTTCTTGATGCCCTTGTGCCATGAGAGGTCTGGCATTGTGTTAGTAATCTGACGTGAGAGATCAAACTTGACGCAACTTACCAACTTCGAAGTAGTGCTTGTTGGGCAGCGCATAGTCCACAGCCTCGACCTGGGGAACAGCGGCCAAGATCAGGTCACACATTTTGTACATAGTCGCCTGTACACTGGCGCTGTCATCCTCGGCAAAGACCTTGAGGGTAATGTCCCTGGCCGCCTTCCATGCAGCGTTGAAGTCCACAGCCTTGGCCTCATCTAGGTTCTTGAACAACTTCCATTGCCAGCCAGCCTCAATCTCTGTGCTCAAAATACGGTCCCATGTCTCAGGTAGGCGCGTGTATTCATCGCGGTGGAAGCCATGGAATGCTGATCCTGTGCTCTTCAGCACAAGGAGCTTCTCAATCTTGGATCGGATAGAGACACCCTCATTCTCGCGAGTTACTGACTCGACTACGCGGGTCTCTTCACCGTCACGGAAGAAGGAGTGTGGGTGTGCTTTTCCGTCGATAGTCATGCGCGTCCATCGGTGCTGAACGATCTTGACGTGGGCGGCGTGAATATGAGGGTAGGTCTTGACAAAGTGGTCGCCAATGATGGCAGCAAATTGCTCGGGCGGGTCGATGGGGTTTTGCTTGGCGAGGATGTATGTTGTTTGCTTTTGCGTATCGGTCGCAACTACCACAGAGTTGTCTGCTTTAGTGTAGCTAGAAACTGTCAATATATGTCATGCTAATACCGCGGCGCGAAGGCGTACGAAGTCTCAATATCTCCCTCGAGTAGAACGCAGACTGTTTGCTCAACAGCCTTGTGGATGCCGGTGTTGGGATCCTTATCGACCTTGTAGAGGCGGACATTGTCCTTGCCATAGCGGGCGTAACTAAGTTGAGACATGGCGAACGACGCTGTTGAGATTGCAACAATAGCCTAATGTACTTGAGATAAGGGTTGAAGATGTAGGTAGTTAGGTGGTCAATGGGAAGCAGAGGGTAAGTAGACGAAGTTATCAAAAAGGGCGATCAAAGCTAGATATACTTATGAAACGGCGCCTTATCTGATGGACGGCACGCGGAGGACACCGAACTGTATAGGAGCGGTTTGCGATTGAGGCACGAGCAAGCTATGGACCGCCGGCAAAGAGGCGGCGAGAACGCGTTTCGATTCGTTGACATGGCCATCGGCGAGCTCCGGTCGAGGGAAGAGGCCCTGGACAGCGGCGTAAGGCGTGCACGTGACAGCATCAGAACAGCTCCCCGCCTGAATCTGTAGTAGGCACAATGGGATTATGGGTCCTGAACTGTCGGCACATGGAGTTCGGCGCTGTGTCAGGCCATGATGTGGTGAGGTGCAAAGCCGTACCGGTACGTGCAGATGGAGAGACGCGAGCTCTGCTACCAGGGTAGGAGGGTAAGGAAATGTGCACGTCCCTTGTGCAGCAGCCGCTGCCCGCAACTCGAGATGGGCATTGCAGCGCGCCATGCAACATTCACTCACACTGTCATTACACCAGCTCCACACTCTCTAGCCCCTGTCACAGCCGCTCCTTCCCCGAACCTTAGCCACACTTCCGTTTTTGGCCAGGCACCGCAACGAGGACGACTCCACCTGTGCCCGCGAGTTGCTCATGAGGCAAGAGGGCATCGCCGAAAGACAGATATGCGATGCGGTTGGCGGGAACACGGTTAAGGCGCGCTCATGACGCCATCAGCTCGCTCCGTAAACACACAGGCCGACGCCGCCGACCAGAGCTCTCTTCTTGCGCCCACGACGAGTAGAGATGGCCGCTCAGCGTCGTCGGTCGGCATGGCCAGCTCGCGGGGCGGCCAGGCCTCGTATGCCTCGTATGCAACTGCCAACACAGGCCCTGGCAGCTTCAATACCGCTCTGATGCGGCCCTCGACGTCGCAAGACGGTCGAATACGCCCCGAATTCGACATGCATGCAATCACCGTCGGCGACAATGACGGCACAACCACTGAGCAGAGGCAGGCAGAGCTGCAGGACCAGATTGAGAAGGAGACCAAGATCAAGATTGGGTCCGAGAACCTGCTCGAGGCATTAAACGCCAAGAACGCAAAAGACAGCAAGAACCAGCGGTTACAGGTCGAGGAGCAGCTTAACATATCCAACAGAAAATTAGCCCAGTTGCAGTCGGGCTTGGCTGCGGAGAAGCAGAGAGCAAAAGAAGTCAAATCACCACCAGCGGACCCACAAAGCAGACTCTCATATCTGTTTCGTCGGAACCTCTCGCGCTCGCCGTCGCGGCACATCGTCCAGAAAGAAGTAGGAGAAGAGGAAGAGACCGAGTCGCCAACATTTGTTCTGGCTGAGATATTGCAGGCTCTGGAAATTCAGGGCATGCAGCCGGAATACTATGTAGAGAGAGCCAACTCTCTGGTCCTCCTATTCAAGCGACATCCTACGCTGAAGTACGACCTGGCCTGGTCAATATTCGGATTACGAATGCAAACCATGCTTCTGAGCGATAGCCGTGAAGTTGTTGCAGCGGCGTATCGAGTTATGCGCTATTCCTTCACTGATCGCAAGTCTCTCCGAATTGTACGCGCTCTTCACACAGATCATCTTGTTATCCTGTCATTAGTAAAAGAGTCTAAAGCTAGTGTGGAGCGCGAGCAAGCACTGAAGTTTGTCCGTGCGTTCCTTGATGTCAAAGGAGGTGTTGAGGAAATCGCTCGCGCCGTGGTTCGTATCATCGTCGCAGTGGCTGAGCATGCAGAAGACCGACTGAGGAACATTGCAACGCTGACTCTAGCCGAAATCCTTGTCCGAAAGCCATCTCTCCTCGTGGCAGCCGGAGGCATGGGCGCTCTGGCTGATGCTCTGGGAGAAGGAAGCTACCACGCCGCTGAGAGTGTTGGTACTTCGTTTCTCTACCTGCTGGACACCCCTAGGAGACGTCGCTTTCTACGATCTGGGCGCGAATTGGAAGCGCCCTTTGCCATGTTCACCGATGCAAACACAACTCATGGGCATTTGCACGAAGAGAAGTTGAAGGTTAATGCCAAGGTCATTGCATCCTTGCTCCGCAGCTGGCCTGGACTGCTCACACTATCTATGAACGACTTTCTTCCCCTCCGATCCCTGCTTTGGTCCTTACAAATCCCCACTCCCCATGTTCGGAACATCATCTTGGAACTACTATTTGACCTCCTCAGGATCAAACCTCCCTCTTGGTCTTCGTCTTTCCTTGCTGGACGACGATTGACTACGTATGGTCGCGTCACAAATCTGAAGAATCAGCAGATCAAAGATGCTTCAGCTTCCAACAGCGCTGAGGATGATACCACCAAGTGGAGTCTACTAGACCATTACGTTTCCGTAGTTTTGGCAGCATTTCTGCACGCTGGGTTGATGCCAGCACTACTACAAGCTGAAGAAGATTCTTTGACATTGCCATTAAAGCGTAAGACGACATTGCTGATTGGCGAAGTTTTGAAGATGGCGAACGAGTTGCTGCCCCCATCATGGAGCGCGCAGCTTCAGGTACTCCCACAGCTTCTTCATTCAGCAGCGCGGTTCGACTCCGAAGACCGCTTTGTCGCGATTGGTACCATATATCAAGTGGACAGCATCAACAGAACTCTATATCGATCCGGACCTACATCTTTGTACAATCCTAAAAGTACTGCGATGTCTGACAGTACCTCGACAACCAGACAAAGTGACCATGCGGCAAAGTTGCAAGCCGCTATGCAGGTGGATGAGGCTCAATTTCGCAATTTGATGGTCGAGACTCAAGTATTGAACACGGTCACGTTCACAAAATGGAAGTGGGATCTCATTTTGAATATCATCGAAGGTCCACTACTCAATCCTAAACGCCTAGACGAGGCTATCAAAGTAACCAAGTTCATACATCGCGTCTTAGGTTTCTATCGACCATTTAAGTATCGTTTCTCCGAGATCAAAAACACCAAACCAAACCAACGATACGTACGAGCCGGGTGCGCCTTGATGCAGAGCCTTCTACAAAACCCCGAAGGTGTCAAATACTTGGCCGAGAGTAAATTTATCCGTCAGCTTGCCGAGTGCTTATCGCATTTCGATCGAATGAGCGGTCTGACCTCTGAATCACCCATATTCCAGACGGACCGTATGAATGAGACGCTTACTGGTGGCTACTTTGCGCTCTTGGGTGCTCTAACTAAAGACGCCCGAGGTATCCATATTTTGGAAAGATGGAGAGTGATCAACATGTTCTACCATATCGTCGAGCTCAATGATCGCGACGATTTGATCCGGACTCTTCTGAGTAACATGGACTACACCTTAGACGGTCATCTACGCCTCATCATCTCTAAAGCGATGACATCATGCTCTAAGGAGATTAGAATATTCGCAACTAGGTTGTTGCGCAAATATGCAACAAAGCCCATGGGGGCGAGCAGCTCTACAGGTGTAGCGGAATGGGCCATCAGGTTGCTTGTAACGCAGCTTTACGATCCAGACGTGGAAGTCTGTGAGGTCGCAATCAAGATATTAGAAGAGGCTTGCAATCAGAAAGAGTCGCTGGAGTTTGTGGTGAAATGCCGTCCGGCTTTGGATCATTTGGGAGAGATTGGTGCTCCACTCTTACTTCGGTTCCTCTCAACTTCGGTAGGCTACCACTATCTGGACGGATTGGATTACATCACGAGGGAGATGGACGACTGGTTCTTGGGAAGGAACGATACTTACGTGGCCTTGATCGAGGCCTCGATGGCTCGCGCACTTGCGGACATACCCGAAAAACCGTCGACTCAGTTGACTTACGACGACGCGCCTGAACCAACCGATTACGGTCTTGTGCCACCACACTTCTACCGAGAGCTGACAAGGACCAAGGAGGGATGCAAGCTACTCAAGCAGAAAGGCCATTTTGACGAGTTCGCAGCGACCATTCGAGACTTCGCATCGGAGAACGACGATCCCGAAATCATACTCAAAGTCAAAGGCTGCTTGTGGGCGGTTGGCAACGTCGGCTCGATGGAACTAGGTGCGCCGTTCCTTGAGAATTCGGACGTGGTCAAGTGGGTCGTGCAGATTGCCGAGCAGTCAGAAGTCATGTCGCTCAGAGGTACAGCCTTCTACGTGTTGGGCCTGATCTCTCGAAGCCTCCATGGTCAGGAAATTCTGCTGGAATATGGTTGGGACGGCGTCGTCAACGACTCTGGTGAGGCACTAGGATTTTGCCTACCGTTAAACTTCAACAAGCTCTTTGCGGTCAGTACCAGTTTTTCTTTTTCGTCTCAGTCAATGATCTAATACATTATAGATGACGCCCTGGGTTGCCCAAGCAGAAGACATGAGCTGGAATCCCAATGCCGAAATCAAGGTTGCCGTCACCGACAGAGACCCAGTAAACGCGCGGATCTTGAAGCTTGCTACTGACCTGGGTAATACGGTGCTTGCCAAGAAGGCAGCAAATGACCTACAGGCGTAAGTAGTCCCCTAATCGAGAGCTGAAAGTCACGAGCTAATGCATGCGGCTTAGAATCAAAGCTAGGAAGGCACCTGGGTTTAGTAAGCCTGCAATCTTCCACAAGGTAATGCAGATACTAGAAGCACATCACTTCCGCCTCCCAGCATGCCGGTTCATGCTAGACCTGTTTGACAAACGGGTCCTCGAGCAGATTGTGCTAGAGGAAGAAGATGACCAGGAAGATGAATCGAACAGCGAGTCAGAGGTCGGCTCGGACGTAGACCAGGCCGCGACAACCAGTGCACTCAGGACATCGTGAACTGGTGTTCGCGAAAACGAATCCGAAGTTTCGGAAATGGGCGTTGAGGAGCGTTATGTACAGGGATGTCAATGTACGATAGTCATGTTCTATGTTGGTGGAGCCGAACGAAAGCGTGCATGGAGAGTTTCCTTTTGCATATGGAGTTCCCTGGTACGCTTTGGGGGGCTTGCCGAGAAAGCATGTCCACTAGTCTAGTGCTACATTCGGTCACGTTTGGCGAAACTGGCACGGCAGCCAGGGACAGGAGCATCAAGTGATATTGAATTGAAAAAAAATTCTCAAAGCATGAAAAGTGGCTTTTTGGAGCCGCGGCCTCCAGAGCCGCGAATGCGCGGCGTTGTGGCTTGCAGAATGAGTGAGACACAAGACACAAGCCCCACCCTGGACGGCGGTGGATAAGATGCGAATGCAAGTCGTCACGACAATCGGACCCTTAGGGGGATGTACAGGGTCTTCGTTCGGCAGCGGCTAGTCGTTTCCGGCGCAAGTGTGTACACATGGGAAATCATGGGATTGACGTTTGGCAGCCCTGGGTCAGACGCGGGTTCAAGCGGGTCCGGGCTCTGATTGGTTGCGTAGTGCTTTGATTCTCAATGTATGACGATTTGACCTCATTCTCTCGCTTCTTGTACATGTATACCGCCGAACACTAAGGTCTCACAGCACATAGCAGATAGGTTGACACGACACGCTCGTGCGTGGGGCTCGCGCGGCTGCGATGCGGATAAGAACAGAGAGATGGGCTTGGCAGACGTTTTGCTGCTCGACTTGGGGAATGTTGGAATTAGCAGGAATCGATGATCACCACTCTGACCTTTGCTCCCCGGAAACGCGGCGCAATCAATGGACCGCGGCAGTCGTCCCAGTCCTCGGGATACCGGTTCGAGGCGCATCTGGTGTGGGAACAAGCAAGGTTTGAGTCGTCTTTTACTGTTGGAGGTCGTCTGCGGGTGGACCGTGCCAATTTTTTATATCAAGCTGGCACAGGATTGGCTTAGCCTGGCGAGCCGATGACGGGCTTTTCTCTCGATCCGAGTACCCCAGAGCTGACACAGCAATCGAGGGCAGCCTCCCATGACTGATACGGGGCGCAGAGCAACATCGCCGATCTTTAACTATCCGTCCAGCATGGATGACCACTTCAAGTTGTTCTCTCTTGAACATGGTCCTTGTCCGCTCTGCGCTCTACTGCTAGACTCCACCACCTCTCGCCATTCCGCGAGCTCTTGTGTTGCCACCCCGCGTGCTTGTATATATCCCGACCTTGTCTGCCCAAGATAATATCATCCCTCTTCGGCAGTCTCCGTCGTCACCCGTCCCTGCATCAGCACGCGCGTTGCTGATCCGCCCTCGTCCCAGCTTCCGGAAGAATCGAGCGTTCCGTGAAGACGTTTTAGCACATTCTTGCCTATTGTGAAGGTTTAACTATCTTCGAAATACGCAATCTCGCTGCCCGACTCGACTCCCGCCCTCCTTCCTTGTCCTGCCCTGCACACCTGCAGTGCGCACCTACTCCACGACCAACCAAACCCACAACCCGACCCCACCGACGGGCCTGCGACTGTATATGGCTGCCGGAGCCATTGTACAACATAGCGAATCTACATGAATCGTCAACGGACAAAAGGGTGCTCCATCGTCGAAAGCGTTGAGCATTCCTTTGAGCCTCAGTTTCCTGCACAGGCCTTCATGTGCGACGATGAGCGCTCGGCAGAGGCTTCGGAGGCGGTAGCCTTGGACGCCCACTGTGACGCCCGACAGATGGTCCGTCTAGTCCAGTGTCCACGATGCTCGAAACCTCTGAGTGCCCCAGTCACCCTGCCTTGCGGTCATACCGTCTGTCGCGGCTGTCTGCCTCCTCCACAACCTCGTACCAACATATCATATCCAAACACACCAGATCGCCTCATGGGCATTTCGTGTCCCCTGATGGGCTGCGGGGCCGAGCACGCTTCTGCTGAGTGCTCTGTCGACGTGACGTTGACCAAGTTGATGGACCTCATAAAGGCTGAGATAATTGAGCACAGGCCATCTGCGGAAAATACTCCGACACTCCTCGTCGAGGTACCCCAGCATGAAGATTCCCCTTTGGATGAGAAAGAGAAGGAAAAGCTTAGCTATCATGGAAATCAAGAGGAACTGCATGGAGGACGCCTCGTGTCCACGTTTACCATGGCTGAAATGGGCAAACTTCGGTACTCTTCCGAAGTCCACTACCAGTCACTATCGGCAAGCGGGGACGATTACGAGCATCTTGACATCACGCTCCTGGAACGCTTACGCGACGTAACCCACAAGGAGTTAGACTGCCTTGTCTGTTACAACCTGATGCTGGACCCAACAACAACATCGTGTGGTCATACATTTTGCCGTCGTTGCCTCGCTCGCGTTATGGACCACAGCAGCATTTGCCCTTTCTGTCGAAGAGGCCTGCATGTTCCTGCCTCACTACAGAATCAATCTAGCAACGTCATACTCAACTCTTTGTTGAATGGACTTTGCCCGGATCTGGTGAGTGCTCGTGCTGATGCTCTCAAGGCGGAAGAGCAGGCGGGAGACAACGTGTTGAACGTTCCGCTCTTCATCTGTACACTGTCGCTGCCCTCTATGCCGACATTCCTTCATGTCTTTGAGCCTCGCTATCGATTGATGATGCGGCGCGTCATCGAAGGTAGCAGACAATTCGGCATGGTTATGTACAATCGCACACACGCACCCCAAGGCGATCTTGGCTCGACTCCGTTCCTGGAGTATGGAACACTACTTGAGATTGTCAATTACGAGTTACTGCGCGATGGGCGTAGCTTCATTGAAACACGTGGTATCGGACGATTTAAAGTGAGGGCTCATGGCCTACTTGACGGGTACAACGTCAGCCGCATTGAGCGTGTTGAAGATGTTTCTCTCGCCGAGGAAGCTATTCTGGAGCAGCGTGAGACCACTATGGCACGGGATTACGCGGAAGCATTCTTCCGCGACCATCCTCAAACCCAACTCCCTACGGAAGTCGCAATCGAGACATTATCCACGCAACAGCTACTTGATAGCTGCACAGCATTTGTACGAGAAATGAGAGAAGCCAGTGCGCCCTGGCTTCGCGAACGGATCATCCAAGTCTATGGCGAGCCACCCGAGGACCCCGCAATCTTCCCATATTGGTTTGCATCTGTAGTACCAATCGTAGAAGAGGAAAAATACGTGTTGTTACAGACTGAACGGGTCCGCGAGCGCCTCAAGATTGTGTACTCGTGGATTGGAAGGATCCGCGGACAACGATGGTAAGCACTCACCTTCTTTATTGTTTACATCCTGCATCTACACCACATCGGATCCCGGCCCAAGAACCCAGGCGCATGCGTACCCCTTACGCGACACGAGCATAACGGTGATCATTCCTTTGTCGTGCAGCATGGTCGCTGCAACTAGAGGTACTTCATCCCTTGTGCGCTGATCATTATGACGAAAGTGACATGCATAAGCTGCCTGAAGCTTACATGTCTAACCACAAGAGATGTATCCGACGTGTTTGATTTCGTGGCACTAGCTGACAATACATTGACAGGTCCTCGGGCAATGCATGCAGCATCTTATGACTCCTGACTGCTCTCATTACCATCGGAATCGCGCTCCTATCTACGCCTCCACCTCAACCTACCATCCATTCTCGATAAGAGAATGAGCAGCTTACATCACATTAAGCTTACAACTTCTCAAGATCACCAGATACCCTTCTCTCATGGCCACAATTTGATACCAAACTCAACCTCTCATGTCTTTTCAGGCATTAGGAGAGGCTTTTTCTTTTATGTATTGCATTATTTTACGTCACGAAGATTCCATTTGTTACCATATGTCCTTTCGCTTCTTCAACGATTACCCCCTTTCAGGAGGACCCGGAGCTTGCCGTGGTCCATGTTCAAATGACTTTTTTAGACCCAGGTGCTAGCCTGGGAAAACTTTTTTCTGGACGGTTTTCGAAAAAGGTTTTGGCATATTGCGACGAAGGGTGGGAGTAACTTTGCATTTGATAGGCGTTTCTTTGGTCTTGTCGCATTTAGCGGGGCTGCTCCAGTTAGAGATTGGCAGAAGGTGGCTTTGTAGATACTAGAGTACTTGTGAATGGGTGATGTGTATATCCATCTTGTGCACTAGAATTCACCTCACCGTAGTCCGCGAAGAAGAAGATGCGATGTGATACCCGCAATGTACGCATTACCTAGGTGTAACTACGTCAAGCGTCATGACATTGCAATCTTACTATGTCTTCATCTTTCTAGCTGCGAAGACGACCTTGAGGGGCATCAAACATCTTACGACCAAATGAAAAGTTCTATCCCTACTAAATAGACCTTAGAAGTATAAACTATTGATTTCTGTCTAAACTGTTATAGAGAACTTTCCGTATACCTTTAAGGTTGATCTTTCCAAGGCTAATATAGACTTTAGTGATAAAGTTTTCAACGCTCAATACACATTTCTTTTCTTGTTTGATCTGAAGCTACAAAGGCAACAAGTTAAAAAAAAAAAAAAAAAAAGTACACAACGATCTACTAAGACAGCAGAAACACCTCTGTATTCATTGTGTATACGACCATCATCAAGCTAGCCCCTAGAGTGAGTGCTTCTGTAGCCGTCGCCTCTGATCTTGTTAGAACACAGTCTGATGGTGGTTAACTATATCAAACAAGAACGCCTCAGTTCTCGTCGCGACCTTTCCTTCTTGCTATCTACGTGCAGCATCTTCCTAGCTGTTGGTAGAATCATGAGCCTAGTTTCTTCCTCCTGTATACGAAAACGTTCCCGGATTGCATGCGTCCTCTGGGTGTCTGGTGGCGTGGTACTCTCGTATATCCTTCAGGGTGGAAGAACACGATGTCGATACGTCCAAGAACCATGAGAGGGTCTTCCAGAGAACCTATAGGCCTGAAGAGGTAGTCCCGCCCCATGTCCAGTCCAATCTTGGCGGTCCCTAGTAGCATTATTGTGAGCTCATCTTCCACTGCTTCCAGCCATAATGAATCATAGCATCGTTTGTTGTCCACCAGGTGTTAGGTGACTTCGGAGTTGCTGGTACGTGCAAAGGTGGCGCTGATTTGACATGTTCTTAAGATGGATTCCATGAGCAGCGCAATTGCTGGGGACGATGACGATAGAGCGGGAAGAATGCGAGCGATTTTATCGAGTACTTGCTGCGGTTTGAGGTATATGAAGAACAGCCATTTGTCCTCATCGTAGTCAATGCCGTCGTCAATGCCGTTGACGCTGTCATCAGTTGGCATTTTGCATGTCTGGTGGGCGAGGGTCGCGGATTTGACGAGCGCTTCCTCTTTTTACCGAGATGGACTGCTAATTGGGCTGGTGAGATACTGGCTGGAGAAAGAGAACGGAAAAGAAGATGGTTGTTCATTCTGTCCCTGCTCAGAAAGGTGAAGTGGCAATCTACATATTCGTAGAGCGGGTCGGCCATCAGGGCGAAGTTTGGCACATGTGCCTTCTGACGATGCTGCAGCACATCGCCTTCGCCGGGGAAGATCTTCTTACACACTGGGCAGTCGACTGTAAGCGTTATGTCCGTGTGATGAGTGCGCTTGTGGTTCTTGAGGGCGCCCACTAAGGAGAAAGTCCTCTCGCATACTGAGCATTTGACTTTTGGCTCTGGGGCACGGTTGTGCGTCTTTTCGTGGCGCATCAACCCATGTTTATCCTTGCAGATCCTACCACAGACAGAGCAAGTGTGTATGGGCTTATTAGCCCTATGTTTAGTGCTTCGATGATCTTGCATTGTCTTTTTGGTGGCATAGCTCTTGCTACGAACAGTACACTTGACTCTAAGATCTTTCGCTGGAGAGTCGCTGTCCGAGTTGGCGTCCATGATATCTTCGGCGGCGTCCATAATGTCCTTGGTGGTTTCCGGGTGGCTGAAGTACTCGATCGCAACGTGAAGTTGATGTGAAGAGCCTGCTGGGTAAGGCTGGTAAAGAGCAACCTTATGCAACAGTGTTGGAGAAAGACCGAAGAGAGTAACTGGATGCCGCTGGCAGAGAACGACTTAGTGTAGCGGTATTGAGGTATGAGCGAAGAGCAAATAACGAAGACGGTCACTTCAACGCATATGAGGATCTGGGCAAGAGCGAAGTCTAGGCAAGAACGAAGTCTGAGAAAGCGCAAGATCCAGACCTCGCTCTTCCCAGACTCGATAGGCTGTCAACACCGGGAAGTGAGAGCGAGGTCTAGATATGGTGAGTCGTCGAGGTGAGAGCGACAACGACTGCGTGAAGGACCTGCGCATATGTCATGTGAAGGATTCGAGAACTATACTACATTGACGGAGGTGTGATCAGAACTTCACGAGCCGGTGGTTCTCGGTGCCCATCCTAGCTTGATAGATTTCACCTCCATATTCTCTCAGGGCCTCGAGAGCGTATCTGAGATGATTTTCTATCGAGATTGAAGCGACACAGTGTCTGGCGTGCGGGTTCGAACTTTTAAGACGTTCTCTTCAAAGGAAAGCTTTTTCGGCTGACCCCAAAAAGATCAGATGAGATGAAAGGAAATTAGACAAGATAGAAGGTCACAGAGGCAGTTAAAATAACCTAAGCTATTAACGCCATTGAATATTGTTACCTAACTAGGCAAACTCCTGGTGAAGGATTGCTTCTATCTAATCTTTCTTAGTGAAGGATAGCTTCTATCTGATCTTTTGTTTAGGGGGTGAAGATTCCTGCAGGTTCTGGGTGGCGTTTCGCTTTTATCTTATGATCTAGGGGTGATATTTTTGGGTACCTGGTTGCTTTTATCTGATCTTAGATCTCTATGTAGCCGATTGCTTTCATCTGATCTTTTGGGTCAGCCGAATATCATTTTGGGTCAGCCGAAAAAGCTTTCCCTTCTTCAAAGCCAAACTCATCACGAAGGATCTTGTCTGTCAGCTTTGCAAAAGCATGTGAGTGACTTCTGGATCAGAATTATCGTTGGTGTCCGACTGGTTCAGGTCTGGAAGAGTCTTGATGGCCATTATCTCTTGAGCAGATCTTAAAGGCCACATCATTCATGGTGCACTTCTATTTAACAGGAGTTATGTGTGATTATCCGATGTTGTAACGGCACCGTGGCTTGTTCTATCGTCCTCTTCTGAGCATTTCATGCGGTGTCTATTGGGGACGTATAGGTAGTACCTTCCCTGGAAGCTCGACAGGTTCCACATTTACATGATACCCGTACATCTCAACTGGGCCGTGATTGTTATCCCAGTGCTGTCCCTTCTGAAGGTGAGTTGAGCTGTCCGTACTCAATTCTACAAAATTACTCGGGTGATCATATGTGTATCCTAGTGGCTGTGCCACCTTCTCTGTAGTACCGCGTTTCCGCCGAATGAGAACGACACCGAGAATGGTTAAGCATATCACTGTAAGCCCTCCAATGACCCCACCCACTATAGGCCCGATATTTGTTGACTTCTGTTCGGTGGGTGCGGGTGTCGAGCCTGGTGTTGATGATGGGAGGATACTGCCAATCGGGTCCAGGACTGTTGAGCTTTGCGCATCTGACGTTGTTGGTGGTTGGGTTGAGGTAGCCAAAGAGGCACTGCTTTCAGTACTCGAAGCGGACGTTGTTGTTGCCTCTACTGTATTCGGCACCGCGAAAAGGCTGTCGACGGCGGCAGTGTCTCCGCAGGCAATGTACTCAAATGATTGATCAGGGCCGTTGATTAGGAGAGCTGTAGAACAAAATTGTTCGGAGTCGCTATCTAGTTAGAGGAGTACTCTCCAATATTTGCAAAACAAAGGAGCGACTAACCATGTAAACGTAGTGATATCGGCTCGATCAGATAGTCTCCCACACCCCGTCGTGCAAGAATGGTTGTCGATGCATAAGCCAGCTAAACCACAGTCTTTGGCCGATAAAACGCTGGTTGGACAAAAACCCCATAAACCGTTTGCGGTGTCGACACGGCATCCGTAGCCAGGGTCAGCTGTTCGAGGATTCTCAGGTTTGCCATCGAGATATCCACAGGTAGTGACAGGTGCGAAGGCTTGCCGTTTATAGAACCGTTCATCAGCGTGAGCTGCTAGCTGTGTAGCATGCGGCACTGCTGGTGCGATCCGGCTGCGAACCGTAGCAGGACTTGAGGAGACCAGCTCAAAAGAGCTAAAAAAGATTAAACCTAAAGAGTAGAAACTGGACATTCTTCAAACGAGTGTTAAAGCGAGTGACGACGCGTAGAACGATTGATAGACTAGAAGCAAAAGACGGGATGACTAGGTAGCTGTGACACGAGAATACATGCAGTTTATGGAAACTCCTGAGTACAGCGCATAGTCGCCGTAACTGAGAGCCTGGCTTTGGCCATGGTCTATACTGCTTGTATGCAGCCACAGTTTCATGGGGCGATAAATACAAGACAATGTGATGATCTAGTGGCACCTAGACGCACAAAGAGGTATAGCCAGCTGCCCGTGCTGAATCCTGACTTGGAATTGAGAATGCGTGACGCCGTCCAGCGATCTTGTCGTGTGAAGTACCTACTTCGTAGGTGTTGGTTCGGCGCTTAGGTCAAATTTAACCTGCGTGATTGGTTGCCGCGTCCGCGGAACTTCTCTCAGGCGCCCACTCATTTCCACGCGGAACGGTGCGAAACCGCCTCCATCATCCACTGGGCAGGCTGCAGGATGGGCGCGATTGCGCTTGTTCATGCTCGTTTACTTAGCACTTGCAGCACGTAGACGCCATCTTTCAAGAAACTTCATCAACCTAGGATCTTCTGCGCTACGTTCTGTCTTTGCTCTGTTATCGTTCATTTCTAATGTCGCCACCAAGGAGCATGAGATCGCTTCTACAGGCGATCGCACTGCTCTGTGTTGTCTTCTTGTTTGTAGCTGGCTTCGGGTTCTTCCATTACGGTAACGACCTATCGCAGATCAAACCCATCGTCACTGGCATACTCAATCCGTCGTCAACAGGTATGTCGCCTCTATTTACTGTTGTGTAGAACGTATCCTAAGTTTAGGACTAGAAGTAAAACCGAGCGCCGTACCTGAGGCAGCTCACCCAGTCACCCCATCAGACAAAGGCAATGCTACTCTCATCGCACAGACGCCACCATACCTGCATGCGATCCTAAATCCGTCAGATTCGACATTTCCTCGTCTTGAATGTCCACAACCAAACCTCGATCGCTATGCCTACTTAGGAGGCTCATCTGGATCACTTCAGCACGCGCAACGTCCTAGATACTTTTTTGCCCTTGATCTACACCAATGTGTTCATCTTCTTCCACGGTTGATTGGTTCTATCGTAGAAACCATGTACTTTCTTGGGCCACAGAACTGCGCGCTTTCCATAGTCGAAGGAAGATCCGATGATGGCACCTTTGAGGTACTCGATCAGCTTCGCGCTAGCATGCAGCTTCTCGGAATTAGGTACTACTTCCAGTCCAGCGATATCAACCCGATGGCCAAAGGGAAAGACCGTATCGAAGGTCTTGCAAAGCTCCGCAACTTAGCCTTGAAAGATCTCATCGCACATCCAGAACATTACGACGAAGACACTACGGTGATATTCTCCAACGATGTGGCTCTATGTATGGAAGATCTCCTGGAGCTAATACATCAGCGCAAGTTTCAAGGGGCGGACCAAACGTGTGCCATGGACTGGACGTACGTTGGCGACAATCCAACATTCTACGATGTCTGGATTGCACGTGGTATGACAGGCGATTTGTTCTTCAGAATCCCGGAAGATGGTAGTTGGGACTTTGCCTGGGACCTATTCTGGAATGACCAAAACGCTCATGCGCGCTGGTCTAGTTCAAAACCTTTCCAGGTCTTTTCATGCTGGAACGGTGTGACAGCCTTCACTGCGAGGCCTGTTATGGAGAAGAAGATCAGATTTCGAGCACACAAGGAGGACGAATGTTTTCAGGGTGAACCAAAATTGTTCGCCAAGGACATGTGGTTCAACGGCTACGGCAAGATAGCTGTAGTCCCGAGCGTGAACGTGGAATACAGTGATGAGGCCGCAAAGAAGATTAAGGCTCTGAAAGGATACCCATCTAAGCATTTCGCGAATGAAGGGGATGATGCCAAAATCAATTGGGAAACCTCGCCGCCGGAGAAGGTGAAATGTATGCCGGTAAGTTCGAAACCTTCCGTATCGCTGTCTTTACACGGATTCGTTGCTGACAAGTAACCAATCTAGGATCATCAACACCAGACCTTTGTGGCTTGGGACGAAGGATTGCGGCCTTGATGTTGTCAGAAGATCGAATGCCAAATTCAAACACTACCTCTGGAACTAGGCACTACATCCAGCATAAAGCTACCGTCATAGATCTCAGCTGTTAGGCATTGTATCCGCCCAAGGCATAGCGTTGGCACGCAGAGAGCAACGATCTCTATCAGATGGAATCGAGTCACTTGTTTGCAGCGCGAAACGCACAGCTCAGGTGTGTGTTATGCAAACAAGTTAAGATCGTTGGAAGGCGTGGCAGGCTAACCAGAATGCTGTTGCTGGGTGATTATGTTGATCCAAATTACCATCTATGTCACATACGACCATAGGACACTGAAAATTAGGCTTCCCGTCCGCTCAGCCATATACAAGCAGTGTACCGGCGGATTAGTAGTTAGGTGGGTGACCACTAGCGAATCCCCGCTGTTGTATGTTTTTGCCTGTGTGCGAGTCAAATTTTTTGCTTCACCCTACTACTGTTAAGAGGCCATACATGATGACAACAAATTAAAGAGCAACTAGGACGTACAAGCCGATTCTAGATCGAAAGAGTCGAGTCGGACAAAGACTTTTGTTTAGTAGTGGGTATCATCGTATAGAAAATTAGACAAGAAATCGGCTCATGCAGCCTCTTCCTCAGCAGTGATTTTGAGCTCTGCTTCGGCATCGCCCTCTCCATCTTTGAACAACTCCTGACCTAGTTCCTCGAGAAACTTCTCTGCCTGTCCTTTGCTTCTCTTCTCCTGTATAGCCCTTTTCTTGTCTTTGACCATGGCCTTCCTCTTTTCGACAGCCTCTTTGCGTTCCCGCCTCACGCGCTCCGTCTCTTCTCTTTCCTTCTCAATCCGACTCATCTGCTCTTTTCGTTCCTCTTCATCATTGGAGAAGTTGAAGAAGCCCATTCCGCGTTGCCTTACCTCGGCTCTGCCGTCAAAGTGTACCTCAGGTGGCGGCGTGAGTTCTTTGTCGCGCTTGGCGGCTAGGTCGGCCATTTGCTGGGCGATTGTCTCGTCGGGGTTGAAGGCTTGCGTCTGTACGGTGTCGCCGAAGATTATGTTGGTCGGCATACTAGGTCGTGCGGTGAAACGGTCGGGTTCGTCGGCGGCGAGGGTTCGCTTTCGACGCTCTTCGCGGGCAGCTTCTGCTCGCGTGCCCTTTCGTGTGCGGCCGAACTCGTCCACATATTCTACGAGTTCCTCTTCTTCGTCGTCTTCTGATTCCGACGTTGTGGTGTGTTCTGCTTCGCCCTTTTCTTGCTGCTCAGCCCATTTGCGGTCGAAATCGACGCCGTATCTGTCGTCAATGTCTTCTACGTCGCCGCGCTTCAGGGCGTCGTACAGACGCGCTTTCTCTTCCATGCGCCGCTTTGTGCGCTTCCATGCGACTTCATCCTCGCCTTTCTCCTCGGTTGTCCGTCCGCGATGCTTCTGTGTAAAATCCGTGTCTTCCAAATCTTTCAACGCGCGCTTTCTGACGTTCTTGTTGTGGGTCTTGAAGATATCTTCCTTCTGCGGGCGTGCGCGGCCTGCGGTGGGCTTGTTCGATTCGGTAGAAGAGTTCTTGATGAGGTTGGAGAGGGTCGATGAGAAAGCGAGGCTGCTGGAGCTGGATATTTCCTTAGCCTTTGTGCGTCCCTTTGGTCGGGCACCGTATAGATGTGCGTCTTTGGAGGACATGTTGGGGGCTGAAGGTTGGAGTCGATTGGGCTGGTGCTCGTCGCGTGGTGGAGCGCGTAGGGCTGAGACGCGGCGAGGCGATGTCGGCGTCGGAGCTCTGAGCTTGTTGCGTCACTGAGCTACCCCACCGATTGTTTTACTTACCCCACGTCGAAGCCGTGTAAATTGGCGGTTCCGCAGAAGTCAACGCTCCCTTCTCTTTTCGAGTCCGACTATCCTCCCTCTCGTCCTTGAAGAGTCTAGAAATACTTCACCTTCTCCGTACGAGTCTGATACATCCAATTGACCACACCAAAGCAACCATGCCTCTGCCTCGTCAAGTATTCATCGCCGTTATCGGTACGCGCAACAAGCCTCTATTTCACATGTGTACGGCTAAGAATTACAGGTGCCGGTGGTGTAGGCAAAGCCTTCCTCTCCCAGCTGTCAGCCCTCTCCAAACGCCTCTCCCAATCACCCTCGTCGCCGTACTATCTCTCCCTCATCTGGCTCAGCACCTCCAAAAAAGCTGTCTACCACGCCGACTACAAGTCCCTCTCCAACTGGGAATCCGAGCTTCAGAACACGTCCAAGCCCACATTGCCTCTCCCTCAGCTCTGCGAATACCTACAGAAAGCGCCTGGTAAGGTGGTACTGGTGGACAACACCAGCAATCAGGACGTTGCCGACAGCTACCCCAATTTCTTGAAGAAGGGCATTAGCATTGTAACACCAAACAAGAAGGCTTTCTCCGGAAGCTATGAGCTATGGACGCAAATATTTGACGCTGCGAGCAACGGGAACGGTGCTGGTGGCTACGTCTTCCACGAGTCGTCAGTCGGCGCAGGACTGCCTGTCATCTCTACACTGAAGGACTTGGTTGAGACTGGAGACCAAGTCACAAAGATTGAGGGCGTTTTCAGCGGAACCATGAGTTTCCTCTTCAACTCCTTCCAGCCTCTCGGTGGCGGAGGTGGAAAGTTCTCAGCTGAAGTCACATCAGCCAAAGAAAAGGGTTACACAGAACCAGATGCTCGCGATGATTTGAACGGCCTAGACGTCGCTCGCAAACTAACCATCCTAGCTCGCCTCGCTGGCCTGAAGGTCGAATCGCCGACATCCTTCCCCGTACAATCTCTCATCCCCAAAGAGCTCGAGTCCTGCTCATCTGGCGACGAGTTCCTTGAGAAGCTCCCACAGTACGACGACCAGATGGAGAAGCTCAAGGCCGAGGCAGAGAAGGAAGGCAAAGTCATCCGGTTTGTAGGAAGTGTGGACGTGCCAAACAACAAGGTCAAGGTCGGGTTGGAGAAGTTCGACACAAGCCATCCGATTGCAGCACTCAAAGGAAGCGACAACATCATCGCATTCTACACAAAGCGGTACGGTGACAACCCACTCATCATCCAGGGAGCCGGTGCTGGCGGCGAAGTCACTGCGATGGGTGTCACTGCGGACCTGGTCAAGGTGCTCCGGTTATTGCACTAAGGAGTTGATTGTGGGGAAAATTCATGTAAACTAAGATTTCAGTGTAACCGTTGCCACCAGGAGGCTTACCTACCCGTAGCGACTACCTATCAACCACTATACCGATCATCCCACTATTGAAAACCACACCAGATTGCATTAGCACTCCATGTTCTTAGCGATGTGTCGCGACCGCTGCGTCTGATCACCTGTGCTTCTCCGTTGCACCGAGTGACATGATCGTCATGTCTCCGTTGTCGCCGAACCTTGTTTCTTTGTCGATCAGGGCGCAACTGACACCATCCCTTGCTGCAAACCACACACTCGGCAAGAATGATGTGCATCAATGGAACTTTCCAGTCAGGTCGATCTCTCGGCGTCAATTGCTTGATCTGTGAGATTGCTTGTTTCGAGACACTGGTGCGAAGCTTATGTCGTGATATGGAAGGCTTGTTATTGTGTGACGTTGACGTATGGGCGATCATATTGACCCTGCGTGTTTGTGCTTGTGTTTGTGCTGTGGACATTTATCTGCCACTTGTTTTGTAGTCTGTGCTGCCGTTGAAATTTAGTTGTTGTAGGAGAAGTATTAGCGTCTTCGCTTCGTCTCTGCTCACTATCACAGCCCAGTTCTATATCTAGGTATACGCGACTCGGGTGTTCGGCGAGAGGGGAAGGAAGTCACATGATTACCAAGTGTACCAGAGTATCGAAACGGCACCCTCCAGAAGAAAGTGCCGATGTGAAAACAGATCTTCAAAGCAGGATGATGCAGTTCAGAATGCAAACCATGGATCGCTCTGCAGGATGAGAAAGTCAAGCATGTTGATCGTAAGCTTGGTATGCTTAATGTTCCTCTTGGGTAGATCGGTCTGCCTCATATTCTGTAGAGTTTATGGATTTCTCCGGCATGTAGGGATCTGCAGACGTTGTTCATGGCGCAAACCAGATTTTAACCCACAACAAGCTTTGGGAAATTATCCATGCACGTTTGACTAAAGCTTCTAAAATGTCCAGCGTCGTATTCGGCGAGAAACGCATTCTTCACCGACGCGAAGAAGGTTGGCCACAAGATCAGACCTCTTTTTTCTCTTCATAATGCTTGCTCGGGAGGAAACGGGTATCCGGGCGGAGCGGAATATGCGGTGTATTAGTATACACTTGTGAGGCTTGGCGCCGAACAAAGGGTGTCGTGATGTACCTAGCGTACATGCCCGCATGCGCGGGTGGATATCGATTAGCATAGCTTCGAAGAGCGGTGACGCGTGTTTACCAAAAGACAAGGTCTAGACTAATGCGCCGAGCAGCGTTTCTTTTCCAGCACCTGCATATGAGCGGAAGTGTGGCACGGAAGTGTGGCACAGATTCGTAAGATCATGCACAAATGTGGCGCGTGGTCTTTTCGCAATGAACAGTAGAATGCTTGGAGTACTTTGACTGGATGCACGGCGCACACGTAATTGTTTGCAAACATGTAAATTTTGTAACGAACTAGCTTCTAGAACACGTTCCCCTTGAGTCATTCGTAAGTCATAGCAACAAGCGAGGGAGAAAAAGAGGAAACGCCTGTGCTTGTGACGCACAAACGTTTTGCGCTGTCGCTGCGTGGCAGCCCAACGCCAAGAAATCCTAATAAATCCAAACAGAAGCGGAAGTAAACGCAGGTTGCCCTTGCCCTCTTCGTGTTCGCCTGAAGTACTCCCTGTCCTTTTTTACGTGAGAACGCCGCGGCCGAAATGAGTGCGCAAATGTACCCGTCGCTAGGGCATGTTTTCGCGCGCAGAAAGTAAGAGCAGTGTGGGTATCCGAAGTAGAAGTGAGATGAGACGAGTTGGCCAAAGCGCGCTAGGCGATATCGAGAAAAAGCAGATACAAGAAGTGAAGAGTGGGGTGTTGGTAGTCGTGAAGGGAGTTGAGAGTGTGTTGACTCGAAACCAGACTGGTGTGGCTAGTGACCTGCTGTCGGCGGAGTGCATGTGCATGTGATTGTAGCGTGGTGATGCTGTCCGGGCCGAGGAACGTGGCTAAGTGGATCCGATGGGGAAGCGACTCCTCATTTCAGCCACAGTCTAGACTCCAACGACGCTATGCGAACCACCAAGAGCTGAGAGGTGGGCTGTGTAGTTGACGTGGCCAAGGAGAGTAAAGCATCAACCGTCTGATCATCTGAAGATGGTGGAGATGCGCTTGGTGCGCTGCCGGACACGCGAGAGCATGTTGGCTTTGTATGGCTCAGCCGGCATGGAGATTGATGGATGTCGCATGCTTGTGCGGTCGTTGCTCGATGTGTCGCTCGGGCTTGTAGCGCTGCTGCTCTCGGCATCGTCTTCTCGTACGGCGGGGTACGGCTGCTCAGCCGAGGGGAAGAAGTAGGCGTCAAGTCGAGAGTTCATTGCGCGGTTCTTCTCAGAAGCTGCTGTGACCAAGCTGCTCTTGCTACCTACGCTGGTAGCGCTGTCGGTTCGGGTGATGTTGTCGAGACGGATGTCACGACGGGCTGCGTTCAAAGAGGTCGAGTGTGCGCGCGCAAGTCCTGAGAGAGAGCCGACTGGCGGTGCCGGTCCATCGCCTATGAGCTTGTACTCAAACTCGGAGACGTGACCATGGCAGTAGGGGCAGTGGTCGCACTTGACCTCCCATCCTGAAATCCCCAGCTTCTTCCCGCATGTGGAGAGATTGCTGGATGGGCTGCATGGGCGAACGAGGTGGTACCAGCGGTGCTGGCACGGAAGAACCGTGACGCAGAGTTCAGCGACGCACATTGTAGCGTCGTGTTCAAGTAATGTCGAGGTAGATTCGTTTGTGGGCACAGGTGTCTGAAGACGTTTTGGCTGATGGCGAAGTCGTGATGGAAGACGTGATGTTGGTCTTGGAGATGATGCGCGGGATGCGGTCACAAGATCAAGACGGGTGGCAATCTGGGGTAGACGCTAGTGGCCAATATTGGAAAGGCGGTGGTAATGGTAGAGTATCGGCGTAGGTGCAAGATGCGGTTGCGGTTGCTGTTACTCGCAAACAAGCGGCGGGTCAGATGTTTTAAGTGCAGGAGGGCCGTGAAGTGGAGATTGACAGTGTAGGATGCCGTGTGCCAAGGCGTAGGAGCTGATTGGGACGCGCGTGGTCGATCACCCCTTACCTCCTTCCTTAGTGTGTCGTAGGCGGGGAACGATAAATGCGGCGGAATTTAGAGCGGACAAGTGCGATACGGGAGGCAGGAACGGCGAAAAGGACGGTGTTAGACAAGCCCAAGCTTCGGAACTTGGTGGAATGACGCTGCGTCTTCGGTGCCGGTGGCTTGGTAAGGTTGGCTTACTGTAGCAGGCAACAAAGCGGACGGACGAGGCAATCGGACGATGAGTCAGGAAAGTCGCTGCAGGATGATGATGATCAAGTCGGTCTTGTCCAGCTGGCGTTTATGAATAAACGGTACTGGGAGGGCGACTATTATGGTATTTAACACGACGGACCACTGTGTTGGGCGGACAGGGGTGCGGGGTTCTAGCGCTGAATTGATTGTCCAGGACTCCAGGTGTGCCCAAGCCTAGCAACGCCCGTGATTCAAACAAGGCGACTCCTTCATGCCCGCCGCGGCGCCGGGACAGAAACGCGGGCTCTTGCACTAACGGCGTTATAAGCAGATCCGTGCCGGAACGCTGGATTCGTGTGGCATCTCTTCACACCGCTCTCAGATAACGACGTGCTCCGTTCGCCGTGTCAGGGACCCTTTGAAAGCCTTTGGCAGCCAGCATGTGGGAATGTGCAAGTCTTATTGGCACTAGCCCCCCCTGTCTCACGCGTGCGACAATCATAGAAAACTGCCCTGACACGACAGCGCTCAGACTCTCTGGTAATCAACGTTGTAACAAGGGGGCTGCTCTTTTGCCAAAAATCATCCCCTGCCTTCCACACCCAAAGCCTGCTGAACACACATCGGCCCGGTAGCGAGCGGAACATATTGAAACCCAGGTCAGCGCCTACGGGTGAGCATGCTGAGATCGCCCACTTAGGCATGGCCAGATTGCATTTCAGATGAAGTCATGCCTCGTGGCCTTTGACGTGCTCCACTTTCCGATGCTACTTTTCATCCGCCATCGCCAGATCACAAATCAAGAGTCAAGTCCATCACCGTGCCACAGAATCATTTTCTCTCGCTTCGCCTTAGCTAAATGCAGCTCCCTCTCGCCTTGCTGCCCCAAATCAGATGTTCATGGAAAGAAGCAATCACCCAAATGTACCCGGCACTTATCTTGAATTCTGCCCACGGTGTGGAACACAGACGTCAACAACGGCCCCATGCTAGGATGCCGCTCGCGTGCATCATGATTGACTAGAAACACGGCTACACATGCAACATTCCGGTAAGACATGCTTTATCACAGGCTACACAACAATATCCATGTCCAAGGTGCATAGTAGCAAGCCTGCCGATAGTGCGATCAGTCAGACAACTCCCATATGCAGCAGGATAGCCGTTGCAGCCCTGGTCGTTGATCCTCACCCTTTCATGTATATTCCCGTCATCACGGACCTGCGCAAAGTTCAACTACCCGCATCATTCAGGCATCCATATTACTCTGAATGAGCATGCCGCCCAAGGGGTCGGGAAACCACAGAAACGCCAGATCAAAGCTAAATTGTCAGTGTGTCAGGACCCATGACAGGAGCGCCCTAATCGTAATCGGCCCACCTGCACAGCCTCAACGCCTTCATGCATCAGCTCGCCTCGCAACGCCTGCTCATTCGCTCCGCTCACCTCACGCGTCTCTCACGCTCCTTGGCATGGACTAAACACCTTGGCCCCGCCTTGGCTTGGATCCGATCTTCGTTCACATTTCGACCCCGCTTCGTGACCAACTCCAACACTCGCCTAGCATCACGCGGCATGCTACTCCAAGTCGCAAGGCCATGTACAGGCTGCTAAAGATGCGCTATATATGCTGTCTAGCCAAGTGTCTACTCAGCCACGAGGCATTTCTTGACCTATCGAGAATGTTTGACAAAGTGTGTATGCCCAGATTGTCGTGTAACTTGTATAGACCCGGCAAGACAATGACGGTTCCAAACCTGTGGCTATTACACCACCCCAAGCTCCAAGTCTTATTCTGCGGTGCTGGCGGCCTTGCTAGCTGTTCCGGCATACATGCCACTGGTGCCAGCACAGATACACAAGCCGCGCGACACAGACAGCATGACTTTCGAGTCATACCGTAATCGAGTTTGAAGTCGATGCTTTCCTTGTTGCAGTCTTAATGCTGGTTTCGGACAATGATACTCATTGCTGCGAAGGATTTCATGCGTCTCAAATATGACGAAGAAGACATGATCCTTGTTGCGTCCCGACCCGCTCTCTGTAAGGAATGGGAGACGTATAGGTAAGCAACGATGCTCTAAGCTTCAGAAAAACAGCCCTTGACGAGCCTGTTCTGGTCCGTACGACCTCACCCCAAATCTGGCGGAACGTTCAGGACCTGTCCTGATATCTGAGAATCCCTGATACCTGCAAATAGAGATGCATCTCCATTACCTAGACCTTCTCTTAACTCCACGTCACATGTATACTACAAGGCTATCAGGTGCAGCAGTCACTAATCTGCGTGCTAGTAATCCTCCATGGCTTGATTACAGCGAAGAGTTACGATCGGTTTCTAGCTGCGAGTGCAGCGTGATTCTACTACTGGACAGTGCTAGTGCTACATGGATGATACTTTTTGTACAACCGGCAATCTACGGGTTGTAGTCAAATGGTTACTTCTTTCATTGTGGACAACGGCAACCGGCAGTAAAATAATTGTCGAGTCACCTTAGATACCTATTCCAACCCGCAAAAAGTAAGCTTACTGCTTGGCTACGCCTCGGCATCGCGCCCTCACTGTATCCGGTGAAATGTATGTGGGTGAGGATCCGGGAGAGCAGTTTAATCATGGAAGCTTGCCTGTGCGAGGCGCTGCAGTTTGGAACTGACGCCGATTCCGATCCTTCCGTTGCCGTCCAGAGTTCTGGGTATGGATAGGAAATTCTCGATGGATACGTACGTATCGGCACTTGTCGAGCTCTTGGTATGATTGAGTTGTGTACGTACGCTTCGTTGACTAGAAAGTGATGCTTCATAGTTGGAGCCAAAGTCCCACTCCTATACTAGAAGCCAACGCTAGCACAGCCTCACCACCTCGTCCAAGGACTCTCTCGGCACCGGACTCGTCATCGTGTGGGCCATAGTGCTCATCAAGTACCTCTTTCACACTCCTCGGAGCCCGACTTCCCTCCTGTATATTTTCAGGCTTTAAACAAACCACCTTCGCATGAGTTTCCCGGCTGCTGCCTCCTCTGGTACTGGAAACTGTAGGGTAGAAAGTCATGATGTCCACAATGGGAAAGTTAAGCGCTACGTCGTAGTCAATCGTTTGGTAGATCCTGTTACCCCAGCTGCTGCTAAGATTTCGGTCGCCGCATGTAGGTACAGTGACGTCATCGGAGAATGAAGTTATGTTAATGCCTTGGTCCCATTTCCAAATGCGGTCTTCAGCGGAAGTGTTGAGGCGGACAACATCTGTGACAGCAATTAGCTTAACTTGGGCTTCTTCGTTGCCACAGACCTAGAACCTACCCATCGTCACAGCCTCAGATAGCATGCCTTCACATTCAGAAGGTATAGTGTTCTGGATGGCAGAGCAGGGCGGGTACTGGTCATCGTTCCATGCAGCTTGTCCTTGTCTTCGATACCATGACTCGAGCGCCTCTACACACTCTGTTCCCAACATGGTCTTGCAATCCCCATCATCTTCCGAGGCCCTCTCCAATACCTCTCTGCTCCATGTCAAATCTCCAGTGGTGCGGTTCTGCAAAGGAACAAAGCTATGACATAGGCCAATTATATCGCCTAGACGCTCCATGTTCGAGTCTCCAGTGTCAAGCCATAGAACAGCTTGGGTTTCGTTCTCGTCGTACTTCGCCATGCCGCCATCATACCCAGGCCCAATGTACGACGAGATTGTCCAAGTAGTTTGGTCGTCTTCTGTGATGGCCACCCTCTCCTCGTCTCCAAGCCATACGAGGTTTAGGGCCGTTGTATTCTGGATGATGGAAGCGTTGTATGCCAGGCTTTCAGAGAGATCGTCGCATGTCAAAGATTGAGATTCTGGTTTAGAAGTGTTTTGAGCAAAGGATGTGGTAGCTAGCACTGAAGCTAAGAGCGAGTGCTTGATAAGAGTAGACATAGTGGTGGGTGTTTGGGGGGAAAGCGAGCTATCTCAACAGTAGAGGCATAGCGGTTGCATTGACTTCCTCCTTCTTTATACACCCCACCCAGGCAGTATTAGAACATTACACCACATTCGCCTTGCTTTCGAGTGTTAGGCGTACCTCGTAGCACATCATTGTCATATAGTAGTGCTCTTGGCAAACAATGGGATCAGGAACACAGCCTCGCTTGTGGACAAAAAATACGAACCGGCCAAACAGAATCGAAGATAGCCTTTCTGTCGAAGCTACTATAGACAGGATCTACATAATACTGCTATTTCGGGTATACTACGTAAGAACGCCTTAGCCGATAACCGGAAAATATGGAGCACCGGGGCGTCTTGGCGAGACACGCAACAAAGGATGTGGAAAGACAACAAGGTGCTATGACGTAGGTTCAGCGTTCAGCTTCTCTGGACCAGTATCACGGTGCCATATCTATAAGATACATGCTGTACCACTGTCAATATTAGAAGAACCCACAATCAGCTATACCTCAGCGATACTGCTCCATTGTTATCCTTGGGTTACTTTCCATGCTCAAATAATTGTATGTTATAGCAGTGAACACCGGCTGATATGCTCAGATAACCCGATGATGAGTATGCGAGAATAATGTACACAAAACCCTTTCTGACTTGTTGCAAATGAAGTCTACTTCTTTGACGCTTTGCCCTGGTATTCAATATCGTATTGGAAGAAGCTATCCCATATACTTCCTTTCCTCGCAAGCGGCGACTTGCGAGAGTCAGCAAGAGAACCCCTCAGATCGCTTAAACTTCCTAGTCTGTTCTTGGTCGGAGATGTCTCTGATCGTGAATTGGCTGGGCCTGACACGGAGGTCTTGCGTAGAGTTTGAAGCTGGGCGATAGAAGACTATCGTAGTGTCAGCGACGTTGACGAATGGTTGCTATTAGGGGAGCTTAGATTTACAGGAAGCGAAAACCTAAGGTCCCCAAAGTAGGTCGCGCACATTGCCTCCATTTCCATCGTCTATTGACTTGTCCCCACCGTTCGTCGACGTCTCCCTTAGATGGCTGGGACCGTGTGCGCCAGCTGGACTCGCACCCCGTGTTGCCGTGGCGGAGTTAGGATTCGAGTCGGGACGTTCAGCTGGGGAGAGCGCTTCTGTTGAGTTGTGACGACCAACCAATGGTGCGCTCTTTCTGCTAGTTCCGCTACTGCGCCGACTATCAAGTGATTTTCCAAGTTGAGTTGCTGGATCCATGGAGGACTTCTTCTTTGCCTTTTGCATCTCGCCTTGTCCGGTTTCTAGACTACTCTTCACAGTAACCGCACCTTTAATACCTGGGGTACCAGGTGCCATCGCTTTCTCTTCTGTCGCCTCCAGTAGGTACCATCGTAGCCCATCAGACAGCTCGAAAGGATTGTCGTCCTCGAATGAAACGGCGTTGCTGGAAGCGACGGAACGACCGTCTAACGATGCTCGAGGTGCACCGTCGAGTGTCTTGGAGAGGTCGACGACGCGCTCTTCCACTTTTGATATGCGCGCCACAAGCCACTCTTTTCCACCCAATCGATGTGTGTCTTGTTCGCGAAGGAAGAAGTGCGGCGCTCCAACATTGAAGGCAGCCCAAGGACGATGAGCATTGTTACGAGTCGGCAAGAACAGTGCAAGATCACCTTCCTTAAATGAACGATAGGCGATCTTGTCGTGTGAGTCAGCTTGGAAGCGATGGGCCTTATCCCGATAGGCTCGTGCCTCCTTCTGCCACTTCCGTGCCGTGTGCTCCATGTCGCGCATTCGCTTCGCAACGGCGTCACTAAAGGTTTCGGTGTTGAAAAGCTCGAGCTTCTCAATAAGCTCCTGGTACCGTTGGTCTTCTTCCTCTGGACTCGTAGCTTCAGTCCACTGAAGGAAGTGGAGGTCTCCGACATCTTCTAAGAAGCGCTTCAGAGTAGGCGAGGGCGTAGTAGTACTTCGACTAAGTCCCGCATTGGTGTCCGTCATGATAGTGCTGCCACCGAGCCTAGACGCTCGTTGAAGAACCATCTCACCGTTTTCATGGGTGATGACAAATCCAAGTGCTTCAACTAGACGAATAAGGCGCTCATGCTGTGTGTATAGACGTTGACTGAGGTCTTTCGCACGATTCATACGTTGGTGGGTGCGGGACGAATCAGCCTCTTCAAGCTTGCGCAGTTTCTTCTCTACCCGCATAAGCTCGACATCCAGGCTGTTGGCGTGCGAGTTTTTCTCCGCCAACTCCGTTTGAAGACGGCCAACCTTGGCTTCTTCTTCCTCAACACGCTTTCGCAGAGCTTCAGAGCCGGTCTCGCCTTCAGCAAACTTCTCGCGGAGGCTGTGCAGATGGCTCCGTTCCTCCTCGAGTTCCGCAGTGATAGAAGCAACGCGAGCTCTCTCTACGTCAAGCTCTTCACGAACAGCTGTAACCTCTTTCTCACGTTCGGCTAACTTAGTGTTGAGATTGTGTTCTTGCTCCTCGATCCTAGCATGAGCATTCTCGTTGTCTGACTTTGCCATCGCCAGGGCCTGCTGGAGTTCTTTCTGATGATCAAGTGATCGAATCGCTAGGTCTTCAAGCTGCGCGATGAGTGTGGAATGATCATCAGGTACACTCGTATCAGGAGAGAGATGGTTAAAGGCTGCAGTCAGCGAGTCCAGCTGCCGCGTCTTGACGGCGTTTCGTTCATCGAGTTCAGCTTGTAGGGCTTCAACGCGCTTTTCGGCTTGTCTGCTCTGCTCGGCAGCGTCTTTACGCGCCTTCTCGAGCTGAAACACCAGCTCCTGTACTCTGGCATCCACACCCGTTCGCTCGTTGTCCCGACTACCCAAGACACGATCCAGTTCATCTTCGGCTTCTTCGATTTTGGCTTTGTACGCTCGAATCTCGTCCTCAAGCGATTTACGCTCGTCGGCAAACTCTCTTTGTTGCGCTCTCATATTCTCCATGATGTTATTCTTCGTAGACATGGCCTCCTCGAATCGGCGTTGTTGATCTGCATCGTCGTCTCTCCGAGCTTGAGCATCATTCTCGAGTTTCGTACGAGCTTCCTTCTCTGCTGCTAGCTGCTGTTCGAGGCGAAGAATACGGCGCTTGTCTTCTTGTCCTGTATTCGCTGAGTACCGTCTAGAGGAAATCGAAGAGCGTCGGGATAGCTCTTCTTGAGGTCTAGGTGAAGCGACTTCGGCTGTTGGCGTCGAAGGGTCGCCCGGATCGGGAATGCCAAAAGATGGCGGAGCGCCACCTATTGAAAGTCTGCTAACGGTACTCTGACGATGTACGAGGTCCTCCAGCCGACGGACCCTACTCCTGTAACCTTTTAGCTCATCCTCGAGCTTCGCGTTACCTTCCTTCAGCACGCGTAGCTCATCATCACCTCGCATCATGAGTTGTGAGGCCCTGCCAAAGGCCGGCTCATGGACACTACCCATCTTGAAATTCTTTGCACGCTTGATCTGCTGCTTCGTAGGACGGTCCAGATCCTTGATAGCCTGGGCAAATGCTTCGGCTTCGGATTCTTGTCCATCTAACCTCTGCAAGTCCTTGAGGTATTCTAGAAGCTCTTCCCGGGTAACCATCGGCCAAACGGTCTTCTCAGGTTGTATGTTCAACTCGAATCCCAGCGAGCCACCTTGCAAGGCGTCCAGGTTGACAACATCTGATATTGGCTTCAGCCACTTCTTACGCCGACGCTCTTCTTCTTCCTGGAAAGTTGCCATCTCTTCAGCGAGCGAGGATGTATCCTTTTCCATCCTTTCTGTCCACTCGCGTCTTCGGACGGCTTCGATTAGTAGTGTGCCGTATATGTACGGCAGACGACCAACGAGAGATATGAGCTCGAAAGCAGCGACACCATCTTGTGGTATACTAATCTGCTCGAGCTGCGCACCTATGGTTGCAATAACTGACTCAATATTCGCGATGGCCTGCATACTCTCGACCGAGTTTCTGATGGCAGTATTCTTTTGCTCGACAGCCCGTCGTACGAGATCGCTCATCTCCACGCTGTATTCTTGTATGGCTGGCAAAAAGTTTCGTGTATGGAGCAATGCCATTTTAGATACCTGCGCTACGGATTTCGAGCTTGCTTCTAGTCCCATGACATGTTCAAAGTCAGACTCGACCTTCTTCACGACGGCATCGATTTCGTTGTATAGGCGTGTAGGCTCTTCGGAATCGTCGGCGATGGATCGGCTCTGGCTCTGTCCCACGGCACCCAGGAGCTCGTTGTAATCGGCCTCGATTTTCTCTAGCTGCATGCGCATTTTGTCCATGTGCTTCCCAAAAGACTCTCGGACACGCTTGCTTGTCGATGTAGCCTTCTTGACAGCTTCGACGTCGAGGAATTCCTGAAGGGTCTTGCGAACAAGGGTGTTGTTGGGCACACTCTGTGGAGACCGCATCTCTTTGGCCAGGAAGCGCGTGAAGTTCAGGATGGCGGGAACGGTGCCCAGCTGTTCAAAGTCGGCATCAAGTCTCCGTATATTGTCCCCAGCTTCCTTCTCGACTCCATCGTACCACTCCCTGGCTGCCTGGTACTTCTGCTCTAAACCCTTGATGTGTGCATCGTGGTTTCCAACGGCGACCTGGGTCCCTCTCTCGATGGTAGCTTGTTCGGCGAAGTGCTTCGAGGCGATATGGGACATGGAGTGTGACTTCTCGAGAAGCCCAAACGCCCAATCGCGGCGGGCTTGGAAGAGAGCCTGCCATGCCCCGAGATCGGTGTTCTTCGCAAGGTGGTTTGGCGCATCGTCGGGCTGGAAGGCATCGGGCAGTGGCGTCGAGGATATGGCAGCCTGGGGATTATTGGAGAGTTCGCGACTGAAGACGAATATCTCTTTCTGTAGAAGAGGGATTAGCATGTTTCATGCATCGCCTGTGAGATATTCGTACCTCGGTCAAGAGCGCTTGCAGCTTGACATGTTTGCCTTGTGTTGTGAGTAGGACTTGTTGCTCGGGCGCTATGTCTGTCACCCTCGAGATCCAGTGCTTGAGCGCATCAACAGACGCAAAGGCAACGGGATCAGCGTCAAGGCGCTGGCCCGTATGAGCTACAGCAATCTGTAGCGACATTCGGCCTTGCCCTCCCGCTTGATGGAGTCCTGTCGAGACTGTGCAAGAGGAGTTTGTGGCTTGGAGAGTTGAGGCGTGAGCACATGGTTACCAGATACCGCCAAGGATGGTTCATGCAGGGATCGGCGCATTAGCGAGGCTGCATCATAGGGAACTAGATAGACGATCGCGTTCGGTCAGATGAACATGGTCTCGGTCGCAAACTTGGAATCACTTGAATCAAAGCGATAGCAACATGGCGGCAAGAGGCCGTGTTGACATGACGGACGTGGCGTCTAGAACACAAGACGCAAGCGACTACGCGGACCTGCTACAAACAAATCACAGCGACGCGTTCGCGTTTTCCGAGGCGGAGAAGCTAGCCCTACAGCTCTACGATCAGCTCAAGGAACTTGAGTTGCAGCACAGTCTTATTGAAGCACAACAATCAGGCACGTCTCACAACTGGTATAGTCTGGGAGTAGAGAATGTTAACTGCGTTTTATAGCAGACGCACATGACGCTTCAGCAACCCCAGATGACCTGCTGGAGGGGCGCCTGACTGTAGCGCAGCGCGAAGCTATGGACGCGAGGGCAGAGTACGAGATAAGGAACAAAATCACACACAACGTGCTAGTAATGGATCCTGTCCTGAAAGCCGTTTATGAGGGCGAGCAGACTGGGTTTGCAGAGAAGTGAGTTATCGCAAAGACATTTCTGGATCATGGTCTGATGTTGTGTAGACGCATACTGCCGCTGGTCACCGAGAATGATACTGTTTTCATGATGCATGGTGCTCTGACGTCGAGGCTTGCTCACACAACTCGGTCGCAGAGCACAGCCGAACACAGCAACATGACGGAAAACCAAAGACATGAAGAACTCGCAGAAACGATGCTTGCTCTAGCTGAAGAGATGAAGACGCAGTCGGTGCATGACATTGAAGACGCACAATTACGCCAACGAGTCGATGCAGTCGACAAGGAGCTCAAGGACTCAAGGCGAAGGGCGAAGACGCTGAAGGGTATATTGTCGGCCATGATAGTAGGCAGCGGGATCAATTGGGCTGCAGACGAGGGCCTGACCGAGCTCGTCCTGGAGGATGAAGACGATTGAGTGACAATGACAGGGCCACTCGTGGCTACAGCTCTTGATAACATTGGGAAGTGTGGGAGAAGCTACTGTGGTAGGTAGCGATGTTTGTTGATGATGAACGTCATGGCTGTTGCCAGGGCGATGGATCTACATGGAAGCACACGGAAACTTTCAGAGCAAGCTGAGTGCCTAGCATTTCTAGGTGAATGAAGTCGACTTTTTGACCGTCGGACGTGAGCAGTGGTCGAGTTACGTCTTGGGTGAACCTAGTGACGGCTTCCGAGCTCGGTCCGGGCGCTGTGAATAGCCAGACCGCTGTGGCCGGAAGCGGGTGCAGAGGCCGCCGCCCATGACCATGGCGTGCCTAGGCATTGAGGGAGACGACTGCCACGGGCTGTGGTGCAGAGCGTGGCATGCGAGGCAGGCTGACATGTTGCTTCATGGTCTTGGGCAGCTGCTAGGAACATCAAACGGGCTGCAGGACGGACATAGTCTGAGGGGGCGGGCAGGATGCGCGACTGGGACTGGATGCTGGGTGCTTTGGTGCTCGGGGAAGAACATCAGCCAGCCGCGCTATGAATGATAACGTCAAGGGCCGCCTCTGATGGATGCGTCCAACGAATGGTAGAGCGTGTGCTTCTGCGTGCAATCTAACCAAACTTGAAACTCGCCAGGAAAGAACGAAGGGCAGCGCCTCCGCGCCCAGGGATGCGCCGTGTAGCCCGCCGCCGTGCAAAGGAGACGACGGCGACGAGCAGCGCAGTCTTCTGGCGACTGACGCGGACGCGAACGTGTGCCATGTCAAAGAGACACAGCGAAGCCATCCAAGACTGCCGTCGTCCGCACTGTCGCATGCGGTGAGGGAGCGCAGCAGCGGTTGGATGAAGGAGGGGTTGTGGTCCGGGTGCGTGTGCTATGGCAGTAGCAAAACAAGCGTGCCTGCCTCGTTCGTACCTTAGGTAAGCAGCTCTGTTGTTCGGGGAGGCGCGCCTGCCCTCTCACAAAATGTGCTGCTGAGCCCTCACCCAATTCCTCCCCTAACAAATCCGCCGCCCATACAACTTTCGCCCGCAAAGACATTTGGTGAGTCCGCCTGTATTTTGCCCAAGTCGCAACCTCACCAGAACCACTTTTCGCAACCACACCCTTTTTCCACGCGTTCCCCCGCCCCAATTCCCCCAACTAGCTCTTTCCCAGCCTTCTTTCTTCCATCTTCCGAACGTCATCGCGTTCGATTGATTCTTCGTCGCCGTCGCCAGCACTCAATACCACGCCCATACTGACTGCAAAACAGACATCAGTCAACCCTTCCAATTCCCTCGTATCTAGCAGCTTCTGTAAGTACCCACATCTTCTCTCACTGTAAAATCGCGCATCACCGCCTTGTGTTGTGGTGTTTTGCAACCGCGTCACCTCACGCGCATAGCACCACTGCGACCCAACCAGCAGCTAACAACAAACAACAGCCGCATACACCACCTAACCAACATCATGCCCAAGGAGAAGACCACCCGCAAGGCTGCGCCCAAGTCCAAGGCTGATGGCGGCAAGAAGAAGAAGGGTACGCATCTCACGTGCATCCGCACGCTTTCGTGCTAACATCCACAGACCCCAACGCGCCCAAGCGTGGTCTTTCCGCATACATGTTCTTCGCCAACGAGCAGCGTGAAAAGGTCCGCGAGGACAACCCCGGTATCAAGTTCGGTATGTCTGCCCTTCATGCTCATCTCCAAGCCTTCTCTAACATTGAACAGGCGAGGTCGGCAAGGTTCTTGGCGAGAAGTGGAAAGCCCTGAACGAGAAGCAGCGCACTCCCTACGAGGCCAAGGCTGCTGCTGACAAGAAGCGCTACGAAGAGGAGAAGGCCGCTTACCAGGTGTGTTTCCGTATTCACGTGGAGATTATGACAGCATGACTAACAGCTATCAGGCCGGCGAGGAAGAGGAAGAGGAGTCCGAGTAGAGGCCAGCACCTCGTTCGTGCTTCCACCAACAATGCTGAAGATGTCTTGTCATAGGAGGCCTAGGCTACCAAGCCTCTCTCATTTCATTTGTGATCTTCCTACTTCTTAATGGGTTCGTTATCTCTTGCGGAGGAAGGTCTTCGGCTAGCCGATCTGTGGTTCATTTCGATAAGGACGGCCGCAGTCAGTACCATTTGCGCTGATGGCAGGCGGTCATGATGTTTGGGCGTCTTACTCTTGACGTTGTGAAGGAACATCACGAAGCTCATGACCAAGTCTATGTACACTAGCAACTGCGGTATAGAAAATATTTGCTGCTCCTATGGTAACTTGTCTGCTATGCGACAGTGATACTCGTGTGATTAGGCCTGAGCGTAGCACGGTGCATGCTCGTGATAGCTCAAACCCCAACTTGGTTCCTGATGTTGACACTACTGTCTTGCCTTATGTTAGGGTCAGGGCATGACAACGTGATGGACCCGTCCTATCCACAGCAACCCTTGGTTCCTTCATTCCAAGCGACGTGTAGCCGTCATCCTACCCTACACCGCCCAACCGGGTACCCGCATCCATGGTAGTTGTTCCTTCCCAGGCTTCTCGTATGTACTCCCATTGTCTCTCACCTTCTCAGTGCGCCCACCCAATTACACATTGTGTATATGATACTTTCAGTCCGACGCTCCTTCATCAATTCATCGTAGCACCAAAGCGCCGTTGGGCTAGTGGTATGCTATCGCCTTCCCATCAAACGAAGGAGGCGGGGATCACGGGTGTAAGTACATGAACGACGCCCATTCGAATCATAGAGCTAACAGCGAGACAGTCAAACCCCGTACGGCGCAGTGCTTCCTTTTTGCTGTAATAGTGAGGTAGGTGGGGTTGTTTTTGCCATGGGTGTCGCGTGGGAGTGACGGTCTGAGGATGCTGAGGAAATGGTGGTCGATGTCATTGTGGCAGAGGTAAGGAAGGTGCGAACAGCAATGTGGCTTTGTTGGGAATCATTGGATTTGTTCGTTGGAACAAAAGGGAAGGATGTTAAGAACCTGATGTATAGTTTGGAGACTTTGAATCAAAGCATACGATGGGCTGTAGCTGCGCAATAGTGGGTATATCTATTTTTTCGAGTCTGGAACCACCAGAACATCGTTGGGTATGGTCTGCACGCCTTGCCATCTTACGGCAGCAGATGAGCATGGAATAGGTGTTGGGTACGAAGCACGTCAACTGCACTCGTCCCACGCATCCTGTCCACATGCCCGTCAGAGACAAATATCTCGAAACAGAGGAAGATCCTCTACCATCACGCAATTACTATTCTCTCTGCAGAACGACCATCACACCCATCATACCTAACATCACCTGCTTCAGCCATGGATGCTCGCTCAGCAAAATGGTAACATATCCGACAAAAGGTATGAAGCCGACAACGCTTCCGATGACGTCTTCTTTGCGGTTCAGGAAGGACTGGCCGGCGGCGTAGAGTTCGGTATCGTCTGCAAGGTTATTGTCGCCCTTGGTCAGGAGGCGGAGGGGTGTTTTGCTAGGAGTCAAGTCAGCCTGAGCATATGCAAGCTGAGCCAAGCTTCTTCGGCCCTCCCCAACAAACACAGCCAGCGCAAAGATAAGAAAACGCAACTTACCCTCCTCCGTATCTTCTCACGACGCGATGCACGATGGGTATATCTTTGCCCTTGACGTTATATACCACAATCTCGCCCACTTGCGTGTCTGCCCCCCGGTTCCACAAGAATAGTAGATCTCCTCGTTGGAACGCAGGCTCCATGGATCCTGACAAGACGACCACGATAGGTGAGGGCGAGTCGGAGACTACGGAGAGCCCTTTCCACATCATGAAAGCGGTAGAGAGGACCAGCGCAAAGTTTAGGACTTGTGCGGCGAGTTGCCGCGGTTGCATGTTGGCGAGGCCCAGCATTGCTGCGGCTCGGGTGTGTTGATGTGGAGGTCGAAGGCAGAGGTACGTTGGTCGATCTTGGTTTGGGAGGTGGAGCGCGCAAGGGCGTCGTGAAGTCGCGTTCTTGGGAGTGTTTATCTGGAGCGATTGTTTTTTCGGAGAGAGACAGGGGCAGACGTCACAGTAGTTCGCGCGTCGTGGAACCGTGGTCAAGAATGTTGAAGCCAGATTGTCCTTGGATTCGCTGTTGCGGGCAGCTTAGTCAACCTCCGAGATCTGAGCTATGAACTCCGCATCCCCTTCTATCACTTGAACGCGACACCACGCTATATACTTCGAGATAGCAGCACCTATCTCATAAGCTGCCGCATCGCTATGCATCATCTAGTAGACGCTCTTTGGGTTTCTGTAGTGTGTGAAAGTTTCTCAGATCTGTTCTTGTCTCTCACCCGGCATGGCGGCTCTTGCTCGAAGCCGCCTTTACACCGAGAACGTGTCAACGCCATGTCTACTTATATCAGGTTTCCATTTGATCAATCGAATAATCCTTCTGATCCAGCCTTCCTCACTCACTCAGAAGACACGTGTCTGAGCTACAAGTGTCACTGCCTCTACATACCATCAGCGCTACTCCTACTCCGCTGACTCACGAAACACAATCGCGATACTGCTTCAGAAGAATAATGTTTATGCATCCTTCACCAGGTAGCCTTGTACAATACCGAGCGTCCGGGTTATTCCTTCCACTATGGCCGGCAGTGATTTGTACAGATGACATGGCACCAAAAGAGGTTGTGCGCGCCCGCCCGGCTGGGTACGTAACGCTGCTATTGAAGTTGGGCGACAATTTAGAGTTGTAAGAGCCTAGAGATTGAGAGATATGTTAGCTTCGCTAATATAAGTAGTCGCTGGGCGCTTACCACGGAAATGAGCAACTACAATCCATTCGTACCCTTCAGGCACGAAGAGATTGTGGGTAACACACCCGGCTTGGGTAACGCCTACGAAATGGCGAACAATGCGCTTGAAGCATCACTGGGTCTCGATTACTGGCGAGAACAAGTAACGAATACGACCAGCGATGCTGAATATTCGGAAAGTGAAGCAACTGATTCAGATGGAGACACATGCTCAGAACCAGAAATGAGAAAGGCCCTCCGCTTAAGTCGAGAAGAATTCTATGATAAGCAATCCAAAGAAGAAACTGTGAGAAATGCGAAGCTGCCGACGCCGTCTATATCACCACCTATCCCAGCAAGAGGTCTTGGTAATCAGCGCACTATTGTCCCTGTTGATACGGGCGGCTCCTCGCACTTGTTCACATCTTTCTTCGACAGGACTCTCAGTGGCTTGGATCGTGGTCGTAGAGAACCCATCAGTGATGCCGTTGAAGGCGAAATGTATGTTTATTAGCGAGACCTGTAGATTCCTCGGCTAACAAAGCCCAGTCTTCAAAGCAAGGGGTTTGTCCAAGTTCTCGTTGGACCGAACTCCCAAGTCAGCACACTGCAGAAAGAAAGCATATGGAATCGCCCATACTTTCGCGATCCTAGGTTTGGCGTCAACCTCTTTGACCACAACGACGATGGGATATGGAACCTCCAACACCCTGCTCTTGTCGAGATCGACCCAGAAGATTTCATTTTCGCAGCAGAATACCTTGAAAGCGGTGGTTTTGGTTATCGGTACCCGCAAGATGGCGGCGAAATGGAAGAAGCATTTGCACAATGCGTGTCGGCATGGTTTACTGTGGAGAAGTTGGGCATGTCAGACATGATGGATCATGTCGTCGAGAAGCTGGAAGGATGCATAGAACCAGAAATGCAGGACGTCTTGGTTTTCGCATATCAGGTCTATGTCTCGCAAGACACTGCACTTCCCTCGCAAGTGAGGCTAAAGGATTATCTGGCAATGTATATCGCGGAGAACTGGTGGATTTATTTGGACGACGATAACTTGAGCTCGGACTTCATCGAGAAGCTTAAGAGATTACCAGAGCTGGAGCGAGACATCTACGAGAGAAGGCTTCCAGCGCTGCGTGAGCGTCTCAGTGGAGACCAAGAAAACAGTGAAACCGAAATGGAATAAGTACACAAGATCCTCACAGCTTATTCCTACGATATACCACGTTTTCTTTCATGAGGTGGAATCATATGTGGATAGATTAAGATCTTGCATTCCTTGCAACAAGGAAGGACTAGACCACTTTCATCATTGCTGGTGATCAAGCTAGTTGAGAAAAGCTATTTCTTTCGCCAATCATGGTGCAATAGGAAACTCATTGAAATGATCTTATTGAAATGTGAAAATCGAACGACTATTCATCACTCTTCGTAGTGTCGTAAAGAACTGAGAGACAACCTCAGTCAGAGTCGCTTTCAAACTCAGGAACGTTCGGGTCTTCATTCAAATGGTTAGCAGAATACCTTGTTTGTCGCAAGTCCATCGAGCGAACACGTACCTCTAAGTGCCATGTACTCCAACGTACCACCAGCCTTCTCCACAAGGTTATCTCTTATTAGGGTCAGTTCATCTTCCGAAAGCAGCGTATCCGTGTCCGCCATATCTACTGAAAGACGGATGCCTTGATTGCCCGGTCCCAGCCTTGATACAAAATCTAGGAGACCATCCATGGTGAATTTCGATATACCGGAGATGGTGACGGTGCGAAGGTTCGGTAGACTCGCCAAATGAGGTAGTACAATGTCGTTTAGCTCCAAACCGCTGACGTATAGATCCTCTAGCAGAGTGAGATCAGCGATGATGGTGATAAGATGTTCGTCCCGCAAGACCTCGGGGAGGATGAGGTGCAGATCCCGCAACTCTGTCAGTTGTTTTAAGGAGTCCACGAGGATGTCCAAGTCGTCTCGAAACATGCCATCAGTATCGCCACTCAGAAACAGCACCCTCAAGGATGATTGTTGGTGTACCAGAGCTTGGTGAAACGTCTTGTGATCTTTCAGTGTGTACGAATCTATCTCCAGGCTGCTGAGTTGTATCTTCTCTTCCAATAGCACGGGCGTGATGAGTGCGGCTCCGGATTGCAATTTCGAGAAGCTAAGTCGCTGGAGGCCGGCGCACTTGCGTAACCAGGCGGTTGTTTCGAGAAAGATATCGTGCTCTGTTGCTTCCAAGTCTACAGTACCATGGATATCCTCGATGCGAAGTGTCTTCAGAGCTATGCATCCTTGCAGTAACGACAGATGCGGTATGGAATCGTTAGACACGCATAGTCTCAGATCTTCGAGTGAGTTTCCATGGTGATTGAGAGCCAGGAGTGTTTCGGCGCCTGCCTTGACGTCGCTGATCGTTTGGAGTGTCTGGAGTGTGTTTGGCCGCATCGAGGAAAGGAACTTGGCGAACTTGTGATCATTGTCTTCGGAGACCCAGGTATAGATCATAAGAGATCTAAATTGTGGACAATGGTTGTTGATGGACGCGTGGACCAATTCATCCTCTAGAGGCTTTCCGTCCCATAGTTCGAGGCTTGAGAGGCGAGGAAGGCGGGGCGTCCATCGCACAAGAGCGCCAGGGTGTACTAAATTTTGTCAGATCATTCGCGATATCAGAGAAATTCAGGTCCACTTGCGTTCACCACTGATCATCTCGAGTGTTGGAGTGTGCTGCGTAACCACTGTTCTATGTTACTAGTACATCCTGACGGCATTGCACATTAGTCATACCTTCGCCAATTGCATCGATTATATCCGCCGTCTTTATTCGTGTGTATTTTCTGCCTTTGATGTTTGTCCCTGTTTCAATCTTTTCGAATTGCTTCAACGGCCCCGAGAAGAATTGCCTGAATCGAGATCAGAATTGGCGATGCCTATTAGGGAGCTTTGCTTACTTGGAGACCTTCGCACGGAACTGATCATCGTCAAGGAGATATCCCAGATCGCGAAAGTCTAATGACTTGATGTAACGACAGTATGGGAAAAGTGTAACGTCGAGACTGGATGCGACGATTGAACGCCAGAGAATTGACCATTTCTGTATCGTAAGAAGCTTGGTAGCAGCTGGCAAACCATAGAGATCTTCTCCCCCGCCTCGGACAGGAGCCAGATGATGGGATCTTAGGCTTGTGTTAGTAAAGTGGCGATCAATTAGCGAGCCCAGTGCAACATACTTGTACAGATAAGTCAATGCAGGTACGGCGAGAGCACGGCTGGCACAAGCACAGTTAAAGAGCGTGTCGAATTGTTCTTGATTGGCAAGTTCTTCGCACAGAAGATGCAAAACATCGTCTGGGAGTGCTGACTGAGTCATATTGATTAAATCGACAATGGCTGGAGTCGCTCTCAAGAAAGTGACTGGGTGTGCTGCTGTCCCCGTAGAAGTAGGCGCGATGATGTCAATACGCTAGCGCGATTTTGACGCGCTCTTTCCGCTTTCGGTGGCTCTTCGCGATCCGACACCAATATCTCACCAGGATGCGAGCATTTCCGGATAGACACAATGGTTACCCTCAACTTCACCCTAACACCGGAGGCCGCGTCTAAGATTCATGACCTGCTCGTGTGCCTAGGCAAGTTCAGCGAGACCGTGGCAATCGAAGCGCGTCGCGAAAAGGTTGGTTTGCCGCTCTTGTTCTGTTCAGTTTGGCATCTCATACGTTCTGCATCAGTTCACATTTACCGCTCTCAACTCTTCGAAATCCGCCTACGGCGCCATTACGCTAGATGGCCGGCAATTTTTCGCCAACTACAAGTGCGTGCCAACCCATGGCGGACCTGACGGCCGCTTTACCTGCAGCATGTACACAAAAGCACTCTTGTCGGTCTTCAAAAGCCGTTTGTATGACCCACTGGGGCGCGACGGCGCAATCGATCGCTGTGAAGTTAGCGTGCAAGAGCGGGAGAACGAGACACAATGTCGATTCATCGTCAAGATGGTGTGCAACCAGGGCGTCATCAAGACCTACAAACTCACGTATGAAGCTGTCGACATTATGCACGCGCTGTTTGATCGCAGTATAGCGAGAAACAGGTGGAACATGAATGCCGGCGCTATGAAGGAATATGTTGAGTACTTTGGTACCAAAACTGAAATGCTCGATATTTTTACTAGTGGAGACGGCCGCTGCATCTTTAAGAGCTACACAGAAAAGATCTCGAATGGGAAGGAGATCTTAAAGCATCCAATTGTCACTGCTGTCGCGGTCCACACATCCGATTTTGAACGATTCACTGTCCAACCGGGCATGCATATCATTATCAGCGTCAAAGACTTCAAAGCGATCGTTGTTCATGCAGACACACTGAAGACAAGCTTGAGGGCTTTTTACTCTCAACCAACGCGACCGCTACAGTTCAGCTATGGGTGCGATGGGTTGCTTTGTGAGTTCACGCTAATGACTTCGGGCGACTACAACGGAGCTCCGCCAACACCTGCGCCGCAAGCGATGAGCAGCAGAAAAACATCCCGCACTGCATCAACGAACACATCAGAACGCGGACAGGGTCGTGGCTTCCGATCTGACATGCCTCCGCCTATGCAACCAGCATCACGACGCGATGGGTCCGGCCGACTACGGAATCCAGGATCCCGCCAAGCCTCCACAGCGCAAGCACAGCCTGCCCGTCAGGATTCTGACAGCCTGTTCGTTCCGGAGGACGAAGATGCAGCGTGGGCACCTCTTGACTATGATAAAGAAGAGACGTTAGGCTGGGATGCGAGTGCCAACCACGACGCATCGGCTTTCCCAACATTTACAGACAGCGGCGGTGTGCCAAGGACAAACACAACGGATAACAGCGAGGTTTTTGAGCCTACCCAGCGTGTATCCCAAATCAAGGGACTGTGGTAGCGCTATGGTGTCGATAAACGCAACTCGCAAGTTGAAGTAAACAAAGAAGAATAAGCTACTGTTGCAGAAGAACGTCTCATGCTTCAATAAAACCTGTTCAAGAAGTAGTATACTACCGTTTCAACTAATGTTTCTCTGGTCAACTGTATAACGGTGTAATTTGTCGATTACACTCAACTTGCCGCAAAGTCATTAGGATTAGCTTCCGGAAACGTGCTGTTTCAAGCAGAGTAGATGCGAGAACACCTTCAGGTATGTCTCAAGCCATTGTGGCTGTATTGTGGATGGATGCTGAGTCGGTTGTGAAAGGGGCAAAGAAGAACAGTCTGGTAGGGTTGTCGCCATTTGCGTGCCCAATAAGCTGGACGATACTCTTAGGAAACCGTAACGACGATGATGGCGACATGTGTGCCGGTCGGCTTACGCAACCCTTGCGACATCTTCTCGTTTATGTATTCGTCCATTGTATTCCAGAGTCCATGTTACGTACGATATTTTTCCGGACAATGTGGTTCTGCAATGTTCATACCACAAATAGGTTCCTCTGCAGGCAATACCGTTAGCACCGACGTGACCATAGCCCATTATATATTGCGAGGGATTATACGCACATGTGTATAACTTCGTGTAAGTAACCCGCTACAGCGTCGGGCATGCAGCTTTCATGCCTTGCGGCAGCAACAAGATGTGAGTCAATGACGTCGAGCTCGCGTACGCGTATCCGCGGATGGTGGGGCTGGCTGGAGAAAATGATACGGACAGTCCTGCTTCTACGTCCAGACCAGTGGAAAGCAACACCTTCATACTCTTTTCGATCGACAATGACACTGAAACGCATTCTGGTAATCGCTGGCTCGGACAGTTCGGGTGGGGCGTACGTACGCGTGCATGCATCCGCCCTTTATCAGCCACACACCACTAACGATCCTGCCACACCAACAGCGGACTAGAAGCCGATCAGAAGGTCATCGCGGCCCATGGCTGCTATGCTATGACTGCTACGACTGCATTGACTGCGCAGAACACGCTCGGCGTACACGATATACACCACACGCCGCCGGACTTCGTGCGGAAGCAAATTGACGCTGTTTGTGAAGATGTTGGTGTGGATGTGGTCAAGACTGGTAAGACTATGATTATAAAGGACTATCTGATTGATGAATGCGCTGATGAAACACAGGCATGCTTGCCTCCCCCGAGACAATCTTGATTACTGCAGACGCTTTCAGGAGATATAAGATTAACACCACTGTTATTGACCCTGTATGTAGTAGGTTGCATTTCGATGCTCTTAGGTACAGTTCTTATAGCTTTCATTGTGAGCTGACCACATTGAAAGGTAATGGTGTCGACATCGGGCTCACAGCTCCTTCCTGAAACCGCTATCTCAACACTAATTCAACACCTCCTGCCTTGCACTACACTTCTCACTCCGAACCTTCCCGAGGCACAGCTGCTGCTTAAAACCGCTGGCTTGAATCTCTCTGATCCTCAAAACGTCGAAGACATCGTCTCTATAGCACATCAAATCCAGTCACTCGGACCAAAATGGGTATTGTTAAAGGGTGGCCATCTACCATTGACACACGGCCGCGTAGTAACCACACAAGACAGCGAGAAAGAAGTTGTTTTGAACATACTTGTAGGTGATAGTGGAGTCACGATACTGGAAAGCCCCTATCTGCAGTCAAAAAACACGCATGGAACCGGATGTTCGTTAGCATCCGCTATTGCATGTAATTTGGCTAAGGGAATGTCGATGGTCAAGGCGGTGAAGAAGGCAAATCTGTATGTTGAAGCAGGAATCAAGACAGCCGTCGACTTGGGACAGGGAAGTGGCCCAATCAACCACTTCCATTCAGTATACATGCTGCCTTTCACACCAGGGAATTTTATCAGTTACCTGCTGGATCGGGATGATGTGCAAAAGCCGTGGAAAGAGTATACTCAGCACGATTTTGTGCAGAGTATGGGTTCTGGGACATTGCCAGTGGAGAAATTTATGTACTACCTGGTACAAGACTACCTTTTCTTGGTAAGTACACATGCTGTCATGTTTCACTTCATACAGACAGCAGAGTAGCTGACAGATGCGGAGGTTCAATTTGCAAGAGCGAACGCACTATCTGCATACAAGTCAAGCAACCTGAAAGATATCGGCCGCTCCGTGCAACAGGTCGTCACCCTCCAAGAAGAGATACAGCTGCATATCGACTTCTGTAAAGGATACGGACTGTCAGAAGCTGATATCATCAACGAAGAAGAGGACCAAGCCACTACAGCATACACACGCTATGTCCTCGACATCGGCATGTCGCAAGACTATCTCGCCTTACAGATCGCCCTTCTCCCCTGCCTCATCGGTTACGGTATCATTGCTAAACGTCTCTATGAAGATCCCAGCACTGTAAGGGTGGGAAGCAAGTACTGGAAGTGGATTGAGCAATACGTAGCAGAGGAATACAGGGAGGCGATGATGAGGGGGAGTGAGCTGGTAGAGAGACATGCCGAAGGACTAAGTCCGAGCAGAGTCGAAGAGTTAGCTGGCATCTTCATACACGCCACAAATGTGAGTATTTTGATGGAGATGATAGATGATGGTTTGCTAATGCTACAAAGATGGAGAGAGGCTTCTGGGACATGGGCCTCAGAGCTGGCGAGGAAGGAAAGTGAGTATGGAAGGACCTGTGATGCAGCTGGAGGCTGCACGAGACGGATGCAATCATAAGCGTCGTCAGAGTATCATTCCTCAGCATACTCGATCCTGCGTCTGTAGTCTAGGTTAAACAAGATCAAAAGCGAAAACGTACGTGCTTTCATCCCAGGTCTGAAACTAGGCATCAGAGCTTGCAATATGCGGGTCATGATGGAGTTTTCTCCATAGCCACCCAGATGCGAGACCCACAGTGGCGAGATGTTTGTCGGTGTTCCTTGGTGCGCTTCCCCGGGCTGATAACGGCAAGCTCCGCGCTTACCCAACTGGGCGAGACCCTGGCCCTAGCGGCGCTAGCGTCTCAAAAAATGTGCAAGCGCAACAGAGGCAAGGCAACTTTTCCTGTCGCGTTCTGCCCTCTGACTTCCTCTCACTCCAACTCACATCCTCTACTATTTGTGCTTCTTCTACCGCACAACACGCGACATCTGTACAGTCGCTCTACTACATTTAATATTCCCTCGTAGTCTCCAGATTACGATACACACTCCCTCAGACTCGACCGGTTCCCCTTTCACACCAGTCCCTACAAAACACTCGCACATCATGTCTTACGGCGGCGGCGGTTACGGTGGTGGTGGTGGAGGATACGGCGGCGGCGGCGGTCGCGGCGGTGACCGCGGCTACTCGAACGGGTACGAAAACAGCAATGCTGGATATGAGTCTTACAACAACTCGACAAGCCACTATGCATCGTACGGGTAGGACGATACACTCCCTTCACACGGGAGAGGCATCACAGTCGCGGTTCTTGGACAGCCCTCCATCTGCTACATTTCTTCTTACAATTCTGCGCGCAGCCCGAGTCCCATCGTCCTGCCTGGTCGGCTGTCTCTTACAGCTAAGGCGGACGGTAGCGTACTCTTTGCGACAGCGTAGAATTCCCCATCTATCACTCATTCCATCTCATCAACCTTTGCTAACATCTATCTAGTGGCGGCTACGGCGGCGGTTCCAACGGCTACTCCGGTGGTGGAGGCGGCTACGGAGGAGGTGGTGGTTATGGTGGAGGCGGCTTTGGCGGTGGTCGCGATGGCGGTGACCGCATGTCGCAACTCGGCCAGGGCCTGAAGCAGCAATCATGGGGTACGTTCTACATCCGCCCTTGCAAACTCAGCGCAATACTAACGTTTTCTAGACCTCGACACCATGCCCAAATTCGAAAAGTCTTTCTACAAGGAGGACCCCGCTGTTACTGCGCGTTCAGCCGCTGAGGTTGCCGAATACCGCAAGGAGCACCAGATGACCGTCAAGGGTGAGAACATCCCCAAGCCCGTCACAACTTTCGACGAGGCTGGCTTCCCATCCTACGTGATGAACGAGGTCAAGGCTCAGGGTTTCGCAAAGCCCACTGCTATTCAGGCTCAGGGTTGGCCCATGGCTCTCTCTGGTCGCGACGTTGTTGGTGTTGCCGAGACTGGTTCCGGAAAGACGCTTACCTACTGTCTTCCTGCTATCGTCCACATCAACGCTCAGCCTCTGCTCGCCCCTGGTGACGGCCCTATCGTCCTGATCCTCGCCCCCACTCGTGAGCTTGCTGTCCAAATTCAACAAGAGATCAGCAAGTTCGGAAAATCCTCGCGCATCCGAAACACCTGCGTCTACGGAGGTGTCCCCAAGGGTCCCCAGATCCGTGACCTTGCACGCGGTGTCGAGGTGTGCATCGCCACACCCGGACGTCTCATCGACATGCTTGAGGCGGGCAAGACCAACCTCCGCCGTGTTACCTACCTGGTTCTCGACGAGGCTGACCGCATGCTTGACATGGGTTTCGAGCCTCAAATCCGCAAGATTATTGGTCAAATTCGTCCTGACCGTCAAACCTGCATGTGGTCCGCTACATGGCCCAAGGAAGTCCGCCAGCTTGCTGCCGACTACCAAAAGGACTGGATCCAGGTCAACATCGGTTCCATGGATCTGTCTGCTAACCACCGCATTCAACAAATCGTTGAGGTCTGCACCGAATTCGAGAAGCGTGACCGCATGGCCAAGCACCTCGAGACTATCATGAGCGACAAGGACAACAAGATTTTGATCTTCACAGGCACCAAGCGCGTTGCTGACGAGATCACCCGATTCCTTCGTCAGGACGGCTGGCCGGCACTTTGTAAGTTTGACTGCAACATCCGTTACGAGCATTGCTAACCCATCTCTAGCCATTCACGGTGACAAGCAGCAGAACGAGCGCGACTGGGTCTTGAACGAATTCAAGACGGGCAAGAGCCCCATCATGGTTGCCACCGACGTGGCTTCCCGTGGTATCGGTATGATTGCAAACCCCCAACACTCCCCCCTCCTCACCTCCCCAACTATTATTATGCGTGAACTGCCATTGTGCTCTGCTTAGGTCGTCTTGTGCGCTTGTTACACTCGCTTCCATGACATCGTCCAGGGCTTGCATCTCTCTCGAATCTGATCCCCAGGGATCCTTGGTCACGCTGGCGAAGCTTTTAGTCTTCGCTATCATCTGTTTCTGGTATTACCAAGGTATTACTGAAGCAAGCTGCTTGAGATACTTGACTTCTACAAGTCGCACTCTCTTCCAAGGGTTTCTGGACCAGGAGACATCCACAGCCTTTCCACTGGACTTGATGCCGTGATCTTCGTCGTAGCGCACAGAGACGGTTGCATGCAACATACAGCAGCTTCACGCGATCCAATCATGATCGTCGTTTGCTTGTTCCTTTTATCAGTCACTAACCTTTGCTCTTCAAGATGTCCGCAACATTACTCACGTGTTCAACTATGACTACCCGAACAACTCGGAGGACTATGTCCACCGTATTGGTCGTACTGGTCGTGCTGGCGCTAACGGTACTGCCATCACCCTCTTCACTACAGACAGTATGTATCCCCGCACTCCGACCATACACGCAAATCACTAACAGCTTCATTAGACTCCAAGCAAGCTCGTGATCTCGTCCAGATTCTCACAGAGTCCAAGCAGCAGATCGATCCTCGCTTGCACGAGATGGCCCGCTACGGTGGTGGCGGCGGTGGTGGTGGTCGCTGGGGAGGTGGCCGCGGCCGTGGCGGAGGCCGTGGCGGACGTGGTGGTAGGTGGTAGAAGTCCTTTCGACAACAAGCGAGACCTAACGCCAATCTCAGGCTGGACCGGAGGTAACAGCGATCCCATCCGCAACAGCCGCTGGTGATCACTTTATCCATCGCGCTTGCTTATCGCCTTGTCAGAACGATGAGCTTTCATTCCACCAACCTGATTTCGGCGTTGGCGGTAATCGTTTCGGATTTACCTCATGTTTCATCCAATTTCCAAGCACGACGGAAGACTCTGGTTCTGTCGTACGCTGATACCCCATGGACAGAATTTTGATCTTTATGCAAGGATACGATGTCAGTATGGCAGCATGGTTCTTTCACATATTAGACTGGCATGGTTTTGTTTTCCTCTATCGAGGTTGCGCATATTTAGCAACCCTTCGTGACCACTCGGTCGCTTTGCATCATGGTGCTGGTGGCGTTCATACTCAGAAAAAGTTTCTGTCAAAGTAATAGCGATATAGAATACACGTACTTCGTATCTGATTCATGGTGCTTTACTTGACTTGGGTGCCTTCTATTGATTGCTTATGCTGGATGGGTAATGCACCCTTCGCGTCTGATCATTTACTATACTATTTGATTCTTATCTTTGTTATCTCTTACTGTTGGTCAATGGCGATCAGATTCATGTTGGCCCACTTCTCTATGTTCTTCGAATATGCGACTTTTTCTCCCACCTGTGGGTGAATTTTGGTAAACATGCCACGACGTCGTGCACACTACTTGGGACAGATGAGTGCATTCACCCTACTCGGGTCTTGCAAGAAGCATCATATACAATAGCAAGATAAGTTCCAGCGAAAGTAGTGATCATACAAGCCATTTTGTAATCTTGATTGTTGTAAGAGAAACCATCACCTTCGACTAGGTGGTCGCATTTTGTGGAGAGTTGTACACATCCCAATCTTTTCCCAGACGACTGTGTGCGAAGAACATACTAGTTTAATGTTGCGAAGCAAGATCGACAGATAATGGGGAGGACATGTAACCATACCAATGCGATACGGTGAGCAAATCAATATTGTCGGAGCATTGATATACGTAGTGGACTATGATCTCCTAACATTTTACACAAAGACATCCTGACGAGATATAATGTATATGTCGCGCCGTTATGCAACGCTCTATTCATCGACTGTAAACCACCAATAAATGCAATCGAACATGTGGTGTCTTTAAGAGATCATAGAAAATTTCATTTCCCTCTTTGAGACGGTATTCCCACTGGTTGTACCTGACGGCATTCATACCTTTGTCCATCTTCATGACGCAGCAAGTGCTGCGGGGGAGACAAAGTCCATGGTGAGAATCATGCGCAATCCCATTGTTACCTTGGGACGCCCACGATTGCCTTCGGGTAAGGGAAGGCAATCGGGTAGGGGGTCGTAAACAACGATGGAAGGTGCCTGGGCTGCACCGGCCCCGCTATAGTTAACTTGAGATATCCAGTCATAGAGTTGTCGACGTCTAGTAATAGCCACTTTTCCATGAATCGCCGCGGAGTTCCTCATACGGAGACATATGGATGCAGAAAGTACATTGTGGAGTGGGATATGATTAAGTGGTAGCGAGGAAAACACAACAGATATGTACAGGATCGTCACAGAAAGCTTCACCGTGTACTTATAAGGGGGGATGACCAGGTGAAATCATGTAGGTGACGCAAGATGGCGGTCGCAATGAGCAGCTAGAGTGGAAATGATACTTGAACTCGAATAGAGCAGGGAACTGGAGAGGCTTGGCTATTGTTTATGTTGAGACTGTTGTAACGGTACGCAGGGTCCATACCATAGTCACTTGATCACACGTATGACCTTACAGAACCTAATAGAAAGCGCACGACCGTCGACATCAATTGAAGACCTCTTCTCTGATTCGTTTATAGGACTGCATACATAACAGGGGTGCTGGTACTTGACACAAAGAATGCGATGTTTGTTGAGGAGCGTGCGCAATATCCAGACGATATTGTCCGGTGCATAGCAAACATGGTCATCGGCCTCGCAAACCGAGTCCCTGAGACAGAAATCACAAAGGACGCGTATACGACCATATAGCGTGGCAGCCAGATCAAGAGACACGACGGGTATCTTTACCAGACCCATTGCTCGGTAAAGGAGACCATGGTAACAGCATTACAGGAGTCGATAGAGTCAATGTAGAATTACCGATGTGAAGAGGAGGAAGACGTAACCCACGGCGCTTCTTCGCTATCAAACGGAACCATCGATAGGGAGGCCCGAATGACGACCACCATAGGGCTGAATTCGCAAAATCCTTCCATGTGTAGAAGTCCAAGAAGAGGGAACAGTGGCAGAACAGCCAAGAGACTTCTACCATTCATGTTATGCTATGTCTGAAATGACTTGTAACTTGCTCAATGATATGACAAGCAATAGATGTCGACAGTACGAGTGGAGTAGAGATAGAGTGAAATGTAGGATTAACCCGAAAAAGACCGGGCATTGAGACGGTGGCTGGGAGCGGCCGCAGGCCAGTTGACGATCGCTGTCATGGCGCAAGACGCGATCGTGTTGTTGCAGCGGATGATTCGCTTGTGCGGGAAGGATGATGGCACGAATGTACTTCAAGCGTACTGTAGTCTTTCTAGGCTGATCGATGTGATCCACGGAAGCGAAAGCAAGTCTCGAAGAAGAAGCTGTTTATGCTCCTTACCTGACGAGGAATCGTGGTCTAGTGCCAGTGTCGTGCAGTAGCGGGATCGATCTCAACATCAGTCTGGAGGAGACTACTCGCTTTCTGATTGTGGAGCGACACTACGCAACCATGACCATGAGGTACCCCCTCCAGCTCGCACAAAGCCAAGAGGACTGGCCAACTATCATGTACCCACCGATATTGATGTTCGCCGGTGTAGCCGGTGATAGACATCACCACTGTGGTTGTTGGCACACTTTCAAGTTTTTCATGGAGTCAGCTTCCAGCGGAGGATGGTCCGATCGAAGACCTTCTACAAGCGAGCACGGCGATGTGAATAGAGGTTTCGTTGATGTGCTCAAGAACCATGTGGATGTGCCCTGTAATGACACCAGGCAGGGCTATCCCGAGGTTGGCCTGGTCTAGAATGGTACTTGTAAACTATCGTTTTGTTTGAACTTCATGAAATCGAGGCCCATGGGGATCAGCCAAGTCATGCCGACTCAAGATCGGTGCATCCCTGTCGCCGGAACATGAAGCTTGTACGAAACAATTGCTGCTGGAATTGCATCGCCATGAGCAGGGAAGACGTAGCTCAGCACGGTCAAAGCCCCATGACGCAGCTCGTTTTCGCATTCTTTGCTGGGAACTAAATCTGCACGAACTCCAGTTCGGGCAGTGGGTGGCATGTCGCCGGACACTAATGGCTACAGGAATGCATGCTCAACCAGAAAACCGCATCCTGGGGCTAGATCGCGCTATATTCCGGCGAATTGGCGTCCCAGTTTTGGGCTCCGTTTCATCTCCGGAATGTGTAAACTAACGAACAACAAGCTTTATCGATTCTCGATAGGGGCGCGACGTGTTCCAAGTATGGGAAACTGGAGAGGGTTGTCGAAAGCTTGAAGCGGATAGATGCCGAAAGGCATGGATCTTATGACTGCATATTCATGGTCACAAAAGGACCGATCCTGTGGCCAGGCCATCGGGGACAATACACACAAAGAATTGTGTCAAGCGCTTCGCTTGACTCCGAGTCGGGAAGATATGAGAAGAGCGGAATGTGGAGCAAGTCGAGACAGACGAAGATGTCCGTTCAAGGCAGCGCTCAGATCCGCTAACGCGGCGAAGCTATAGGCGGAGAATGTAAGGAAAGAACAGACGAGAGAGAATCCATGAAATGCAGGTGACGACTGGGATTAGGCAAGGTGTGCAGGCCAAGCTCACGCCATGTCGTATCGAGGCAAGCAGACAGAAACGATCTGCGGGCTCCAACGTCGGCCATTCTTCGGCCGCTCTGGGCGCAGCTCCCGCAGGCAACTAGGTAGGGTTCCTGGAAAAAGCATTATTTGTCAAGGAAGATCGTGATTTGGGTGCGCCTACGTTACCGGATGGAGTGGGCCATGATTCTGCGAAATCTGGAGTTATGGCATGCGCATGGCCGTTGTCAATGCCGTAGAGGGTGTATCGGGTGTCACGGCCAATGGCACAGTATGTATGGGACCTTCCAAATAAAAGTGGGTGGGTGCATGCAAAACTATGTCATTACCAAGGTTTGACGCTGCCAGAGAAGGAGCATGGCGGAAAAGACTCGACTTGGGCGAGGTGACAATGTTCAGATAGGCCAAGGCAGATCGGAGAGATTAGGGGACATGTTTACAGCAGTGATGCTGATGCGAGGATGTTGCGAAGGAGCGGGTTACTGAACAAGGAAGGCGCTACAGGACGTTGAGTGACTCGGAAGCAGCGTGATCCGGAGTTCGCACCGGCGTCGCACACAGCATCATACACACGACTAAATGTTGACGTGCATGTGTGCATTCTACCATCACCACCACTACAAACCTTCTGCTCTGCCGTCTTCGTGTACCAGTTCGTAATAGAGCATGATCAGGTGACGATCAGCCTATACCTGCATGTTCATGGGTGTCGACCCCAATACACCGTGTCCTCCTGGTGGGTTTCAGTGGGGGAGGAAGACTGTGCAAAGTGGCAGAGATCCAAGGTTTCTGTAACAAGGGTATCATGCATCCAGGCCCATGACTACAGCACTGCAGGTAGCATGTGGAAGTCGCCTCCGCTTCCTCAATCTAGGGACGGAAGGTATCCCGCTGGCTGCGCGCAATGCCGTGTCAGTTTACGAGAGTTGCGAAGAATTTCGGACATGGGCAGCTGATGCGTATGTGCATTGAGTTGCAGCAGTGACATTGGTTTGACAGTTACCAAGATCTCAAAGTTAGCCCTGCAACCGGCCAGTATAGCATCGGCATACTGACACCTGTAGTGTGAGCGAATTTTATGCTGTCGTCAGCCTTCCTCGTCACCACCGAAGAAGGTCTCACTCACCTTCATAGGACATCTCCGTACGGTTTTCTCCACGTGAGCGACGCACGGCGGATCTATTCCACCGAAGACATGGAACCGCCACAGACCCACATTGGATTGTGGGCAGGGGATGCCCTTGTTGTGTGACTCGCTCGCCCAACTTTCACCAGACATTAGCCGTGGCTAAGAATACGTTGTCTTTGGGACTTAGCAGCAGTGGCTGGGTACTGCGCGGCATGCAATATCCTCACCATTGTCTCTTTGATATTGCAAATCTCAATGTAGCTGCGATGACATAGGCGGTCGGAGTAACAACCGCTGGACTAGTCTTGAGCTGAGTGAATATGTGCAACAGAGTTAGTTGCAGAATGGGACCCAGGTCGTTCTCGGGAAGATTTCAGACTGTGTCTCGGTGCTACAGTACATGCGCTAGAACATTGTGAAAGGGATTAGAAGCATCAGAAGTCTGGAGTTGCTATAGTTTATTCGCGGCGTGGTGTTCGCGCTGTGATCGAGATTACTTCCCGCTCCCGTTCGACGGCGCATGTGCGTGCGATAGCTAGCGGCATCTGTTCGTATGATCCTGGGTCCGATCAGTCTTGGTCTTGCATGCCCAATCATGTAAAAAGTCAGCAAGCTGTTGCTTGAGTTCTGGTGCAGACATTCTACCAGGGAAACAAGCAGAATTCTAGTCGCCAGGGACATGTCAGGCAGGATAGGAACATCTATGACGAGCACATTGATCGGATGTTTGCAGAAACGACCGTGGCATGTGAGTGGCTGGGACTGGGGCTCATCGGATGCGGACAACCGGATCAGGCATAGACCGTGGGGAGGTGTGTACCTGAGCATGTCTTTGAGGCTGTCATTGTTGTCGAAACGGTACATGACTCTTCGGGTTAGTAGCAGAGAAACAGCAGGCCGCTTTGTTGATGCAATGCGACGTGATGGATATGACGAGGAAGGCGGCGGCCCATGGTGCTGCACGACGGATGAGACTGGCACACTGCAGCGTGCAGAAGCAAAGATACACGAGATGTCAGGGACCCACTTTTCGCAGGCTGACAGCAGCGCGACACAATGCTAGCCGACCAACCTTGAACGTTTTGGTGCACTCGAAGCCAAGCGGTTGCAAGGCCCACTAACTTGGAGAGACGCATATATCTTGGGTCTGCTGACAAGAGGGCAAGGGTTGACTGTCATCAGCATAAGAAAAAGTCACGATGCTGTGTGCACTGATGTGCTGAGATGTGAGGGTGCGAAAGCGGAAATAAGAGCGAGAGTGAAAGCACGCACGCAATAAGAGACGGAGAGGATGTGATTTGGTGGGTCTCGAAAGGCTGAAAAGCGTGCCTATCATGGCAACCGCGGCGAGGGGATAAACTCTTGGGCTCTTACCGCTGGTGTGGGCAATTGTGTCAGTTGATGGAGATTAACCGCCATGGACGGACAAGTCAGCTCTCCGCCATCTCAAGGGCTTGGATAAGATTACGAAGGGGCATCACAAAAGACGACGCGAGCGACAGTCACGACGGCCACGGACAAAGAGGCCGTCGGCGCGTCTCCGTCGCATGTTGCTTTTCGCTTTCACACACCGCAATGGAGAGGTCGGTTGGAGGTTCGCTCTTGTTGACGCATTGGGCATTATTGCCGCTCGTCGAGGTCTGTGCCGTGTCCAATATTTGCATGCAGACGTTTTGCAGGCCGCTCTTGCCGAGGCCCGCAAAAGCCCGGCCGTGTCGTGAGGGTGTCGTGGCCGGTGTGGTGAGCAGCTTGGGAGATGTTGTCGAGAGGCATTCGCAGTGTTCTCTGCGACGTCTATATCTTGGGGTTTATCTAACGTGGTTTGGGTACTAGGCCTTGCGCGACTGTACCATGCCGCGTCTAGCGCCAGGAGCTAGCTTTCAGCCTCATGGCATCGCCTGTTTCTTCTTTGCACGTCTTGCGACAGCACCAGCACCAGCACCAGCACCACGAGGGCGACGCCCGGCGGCCACGACATGGGCAGAAGCCGAGGCTGGCTGCCGGGGTCGCTGGAGCCTGCACATTGCAAACGGGTGCAAAGGGCGGTCAGTACGTCACGGTTAGTCAACCCAGAACACCGTGCCCACTCGGACTATTTTTCTCACTAGCGCCTGCCTCAGCTGTCTAACCAACTTTTGTGCTAGCCCTCACTCTAGCCTACATCGCGAATCTGACCCAGCTCAACCACCATCATCAAGCCCGAACGGTACCTGGCTCTAACGCTGCCGTCACCGGCGATAGCTTGCAACCCCAGGCACACCAAGTCGCGCGCCTCCAAAGCTGCTACACGTGCAACTGCCACCAGCAACGCGATCGCCGCCCTCCCGGCGCGTTCGTCACTAAGGCACCCCACAGCACTTATACGCATCCTGTGCGCAGCCTCTGTCCTGCCACGACGCGAGTCACTCGCGCCCGTAACAAAACGCACCAGATCGCCCACCCTTGACGGTCCACCTCCGTGGAGCAGCTGCGCGAGCTTCCGAGCAGCATCTCGCTCTCGTGCCCGGAGCGCGCTGCCTCGAGACTCTGAACTTGCACGGAAAGCCCGGCGGCCGGACAAGAGGCTGATCGCTCGGCACGCTCGGCCTAGTTGAGCTTTCTGGGAACGGCGAGGGCTGGGAGAACCAGAGTGTGAGCGAAACTTTCAATCATCGACTCAACAACGGGCCGACTGTGTTTTGCCCCATCATCAGTATCTGCGGAGCCAGTCAGCGACGCGCATCCACAGCGACCACCTCTGTGGCCGCCTGCGCACCCATTCACTCTCGGCGAACAAGCGCACTCAAACCCGGTTTCTTCGTCACTAGCGCCACTTCTACACGGACCCGCACGCCCCTCTCACACTAAAACGCCCACCCTCGAGCAGTCCTGCGTCCCACACTTTGCTGCTTGCGCCATCCCAACCTCGTCCTAGGCCCGTAACCCAGAACAGTACCCATTCCCACTGTCACGGCTCGGCTTTACCGACTAAGCTGGCATCCTGGTTTTCGCCGCTACGGTCGTCTGTTACCTCATCAGGTGTGCTAAGGCCTGCTGGGTAAGCCGTCAGTCTCTCCAGGCCGATCCATTGGTGGCCAATCCGCATCGCGCGCCACTCAGTCTAAAAGGCCTTTAGGTCGCGCTGTCACTAGCTGTGTTCCAAATTCACTCTCGCCCCAGCAGACCCGCAGTGCAAGCTCGTCAACCTAGCACCGATTGTGTAACCTTTGCGTTGCACTTCACTCTGCATCGCGCCAACTGCTCCGCGATTCGAGAGATCTCTTCCCGCTAACCTTCTCCCCTGCCCCGGTGCCCTCGAGCTTGCGCCTTCCGTGCGTTATCTTTTCGACGGTGCATATTTGCCGAACTGCTTGTCCTCCACCTGGGCGTCGTGGAAAACACACCGTCTGCAAATCATCCGCGTTTAACTTCCACGCTACTCACGGCCTGACCACATTGCTTCTCCGGTTTTCTGGCTGTGCGTTTCTTGGCTCGACTGAGGCTACGTCTTTATACGCTCTAGCTGCCTGTCTTCCACAGACCGCGGCAAATCATCCGAAGACGGTTTGCGACGGACATATCTCTGCAGCCATCCCTCCTCGTGGGCGCACGCATCCAACCATCCAACCTCAGCTTAGAGCCTAGCTACCCTCGACACCTCGCCAATCTACACAGTCTATGGACGCACGGCAAGCAGACTACCCGCAGTCAGGTTTGAGCTCGCCCTACCCAACCTTTCCTGAACCAGCTTCTGAGGGAACCTCTGCAGATCAAGCATCTGCTGCGCAATACCCTCCACCAGGACCAGATCCTCGCTCCTCCAACCTCACCCCGAATTCAGACTACAGTCTGAATCCTTCATCGGCTCGATCAGGGTCGTTTCCGGAGTACATTCAACGTTCGTATCAACCCGGCGCTCAAGGGCAAGCTCCCGGTGGTATGGCGCAACAACAGAGTCCGTCAATGCCTATCCCAGATGGTCAAACAAATGGCCATCAATCACCACAACAACTCAAGTCTGACTCGGATGTTCCTATAGATCCATCAATTGCCGCGCAGACGAGCCCGACATACGCAAGCCATCAGCAGCAATACTCGCCTTACACACCTCACCACGACATGCAGCACTACCCAGGGCAACCCCAAACACCAATGGGATATGCCTCGCGACCTGAGTGGGCAGGCCATTACCCCCAGCCGGGTATGCACTATGGGCACCCTGCGACTTCAGGCCCGCCCGCGCCTGCAATGGTCTCTCCAGTCCAGCGACCACCTACAGTAAGTCAACTAGTTTCGCACGTCAGACAGGTAATAGGGATGCGTTGAATGCGCATGATGCTAGGCTATTTGCTTGTCACACCCATGGTTGAATCTTAAGAACTGACAGGTCTGTTTAGGGAGGACACCCTCTATCCACAGTTTATTCATTTGTACCCATTCCTGGCGCACAACAACACAAGCGACCACGTCGGCGATATGAAGAAATTGAACGCATGTACAAGTGTGGGTGGAACGGTTGCGAGAAGGCTTACGGTACTCTGAACCATCTGAATGCGCACGTCACGATGCAATCGCACGGCCAAAAGCGCACTCCTGAAGGTATGTTCTTTCTATTCACGGTTTAACAACTGCTGTTGTGGTTGTGGCCCTTGCAAAACTAGTGCACTAGGTTAGCCCTTGGGATCGTGCTGGTGCAGCGCCATAATGGTCGTATCCCCGCCGCACTGGGTAGCTTCTGACGACCGAAGCTAACAGCTGTCGACCCTTGCCCAATTATCTTGGCATCTTAACACCTATATTATAGTATGCTAACTTATCCTTCCAGAATTCAAGGAAATCCGCAAGGAGTGGAAAGCGAAGAAGAAGGAGGAGGAGGCTGCGCGCAAAGCCGACGAAGAGCGACACCGGGCCGACGTGCAGCAGCGCGCCCACGAGGGAGGCGCTCCTGAGGCACCTGTCTATGGACAGATGCGACAGGCAGTTGGTGTCCCTGGACAACCTCCTCAACACCCCCAACTCCCACCCATCGGGTACCAACCTGCGGCCTCTGGTAACAGCACTGCCCCTCAGTACGGCACGCAGAGTCCAGGTCTTCCTGAGGGCATGGCTCAGTATGCCACCCCCAACAGTAATGCGTACAACAGTCCAAATAGTAACAACAGCAGTTACCCACAATCGCCGTACGGACAAAACCCACAGATGTACCAGCAGAGTCATTAGGAACTCTCTGCCAATTCAGAAGCCGACCCCCTCCATCATCTGTTCGAGGACGATGAGGGATGAGGTATACCAAAAGCGCACTCGCTTGTATCGTTGTCCAGAGCAAGCGAGTCTTGACGAGTCTCCTTATGGTGGTTCTTTGCGTCTGTGTCGCGAGCTTATGCGACGGATACATCATCTTTCCTCTCGGGTGGTGCTTGCATTTTCACTTGGCGGCGGCGGCGGTTGTATGTTTCTAGTTGATGGTGTCTACGATGGAGATTACTTGAGTCATCATGCTCAACATGGATACGGCTCCATGATCGATACCGCGAAAGAGTCAGTACAATGTTCTGAGGATACCACTGGAGATGTCGTAAAGACGAATGCTTGGGCATACGTTATGCATTCCGCGTCACATGTATTCCTCTTTACGTCTTTTATTGTCATGGATCAGAGGCATTCCAAAATTCCTTGGTTCAAACAGTTTTCATTTGGGGTTAGAACGATTGCATGTGAATCGGCGTTCGAAACAAGAAACAATTATTCAATTTCTCCTTCAATTAGTTCGCCACTGGTTACGGCCCTTTTCTTTGCTATTGTGCTTACTCTCAGATTATTCGCTCTCCGTGTCATTCTTTGCACATGATGCTGGATATCATTGGAGCCTGCCTGCCCGCCTTTGTGTTCTCGTACAAGCAACGTGGAACGAACCATCGCAAAGTGGTCTGTGAATCACTATCTTGCTGACCTCCAGCTTTTGCCCAACTCTGCATCGTGTGCTTTGCATGTTATACTGTCGCATGATCGGATGGTGTCGCTGGAGACAAATCAGAGCGTGCAACAAGATGACGCTGTGACCGAACTTTACCACTACCTGGCCAAGATGTCGCCGTGTACGTCTATGACCAGTCGTGCCTTGTATCCCAACATGGCCGTGGCTGCCCGACCTGCCTACCAGTTTAATTCAGTTGCTGGTTTATACGTGGTGTTCTTGTTTCACGAACGGAATATGCGCATCTGGGTACGCTTTCTGATACGAATTGTCTGTGCGCGTTTCAAGGCTCGCTATGGATAGCATGGATTTACAAGGTAAGCCTCGCTTCTCTGAATCTCCGGGCTCTGGCACAACATGCTTGTCCATGTCTTCGCAGCGATGATCACCTCTTCACACCATCACTCGCATGCCTGCCGCCACGTACGCAAAGTGCAAGTCAACTGCCCGAGCATTCCCCCGTCTCGGATTTAATTTTGCATCAAGACATCAGACCACAACCACTCTGAGGCCAACAGCAAATCCCCCAAGTGTCACCTTGCTCAAGGGCACAACTCACTCTGCATTCCCCGGCTTGTGCACTGATTCGTCCAAAGCAGGGGTGTCATGTTGAATATTTTGAACACGAACAGCCAATCGATTGCACATGGACATGTCGCAAAATGGTTTTAGACAGACTGTATTACGCTGATAATGACGCATATTACCGATAATACTAGAAGGAGGGGAATCCTGTGTCCGGGGTTGGTGGAAAGTACCGTTTGGGTTCGACTGAGTTTTGAGGCGCACTCTTCGTGTCGAATGAGGAAGGCGCGGAATGTCGATAGGAAGGACGTATGAAATTGTGGCTGCATAATAGTTGTGTCGTCAAGATATATTAATCACATGCCGAAGTGGCAGTCAAGATGTGCAGACGAAGATCGCGGCATAGGCGGATGCTCCTCGGTGTGCCAATGGGATGGGCATGCGTGTGGTTGTCTTGCGTGCAGCAGAGTGTGCCTGCAGGTGACTTTGTGTAACGATAAGTGGCTGTCCTAAATGCTAATAGGATGACGAGAGTACGTATTAGCTGCTCGGTGTTATTGAGAATGAGATGGGAGAGGCGTGTGGCCTGTAACACCATGTCATCGATTACAATCACACGAAGCAATTCCAAGACCACTTTTGCGTGGTCATGCGAGCGCCGACGCCATGACAGATACTGCACCAAGAAAAAACATGCGATTAACGTATGGCTGGCAAAATCTTCCATGGCTCTCATCTCCACACAGCAAAGGCAGTTTACAAGACTGGAGAATTGTGGCTTGTTGCCTGTTCTCTCCGCGGCACGCTGGAACAAAGATTCCGACGGTGATCGCGTTGGGCAATATCATCCGAAAGCGCATGAGTGATGACGCCTCTTCCTGGGTCACCGGCAAAGCGCCGCGCCAAAGGGAAAGAAAATTCTGCAGCAAAATGCCAGGATGGGCAACTCAACAAAGAAGCTGAACATCGGCGACGTTCATGATCCTCGCAACAACTTCCGCAAAATACCCGTATTCAAATGTGCGCATGTCATGCGAAGTCGACTACAAAACCTCAGGATACGCTAACATCTCGCAAGACCGCATCTGCAAGATCGCCGTCTAGCGGCACATCAGACCGTTGTCCGATGAGACTACTTTGATGCCCCGAGCGCTGGCCCTTGTTTCTTTTCTGGGCGCGCCGTTACAAAGGGCACTGGGGCAGCTGGCTTGAAAGCTAGCCAGGGGAGCAAAAGGCGCTGGCTGGCGTGATAGACATCAACGGCGCCGCCAGCCCATGATCTGACGGCGGAAACTAGCAGGATGGTGTGCATACGCTCGCTGTCCTACTACTGCTGGTTTGCGGCGTGGTCGTGTCAAGGACTGGGTTGCACACATTACACAGCAGTAGCTGGGGCTGAAGGATTTGGTCCCGATGCCACGAGGGGACGAGGGTCCTGAATGTGGGCGTGCGCCTGCTGACGCTGTACTACTGTCGGACCTTTGTTGGCAAGGCAAAGCAGCGAGATACGTGAACATGACAAAGTTGACAGTTGTGGATGCACATGACGATTGTTTAATCTGAAGGGTTTGGATGGTGACCACCACGATAGATGTCTCTTCTGCACCACTTCCGAGCACCCATAACGACAACAACCACCTCTCATACAACCCAGCACAACAGCCTCCCATCGTACGAAGCACAACAACAGCGGCCTAGAATTCCGTCCATAGGAGCGCCAACGTTGCCTCGCACAAAGCTAATCACGCAATCCTCCCTGCCACATAATGCCACACGTACGGATCGCGTCGCACCAAAACAGCCGACTACCAGGCTTACTTACATGACCCCTTTGAACCCTAATCCTCCCGCCACGTTGGCTCTGCTATGAGAGGACTAATGCTCCGGTGCTTGATGTGCATACTTGTCTCACCGATCAGAAGAGCAAGAGCATCAGTCGGATCCGTTCTGGTGTCCGGTATTAACTGGTGTAGGTTGTCGCTATATTACGGCAGTCTTGGTAAACAAAGGAAAAAGACAGGACGAGCAGCGAGGCTACGCAACATGTCACGTTGCGCTAGCATGACACTCTGCCGCAAGCCAGGCATTCTGCGGCAGTTTTAGTTTGCTTGCTTGTTGGTCGCGGGACTTGGAGCGAAGGATCGAAGTAAGCCCTATGACAGTGGTGCGCCTGGCGGGCTCGGGCTCCCGCGTTATAGTGCTGGTTCGGCTCCGTAGACTCGGAGGCGCGTAGTGTAGGTTCAGCCTTGTAGGCGGTAGGCATGGTTTTGCTGCTAGAGTGAGGCGTGGGCGCGGGAAGTCTGATCTAGGCTGGATTGCTTCTTCGCGTGGACGGTTTGGAGGCGGCGCGTCGCATAGCGGCAAACTGGGCCTGCTAATGCTCTCTTGGGTAGCACGCGAGCAGATGAGGCTCCTTTTCGGCTCGGACGGTGCAGTGCTCGGGTCATCACGTGTGCCATGGTTCGGCCCGGTGGTTTTGCGCTACGGAATTGGGAACTTTTCCTGACTAGAACGTCCCATGCCCTTTGTGCATAACGAAACGCTCCCTCGACCTGATGCTGAACTGCCGCGCGTGCCTTTGGCGATGCATACAAGCGCTCGACGTCCCAACCATCAATGCGCAACGCCTCCGCCGTAATGTAAATCCTCTTCTGCAACGGAGCCAGCAACGGCTGCTATCCACCCGCAATGCCACCAGAGCAGAGTACGAGAAGTCTGCAGATTCGAGCGAGGCCCAAGGGACATCACGAGATGAAGAAGATCATTTCAAGAACTCGGCTTTCGCAGCAAATCGGAAGAGGAGAGAAACGGCGGCGCTGCGGCAAACGCCTTCACGACATCCGGTTGACGAGACACCCAATCTAGCGAGACTTGGCCGGCGAGACCCGTCCATGTCAGATAGCGAATGGAACAGGAGGAAGAGGGAGTTGCGGTATTTGCAGGATCCGCTGGAGCTGGCGACGTTTGTGAGGAACGAGTTAAAAAAGGATAAGGCAGAGGAGATGCTGCAATTGGTGCGCATGGCGAGCCACTCCATGCAGTGCATTGTCAGTTGGAACCATATTATTGACCACTACCTGGCTAAAGAGAGAGTCAACGATGCGATCAAGGTCTACAACGATGTACGCACAGCCTACACCAAGTCATGAGGGGCAATGCTGACCCGCCGCAGATGAAGAAACGCGCACAATTCCCCGACTCCTACACATATACTATACTCCTCAGAGGCCTCTCGTGGAATGCGCATACATCTGGGGTTCTCAGTAAAGCACTCTCTATCTACCACTCGCTCTCCGCACCCAACTCACGAGTCGAACCGTCGATCATGCACACGAACGCTGCGCTGAAAGTGTGCGCAAGAGCGGGCGACATGGATGCTTTATGGGGGGTGGCTGGAAAGATACCAGAAAACGGGCCAGCGGCAGCCAATGCCATCACATACATCACCATACTTAACGCTATACGGCAAAGTTTGTTGGTAGACGCGCCCAAAGGAGAGAGCGAAGACGAGACGGCTGCGAGGAGAGAGCGTGGAATTATGGAAGGGCGCCGCATGTGGGAAGATATTATCGGGAGATGGAGACGCGCAGATCTCGCCATTGACGAAGAGCTTGTCTGTGCAATGGGAAGATTGTTGCTGATCGGCAGTCGGCCGCGAGACTGGGACGACGTACTCTCGCTGGTGGAGCAGACGATGGACATACCGCGGCTCGTTCCCCGACTAGGCTCGGTGGAGCGACAAGGCGCCGGCCTTCCACACGTGCGAGCTCCCAACGTACCCGAACAGTATCGTATCGATGATGACCATCTTTCCCCTGATAATGTCCCTGCGCGTGGCGACGAGTTCCTAGCTCTGACGCCTCAGGGCGTAGGTAGTGCAGTATCGAGCCCCCTCATTTACGTTCGACCAGGCAACAACACACTCTCCTTAGTCCAGGAAGCATGCCAAAAAGTTGTAGCGAATAAGGCAGCTCAGGAATACTGGGACCTCTTGACCGACCCTACAACGTATAAAATCACTCCCGACTTAAATAACCTAAACATGCGTTTGCGTAATCTCCGTCAGAACCGCGCCTCTAGTGCTGCAGTCCAAGTCCTGCAGCAGGATATGATGAATCGTGCCATCAGGCCTCCACCTGGTACATTCAGGATCGCAATGAGTACCTGCGTCCGCGACAAAAACAACCACAACTCGCTGAAGAATGGAGGCCAGATCTTGGGTATGATGTCCAAGACACTGGAAGACGCAGATCCCAAGACTGTTACTATGTATGCTGGGCTTGTTATCTCTTTCCCCTTAGCCAAAGGCTCGGATTTTATCGATGCCCTCACTCTACTTAATCCCCTCGTAAAGAATATCCGTCTTCAAGTGGGGGTTGGTGCAGGGCAAACCAAGTACGCAGGGCGTCGTGGACCTCAGTATCTGAAGGGCGAAGCAAGACAAGATGCCATCGATGCTCTGAAGAAAGTCCATGGCGTATACGACAAGTTGCTGTTCTCGAATCTAATCGCCGAGGAGTTGAAGAGCCCGTTCGAAAAAGAGAGAGCAAGACTCTCTGCATTTATCCAGAGGGTGATGTTCAAGGGCGGACAAACGAATGCTGAGGATCAAGAGGCAGATTTGCATGGGTATCTGCGGAAAGAGGACAGCCAAGCAGACGACAGAATGGAACCGGACGAAGTGAGACAAGGGGACCGAGGCGAGGCCAGACCGTCATGGAAGAAGGAATGGAAAAGGCCGCTGAAGAGACCGTCGCGACCAGCAAGACCAGCGAAACCATTCGAGCGAAGGAAGGGATACACGTCTCCGGCGGTTGACAAGTCTGGAGATTTGAGGGACATGTAGATATGACACTTATGAGGCGTTGCGACATGAGGAGTGCAATACATACCTTTCTTGTATAACATCAGTATAACCTTCAAAGGTAGAGACATAGCATCCAGCACAGTGCGCAGATCAAATCACTATCGAGCTATCCTCTCATAATATGCAATCTGTTTCTATCAGGGTCCTAGCTAGGTATTCCCTCATACCCTTGGATGGGAGCTGGCACGTGCACGTCCCAAAACTACTCAAACCTCCGCGCTTCGCCGCATACCCTCGGCCTCTCACCAACGCTCTCACATCAATCCGCGCGCAACCACATCCAGTCTTAGCCAAGCCCTACGCGATGGGCAACGACGGTGGATCGATTCCGAAACGTAGCGAACTCGTAAAGGAAGCCGCTAAAGCTCTCACAACCGCCCAGATCAAAGAGGCGCAAACCGAACAACAAGAATACGCCTGGTCCACTGATCCTTTGACGCGCAAGCCTCTTGCCCGCCCCGTAGTTTCCGATGCTGCTGGTATTCTGTACAACAAGGACTCCATCATCGAGTTCTTGCTAAAAGAAGAAGATGACGCAGAAAAGACGGAGATGAAGAAGATCGCAGGCGTCAAAGATTCAGAATTAGGCACATTCGGGGATAGGGTCAAGGGTCTGAAAGACGTGGTCGAAGTCAAGTTTGAAATTGAGGAGAAAGACGGTGGTGAGGTACAGAAGACTCTAGGTGAGAAATGGAAATGTCCCATTACTGGAGAGAGGCTAGGGTTTGGGAGTAAGGCTGTGTATGTTGTTCCTTGTGGACATGCCTTTGCGGGAAGTGTCGTTAAGGAAGTCGGCGAGAGCACGTGTTTGACAGTATGTATTTGCTGCGTTGACCATTTCAAGACACGACGACTGATTTGCTACCAGTGCAACGAACCGTACGCTGAGAACGATATCATACCCATCTTACCCACCACACCAACCGATATCGCGCGATTGAATCTACGTATGAAAGTATTGAAGGACAAGGGCCTCACACACGCGCTCAAGAAAGCGCCCGGAAGCAAGAAGAAACGTAAGCACGGCGATGCGTCCACTGAAAACAGCGCCACGAAAACCCCACTACCAGGCGGAGACGGAAAGACAAAGAAAGAGGGTGCAGCAAACCCGACAACATCAGCCAATGACGGAATCAAGAACTCTGCCACGGCCTCCTTAACACGAAAGGTGCTTGAGGAGCAAAAAGAACGCAATAAGAGGAGGAAGATGGCGCAAAATGACAACGTGAATAGTTTGTTTAACAAGACGGAGCATAAGGCATCGGCGGGCAACAGTGCGGATTACATGACGAGGGGATTCAGCATTGGAAAGAAATGAGCACAAGGCGAAGAGGATAAAACTTCGGAGTCAGGCTGCGGCATGATGCATGGTAGGCATCTTGTACGTATGAAGCGACAGTCTACTGGCAATCCTCACAGTAGGCATATGTTAGTGCACAAGCAGAACAGGAGTATGATACCCTGCGATGAGTAATCGCGTTCCTGCTTAAGATCCACGCGCATCACCAAGTCAACCAAGGGGGTGAATAGTGAGCTACTACCGCCAGTATTTAGACTTTTACATTCTGGTATACACCCATGTCCGTCTCTTCGACCTCTTGTATAACCTGTATCGCCTATGCATACCTCTCTTAGGTTTTTGCCACACTACAATGTTTACTCACTATGTCTTCTATCATTCTTCCAGGAATGCTGCATATCCGCGCATGACAGACCGCCGCTATACACGCCGCGAGATCAGTGGACATGATAGGAAGCAGTGACACTTGCAAAACAGTGCTTGCAAGGCGATTTGTGCCGTAGCAGAATCCAAAATCCAAGAAGACGCTCTGTTTGATACTAATGCATGATTTTTAGGGTTTAGACAAGGGTGATTGTTGCTGGTTTCCATCAACTTCCATCTCATGTACAACCAGGTTGATTGTCTTCACATTCCTTTTGTATGCAGCAAATAGACTGCCGTATATAGGCAGTCACCTCATCTCTTGTAGGCAGTATCAATTCATCTCATCTTTCCTCTGCCTTATCCAAGAACTATACGGCTTTCATGCTACTTCTGAATCCACCATCATTCTTTTGACGACTCTATCGTGCTCGCTGGCTTCAGAAAGAACGCCTCGCGATAGTATCTCGCTTCTTCGATACTCTCCAGAATATCCGCACGTGCCTCATGCAACATCTTCTTCCTTGGAATCTTCTTGAGTGTGTCTTTGGGCGCCCATCTACGAGCAGCTTCTTTGATGCTGCTGACGTCCATGATCCGGTAGTGGAGGTAGTCGGTGACAACCTTGTAAGGCTGCTTGACGAGGAAAGACTTGTCGGCATGCACAGAGCTACCGGAAAGCAGAGCAGTGCGGCGCTCAGGCACAAATCTTTTGATGTAGGCAAGTAGGCCCTCTGCTGCTTCTTCGGCGGTAGTGGCAGAGTCGATGCAGGCTTGCGTTAGACCAGACTGCCCATGATGACTTGTACACCACTCGCCCATACGGTCGAGCTGCTCTTTTTCATGATGAATGATGGCCTCATAGCCTGCTTCGTCGAGGATGTTGAGGTCTGCGTCAGTGACAAATGCGGCAAGAGACATGATAGTGTCATTATCAGTGTTCAGGCCGGTCATCTAACAGGGTCAACGAAATACTGCATAAGAGCACAAGTAAGCCTACCTCACAGTCTATCCAGACCAGAGGGGCTTTTGAGACTGATGCCATGATGATGTTGTGGTGTTGAAGATGTAGCCCGTTGTGGGCAAGTAATAGAATGTACGAATCGGGGTAGCGTCTTGGCGTGATTAATGGGATGTCGCGTCGCGTGCACGGTGCCGATTAGCGCGTCGCTCCTGCACTTTAACCTGTCGTCCCGCCAGTCCTCCAAACACGCCTTCGACGGCACCAGATACCCCAATTTCTTCACTTCGCTTTTTACTCGCACAACCTATACATTGTAATACATCATGTCGCGTGTAGGGAAGAAGACCGGCGCTGCCCTACTCGCGGAACTGCGAGCGAATCGTGCGGCAGGCAAGACGCGTTTGTCCACATACGAAGTCGCAGAAGAAGAGCAATTGTACGATACGGTCGACGAAGAGGGCTATAAGAAGATTGTGCGGGGAAGACTGGATCAAGATGATTTCGTTGTTGGCGACGAGGGCGAGGGATATGTCGATGACGGCCGGGAGGAGTGGGATGAAGGCCACGGTCAATACCATTATGCTGCGACAGACAGCGAGGGAGAAGACGAGCGGCCTGCCAAAGGCAAAGCTGGTATGAAATGATGTAATCACGGCCAATCAACAGTAGTACTAACGCGTTATAGCCAAACGGAAACGCGAAGAAGACGAGGAGAAGCGAAAAAAGATTGACAATGGCATTAGCAAGTACTTCAGTGCGAAGAATGCTGCAAAGGCACCAAAGGCCAAGGTGAGCTCTTCGAGTACATGACTTCGTGCGGGGTCAACGCTGACACATCCAGCCTGTTGTGACTGCAGCCGACAAAGACTTCATGGAGGACCTACTTGGCGAAATCGACACAAACCCCGTTCCCTCCTCGAAGAACCGAACGCGTCCCGTAAAGACAGAGGCGCGAAGGAAAACACGCGTGCTGTCACCTCCTGTATCAGAGAACCGGTCGACTGCGGTAACAAATCGGACCAATGGTTCAGACGCACACATGCCAGACACACCACCGGCAGCGAATGCATACGTCGATGACGATGACCTTCCCATACTGGACGACGACCATCCTATGAGCGACCTTCCACTACAATCATCACCCGTTGCTAAAGCCGTAGAACGAAGAGCACATCCTGCGATTAAACAAGAAGAGGAAGAAGATGACCTCATGGAGGTGGCTCAACCCACGACACATCTTGGTGTGCCAATAGCCAGCGTCAACATGGCCGGCAGACGACCGATAGCGAAGATCAAGAAAGAAGACTATCCCGCACCTGCCAGCTCACCTGTTGGACCTTCCACAGCACCTGTCGATGCTTCTTCGTGGAATGATGTCACAAGCAAACTCAACGTCATGAGTAGTCCTGCCCCTGCAACTACTGGTATGGGCAAGATACAACCACAGGATGCGCTGGAAGAGGACGGCAGCTTACGCATGTTCTGGATCGACTACACTGAAATTAACGGCAGCTTGTGCCTGTTCGGTAAAGTTAAGGACAAGAAGTCAGGCAACTATGTCAGTTGCTTTGTGAAGGTCGATAACATCCTCCGAAAGTTGTACTTTCTGCCCCGAGAGTACCGTCACATCCGAGGAGTAACCACAGACGAGGAGGTTGGTCTGAGTGATGTATCAGACGAGGTTGACTCCATAATGAGCAAGCACCGCGTAAACTTACACAAGATCAAGCCATGTACCAGGAAGTACGCTTTCGAACTGGCCGACATACCCAAAGAAGCCGATTACCTCAAGCTTCTTTATGGATATGACAAGATGCCTTTAGCCTCTGATTTAAAGGGAGAAACATTCTCGCATGTTTTTGGAACCAACACCTCGCTTTTCGAACAATTTGTTCTTTGGAAGAACGTCATGGGACCATGCTGGCTCAAGATTGACGCTCCCGACTTCGCTGCTGTCGCCAACGCTTCTTGGTGTAAGCTCGAAGTCTTGGTGAGCAAACCCAACAATATCACAGTCACGAGCGCGTCGGACAATCTGGACGCGCCTCCAATGACCCTCATGAGTCTCTCCCTGCGAACCACTTTCAATGCCAAGGACAACAAGCAGGAGATCCTAGTGGCCAGTGCTATGATATACGATAGCTTCTCTCTGACTGACACTACACCTGTCGATCAAATGCAGTGCAAGAGCTTCACTATCATGCGGCCGAATGGCACTGCTTTCCCAACAGGCTTCGATAAAGAAGTCGAGAAAGTGAAAGGCAACATGTACATGAAGAAGACAGAGCAAGAACTTCTCAGTCTGTTGATGGCGATGTTCCAGCGCCATGACCCGGATGTTCTTGTCGGCCATCGCTTAGACGACGTCGATTACAGCGTCTTGCTAAGCCGTCTTCGAGAGAAGAAGACCCCAGGATGGCACCGCATTGGACGACTTAAGAGAAGTGATTGGCCTAAGAGTATGGGCAAGGGCGGTGGCAGTTTCTTTGCTGAAAAGCAACTAGCTTCTGGTCGCTTGCTGTGCGATTTGGCGAATGACCTTGGAAAATCCCTTATGCCAAAGTGTCAGTCGTGGAGTCTTGAAGAGATGGTTCAGCTTGGACTCAACAAGCGACGTGAAGAGCTTGATAACGAAGCTGCACTGAGGACCTGGGCGACAACGAAGGAGGGTCTTCTCAACTACATCAAGCACTGCCAAGCTGATGCCTACTTCATCGCTGCCATTGCGATAAAAGTGCAGATGCTTCCACTTACCAAGGTTCTCACCAACTTGGCAGGTAACTCATGGGCCCGAACGCTGAGCGGAACCCGCGCAGAGCGTAACGAGTACATTTTGCTGCACGAGTTCCACAAGAACAAGTACATTTGCCCGGACAAACAGTGGGGCAAGAGCAAGGTCAAAGCTGAGGAAGAAGCGGCGGAAGGTGAAGAAGGTGCGGACGCAAAGAAGAAAGACAAGTTCAAAGGTGGTCTCGTCTTCGAACCCGAGAAAGGTCTCTACGACAAGTTCATTCTGGTCATGGACTTCAACTCTCTTTACCCCAGTATTATCCAGGAGTTTAACATTTGCTTCACGACTGTGGAGCGATCGGATCTCTCAGAGGATGACGATAAGGTGCCAGAAGTTCCCACGAACCAAGATCAGGGTATTTTGCCGCGTCTTATTGCTACACTTGTCTCGCGTCGTCGCGAAGTGAAGAAGCTTATGAAGGCAAAGGATGCTACACCGGATGAGCTGGCCACCTGGGATATCAAGCAAATGGCTCTAAAGCTTACTGCCAACTCTATGTACGGATGCTTGGGATATACCAAATCTCGGTTCTACGCTCGACCACTCGCTATGCTCACGACATACAAGGGTCGTGAAATTCTTCGGAAGACTAAGGACATGGCCGAGGAGAAGGCGCTGCGCGTCATTTATGGTGATACAGATTCCGTCATGATCAACACAAATGTCGACAACATTCAAGATGCGCTAAAATTGGGTAACGAGTTCAAAAGGGAGATCAACGACAGCTACAGACTTTTGGAGATCGATATCGACAACGTTTTCCGTCGCATCTTATTGCATGCCAAGAAGAAGTACGCCGCCATCAACATGGTCTCTGTTGACGGCAAGTACATCGAGAAACTTGAAGTCAAGGGTCTCGACATGAGACGCAGAGAATACTGTGCCCTGTCGAAGGAGACGTCAACGTAAGTCTTGCCGCATCGAACATCTAGTACAATTCGCTAACAAAGATGTAGGGAACTACTTAACTTCCTCCTTAGCGGTGAAGACCCTGAGGTAGTCGTCGAGAAGATCCACAACCATCTCCGTGAGCTGAGCAAGCAGATGCGCGAGTACACCGTACCAGCTCGGAAGTACACCATCTATACACAGCTCGGAAAGAACCCCAAGGAGTATCCCAATGGTAACTCGATGCCATCTGTCCAGGTCGCACTTCGCCTTCAGGCAAAGGGCAAACACGTCAAGGCCAAGGACGTTATGAGCTTCATCATTACGGGTGAATCGTCTGGTTCGGCCGAAAACGCAGCAAAGAACGCCTATCCGGTTGATGAAGTCCTGAAAGCCGACAGTGGACTAAAACCAGATATTGATTACTACCTCCACAAACAGATTCTACCACCAGTAGAACGTCTCTGTGCTCCCATCAGCGGAACCAACGTCACTCTCTTGGCAGCTTGTCTCGGTCTCGACACTTCCAAATATCGCGTGAGCACCGTCTCTGGAGGTGCGCAACAAGACACAGAAATCCATCCTCTGGAGTCGCAAATTCCAGACTCCGTACGCTTCCAATCTTGCTCGCCACTGTGGCTGCGCTGCCGGGAGTGTACAACTGTATTCCCATTCCAGGGTCTTTCTTCGACATCACCAACTACGGCATCATTGCAGACCATTTCCCACAGTGGAATACAATGTCCCGCTGAAGGCTGTGGCAAGTTGCTACAAAACATCAGCGTGGTGGCCCAGCTAGAATCTTCTATCCGTCAAGTCCTCGCGTCATACTACGCCGGTCATGTTCTTTGCGACGACCCACAATGTTCAAATCGAACGCGTAGTATATCTGTCTACGGACACCGTTGCCTTGGCCCGAAGGGTCTCGCTCGCGACTGCTTGGGCAAGATGAGTTACGAGATCAAGGAACGCGATGTTTGGAACCAACTGTTGTACTATCAATCGTTATTTGATGTTGACCGTGTAGGCAAGATGGATGCTGGTGTGAAATCAGAGGATATGGAGAGGAAAGAGAAGATGAAAGTGCTGGCGGAAGTCAACAGAGAGAGATTTGGTACACTCAAGGGCGTGGTGGAGCGATGGCTGGAGAGGAATGGAAGGCAATGGGTGCAGATGGACAGTCTGTTCTCTTTTGCGCTTAAGGCTTAGGGCTTAGGATGCTTGGATACATGTTCGCATACGACGACCTAAACGGGTGGCGGCTTTTACCTGCTCCCGATCGCGACCTTGTCTACTACATAGAGTTCCCTTTCTTGAATCAAACTTTTGAATACGACATGATGAAAGTTGCTATTGCTGGGGTATAATGTGTTACTAGTATTAGAAATTACATCGCTCTCGAAAACGAGTAGGTACCGCCTGAGATAGCGCACAGGACAATCATACATTCGCGATTCCTTCAGGGATTTTGTCATTGTGCGCGCCCTTCTGCCCAGCACCCTTCACGGCTATACGACAAGCTTCGTGGAAGACAGTGATAAAGCGATGGATATCGTGGAAGGAGTTATACAGTGGTGCAGGCGCCACGCGAAGCACATCAGGCTTTCTTTCATCGACGACCACGCCACGTTCTTCGATATAGTGTTGAACTTGGTCCAGCAGTCCTGGGTTGAGAAGCACACTGAGCTGCGCACCACGCTCCGCCGGATTCGCAGGTGTAATAATCTTGTAAGGTGGCTCTCCTCCGTCATACTTTAGTAGCCGCGCTTCGAGGTACGCAGTCAACCTGAGACTCCGCTGCCGTAAAGCGTCCATGTTCGTCAAAGCAAAGACGTCTAAGCTAGCCATGACAGATGTCATGTCTAATGCACTAGGGTTGCTAAGCTGAAAGCCGCCCGCCCCAGTGATTGGCACGAACTTGTTTTCCATGCGAAAGCGACTGTCTTTATCGCTTCCCCACCAGCCGCTTAATCGCGGTCGGTAGGCAAGCTCTGTGCTGTTACCCGCTGCGCCGTTTGTGCCATCTTTTCGAACTGCAGGCACTTGCTCCACTCTTCCATGCCTCTCGTGTACAAACAGTCCACCAATAACACCAGGGCCACCATTCATATATTTATAGTTGCACCATGCTGCGAAGTCAACATTCCAGTCATGTAGCTTCAGTGGTACGTTTCCAGCTGCATGGGCAAGGTCCCAGCCTACGGTTATACCCAGCGATCGGCAGTGGCGCGTTATGAGCTCTATATCGAAGAACTGGCCCGAGTAGAACTGGATACCAGGTAACAAGACCAGTGCAGTCGTTGGCGCATGTTGGGATATGACTGATAGTATGTGCTCGTTGGAAAGGTAAGGCGAGGACGCTGAGGGCGGATCGATGGTTATGAGCGCAGATGGGTCGAGGTTGTGGTGGGCGATCTGGGAGAGAGCGGCATACTACGAAGAAGTCAATATCTAAGCGCTGAGAGCATTTTCGCATAAACCTACATGATCACTAGGAAATGCCTTCGCCTCAATGATGATCTTGTACCGGTCCTTGGTTGGTCGGTCTTAATGTGGGTGTACAAAGTCAGTACATGCTCACATGCAGTTCTCACTGGGACACTTACAGAAACTTGCCATGAGCAAATGCAAATTTGCAGTCAAAGTCTCCATTATGACGACTTCTGTAGGTAGTGCGCCGACTACCTTTGCTGTCTGGTCTTTGATCGCATCGTCGATGTGTAGCCATGGCGGTAATCCTCCCTCGTAATTCGTGAAATGACCAAACACACCCTTGGATGCCCAAGTATCCAGGTAACGGTTAACATATTCCTTTGTTCTCCGAGGTTGAAGTCCTAGAGAGTTGCCGCAGAAGTATATGGAATCTTCGCTGTCGTCTTCGCGCGTAGCGGCGGCCTCTCCCGAGGAGTTTTGCTGAAATCCGAATTTCTTGTTTCTCAAGTCGCCTTTACTTGGAATCACAAATTCGTTCCTCAACTTGCTCAATCCATCCTTTCTGTCTTCATTCCTTGCGAACTCCTCTGTGCAAAGTTCCGAGTGTGGAAGTTCGAGATATGCATTGTAGTGTTTGGGCATCGTCGCTGGTGATGTACGAAAGACTACCAGGAATCAAACAAAAAGAAGCTTATGCAGAGATGATATGGCGCTATCATGGAGCTCTCAGGCACGATAAGTAAATAGCTCTGGCGGGTAAGACTGGAACGGCCTGGTGGCTCGTACGACTAATAGTGGCGGTACAAGGTGGGGTCATCGTATGACTAAGCGATCTAGAACTCTCAGTCGGTGGGCGCGTCTGATTGGGTCTCGTCGGCCGTGACATTCTTAGCCATGACCTCAGATTCATGAACCTTCATCTCACCACAACCTCGATATCGCAACAATGGCGTCCACTTCAACCATGTGCGCATCTTGCCTGCGAATAGCGAGGAGGACGATGGCAAAAGGATCCGCCCATTCTACAACTGCCGCGATCCAATCCACGCGAGCGTACAGCAGAGTGTCCTCAGGCGCCACTTCGCAGTCGCCTTTCCTCGACTTTCTTGCGCCTTCATCTCCACGCAGGGTGCTCAGAAATATTCCAGCACAGATCTCCATATTCCCAAAACGACAACACATACCACGACGGACTCTTGCCACATCATCCGACGCCTCCACCGCAAAGCCCGCGCAACCAATCCAGAACCCTCGTACCGATGACTCCGGTAACCCAATGTTGATCTCTATAGCACCTCGTGCATCGAATCGCCTCCAGAAGATCTCTACAGGCGACAACAACCCAAACCTCGCATTGCGCGTGAGCATCGAGAGCGGCGGATGTCACGGTTTCCAGTATCTTATGGACCTGACGGACTTATCGAAAGACCCAGCGGCCGAGGAAGACACTATATTTGAGGGGGAAAGGGGCGAGAAGATCGTAATTGACGAGTCTAGCCTAGAGTTGCTGAATGGAAGCACGGTGGATTATACGATGGAGTTGATAGGTAGCCAGTTCAAGATTACGGGCATACCGGGGGCGACGAGCAGTTGTGGGTGCGGGACAAGTTTTGACATCAAGTTGTAAGTTATGCAGTGCGTGTGTACTTTCTGGCAATAAACATGTACCACTATCGAAGTAACAGTGCGCGTGCATGGGTAGCCTATACGGATTACTTCCTGCACCTTCTTGATATCTTGAAGGCACGGTGGAGACAAAAGACAAACACTTCACGAAGGCCAGGAGAGACTTGATCATGCCGCGTCTTAGCTAAAAGCTGGAGGCTATGGAGGTAGGACGATGCGTGGGGCGGGTGCGCAAGGGTGAACTAAAGTAGGGTGCCTGCTCGGGCTTAGGTGTTGAACAATTCCGCCAAAACTCGTAACTTCTATGTCTATATCATCGGAACTATTCGGCACTTTGGTCAAGCAAAACTAGATTGATTTGATAAGATTTGTAAGTTGCGATCATGTTCTGACCATAGTAACATATCCAGAAACAGTACAGAGGGTACAGTCATTGTACGAGAGAAAGCAGCAAATCATAAGTACGTCAGCTCCCAGCATTACCTCAGGCTTACAACGACCTTTCTCGCCGAGACTCCCTTCTTGTGTATATCTAACGCTCTTTGGATAGCTTCTAGTCCTTCTCCAACGATCATGGGCTCCGGTGCAGGTCTGAACTTGCCCCTTGCAAGGGCTTCAGGCAGGAAGTCGGCATATACGGCTTCACCAACAGGGCTGTGTGCTACTGATCCGTATATGAAGCTCGTTTTGATATCCCTTAGCCTTGATTTGATAGCGATAGAGATCATCGAAGTCGCGAAGCTCCAGACAATCTGCAGCGCGACTAAGCGTTTCGGTTGAGCCGGGATTGGATATGTTGCCATCGCGATATGTTTGCCGCTTTTGCAGCTGCTCAGTGCATCCAGGCAGCGGAAAACTGCATCCTCTCCGATTGATAGGGCCCCCGCGCATTCTCTTCCTTCCATGAACTTAACAATTTTATTAACTGAACAGGGGTCATTATAATCGAAAACTTCGGTCGCTCCGAGCGATCTCAGGAGATCAAAGTTCTTTGGAGAAGATGTCGATACGACTTCGTATCCAGCGGCTACAGCGAGTTGGATAGCGTTGCAGCCCACACTAGTCGAGCCTCCCCACACAAGGACAGTCTTTCCGGTCGATTTCGGGTCAAGTTGAGGATATTGCAAGCCTAGCTGGTCTTTCTCAAATAACCCTGCAGCAGCAGTGGTGAAGGCCAATGGCATCACTGAAGCAGACTCGAATGATGTGGTATCCGGAATGGGCGATGAGTTCCTTTCGAGGAGAACGGTATACAGCTGGAATGCTCCATACGCCGCGCTGTTGATCGTCTTGTCCGTGCTCTGTGCCTGACCTAGAACGCGGTCCCCTACTTTAAACCGCACGATCTTGTTCCCAACCTGGACCACCTCGCCAGCGACATCGTATCCAAAGACGAAAGGATATTTGATCCAACCAAATGCCATACTGGTGCCCTGATCTTGCAAAACCCAATCGACAGGGTTGACTGCTACTGCACGGTTCTTAATGATGATTTCGTCTGGCCCAGGTGTAGGAAATGGTGCTTCTGCGACTTGCATTCGTTGCTTAGGTGCTGGTATCCATGCTGCAAGATTGGTAGGCATTGTATAGGATATGGTCTTTGAAGTGGTAGTTACTTGTCCTCAAGATATCGAGAAGTAAGAGAGTGGAATATGTGATTCCTTGGAGCTTGTTTAAATATTACTTCCTTGGTTATTCTATACAAATATCAACGTTAGTTTTCATGCTTGCCTGCTGTGTGCTTTCAAGGATGAGATACAATGTGCCAATCAGCGTCAAGCGGACGTCCGTTTGGACCTACTTTCCAGCCACAGAAGATTACTGGCTCATACCAGGTACGCTGACGCTTACATACCCCAACGGGAAGAATGAGCGATATAGTGTACATTATGCGATGGAAATATGATCCGTGCACATCATGAGTGGCTGATGTGCCCGCGGGCGCTGTCAAGGGGCATGCTCACAATTGCAATAAAACTCATTCCAGTCCTCATCTCCTGACCAAAGGAGAAGCAATTCGAGGACATGACGAGTTCCCCCGTTTCCTCCGCACGGCTACTGGAGAAGATGAGAGGCCGAGAAAAGGTTCAGCTGTCTTGCGACTTTTGCCGGAAGCGAAAGCGAGTAAACCGTTCATCTCTCTATACTGAACAATTGCTGCTGACTCGCATTCAGACTCCGTTGTGACCGCAACAAGCCATGTGGGAGTTGCATCCGGTTAGGGCAGGCAACGATATGCACGTTTCCTCTGTCTCAGGTTCCTCGAGCTTCACAAAGAGACCCACCAATGGACACTGCCACCCGAAAGATTTTTCAGGAACGAATCGACCAACTCGAATCACTGGTTCGGTCTTTGCTTGATAAGCAACAAAGCAAACTCAATGCTCCATTGCCTGACAGCGTGGCGTTTCCCATGGCTACTGATGTCGCCGGTGATACAGATCCTCTCACATACGGGGTTGGGAGTATGAATCTGGAGAACCATGAGTCCTCTTACGTAGAGAGTGATCACTGGAAAGCCATCCTCGATGAAATCGGTGATCTGAAGGGCATGGTGCAGCAACATCCCGAAGATTTAGGGGATCCCTATACTGACCCGGTACTTCCTGGTAACGATCTGTTTCTTCTTCAGACATATCCAACCACGAAGATGGATATCATTGCTACGATTCCACCTCGTATCGTTGTCGACAGCATGATATCGAAGTACTTCAAGTGGGCCGATATGCCCGTTTCCCTTGTTGTTCATCGCGGGGTCTTCTTCAAACAATATGAGGCTTTCTGGGAGGACCCACTTTCGACATCGACCATGTGGCTGACCATACTATATGGCATGATGTACACTGTGGCGTATTGTACCCTCTTCATCAATGGAGATGCAGGCTCACTTGATGAGACGACGGCATCCGAATATCGTAGCATAGTCATAATCTCACGAGAGAAGATGATACAGTGCCTGAGGCTAGGCAATTACATGAAGGGAGCGCCGCATACTATTGAAGCTCTTTTGGCCTTTCTGCAGACCGAATACCTTCAAGGCGAAGACACACAACACGGATGCTGGCAGTTGACAGGTGTCATTATACGTGTAGCGCTCAAGATGGGCTATCATCGTGACGGCTCGCATTTCCCAAACATCAGTGTTTACGAGGCAGAAATGCGCCGGCGTACTTGGTACAGTAAGTTTCTCTGTACAAACTGCATGTAGGAATTATACTGACTTCGTACAACTACATTTAGTACTCACACAATTCGACACTGCATCTGCTTCCCAGGTCGGCCTTCCGCGCATCATCAAAGAGACTCAATGCGATACCGCTGAACCTCGTAACCTTCTTGACGACGACTTCGACGACACTTCAACCGTATTGCCGCCCGCTAGACCACAAAATGAACACACGCTTGCTCAATTCCTGGTCTACAAGAGTAGAATTGTCTCCGTCTACGGAATGATCTGCGATTTCACTACGTCATCTAAGCAGCGAGACTACGAGGAAGCAATGCGTTTGGATGTATTGCTCAATACTGCATACGCACAGAAGCCTCCTATACTCGAGCTGAAATCCATGCAACGGTCTGTCTTAGACGGTGCTGAGCTCATCACCCGCCGTATTTATATGGCGATGTCTTATCATCATGCACAGATCACCCTTCACCGCAAGTTCATGATTCTTGCGAAGGCAAATAGCAAGTACAGCATTTCACATACGACATGCGTGAATGCGGCTACGGAGATGTTACAACTACAGGCTGAGCTATTTGAGCAGTGCCAGCCGGGGCGTATGTTATATACTGATCGATGGAAGATTCTTTCTTTGGTTCAATCCGAGTTCTTGCTTGCCACGACTGTGTTGTGCTTCAACTTGGATGATGACATCAAGAAGGGGCTGATCGGTGGAAAGGTCGCTATGAAGAGCGTAGAGGCGCTCGAGAGATCGAGAAGTGTCTGGGAGCCGCAGAAAGTGTTCTCGAAAGAAGCTCAGACAGCTTTGAATACTATGGATGTTGTTCTTGGTAGACTGCATAGTAGGTCGGAAAATAACGGCGCAGATAACGCACAATCATCTGAAGCAAGCGTTGGCTTCACCTCGTCAGTCTTGGCAGACATGAGTTATGAAGACGGCCAGAGCTTCGATCCACCGGCAGATCAAGACCGTTCACAGACAGAAGCTTTTCAAAGTATGCAGGGGAGCTCCGTCAGCACAGCCTTTGACGCATTCTTTGAGATGGAGCAGGAGTGGGAGGGATGGCTCCAACTCTGAGAAGGAGGCTGTCCAAATCGCGAATTTGATCATGATTATTTCTACATCTATGGTAATACAGTGAAGCAGGTGTAAACTTCTGAAAGCAAACTCGAACTGCCTAGCGTATCCATCTCGTGAAGTCGTTATTCCATGCATCTTCGTTATCATCAGTGCCCGTGCACCACATCCAGTTGAACACCTTTCGATAATACACATACGTGTTGCAACTAATACAATAGTCTAACATCTGCCCAGTACCGTAGGATTCAAATCTGACCGAGCCAGGAAGAGAAACAGACCTCTTACACTCCAATCGTTTGATGGACTCCTTCACCTTTCGTCTCCCCATCAACACCAAGATTCTCGATATTGCCCTTTTGGACCTCTTCGGGTTTCGGAATAGGCGGTTGCTCCACGACCTCGTCGAAGATTCCGCCTTCAGGCTCTGTGTCCTGTCCGATGGCTTTGAGTATCCTCCATGCTCTTCTAAACTCGTCTCTAATAGCGACGATACCACGGTGAGTGACTGTCCTTGCAACATTGTGGTCGGTCTCGAAAGGATCTTCAATGGCGAAGAGGTACCGGTTGGTAACTTTCTTCTCAGCTGTAATCTTGGTTGTTGCGCTCACCCAACCCTTGCTCTGCTTCGACAAGATACCGCCAGGCGTCCGAAGGGAGATGACTTCGTTAGTCCAGTAGAACTGGGGAGGTTTAGGTCCATAGCCGTACCCAGAAAGAGAAGCATAGTACTGGAAGAATCCACGTAGTAATGAACCGATGGACTGTGTATTTTGCGAAAGGCGACCAGCTTCTGCGGCTTGCATAATTTCCGGTTCATTGCGCCAGAAACGTACCTCATAGCCTGCAATAGTTGTATGCTTGAAGAACTGCTCCAGGGCTTCTGCGTCGCTTGGGAGCGGGACGGAGAGCTGAAGGTTCGGACATACTGGTGGTTGCGCGATATTGACCAGGTAATGCAGTACCATGAGCACCCATCCGTACGAGTTGAGAGTACCGGAGTATGCGCTGTTGACTTTACGTCGCTTGGCCCAAGACTTGACAAAGAGAACTATGGGTCGGACACGCGGGTCAGTTAACGAGTAGCATCGAAGCATATGGGTGTTGTGGATGCCGAGCGGGTTCTCGAAGTTAATGTCACATTGAATTCCGCAACCTGTCTTTGGGAAGTCGAGAGGACCCACAACCTTCTCTCGTGTCCACTGCTTCTCGTGACGATGATGCTGATCTCTCTTGGTCTTATCTTCAGTCCCGTCGCTGATCTTATCCTCTGACTTGGTGGCTAGGACAGAAGAGTTTTCCTGGGGCACCTCAGCGTTTGTGGGAGCTTTTTGTCGTTTCTTTGTTGTCGCCGCAGCCCCCAAGGTAGGGAAGTCGTCACCAAAGTTGGAGCTGTCTACTTGCGCCGCCAGGTCTGGAGCCTTCGATCCATCGGCATCCACCAGCGGCTTTGGTGGCTGAGTAGGTTCTTGTGGTAGGTCTGAAGGATACTTCTCCTCTTCTGGGAGTTCGTCCCACTTCTGGCGTTCCTCAGCGAGAGCTCTATATAGGGTCTCGGTCGGTGTCTGACATATCTTCAAAATGGGCACTCTTGTCCTCGTCAGCAGACGGCCACCGAGCTTGGCGTCGAGGACCGCTCGTTCCAATAGACGAGGAATACCGCGGTCGATCGTGATATCACTAGCTCTGGCTGGATCTTTCCACTCTGGTACTACAGCCAAATCCATGTCTGAGCCGGGCATACCAAAGCCTGAAGCTAAACTTCCAAAGCCTACCAAGGAAATGGTCGCAATGTCACCAGTGTAGTCTCGAGCAAAGGCCTTTTGCATGATCGTTTCCAAGTATTTTCGAAAATCTTCCTTGGCGTCCAACTCGGACATGGACATCTCTACCTTCGGAATCTCTTCTGCCGCAACTGAGTCCAGATGCTCAATCTGAGCCATAGGGTTCTCCCGTGGCTGATTCATGGATCGTGGTGCATATGAACCTTGCGGACGAGGACGCTGTGATGATGACGTTGGGCCTACTGTAACTTGACCTGGCAGTGCAACGTTGTCATGGGGTCGCTGGAGGATTCTAGGGGTTTGTGAATGTGGCGTACCAGTTGCATTCAGATTCTGCTGTTGGTAGGGAGGCCTGAAAGGCCGCGAGGAATACTGCCGATGATCTACTGGTGAGCCGTTCTGAGGCGAGTTTAGACCTTGCTGATTTAAGGCGTTTCCCGTAGGTTGTTGATACCGCTGGTTAGGGATATAGCCTCCTCTTCCACCCCCTCGAGCTGGAGCCGTGTTGGCGGTAGCGTTTGTACGCCATCCCTGAGCTTGACCTGGCGTGGGGTGGTTCTGGCCATTGCTATTGACGTTATTGGCGGTATCGTGGAAACCTCCACGCCCACGCCCACGTCCACGCCCTTGGCCTCGCCCGCGTCCACGATATGCTGAGGGGACATCTTGGCTAGACTGTCCACCAGCTATGCTAACGTTGCCGAGAATCATATTGCGCAACTGGTTCTCCAGCCCAGTGGGTTGCGGTGGGTTCTCCTGCTCCATGGTGTCGGGTCAGTGCAGACTCGTTTGCGATGCAATAAAGTCGTGGTTTGGGACTCTGATCTTGTGGAGTCCAGCAGTGAAAGATGGGTAGTATGGAAGATTGCCTCTCAAGGCTAAGTTCGCAATCACAGGACGTAACCTTGCAGACCCAGGTTCGAGATTCTTTCTTTGAGTTTGCTTGGTGCGGCGCGCGGTGGTTTTCGCGGTTACTATTTGGAGCAAGCGATCGAACAGCCCCAACGTGTGGATCTTTTAGCGCATCTGCGATGAGCGTCCAAGCCAGGCAACCACTCGTGAATATCCCACCTAGCCAAAGTGGTTAGGCCTTTGGCAGCACTGAGACAGAAGCACAATGCAGTTTTGCGCAATGGCACGCGTGGCTGGGGATGTGCGGCTTCTGCGACGGCTCACTTGTGGCGCAAGAAGCGAGCACGATGTGGATTTTGGCTGGTGGTGACAATGGCAATCGAGCCATGGTGTCATTCCCTGGAGGCGGAGATGGGGCGGCTTCACTGTGATGGGTCTTGGCACACTAAGGCGTTAGCGCAGAGCTGTGACGTTCCAACTGCGCTTCGACCGTGGAGCACGATTCCTTGGGACAAAGGCGACTGAGTCTCCGAACAGCCTTTATCGGCCACCCACCGTCCCTCATTCTTGTCTTCATCCTCACAACCACCTTCGCTATGAACGGCAACACCAACGGGAACCCGCCGCCCGCCAGCGCGCCCGCCGCGCCCGTCGCCGCCAATGGCCAGCAGCCGCCTGTTCGTCGCCGTCGCCCGCGCCCACAGGCCGATGTCCTGCGCAAGCCCCGTCGCCCGCTACAGAACATTACCCGGCCCATGGTGTCGTTGTCGCAGATGAACGAGGCCAAGAAGCCCGTCGCAGGGCCCGCCAACGATGGAACCCAGTCGAAAGACGCGTTGCGACAGCAGTTCCTCGACCAAGGCGCCAGCGTCTTCCCGCTCATCGTGAGCCGCAAGGATCTGAAAGAGCTGCGACACCATGTCATGCGTCTGCATAGCAAAACTCACGTCGACATCACCGACGAGCATCAGTTTAAGACCCCGATCAAGCTCCACCGCAGAGATCCGCGCGCGCCTCCAAGCGGCATGGGGTCGACCTACGAAGAGGAGGACACCAAGGAGGACATGGAAGAGATGAAGGAGCGCGAGCGCATCGAACTGCAGAAGGAAGAGCGTCGCAAGGTCCGCGAAGAGAACCAGGCCAAGATCGCGCCAACCGGCATGAAGAAGCCCCCTGCCTTCCACAAGAAGACGGAGCAAAAGTATCGCCCCGACGACACTCCAGAAGCGAAGAAGCGCCAGCTATTGCGCTATGAGGAGACGCTGCCGTGGCATCTTGAGGACTTCGAGAACAAACAGACATGGGTCGGCACTTACGAGTCGGAGCTGTCAGAGACACACGTCATGCTGTCAACTACTCGCCCCGGAGATCCAAGTACAGCCATTCAAATGGCTCCCATGGAACGCTGGTATCGCTTCAACGTTAAGGGCAAGGTCAAGACCGGCGGTGACGACTTGGACAAGATCCTGGCCAAGGTTGAAAGAGGCGGCGGACCAAAGTTCTTTGCCGACCTTGAAGAGCGTCAGAAGCAGCGCGTCAACGCAGAAAACAATGCAAGGATGTGGAGTGGAGTCCGTACCCGTGTGGGTGGTGGCGCAGACGACGAAGGCCGGATCAAGCGGGAACGCAACGATGACGACACAATCGGCTTCGTCAAGCGCGAAGCTGACGCAGACGATATTGACTTCAATCTGGAGGAAGACTTCGCCGACGACGAAGAGGGTCTGAATGGTCTCTTCGAAGGTGAAGAGCAGGACGTCAAAGAGGCAGCTGAAAAGCTGAAGCGAGACCAGCTGCAAGCCGCTCTATGGGATCGACCAGATGAGCTGGCCATTGCCATAAAGGAAGAACAAGAACGGAAGGAAGCCGAGGAGAAGAGGATCCAGGAAAAGGCGACTAGAAAAGCCCTGGTGAAGCGCGAGAAGCAGTACGACTACCTTGACAGCGACCCAGAGAATCCGTACATCACAGAAAGCGAATCGGATACCGACTCTGAAACAGAGCGACAACAGGCAAAGGAGGAGGCAGAGAAGAAGGCAGCCGAGCAAAATGGCAAGGCTCCAGAGGCTGGCAACGTCCCCTCTGGTACGTCGACGAAAGGCTCCAACACTCCATCAGGAAACCACAAGTCTGGTGATAGCAAGAGCAAGAAGCGGCCAGGTTCACCCAACTTGTCAGAAGCCAGTGGTAACGAGTCTTCGCGCAAGAAGCATAAGAAGAAGCATGACAAACTAGCTGATGGATCTCGGAAATCTTCCCTTGCTAATCTCAAAGGCGCTGGTTCTGGTAGCGACAGCGAGATGACAGACGCCGGCAAGAAGCGAAAGAAGGATAAGAAGGACAAGAACCGCATGATGATGGGCGGATCTCCTAGCGGTACTCCTGGTGCTAGTCGTGCAGGTAGTCCAGCAGCCAACGGCAGCCGCGCGGGTAGTCCCTCCGCAGCTCCAGCACGACCTCCTTTACCATCTGCCAAGGAGATCTATGAATCGTTGCCGCCCCAGGGCATGAACATCCAGAACCTCATCGTCAAATTCAAGGGTCGCGTTGACAAGACGAATACGCAGCTTTTCATCAAGCTTGTCAAGGCGGTCTCTAGCTTTGACAAGGCCAAGAGCTGGCTTACTCCCTTGGAAAAGATGCCATCCGATGAGCATATCAGTGCCTTCATGAATGCGGGGAATGCACCAAAGCCTGCGTAATTCGAGGACACGTACGGTCTAAAGGGAACCATTTTTAATATCCAGCGTGTACTTTGATAAATTGAATTGACGTAGAGAGTGTGGGGTGAGGGGCCACAAATTGGCACAGGCTTACTTTGCGTTCCTCGTCGAGGATAATACATGACATGCAAAGTACCGGTACGACAGTAACCCTGAACACTTTCTGTATTGTGGCTACCCAGTACAGAATAAACTATTACTTTCAATTCTAGCTGAACTCTATCCACAATCATCATACTTTCTTCTCTTCAATCCCATCCTCTTTACTATTCTCTTCGCTACCATTTTCACTTCTCAACGGACTCTCATGCCCCTGTTCCGCAGCGACCTCCTGTAACACCTTTTCGTTAGCACCAACCCCAACTTCTTCATCTCTTGGTACATTTGGTCCATGCATCGCTTTGTCTGCTGTCTTCCCATCAGCAGAATCCTTGTCTTTCTTGATCATGCTCCAGCCGCCTCTCCACCCAACCCATTTCTCCTCCCAGGGACCCCTAGCAACGATAACAAGAATCGCCGCAGAGATGAATCCAACACTAGCGCTGCCACTTCCTACCCACCCGGCAGCAGCATAAATATGGTTTCCAGCCGCCGTGCCAATAAGCTGACCACAAAATGTAGCAACCATGAAAGCGGTATTCACCCCGTTCCGCCGCTTAGGTTCCACCGAATAGATACTAGAACGGTTTGCAATCTGCGCAGTTTGGTTGCCGAAATCCATCAATAGGGCTTGCAGGACGGGGCCTGCGACGGTAAAGGTACCCGTGTAAGTGCCTAGACATATTCCCAGAAGCGAGCATGCAAGACCGAAAAGGACGGAGAAATGCGGGACGAAGCGGTCGGTGACTGTACGCGCATATATGGGAGAGATAAGCATGCCTGCTATGCCTATAAGCCCAAACAGTCCGATTGTGAGGGAAGAATAGTTGTATGGGTCATCCGCGAGGAGAAATGTCAGTGTTGTCCAGAAAGATGTAAAAGGCGCTGAGCAGAAGAGACCGGCCAGACAAGCCTGAACAAGAACAGGATGACGGAAAAGCATCTTAACGATATCGAGCAGTATTCTGAAATAGTTCATGCCCGGGTTGGTTGCAGGATAGTCGGGCATGAATAGCCAGAGGAGGACGAAGATGATATATTGAATGGCAAACGCCATCCAATATACTGCGCGCCAGGTGACAAAATTCGAAATTGTTCCCGAGAGGACGCGGGCGACAAGCACACCAAGCATGAGGCCAGAGACGACGATGGAGAGTGCTGCTGCGCGGCGTGACGGAGGAGCTAGGTCACCGACCAATGGGAGCATGAGCTGCGGTGTAACAGTTGTTACCGCTACGATGAAGGATATTGCCGTGAATGTCCCAAGGTCGGAGGTTAGACATAGTCCGAGCCTATCCGTCGTCAGTAGTCTTCTTCTAGTGCACGTCATAGTTCAAAAACAACATACCATAAGGTCGCAGTAAACCCTACTAAACCGCATACAAATGGCCGTCTGGGCAACAAGTCTCCCAGAGGGCATAAAAACAACAGCCCAGCTGCATATCCAGCTTGCATTACAGTAGGAATCTGCGCAACCTGTTCATATCGTACACCGAAATCTATGGCTAGTAGGTTGAGGATGGGGTGATTGTAGTAAAGATTTGCTACTGTAAAGCCGGCGGCAAAGGCAAACAGGACGTTCACTGGAAGATGTGGGTGATTAGCTAGCTGATACACTCAGGGACGAGGTCAAAGGGGAAAACTAGGGGGACTAGAAGTACACTCTAGGACTTTCTCCCCGCTCAACTTCATAAGCGCTCCAGAGGCCACGATAATCATATGAATATGGACGTACTGCTCATAGAAAATTGCGGTGGCTTATCCGGGTCCCAACGACAATTTGGTGGGGTCCATGTTAAGGTTGTGTAAGCTCTTTTCCATATCGACTGCTTCCCTTGCTCTTTCTCCTCGACACCTTCGCTTTGTTCTGCCTCGTCTCTTGATGGATGTTCTGCTGGCCTAGAGGTAGCCGTCCGTGCTGCTGCTTCCCCATTGGCTGGTACCGTCCTACAGCCCCCGCCATCCTTAATGTCGTTCGTTAACATGATCTGCTTATATTGCACACATTGTACTCTGACAAAAACGCATCCAATAAAGAGTGACAAGAGCGATTAGCGAGGCAAAACGTGGTGCAAAGACTAAGAGGCAAAATTGCGGAAGAATCGAGGTACTGATAGTCGATGACGGGATCCTTCCTCTTTCGAACAAGTTCGGCAGAAGTGAGGAGCCGAGAACAGTGCTGAACGACGCTGTTATCCCCGATATCACCACCAATCAAATGTAGCGCACTATCTGGGCACAGGATATGACTGCTGTCATGAAACGTACTGGTATTGTGCTGGACGTTCCTTTGGTATCTAAACGACGTCAACGATTTTCTCATCTTCATCGTCTTCCACGTTCTCCAGCCCCATTAGCTTCCCGCTACCACCTGCGCTAGCCATGTCTGGTATATCCTCCTCTTCGCCTTCTTCTTTGCGCATGATGACTTGAACCACACGATCGCATGCTTCTTGAACTCCTTCATCGTCGACGTGCATGTGGCACTCTCTGACGATTGGGTAGACTTTGACGCGTCTCAGCACTTCCCTACTTTCTTGTGTCGTACTCAGCAGAAGTAGTGTCTCGAGATGTGTCTTGATGATTTCATTATCCTTCTCGCGCTCCTTGTCTGGCTCGAGGAGTTGCAGCTCATCCAACATGCCCTCCGTGTCATCATCCGCGTATTCTTCTGGGCCCATAAGGGGTAGAAGAATGTAAGGAAGTAGGTTCGCACCGATAGAGGGTGGTGGTAGATTCGGGTCGGAGGATAGGTTGGATAGCAGTACTGGGTGTGCAGGGACGTGAAATGCGACATTCTTAATCGTCGATGCTACACCAAGGCGTCGGATGTGCGAGGTGTGATCGGTGAAGACCTGAATCTTGGTGATTGGAATTACGTTATCGTCATGCTCCTGAGGTGTAGTGAGGTATTCGCGGCCTTTGGGAAACTTGGCCAGATCAGCGAAGAAGTACGAGAGGTAGTCAAAGTCTGCGTGCTTGTTGTAGGCGCCCTCTGCGCCCTTGACAAAGCAGTCCATGAGCTGGTCCATGGCCCATGTCGACTTGGACAGCTCCTTTGGTATGTCGCGCTTCAACTCCAAGACGCGTTGTAGTGAATCCTCCTTGGCCATATTGGCGAGGAGCATTGCGATCTCGTTCGCATTTGGCTCTTTCGAGTTCTGCAGCAAGTCAACCTCTGCCTGTTCTCTCTGTATGCGCGGGGAACTGACATACGGTTATCCGCGATAGTAGCGTCTCGAGAAATTCATCGTCCTTGGCCAGTGCCTTCTGGACCTCAGCGTCTGCCGAGACGTTGATGAGAATGGTAAGGGCGTTCTTCGCTATGGGCGCATAGTCCTTGACGAGTAGCTTGAGATCCCTAATGGGCTCTAGTTGGTTGCGCTTCCACAAGGAAGGGTTTGCTTGTGAATATCCGACGAGGTGTTCGGCCGCTGCACAGTGTGAGATATGTTTCGTGGTGGGGTGGAGGGGTTCGTCTGACCAGTCTGTCTGATCTGCGTGTTGCCGTGATGCAGGAATTCTACAAGCTAGACATGGCGCGTTAACTGGCAGGAACCATGAGTTCTCCAAGTCCTCTTGCTCACCTCTTCTAATTCTGACGGCATCGTGGCTGTGGCTGCTCGTTCTTGCCGTGCGCGATGACGAAGACCCAACTTTTTCTCGGTTGCAATCAAGGTTATCGATAAGCTTAGCGCATCCCGCACCTCCAGGCCTTCGCCACGAGTTGTCGCGAGACGCATACATGGACGCTAGCATCTCTGCCGCAAGGTGATACCCGTTGATTGCTTCATCTAATGCATATTGCCCTGCCTATTCTTAACTCTCCATGACCTGATTCCATAATCAGCTGGCGACATCCAAGCACTTGGAAGCTCAGCGCGGTCATAGTTCGGACGACTCCAGCACACTGCCCAGCGACCAAGTCTTCTAATCAATCATGTTGCGCATCTTGCCATCTGCGTGATTTTGCGACACATCCCGGCACCATTTCTTGGCCAAAAGTCCTGGTGTTAGGGGCGGTTACGCGCGACTTGACTCTGCAGCTCGCGAGCTCGTCTTACCGCCGAAAGCTTGGTGGCTTCAAGCCGCAACCCCGCCGAACGCTGGTGTGCCAAAACCAATCTGCATCCACCAGCACTGGCTAACAGTCTTGCGCGCCAGCTACAAAATTATGTTGATAGATTCAACTTTTGGTACAGGACCTGATGAACAACATGTCTACGAGTAGCGACGCTGCAAAACAGCAAGCAGGTTAACAGATATGCTCCTCCGCATTCCCGTGATGGACAGCGAAAGTGCCATGCTGGCATAGGTTTTGAGCGCTCGAAATAGATCGCCGACTTGCAGCGGGCCGCCGGACTGGCCACTTGTCACACGCATATGCTGCCCAGTACGCAGGGCAGGCACACATCATCAACCAATGAGCGTGGTATGCCGGTATCGTAACATCTCGAGCTAGTGTGCCAGGGTCTGTAGCGAGTGAACAGCGTTGGCGCTTACAACACCACCAGCCAACCACCCAAAATATAACCGCCGCTCATCAACCATGAGTAGCGCCGAGCCTTACAAACGTCTTGATTGGGCCCACCTGACCACCACCTGGCTGCAAAGAGTCCTTTCCTGCATGGGAAGCCGTCTTTCTACCGCTATTGCCCTTGATGCATCCCTACAGCTCTTCCGCTGACTCGGACTACCTCGCAGAATGCTCGTCTTATAGTCGTTATCCCCAGATTACCCGAGACGTCTGCTCGTACTCTCGGTGTTGCTGTTCCCAGTCTTTGTTTGCTTCTATCTACACAGCCGGTATCTGTTTCGTTTGGTCCCGCCAGTTATTTCGGGATACCATTTTATTGAGAGTAGGCTTGTAGACATTCATCATGGCAGGACCAGCACTTCAACTATTCCCTCCGCCTCGTGCTCCAAGACAGACGAGTCCTAACCGAAGACCATCTCCACACACAAAACCAACAAGTCCAGAGCCATTGCTGCCTGAGAGTGCAGTGAGCAACAAATCTCCAGTTGACCTCCACGGACTCCTTATACAGGTCAACTCTGTTCCAGTCTCTCCATCCAACCCAATGGCTCCTCCACCGGCCATTGCAGCTCCGCCAAGAGCACATATGCCCAACTCGCAGGCTACAACAGCAGTGCCACCAACGGGCAGGCCACACTTCGAGCCACCCCCTCAGCAAGCGGCCTCTCCGCAAATTGAACGTCAAGAAAGCTTTTATCGCACACAAGAACGTCCTGGGCATAACCAGACTAGCGACCAGCAACGTACCGCTAGTCCAGATCCAACTCGCGCCATCTCACCAGCATTCTCTGAAGCTCAGACTCTGGTCCGAGCAAATAGCTCTGCCACTCGATGCGTCTCACCTCAAGAAGAGATTCCGATGCGATCAATGTTCCCCATTTATGATCCTACAGTCCCTCTTGGACGTCAACCATATCAGCCAACGCAAACATCGCCAACACAGATACCCCGGACGCAAATCAGTCGATCGCCCTATTCTTCCGAGTCGTATGTTCCTCATAGTAATGTTCGTTCGAGCAATTCGTCAGCCCCTCCACCACCAAAGCCCTTCTTTACGCCGTCCAACCTACTCGACAACCTCTGGACGGCTACCAACGGACAAGAAGAGCCAAGTGTACAGATATATACATTGAGGATGCATCGAGCAACTGCCTCGAATCCAACAATCACATTTGGTACGACGCCATCCTTGCCATTCTATTCTGTAGCACAGTCGAATCTGGCAGGAAATCACGACATACCCAGCATTATGAACGAATTGCTTATCCAACGGCATCATCCAACTCAGCCGCGAGTGCTGCCTATTGCCCAACTCGACCTCATCGCGCCGCCTTCATTAGATAGTGGGGCTTTCAGCCAAAAGCAGCACGAGGACACCACCATGCTTACTAGCATATATCCCAAGCTTGCCGCTCTCCAGGCGCTCGATGCGGCTGCCAATTCTCCCGCTGCCTCGCGTATAGCGCTTTCGGACCCTGGCGCGCAGTCTCCCGCTGCACAACGGCTGGCTGAAGACGTTCTGGCTGGTACTGCACAGCGCGAGTGCTGCGCCCTTGCCTGGACGAGGGATAACCCTCAACAACAAGCAAATCCTTGGGCGCAACATATGCCGTCAGAAGGATCGTATCAGTTGCACCATCCGACATTGGGCACGTTTCCTATCTCTTTAGAGGGCGACTGCTCTGTCATCAACGCACCTTCCACCAGACCCGTTACAGCGTTCTATGGACATAACATGCCTATGACACCGCAGAATATGGGACGGAAGCCCGCTTGCATCACGGTATTGAATCCTTACATTCTTTCTCCAACGACACCACGGACAAACGCTTTCTCCCCACTGCCACCGCCTCCACGATTAGATGGTATCAACCGACCAATATCCATGACTCCGTCTGAGATGTCGGTTGGCCAGCTTCCCACGACCACAGACGCCACTGCGGATGATGCTATGCTCGCACGTCTCGATTTCGCCAACGATGCCCTGATCCTCAATCTTGGTGCTTTGACACGTTTCGGCAATCCTTTCCTAGTTGATGTTGTAACTTCCACGCTCCTGGCTGTTGCAGTAGCGGAAGCTACGCGCGGTCGCAAGACACGTAATCGAAGTCAAGAGAACTTTGAGCCCCCACCACCGAGCTTCACCCTGACACATCAGAAGGAAGACACCGCGAAAGCGTTCAAAGACTCCTTTGTCGAGGGCTTTCAAGGCATCGGAGGAAAGTCACGACCACCGCTCTCCGGTAAAGGGCTGAAGAAGTTTGCTTCCAGCCTGAGAAGTACGACGACGACACGTAGTGAGAGCGCACATGGAAGTTTCGACAAGGACATTGAGCTGGGAGAGTGGTACGGACAGGACAAGTACACCAAAGCAAAAGAGACAAAGTCTGAGAAGAAGGCAAAAAAGGCGAGTGCTGATGACGAAAGTAAATTGCCGTTTGTCGCCCGCACCGTCATAACAGTATTGACGTTCGCATTCAAGACTGTGGTGTTCGTCTTGAAAATTGCGTTCAAGATTGTTGCGGGTGTCATCGTTATGATTACGAGAAATTTCAGCAAATTATAATGTGAGAGACTGTAGATGGATGGGCAAATTCTTAGGACTCGGGGAGTTCGATTTTCTTTTCTGCATGATACCATTATTACTACGTTCGCTGGACACTATTTAGACCACGCTACATGCGTGGCAGACGGGAACCTAATTTCAATACGATTACATTGATTGTAGTTCGCTCTTGTTATCCAAGTTTTCAACACGAGATGCTGACAATGAACAGTTGGTAGATAAATTATTGTACCGAGAGATGTACAAACAGCTGGCGAGAAGTGATTACGCAGCGCCTACCACCATGTACTCCTCACTCTCAGTCTTACCCATCAGAGCCTCCAATATGTCATCGGCGTTCTGAAATATATAACTCATCGGACCTTCGCCATCCTTCAGGCGTAGCGAGGTGCCTGGCAACAGGTCCTTGGCCTTCTGGGCCATTGCAGCAGGGCAGTTCTGGTCCTCCCGACCATGCCACAGCGTAAGAGGGATGCCATTGTCCCCAACGTACAATTGTCCAAGCTCGAAGCCCCAGTCGCTGCCGTTCAATTTTGCCTCCCAGCTTACGCCTTCACTCCCTCGATAAAACGATTCCCTGGTCATGGCTACGTAGATGGGCCAGTTAGTTTTGTCTTTGATGGCTTCTTGGTCGCTGGGATGTCGACATTGGATCTCCTTGGCAATCATTTCCTCTAGAACTTTCGGATCGTCGTTGCGACTCGCCTTGCCCATGGTACTATCGAACAAGGTGGTGACCAGACCAGTCATCCATGGCGCTGCCCATAGGACAATGCGCGAAGGAAACGTCATGCCTGCTGTCCCCAACTTGACTGGATACAAGCCGCTGACTATGCTAGCGCTCATCAAGCGGTCCTTCGATATCTCCTTCACGCAGGCCAGTACGTAAGGTGCGCCTCCAGATACACCCAGTACGTAGAAGTTGTGGATCTTGAGGTGGTCGGCCAGGGCAAGCACATCGGCAGGCCAGTCGAGGATACGGCGGTTGGTTTGGAAGGTTGATAGGCCGCTGCCAGGACGGTCGGGGGCGATGATTCGGACGTTGTGTAGGGCGCAAGCCGAGTGCCAGAGCTTGCCTTCGTAGCGCGACGATTGGCAGCCATGCATGAAGACTATTGTCTTTTGGGGTACCGGACTGCCGTAAACAGCGTAGGATAGGGTACGGCCATCTTTCAGCTTCATACGCTCATTCTCCTGCTGCATCGTAGCCTCTGTGGGTGGTATTTGTTAGTAAAGGGCGTGGTTGCGTTCTTGCAGCTTCTACGGAAGAAGGCGGGCACGAGGCCACATCACCTTCGCCGCCTGCGGTAAGCGTGACAGGCAACGCATAGTGAAGGTTGTTTGCCTTTGAGGCATATACAAGCGGATCGACGATACGCTGAGTTGCGCAGAGCGGGGTGGACGGGCTCGACACCACGGGGTGAGCTTTGTTTCGGCCTCGCCAAGTTGCACTACGGCTATGACGGGCAAGGCCGCCGGACATCTCGCCCACTAGTTCTGACTTCACATGCATCGACAGAGACATCACGCCAACCTTGCTCAGATCAGCGACTTTGCTGGAGGATACCATTAATAGCACTCCTCATTATTCGGTGCGCTTTTAAGTCCCATGAGGTTGGGGGTCGAAGCCGCTTCCAACCTCGGGTACCCGCGCTATTTACTGTATTACCACTTGGTGCTCGTAGACCAGACCGCATCGAGACAGTAAGAACCCGAACGCCGCCGCATACTCCAACTACAACACCCCCAAACTCCTTGTATCCAGAGACGCCGATGCACTAATATTCCTACTTCTTGTTCATGAAGAGCGGACGAAGAAGAGCTTTGACAAACCCTTCCTCCTTCGCTTGATCCAAAGGGAAGATACGACTCTTAAGGGTGTATGCGCGGAAGAGCTTGTAGTTCTTGAAGGTAATGACCGGATAGCGCTCTGGGTCGTTCCGGTGGTCTAGGATGTTGAAGATGTTGACATAGACGCGTGAGAGAGCCTGATAAAACACGTTAAATAAATGGGCTAAACGGTAGAATCATTTACGCACTTTCTTGCACTGTGTGATAGACTGTGGTATAGGATCGATCTTGACATCGCGACACAGTTCCTGCCACTTTGCCAGGCTCGACTTGTCGGGGCCGTAGTGTCGTAATACCTCAAACTCAACGACTTCGGCGCGACGTCGCTTCTCCTCGTTCTTGGACCAACCTTGATGAATAGAGAGCTTACTTAGTTTGGCTATCAGATCGTCTTCAGGGCTCGGGACAAATCCGTGAAATTCTTCCTGCGTGAAATAGTCATGGCCTTGATCAGAAGAACCGTTGTCGCTTGGGGGAGGAGTGCTGCAATCGCTTGAGGAATCAGAAGCAGTTGTCACGGCTTCAGGTACGATGGAAACGCCACCTTCTGTTTAATGTAAGTACGTCGCTTAGGTATTGCTCTTTCCGGATTGCTACTTACTAGCGCTAGCGCGATTCCGACGAGCCATCCTTCAAGGTTGCGGGTGGGGTGTCGATAGTGGTGCACGGGAATGCGGGCCCTTTGGTTAAGAGCGTTGCCCGACGTGTCGCGTTCCACTAGACCGCGATTTGTGGTGCTCCCAAGGAAAAAGAAAGGCCAGAAAGCGTAGAATGAATGTTGACGCGTCGCCAAGCGGCCGTACGCCGCTGAGTCATGCACATTAAGTAATCCGTCTCTCAGGGTCATTTTCACGCGCAGGACTTGTGGTGTTGCATTTCCTTGTCATTCCTTCCAACCCTAACATGTCGCTAACATGCACATGCTTTATCTATCATAGCTTCCTCAACAACGCGCTTATGAAACCGTCCTGTTTCGCCCTCCCTCGAGGAAAAATGTTGTCCGGTGATGTATATTCCCGGAACTTGTAGTAGTTCTTAAACCGGATGACCTCAACACCAATGTTACGATGATCGATAAGATTAACCAGGTTGACCAAGACATTCCGGCTACCAAGCACCTACATGCAGTTAGCAACAAGTTCCCAGTTGCTTGCGACTTGTTTACCCTCTTGCACTGGGTGATACTGCCTGGTGGATCGCTAACGTGTACCTCGCGACAGAGATTCTGCCAGGTTTCTAGCTTCGTCGTATCTGTTCCATATGCATAGTCGAACTCTTCCGCCTGACACTCAGCCCAGCGCTTTCTCACAGTCTTTCCGGCCCACTTGCGCTGCGCCGCTAGGCGCTCGAAATTGCTCCTGATTCCAGCCGTCGGGTTGTACACGAAAGGTGGGAACTTCTGGAACCATGCACCAGCCTGACTTGGGGTTTGGGTATGGACATCGTTATCCGTATCATCGTGATCTAGGGCTGCTGAAGCTGCCTGACAGTTTGTCCAATGCTTCCTTCGAAGCTTGTCGCCCCACTTGCGCTGTGATGATAGTCGGTCGAAGTTACTCCTGATGCTGGCGGTCGGGTCGTACACGAAGAGTGCAAAGCTCAAGAACCACGTTTCAGCTTGATTTGGCATGCGTGTATTCGCAGTGGATGGTGTGTTAGCACCGTTTGGGGTTGCAATAGAAGCTGCAAGTTCTAGGACAAAGCGTTATACTGTGAAAATGCCTGATGTTTGAGAAAAAAAAAAAACACTTACGAGCGCGAGGGTTTCGTTGACGGACCATGTTGAAGCAGCTCATCAGCTCACCAAAGTCCTGGGGCATTGCAAGTAGTAGTGAACTTCTTGTTTCCAGACGTGGGGTGCATATGGAATCCTGCAGCAAACCGAGACAGATTGGCAATCAGACCATTGAGGGTTCGGGAAACCCGCGATCCCTGACGCCACGTCGACAACTGACTAGAACAGTCGAATGGCGGCAATACTTCTACTCCAATGGCTGCATCAAGTTACACTGCAGGGAACGGGGACTCTGAGCTGTCATTATCGAATGAATCCTGACCACATTGTGTGGCTGCTGCATGGTGGTGTTGCCGTGCCGCGTTCATGCATAGAGAAACGTACCAGTAATTAGAGCACATATTCTGAGATTCTGTTATCATTTACCTGGTAAAAACATCTCCTGAAAGGAGTTTGACATCATACAGCCTTGCAACGTGCATCAAGCGCGTAAGAAAGAATCACTTTGGATTGCTGAAGACCATTGCTTTGGTTGTCGAACTGACATTCCGTATGGGCTTGACTGCTAATATGGTAGCTCTGTTGATTATGGCAAGCGGCTATACAGTAAAACCTCATAACAAAGAAACATAGGAGAGTAGGAAGGTTATAGGGATTACCTCCTGCGTATTTACAACAGTATCTCAATTCAACAAATTTAACAATTTCCTTGTTACTTCCTGTTGGTGTAAGAATGCAGACTTCAAGGTTCTTACAGTGTTCTCATATTATGTTTTATCGGAATATTCATCTAGAGGTGAGATTGCTGGCAGAACGAAGACTGCCACTCGATTTGTAACGCGCACTAGACGATACTACAAGCGGAGTTTGGATAATAGCTACTTGCCTTGACTATACCAGGCTGAATGTACCCATTATACACGCCTTGACCAACCGTCGTGGATGAGGATTTCGGCGGAAAGCTGAAGCCCGATAGTTGACCAACAGGTTTCGCTGGAGCCGAACCTGCAAGACGAGGACCATAACGCTGTGGCTGAGGTAATCGTTTCACTATAGGCTGCTGCGCAGTAGACTGGGCTAGTTGTTGGGGTTTGCAGTCACCAGCGAGTCCTTGTAAGGTATTGCACCTTTGGAGACATAGGTATAATGTAGTGTCCCCAACCGCGTTACAGGACGCCACCGCTGGCGCACAGACCAAACTGGCTGGGCAGATGTTGTTGTTGCTGTTGCACTTCTGATATGTGTTGAGATTGGGCGGTGTTTTGCTGTCCATCAGCCCTACACTTGTATTAAACGAGACTTCCAGGGGGTCTGCTAGTTGGATATCTGAGACTGTGTAGTGAACAGATGCTTGACTGTTGGGTTTCGGTGGGGGTTTACGTTGTGTTCTTGTGCGTTTGGAATAGTTTGTGGAGTCAGGCACGCAAAGTGTCGTATCATCCCAAGTGGCAGTGGCGGCGTCTCTCCACAATTGGCTCATGTTGTAAACATTCTTGGGAGCGTAATACAGCCGACAATCGGATGCTTCGTAGCGAAATTGTAGCGGCGTCAAATCCTCGGGGCGCATTTGATCGCGGAGGTTGAACAATGCGTAATTCGTGAATATGCCAGTGTCGTTACGGGACGGAATACTGTTGAAGGCGGCTTCATCACCGATCAGAGTCTTCAGATTGTCGATGTCGTAATCGATGCGATTTGAAGTGTAGGCAGCAGCTCCGCGGTTGCCACTCGCTGTCTGCATCGGCCCGTGCTGGGGACGACCTCCGAATGTTATCGTTCGTACGCCTGCCAGCTCTGTCATGAGTTCCACAAACAATGCGCAGGCAGAAGAGCATAGTCCGTCAGTAAGCTAGTCACACAGTCAGTTGAGTGACTATGTATAGTCGGGCGCTGCTTACCAAGACAATCTCATCGGGGTTCCAGCCAGGATTTGCAACGACGAAGCTCGAGTTCACCCAAGGTTGGTAAGTCCATCCGAACATGTCATAATCAAAAACTCCATCGCTGAGGTTGTAGAGTTGCTTTGGGCAATGTCAGCAATAGTAGTTGTGAACAAGCTACCGTTCTTACCTTTTGAGAAAACGCATCATTGCGATCCAAAACAGGCCCAAAGTACTCTGACCACGACGCAAAGTTGCGCCCTGTAGCGGCATTAATGCGATTCACAGCGATCCATTCTGATGCTGCGGAATCTTGAGACTCGAAAGAATCAGGATCTAAGGATTGCCACCAATCTGTATATGCTGTACCAAGAATGTCTGCCCACCGATGGCTTCTGATGCGGCTTCCTGTATAGAGGGGCAGTTCAGGAAAGATTTGCTGAAAGGTTGTCATGGCAAGCAAGACCAGCCCACCAGTGTTCTGCTGGAGGTCTATAACCACGCGCTTGATCTCTTTAGTGGTCGCATTTCCAATGAATTCGTCGATAGCATTGAAGAAGTAAGCCACACTAAGGCCGTCCTGATAGAAGCTTGGTATGCTGAGGACGCCGGTAGATATGTCATCAAAGATATATCCCGAGATGGCACCAGCCCCAGTGATCGACATGTCGTTCTGCACTACTACTGGATCATTGGGATATGCTCCAATGTTGCCATTGGTAACATTGCACCAATTTACCGCCGGACCTGCAGAGGTTGAGCAGTCAAAGCCTGGCTCAGGGTTCGATGGAGCTTCGTACTCTTCAAAAGGTATGTTGTAATCCGCAGGCCACCATGGAGGTGAAGAAGCGTCATTGGGATCGAAACCAGCAGGTATTATCCCAAGCACAAAGTAGTTGTAGAAATCTCCAGGTGTAGTCAAAGGGCCAGTACGTGCGTTTTCTGCGTACAAGGCAAGCCAAATGGTATCCAGAGATGTATTGTTCTCAAAGGTAAAGTTCAGTTCATCTCCTGGGTATAGCGGCAGACGCTGGAAAATGCTGAGGTATCCTTGTATATCCTTAGCAGGACTACTCAAGAGAGAGTTCCAATCAGCGTGCGGCTCAACGTAACCCTCCGAATTAGGTGTTATCAGCGACGTCAAATATTCAATAACTTCGATACCGTTGATCTTTATGACTGGGGAGGCATCGTAACCTTCTTTGGCAGCCGCGAGTAGATCCTCCTTCAGGTAAATCTTTGGCTCTTCTGAGCCGTTCTCCGAGAGCGACAAGAGTGTGTAAGGACTGGCGAATTTGAAAGCTGCTAGCATACCTGCATCTAATGTGACGTGACTATCGTGGATGCGGCTAATGAGTACCTGTATTTGCTCCTCGAAAGCATATTGGGTCTTGTATGTGCCTGAGACGATGTCTGCCCGGATGTTCTCGAGTTCTTGTTGTACGTCGACTGATGGTTGTTGATACCCGTCCAGAGGGTTGTTCAAGTATCGTAGCGTGCTTTGGAACTGCAACGTGTCGTTGTAGTAGTCGATAAAACGAGAGGCAACGTCTGCATGAAAAGGTACCCTGCTGATACAATCGTAGACATCAGATGCTGCAAAGATATAGACACCTACTAAACGTTAGCTGTCATCTATACTGAGTCCGCAACAATGTCGTACCTTGCGCTGCTGCAGAGATGACACTCAAACATGGTAGTTCGGATGATGGCGCATCCTGACGCTTGGGAAGATGGGCAGAGAATGATTGAGGTACGGCATGGCAAAAGATTGGCAGCTGGACAAAGCAAAAGCTCAGTGCGAAAGACAGCATCATGGTGTGCCTGGAATCACTCGAAGACCAAATGAACAACTTCGCGACGTTGGAAAGGAGGGTGCTGGTATCGGTATGATCTTTAGTTGTGCATGTTGCGACTTGATATATGTGAAAATAGTTGGGTCCATGTCTATGAGGCTCACAGTGCGTATTGGCTGAAAATGGTCTGGGGGCCTGAGAGAGGGTTCGGGCAAGAAGGTGACGAGATTGTCAACGCAAGTACACCTAGATACAAGGGTCGAAGTAATCAACATCGGAAAATCTGCGTATTCTAGGTCTTGAATGGCAGGTGCGGCTTGTGTTAAGTTGCCGATGTTGCTGGAAGGCTGGAGATGGTGCGCCCACAAGGCTCAGCCATTGGGGGCTGAAAACAAATTGACCAATCAAGACACCTTGCTCCTGGCCCCCACGTAGCTTACCTGGGTATTGAGTCGATCAAAGACGGCCAGATTTCGCCGTGCTTGTGCCTGTCAAGTTTTAATTTGGAGCAAACGCCTCTGTTTCAGCATGGTTGGTACTGACGAGAGAAAATTGCGAGGGCATTATCGGAGCCTAAACCAACGGAGACGCTGAAGGCTAGAAGCGATTCTATTTTCGCATCTACCACCATACGACTTTATTGCAATTATCGTAGAGAGGACACTTGGCACATTCGAACCTCAGACTACGCTTCGCTCATCCTGATAAGCTGACAACGTAAGCACTCCTGAAGAAGCGTTGGTTGGATGCATCATGGAATGGAAGAGACAAGATGAACCATTTTCAATACCAGTCGATATCCATGAAGCCTTGTTTCGAAATACTTTTCAAGATGCTCGCTACCAAGCCTGGACGCAGACGGATCGCTGCTGGCAGTTGTATATCAGTGGAGGACCAGGAAGTGGCAAGGTCAGTATTCAGTTTGACTATCCACGGTAATCGAGGCATGTTACCTCTTGGAACATTACCAGTGATCTTGACTGACATCATCTTCTTCTAGACTACTCTCGCAGCTCTGATCGCAAGACAACTATGGAGGGATGGCACTGCTCCTGTCGCACTTGTCCATGTACACGATGATGAGCCGTCCGGTACGCAACTGCAGGATGACACACTGCCTCACGATCGTGCTTCTTGTCCGGACAAGTTTCTCGGCTATGATGGGTCCCTCAGAACAGGAGTCATAAACGTGTCGTCCTCAGGGACAGACCTTCAAGACTTATGCACACTCTTGGCTGAGCAACTCCTAAAATCAGATGGGTTTTATCTCATTATGGATGGCTATGATCGGATAAAATACTCGAAGCAATGCGAGCTGCAGCACAACTTTCGTCAGCTCCAATCCCAAGGATTAAGGGTGCTGCTTTTCAGTGCGGTATCCAAGCTCGACGTCTTCCCGCCAGCCTGGCCTGTTGAGTGCGACAAGTGTGGACGTGGGAGGGAGGAGAAAGATGGCCTGTACATCTACTGGGCATGCGATCTATGTCCTTGCGATCTCTGTGACATGTGCAAAACTACGGGTATCCACTGTGATGACCGCCAACATCAAATGTCTGAGCCTTACGATGTGGTCAACATGAGGCTTGTTACAGTACCCTCAGAGCTGGAATCTTTTGTGAGGGCTGATTTGACGGCTGAATATGGTTCGGAATTAAGCGATGACGTTGTCGAAGCTGTCTGCGAGCCCAGTGACGGCAACACGAATCTCGCCAAGCTTCGCCTCGACCAGATTCGTGATCTTGATTCACCTTCTGACATTTTGTCGCCTACTGATCGCCTTCCTCGGGAAGTGGTCGCATTCTTCGATGCGGAGATCAAGCTCATCAACATTCTGGAACCATCTCAGAGGTACCAAACGTTGTTGGCCCTCATAGCCATAGCAGCAGCTGGAGATTGGATGTCAGTCATCAGACTCGAAGAGCTTTTGAGTCATATGAGCGGCTCTGATACGGCCTGCAGTGACGGATCTTATCCTCAAGTGCGTCGCGTGTTGAGTTCTACCCGTGGGCTGCTTTCTTCACTTATTTTCTTCGGCAACTTATCACCTGGGCATGAAGAGTCAGACAGACATAGGATTGGTCTCTACACTCGGGATCTAGGCTGGTATATCCGCGAAGACTACAATCAGGATCTAGTTTTAGCCAAGCGGTACCTGAGCGAAGCCAATATAGGAGAACGTAATCTGGATCGCAGCTACAGTTTCGAAAAAACCGTCGGCGAAAGAAAGCAGGACATTGGTGAGCCTAATGACACATTATATGGAGTCTGGAGGTCAAAGTCCAAGCTCCATGAAATCTCCGGTAACAGTGTCATTGACTCAATACTTCGAGAACCCGAAGGTATATGTACACCTTGCCAAGAAAGTATATTCCTGCCAAAGTCGAACTCAGGAGTACGAACATGGTCCAATTACGATCAGAACCGAGATAGGAAGACATACTGTCAATTCTGCTGTTACGCCTACAACGAAATGGATGATAAAGGAACAAGTATACTGGCTTTTCATTGGACAAGGCGGACGATGGGCCGCACCTCCAACTCTAATGATCACATTGTTGTGGCTCTGAGGTACACTGGATTCTCTGCACAAACATTGTTCAGGCGATTTGTGTTTATGTTGAAGTCGGAACTCAGATTTCTACGGGCTCCTGATCGTCTGGGTGAGACGACTACCTTGAAACACACTGGCAAACAAATTCAAAAGTGGTTAGAAACTTGCCAAACGGAGCATACCCACTGCAACTACAAAAAGGGGAAACCGTACGTGCCCAAACGACTTGTGGATATCGATACAGGTGCCTCTGACAGGCTGCGCGTCATTGGGAAGGAAGAGAAGGAGGAGGGGCCGTATGTCACTCTGAGTCACAGCTGGGGGCGCAATCCTAACTTTCTGACGCTCACCACCAAAGATAAAGACAGGCTCATGAAGCAGGGCTTCTCGATAACAGAGCTCAGGAACAAGAACTTCGAGCAGGCTATCGAGATCGCGCGACATCTCAAAGTAAAGGACATCTGGATCGATTCTTTGTGCATATGCCAAGCTGGGAGAGACAAAGATTTCAGAGAGGAAGGGCAATATATGCACCTTGTCTATCAAAATTCGTTCTGCAACATTGTTGCTGCAGACTCAAAAGATGGTCAGGGTGGTCTTTTTAGAAATAGATCTATCGAAACGTTGCCGGGTACAGATACAAAAGGATCCTGGGTGGTTTTAGACAAAGAGCTTTGGGCAAAGCAACTGCTACAGAGCCCTATATACACGCGTGGCTGGGTGTTTCAAGGTAAGCTGATAGATTAATTCAGTATACCAAACGCTAACCTTACAAAGAAAGGATGCTTTCTCCTCGAATCATTCACTTTACACGCTCTCAAGTGTTTTGGGATTGCAGTACAGTCAGCGCATGTGAGACCCTGCCAGATGGACTGCCGTTCCCCCTTTCCGCAATAGCTACAACGGACCGTCGCTGGCGTGGCCGCCTGCAGCGGAAGAATTCGGAACAAGACAGATCTAATCTTGCGGTTGAAGACTCTTTAGAGAAGTTTTGGAAAAGTGCCGTCCTCAACTACACTTCTTGTGACTTGACAAATCAAGCCGATAAGACATTCGCAATCTGGAGTGTTGCCAAGTTGGTTCGAGACAACCTACCCGATCAATATGGTTGCGGACTTTGGTCAGTCGCCTTGCACGAGCAACTAGCATGGCAAGTCAAAGTCGCCAAACACGGTGCCAGAATGGACGTCTTGCAATCAGGGTTCCCCAGCTGGTCGTGGGCTTCGGTAAATGCACCTATACTGGTACAGGATCGTATCGTGGCAAAGAGGTGCTACACTGTCAAGAATCACAAGGGGGCTGCATTTAGCTTCAGCGACTTCAAAGACAAAGCATTGATTAGTGATATGCAGCCTCAATTTGCGGCATCTGATTCGCTTGCAGTTAGAGGCTACCTCATCTGTGGGCGGTTGGAGAGAAGTGCACGCGATAAAACTCATACATTCCAGAGCGTAGAAGCTGGTTCTTCGCAAAAGTACGAGGTAATCACTGACGAGAAACTTCCTGAAGCGCTACTCAGCTCGTGTTTCTATCTAATGCCGCTCGTCGCCCGCAAGACGAGCGACTCTGAGATAGCATACACCGGTAGCGCTCTTGTGCTAACTGCCACTGATGATTACCGGCAACTAACCCATATGAGATTGACGAAACAACTACTCAATCTAGTGAGTTCCTCTCAGCCACACCCAGATAAAGACACACCACATGCAGATCGAAAGTCCGAACTGCAAATGCTACGCCGAAGTGTTGATGCTCTCAATGCATGTCTTCACAAAATAGCAAAGCAAGATCGGGAATTACCACTGAGGGAAGGAAACGCGTTTCGCAGGGTTGGTGTTGTCCAATTCCATGATCTCCCCGCAAAAGAGTGGGCTTGCATAAGGGCAAAGGAGGAGAGGTTGATTTGGTTGGACTGAATTCTATGGGCTATCTAAATCGTTTCCAAGTCTCGGTGGCGTGTGAAACTTTCAACTTCAGGAACTCACACGTATATCCAATGGTCTGTGTAATCCTAAGAAATGCATAAGAGTTGCTACAGCTTAGACAGCAGAGTGGCTATATAACCTCCGCCTGCTTTGGCGCAATCTCTCGGGAACGTGCCTATCTTGCGAACGCTTAGACGAAGCTCGCGCATAGTCTTATATGTAATGATCCTGGTCTTTGGATTGCGCATGTGGTCAATGACACTGTAGAGGTTGACCTTGAGTGGGCGAAGCGCCTTTTCATGGTCAGCAGCCTACATCGGTAGTAATTGCAAGTTGGGATGCTTACCTTCCTGGCTTGTGTAACAGTACATGGGATGTGCTCAATACCCATCTCTCGACATAAGTACTGATAACACTCTAATTTATCGACATCGTTCGAACTCCAGTAGAACTCGACTTCAGTGCGAAGCAACGTGATCAGATTCTGACGTTTGGTTCGTCGATCCCAACCTTTGATGCGAGCCAGACGTTCGAACTCCTCCTTGAAGGGAGCATTTGGGTGGTGCACGAAGTCGGTGAAGTCATTCCATACCGGGTTTTCCCTACCTGAAGTGTTCGAACCGGTATCACCGTCATCTGTAGCCGCATCCATGGAGATACTCTGGTCGTAGTTGAGAATTTCAACGCCACCAGAAAGCTCATCTAGAGACTTGACTGTGTTGAGGGATAAAGCGGTGCACTGTGAGTCCGCGATTGATCGAGACAGTGAGCCAACGGAAATTCGAAGATATCCACCGTCACCAGACCGATCACTGCACAGCGACCTTACACTACCAAAAGAGTTTGCCCTTGAGGTGCGAGAAATGACTGAGAAAGATGACGCATCCGAATTGACAGAGAGTTTTCGCATGTGATTGGTGAGATCGGGGGTGTCAGTCTGACTAGCCAGATCCGCATCTGCAGTCGAACCCGTTGTTGCTGATCTGTCTTGATATATGCATTAGTAATTTATCTCGCTTGACACCCGTACTCTTCGATTCCACCTTGCATTACGAACATGGTGTCGAACGAAGTGGGCTGCACTCACTGTGAACTCCCCACGAGTATGTCTCGCTGAAGCACTTTTCCCAATGATAGCACCAATCCGGAATTCCACCAATCCATCCTTTCGCCTTTCCCAAGCGCGCGAACTCGGCTTTGGGTGAGTTGTTGAGATCAACGACATGACCAATATCGTCAGCCCATACTTGTAGAAGGGCTCTCTGGGTCTCGGAAGTCATTGTGACAGTAGCAGCAGTAACATAGACTGACTCAGGAGGGCTGTTGGGTTCTGGTGTCGCGATGTTTCCAAAGCGCTTTTGTCAGTGTGGTGGGGATCGCTTGACGAAAGTGAGTGAGACACGCGGAAGGTTAAAGCTACGGGGAACGCGTAAAGTAGCTGGAAGGCCGCTGTGTGGGTAAGTGAGGGGCTGCGTTTGAACTCTACCTAGGTTCCAAACCAACAAAACGCGCTCACACGTGGTTACGAATGCAGTGAGCCTATCATGGTTAGCGCTTAGAGCTGGAGTACGGTAGGTACCTAGATACACCAGGGCATTTACGCCAAGTGAGGGGGTTTGTACATCATCGAATTGTGAAAGAGCCACGAGTAATTTAGCATGAAGAGGAAAGACTGGTGTACTCATCGCTCGTACTAAAGTATTATATCGCTTGAGTTTGATGACTTGCAAAGTGTCTAGCTCGTTCAAGAGATCAACAGGTACTTCTATGCCGCGACACATCCGAGCCACCCTAGCCACTCTTATTGCATACATTTCCCCTAGGAGTGCAATCTACACAATCTGATTCTGAAACAAACACGACTCGTAGCATTCGAGGTCGACCCTTAGACGGACTTCTTCGGCAGTGTCTTCCTTGGTTGTTTGGCCACGTGCGTGTTTGTATGCTTGCGCTTCTTGTTGTCAACTGCTGCATTCCCGTTGCCTTCACGTGAGACTCCTAGCGATATGATAGCGTCAGAGACTTCCTGAGCCTTTCGTCGGCTTGTAGCTGCGCGAGTACGTCCAAGACTGTCAACAAGCGCAGCAGGCTTCTCAGGGATGACTCTGAAAGTTGGAAGATCGGTGGAAGCATCGCTTTCGTCTGCGTTGCCATCCATACTGCCGTAGGCGAAACCGTCTAGAATATCCTCTGCGATGCTATCTGCTGCCTCGCTCTCGGGTTCTACCTTGCCATCGTAGTCGTCTTCCTCCTCAAGCTCGTCGTTTTCCTTCCAGTCTTCGTAGATCTCGAAGTCAGGGTCAGCATATCGTTTGGTCGCTGCCTCAAGTTCTGCCTCTTCGCGAGCGCGGTCGAGCGTGATCTTGAGTGGTTTGATGGGGAACCCCTTTGGCTGCCGCAGCTGTAGTTCGTTTTTGCGGTAGCGAGCTTTCGGAGCACCATAGTTCCAATTCGTGTTTCTAAGGATGGGCATCGTGAGCTTGCTACTAGAGTATGAGCTTGGTGTTAAGACGGTATGCTGGAATGCGCCTACTTGTTCGCTGATCCACTAGAAAGTGCAGCAGGATCTGAAAGCGCTGCGCCTGAATCCACACGAGGCTCCTCGCGCGTCTTCTCTGGTACTGCTTTAACTGGAACCATAGTATTATGCGCTACCTCTGGTTGATTGTAGCCACACCGATACTTTGGCAAGCGCCACGAGAAAATCGTCAAAAGGATGTGAGCAGTAAGATGATGAGTGAGGATCGAGAATAGAACTGCCAAGCGAGCCGATACACAAGGAGAGTCTCGACTAGTTGTCGCGTAAGATTTTGCAGCAAACAAGATGGGTCGACACGATATGTCTCAATCAGAGCGTCGTGATGAAGGTGAAAGTGAATGCGAACGTGGGATCGACGCTCTTGTCTGGTATATTGGCCTGTCTTCGAACTGAGTGAATGAGCGTGAAGTGAAAGGGAAGGCATATAAAGTATAGTCCCTCCTGCCAATACTACTCGAGCCTGTGGTTGATATACGCATAACATGGTGATCAGGAAAGAACACTCAAGGGTTGCTGATAGGCGTTCCTTTCATACGTCACCAGGGATCCTAGCTTCCAAATATGAAGCTTGTGCTAGCTTTTAGTACATACATAGGTGACTGTTTTAAAGCTCTGTCTACTCGCGGAAGCCCAGTGTAACAAAGAGTTCACATCTTCTGGTATTGTTGGTGAGCCAGCTAGCCGTGTAGCAGATTTTATCGGACGTGTGTTGTTTTGTAGAGCTGCCAAAAGGAGTTTGTTAGTCACGCATGTATGCTCATGATGTGTATGATCTTAGTAAACATAACGAGGTATGAATGAGACTGAGTCGGAGACGTTGGTGTTGAGCCGCGCAAGCTTGGGTGTATTTCGATGGCTGAGCGCGACACGCGAGGTACGCGAATCACTTCCCAATTCGCCAGCGCCCTCCGGACTTTTAGCTTCGTATTGAACAGTTGTCAAAGGCCATGACAAGTAATCGCATTATCCATGATCAGCAACGATACACACAAGCATGTTTTATGGGCTTGAGTTCAGGTAGGGGCGAAGACAGTAAAGCTTCGCTATTCAAGTTTGCCATCAAAGGTATCGCTTTCCAATAAGGTCCGCGTATTCTTCTCCTTTGTGCTGTGGTTGAACCATCGTGTGTGAAGAAAAGGGAAGCTTGGTGCAGCTCAAGCAAAGGCTCACTCATATTGCACTTGTGAAGAAGACGCATCTATCATCCAGCTGAATCGAACATTGACAAGCTTGTAGTGAGCTTGCCGCACTACGGGAGTTACACGCTGGGCTACGACACCATCAGCGTACGTACCGTAGGCTCCCGGCACTCGGCTGACCGCGGTCCAGCCGTGTACGAAGATACTCCACAGTCCATGCGATCAGTTTCCACTGTGCAGTCATCCCCATGCGCTGTTTCATGCAACGTCGTCGGTATGTCGAGCTCGCGCGAGTTCCTTGGGACGGTAGCTACATAGTCCAGATTGCGTGAGGGAGCTGATGGCGAGGGAGTGACAGAACTTTCCCCTAGATCATCTGTAGTAGTTCTGGTATGGTTGTTGTCCATGACAGGTGAGGCAGTGCTGGAGAGCTCCGGCGTTGGTGGCGCGAACTGTGAGCGCACAGATGTAGCTGTTTGCCTAAGGGAACACGTCTCAGACTCCAACTCACCCGTCCTGCCATAAGCTTCCATTTGCGCAGTGATCTTTTTCAGCTTTCGAATATCGCTTTTATATCCTTTGATGTCAAGCTTGAAGAGAATGATCTCCCGGACATAGAAGTCAATTTCATTTTGCATACTTTCCATCTGCACGTCCGGAGTGTCAGTAAGAGTCTTTCCCTTCTTCTTAGACTGCTCTCTTCTCAGGCGTTCGTGGAGTCTGTTCATCCACCTATCGATATCTTCCCGTCTGGCAAGCGAGGTGAGTTCAGGCAACGAGTCATCCTCCGTGGCCATGTGAAGCTTCATCGCCGCATGTCGCCTTATTTCTGCTTGCAACAAGAGTTTGTGATGCTCTAACTGCCTCTCCACGGCGCGAAGATCCCTATCCTTCTCTTCAATCAATGATTCGCGGTTCAAGACTGCATTTCGAAGTTGTTCCATGTAAGTATCTGTTCGGCGTGCTTCTGGTGATTGATCCTGTATCTCCGAATGAATAGCAATTTTGTTGTGATCCCGTTCAAGCCGGATGTGTGTTTGCCGCAGTTGCTGTCGCTCTTTTTCCAATTCCGCAATGTAGAGATCCTTCTCTCTGACTTGATCTTGCAGGCGCTCCATGTGCGCCACGAATGCAGCTAACGCCGAATTTTCTTGAGAGTCGAGTTCCGAACTGACAATTGAAGTGCCGGGGAACACTGTGTTTGTGTTTATACAAGCACCAAATGTTGCTTGGTTTGCGTTTGATGGTACGTGGGACTTGGGAGGAGAAAGGTCGAAAGGTGATTTATCGCTTCTCAAATTCGAAAGCTGTTCTTCCGCGTCTAGTCGCTTTGTGTTCGCAATCTCAAGACGGCTCTCAAGGTGATCTATGGTATTCTGTAGAGCTTGCATAGTTTTTGCAAGCCTGTCGGCATGCGTTGCCTTATCTTCAAACTCGGCACATTTCATCTCAGTCATCCCAAGTATGTTACGAAGTTCCCTTTCGCTTTTCTTTGATTCATTCAACTTCGCCATCAGAGATTCGATTTGCTGTTGAAGAGCAACATTGTTCTGTTTGTATTGGTTGAGCTCGGGAAGTAGATTTCGGGTTGTCGTTTCGGGTCTGCGGGTGCTGCTTAGCTTCCGCTTTAGATTCTCCTAGTATTCTAAATCAGTCATACGTCTCACATGCAACATGCGTATATCCCTACCATCTCAAGGCTGGTTTCCAAGCGTTGGGGCGATTGCTCTTTGTTCTCAGGTTCGATCGGACTGGCAGATATGGTATCCACTATAACTTGTGCGGTTTCTCGAATTGGCGTGTGCGGTGTTCCTATGGTGTCCAGGACAGTCAGGGCATTATTACTTAACGCTGGGTACACTTAGCAAACTAAAGTGGTGGTTGATGCCACAAGCACACAGCACAAATAACCCCTGTTGATCGATCCAACGCAGTTGGAAGTAGCGTCTTTAAAAGGCGGGAGATCGCAATGGTAGACTTGACGAGAGTTGGTGCTTACCGTGATGCAGGCCGTGCTTGCTAACCTGCTCTTCGAGCGTTCGAATGTAATTCTTCAAAGACGCAACTTCTGCCGAGTGTGATTCTACAAGGCTTGCAACGCGTGACTCGCACGACAATCTCAAACTGGTAGACTGGGACTGGAAGATCGAGATTGTTTGACCTTGTGTAGCAATGGTCGCCTTGAGTTCTTCGATATGCCTGCTCTGTGTTACTGAGGGGTTGGACGCAGAAGATGCCTATGTATAGTCAGCATTTGGGTATGATATACACTGGGCGCTTGAAAAGGCCCGATATCGACTATTGCAAGGCAGAACAAACTGCATGGTGGACGTAATGATCAGGATTTGTGCAACTGCCGCCCGCGCGACATTGGGAATGTGAAACATGTCACCGCCGCTATTCGTCTTACAGGCTTCCAATCCGGGGATACAACAAGACATTGCCAGCGAAAGGTCTGATGCCATGGCTGCATGGCAAAGCAGTATATCTAACTCAGGCATATGTCGTCGCATTAGGGTTGGAGATGGGATACAAAGAACTTCTGAAACTGTTTCGTTATGCGGTGTTGTTTGTCCAGTAAACACACGTCTATCGAGAAACAAACAGCACTCACTTCATTTTGACGGTGTCGGCGGTTTCCAACATCCCGGTCACCCACTCTCTTCCCCTGACCAAGCCACCTCTGACTGGGACTTTGCATGCCACCTTTGTTCATCGAGGCTTTTCCGTGCGTGGATGAAAGAGAAGTAATCAAATCCGGTCTCGAACGTCCCCGCTTTCTGGCCTTACTCGAGGTTCTGCTATCGGCCTCCGTTAATAGATCAACTTGGGTGGCTTTGGCGGACTGAAGTTCATCACCGCTGGGGATGGTCTTCATTATGCTGTATCGCGAGCTTAGTTCTGGAACGGACCGGGTATGGTTCAATTGTGCCGGAACCAAGTCCAACGCGTCCAAAGAGACACTCTCGTGACTCAAATGCTTATCGGGCGGGTGACTCTCCCTCCTAAAGATCTGGGTTGTCGGTCGTGCAGATACAGGAGTTGAAGATGATGGAAATCCTTGATTCTCTAACAAAAGAGAGCCAGGTAGCTCGGCAGGTAACTCTGCAATTGAAGGGACCGAGGCAGAACGTGGCCGACAGGGAAGGGGTTTTTGCAGTAAAGATGTGGACCTCGAGCATGGACTGGTGCTAGGTACTGGCGAGCGCAGCATATCGTTGGAGGAAGAATGTAGGATGGTCGCAGCACCAACAACGGCTGCGTTATACTGGGATGTGACAGGACTGCAGACATTTTGCTTGTCGTCTGATGGAAGGATGGTAAGGTTCGCTGGCCGCAGCTTTTCGACTCTCAGAGTGGTCTAAGAGAGATGGTCAGTGAATGGTCAAGCTCCACAAGACAGGCGCAGACGTCGGATTGTATGTAGAGGCAGATTGCGGTCTACATGTTGCCTTGTTTTGCATGAGACGTCGTCGTATTTGCCAGTACACTGTCTTCTTTTCCTGGACATCATCCTACCTTGGGTTCATAGTCATTGGGCTCGGGCTCGATTGATTGAATCGCCAGCAGCCCTCCTGTGCGATAGTATGGCTCTGAACTAGACTGGCGTTTCGACCAGGACAGAATGCGCTTGGTCGGCATCGCGCGATGTTTACGCACCCCGCGCTCAGTAGTAGTAATTCAACGTAGACATGAAGATGAGATGAAAGCTCGACGCGCTCGGGCTGCAGTATGGTGCGAGAAGAGAGGTCAGACAAAGACGCGGTGGCTAGAAGGTTTGCAGCCACTTCAACGGTGGTTTGACTATGTTTGCAAGGCGTCCACGTTGGGTTCATATCGCCCGCTGTCATGTTTCGGGGCTGCAAACCACGCCGTACCTACCTGGATCCGGGTGAAGACGCTGCTGACAGGGGCCAAATGGCCCGACTGGCGCAAGAGACAAACGAGTGCTCCTTGCATGTCGTATAGGCGCCTTGGAGTCCCATAGTGGCGCCGTCTTGTACGTGCAGCGAATAGACGAGATGAGGACGAGGCGCGATAGCGCGACGCCGTGACGAAAGTGCAGGAAGCTTGGGCCTCTCTCTTGTCTGGGGAAGTCGCGACCGAACAGCTCCAATCCTTAGCCGACTATTGCGTGCTAGTTGCAATCCTTTCTGCTCTTTTGTGCAAGCCCACTGCTAATTACGGTGTAATGGTCTAGCCGGCTATCACCGCAGTGCAGGCGACTTGGCACAGCCCCCAGGAAGCCCGTTCACTGAATCCACTCTGCACTAAGGAAAAAGTTGGGATCGTCATTGCGCCCCCAACCACGACACTGCGCCCCCACGGTTTTCACCATCCGGCCCCAATATGGCGAGAGACTTGTCGCCGTACAGTGCGCGACGACTGCTTACGCAACAATTAGTCCAAGGAAAGACTGCCTCGCCCCCAGCAGTCTCAGGCGGGAATCGAAGTCCAAGCAGCTTCTCGAAACATGGGTCAGAACGCGTCGGGAAAGAGCCTTCGATAGCATCTGGTCGCCCATCGCGGAGTAGATCGAGGGAGAGGAAGCCCAGGCACCTATCCAAAGACGACGAACCAAAGGAAGCGGCCACCGAGCCCAGCGCTGTTCGCAAGCGGGAACAATCCCCAGAACCATACAGGAAGCCGCGAGATTCGTCCAGAGAGAGGAGACGCGACGGCTCGAGAGAGCGGAGAAAGGACCGCTCCAAGGACAGGCGACGCGACAGGTCACGAGACAAAAGACGAGACAAATCAGGCGACAGAAAGAAAGATCGTTCGAAGGACAGGCGGCGCGATCGCTCACACGACAAGGACAGAGGCGGAGACAGGCACAGGAAGCGCGATCGCTCCAAGGACAGACACAGCCGGCGAGATCGCTCGCGCTCCAGAGACCGACGACGAAAAGACAGGTCCAAAGAAGGCCGACGTTCACGCTCGCCTATACCATATCGTTCCCGCAAACCGCGTACTCGCTCGCCCTCCGCATCTACATCCCCTCCGCCCAAACGTCGCCGACGTACACGCTCCCCATCGCCTTCGCGCTCATCTTCTCCACACAAGCGAGTTAAGAAAGCGCTACCGTCGCAAGAAATCTCCTTTCGCGGGCTGGACGACTCCGCCCAACCACCCTCGAAATATGGCGGCGCACCACCTGACAAGGAGAAACCCAACTTCAAGCCTACTGGCGCGCTAGCTAAAGCTGCCAACCGCGTAGAAGGCACCAAGATCTCCCTCAAGTACCACGAGCCACCCGAGGCGCGAAAATCACCCGCTTCGCAACCCTGGCGTATCTTCGTATTCAAGGGCGATGATGTGGTAGATACCATTGAAATATGGCAGAAGAGTTGCTGGCTACTGGGCCGATCACATGAAGTCGTCGACTACGTCCTTGAGCACCCCAGCTCGAGTGGACAACATGCAGCCATCCAGTTCCGGTACATACAGAAGACGATCGAAGACGAGTTCGGCGTGAAGAGCCAACGAGGAAAGGTCAAGCCGTACATTATCGACCTGGAAAGCAGTAATGGCACGGAGCTGAACGGCGAGGATCTCGAAGCGAGTCGCTACTTTGAGCTCAGAGACAAAGACATAATCAAATTTGGAGGGAGCGAGAGGGAGTACGTGGTCATGCTGCCACAAGCAGATGCTAAGTAGGAAAGGACAACGAAGATGACGAACGCAGAGAACGCTAGCATCACTGTGATGACACATGGTCATGTTCCATAGCAGTCTCTGTCTGGAAGAGAAATAAATACCAAAGATAAATTACTTAACAACCGTCACACTGATCCTATTGTTACTAGTTTTACCATGGAGAGTGTATCCTATAGACATTCTGGCATTGCTATATATGTTTCCTTCGAATTGATAGGTAGGGGCCCAGCTGTATCGAGTACCGAGCTGTGGATGGCTATGATTGAGCTTCTACAGGGCTTACTTCGAGGAGTCTCCGTGCCATGATCTCATCATCTCGGAACGACTATGTCAGAGTTGGCTGCTCAACTTGTCTTGATGATGCAATGGTGAATGTTCAGACGTTGAATAGCAGCGTGCAATCAGGTTCAGGGTCCAGTGTACGACAAGGATGCCGCCCCTGCCGACTTGGCAGGAACGGCCGTCATCAGGCTCCCCACAGTTCGTGTAAGGCGGAGACACCATGTTGCGCGTCCAGCTGCTTCGTTTCTTTTAACCCCCTTTTGTACTTAATTTTTGTAATACACCATGGCGCTTTTGCGACGCTATGGGCTCTACACAGTCCTCGCCGTGGGCTTCATCTACATGCTCTGGTCGCTCAGCTTCCCATACGAGCAACCTGGCGACGCGCCCATAAACGGCAACCCACACCAGCAGAGCCAGCAACCACAGAGAAATCAAAAGTACAAATCCTTTAATTGGGCAAAGGTGCCCTTTAAGAATCGCATCGAGAACCTCACACCGCTACCGACCGGCGAACCGAAAGCCCTACCGCCGATACAGTTCAGCTTTGGTCAGGAGGATGCTACGGCCAAGAACATCCGCGAGACAAGAAAGGAAGAAGTCAGGAAACAATTCCTGAAATGTTGGAAGAACTACAGAACCTTTGCATGGATGCACGACGAGATACGACCCATAAGTGGAGAAGTAGCCGACCACTTTGGAGGATGGGCAGCCACGCTCATCGACGCGCTCGATACGCTGTACATAATGGGCTTTGAGGAGGAGTTCTCTTCCGCCATCAAGGATATCGAACGGATCGACTTCGGGTACACCGACTTGGATAGAGTCAACGTGTTTGAGACCAATATCCGACATCTGGGTGGCTTGCTGTCAGCTTTTGAGCTAAGCGGAGACCAGAGGCTACTAAACAAGGCAAAGGAGGCGGGCGAAATGTTATACCATGCATTTGATACACCCAACCACATGCCGATCACACGATGGCAGTTCCGTGCCGCGGGCGAAGGCAAACCACAGGTCGCGGATGAGCAGGTCCTACTCGCGGAAATCGGAAGTCTGACTATGGAGTTCACGCGTCTTTCGCAGTTGACCGCCGACCCGAAATGGTATGATGCGGTCAACAGGGTGACGAGGGTTCTTGAAGAACAGCAAGACAAGACAAAACTACCGGGCATGTGGCCGATCGTTGTCAACGCTCGAAAGGCGGAATTTACCGGTGATAGCGGGTTCACTCTAGGAAGTATGGCTGACTCAACGTATGAGTATTTTGGCAAGCAATATGCCTTACTCGGTGGCCAAGATCCCATCTACCGCAAGATGTATGAGAGAGCTATGGACACTGCATCTAAACACGTCTTATTCCGACCATCCACTCCTGAAAATTCCGATATGCTCATGTCAGGATTCGTCCGCGCTGAAGGTGCCCATCCATACCTGGATCCGGAAATGCAGCATCTGGCTTGCTACACAGGTGGTATGTTCGCTCTAGGTGGGAAGATGTTCCAGAATAACGAACACGTTACAATTGGTCGTAAGTTGGCAGACACGTGCGTATGGGCGTATATAGCATCCCCGTCAGGTATCATGCCCGAAGTATCGCATCTTCTCAAATGCGCAAACACGACGACCTGCGTATGGGATGAGAAAGAATGGTTAGAGGGTATCGCTTCCCGAACGTCTGAAAATGCAGAGGAGAAGGATCCGATCAAGAACATCGCAAACCTTCGCCTGCCAAGCGGCTTCACCAGTATCGATGACAGGAGGTACATTCTCAGGCCAGAGGCTATTGAGAGTGTGTTTGTCATGTACCGTATCACAGGAGAGCAGCAATGGCAGGCCGCCGCATGGGATATGTGGACAGCTATTCAGCGCTCTACCGACACTGACATTGGTAACTCAGCGTTAGTAGACGTATCGGCCGACTCCCCACCGAGGGCGGATAGCATGGAGGTAAGTCATCTCGTCAGACAAAATTGGGCATACACTAACACACAAACAGAGCTTTTGGATGGCGGAAACGCTAAAGTATTTCTACCTAACGTTCAGCGAGCCGAACGTCATCAGCCTGGACGACTGGGTGTTCAATACCGAAGCCCATCCATTCAAGATCCCGAAACCCAAGGCAGCGTAATACCCGGCTGAGAATACAGACCATGCACACTGTAACACGTTCCTTTCAGCATCTATTGGAGAATATACATTCATAATCTGTCCGACCATCTTCATAAATTCATTAACAAGCTGAGCTCTTGCTCGCCTCTCGCTTCCTTCTTATATCATACACCGTCATTCGTTGCTCCATCGATTTAGTGTGTACCGTAGTTTGGCCCACCGATGCCCTTCTCACCAGGCTTGTTAGCGCTGGGGTCAACGCCGACATTGGAGTTTCCGCTGTCTGAGGCTACAGGGGCCTCGCCAGGCGCGTTGTCCTCTTTCGCAGCGGGTGCGTTGGATGCGCCGAGACCCTTGCCTGTCATAACTGTTAGTATACCATTTCATGGAGAAAGCAACATGGAAGAATGAGCAATCGGAAACGTACTCTCAGCCTCTTGCTTGTTGAATTTGTCCGAAGCAGCGTTGCTCTGGCCGGGTGTCTTGGAGTGAGGCATGTTGGCTGTTCGGTTCTTGGTTGTGTGTATTTGAAAGAGGATGTGAGGTTTGATTTGAGGTAAAGTGTAATAAGAGTGACTTTTATTTCAATCAGAGGACATGTAAATTTCCTCTCTTTTTGTTTTGGAAACTTCTCTTAGCTTAATTTCGTGGTTGTGATGTCACTTTGTTCATGATATCATCAATGTGGTGTTAGGATGGGAAAGGGTCCACTCTAGTGCTAGATGCAGGTACGAGATCGCGATTGCGCTACGGATCGATCCCGTGTCGGAATCTACTCATGAGATATGTCAAGTATATACCTTGTGATTCGGTGGGTAAAGTGGATATATCAGACTTTCGACAATAAATGCTCATCGCTATCTCACACGCTACCAAAACCCATCCATAGCCAAAAAGACCTTCCAAACATCCAAAATCTCATGCAAGCCTCAGAAAACGTCAAAGAGGAAACGCTAAACGCCAATCCATGCACATCAAGACAACTCCTTGCCTCCCTCCTCTTCACTTTCAGTACGTCAACATCTTCTGCCCACCTTTACCATCGTGGCCCTCGCCAGGCTTCGCAAAGCTACACCACCTATCCTTGATGGACACAACTTCATATGTACCCTCCTCCTGAACAGGAATACTCATAGTCATCTCATGACTGATTTCGGTCTTGATCTCCAGCACCTTGCTCTTGCGACCCTTGTTTGCGTTCGTGCTTCGTGTGTAGGTAAACTCAAAAGGCGGCGTACCCCAGAACTGGAACTCTAGATCCGTACCGCCACCCTCGTGGATGTCAATCTCATGGACTTGGCCTCCGGAGAGACGAACGGAGGGGATTGGATGTATGGTTTTGGTTAGGTCGAGCGCTGCAAGACACTCTGAGGCGGAGTCGCGTACACCAGTTATGGTAAACGTTCCTGGAAGTTCGGCGAGACGGCGGAACGTGGTGCCTGGGTTGGAGGCCTTGCGCTCCTGCTTCTCAAAAGTGTAGTACACTGTAAAAGGACTCTGGCCGCTGAGAGCGAAAGATAGACGCTCGCCGACACAAAAGTCCTGTCGGTCTTCGAGAGGTGTAGCAGTGGGCGCGTCATGAACGCTGATCTGGACACGAGGACCACCAGGCGGGGGCCGGAGGGTACATCCACGCGAGTCGCGAACTTTGCGGATGGATATGGACGAGTGACCCAGGTGCATCTTGCGGTGCTCGATCTTGAGGTCATACTTGTTCGTAGGTATGTTCTTGTGCACGCTGATCTCCGGCTTAGGGGTACCTTGATGCTTGATCTCCACTTCCAGGTAGAATGGCGCAACGCCTTCTAGAGTGATGGGAATGACTTCTTCACCCTCTGATTCTCGAGAACAGTAGCTGTATGTCTTTCCAGGTTTGTCGAAGCGAGCACCAGGGCGCGAGTAGACTTGCTGCTGGATCGTAACAGGCGAGAAGTGCTTCTTCGAGTGATCATACCTGGCATCTGCGAGTTTGAGGAAGGTGTACTCGTAGGTACCAGCCTTTGAGGTTTCCGATCGAATCGATGCAAGACCACCAACGGTGTGTAGATCCTTCTCGCTGACGGAAGCTGTTTTTCCTTTCTTGTCCTTGTATTCCTGTCGGTAGGAAATGTCAAAAGGAGCGTTTCCTACGAGATGATTAGTATTGACAACATATGGGAGAGCTAGGATAACTTACCAGTCAGGGAAACATCAAACGAATCTTCATCGCCCTCGCATACGGCATCTTTGATGTACTTGCTGCCTTCCAACAATGCAGTACTCTCAGGAACACTGAGCGAAGGACGTGCCACCCAGGATACATCAAATTGGTCGGCCTTCTCATCGACCAAACCAGGACAAACAGAGTCCTTGACGGAGAGCAGCTGGTATGTACCGTCTGTCTTGACGTCGAGCCATGAGTTGGGATTCTGGAAACTGTCCTTCTTGATCTCCTTGGTCTTCAAGTTTTCGTACTCTAGCAGCCAAGGGCCGCTTCCAGTAAAGCGGAGGGGTAATCCGACTTGTCGGCTCTCCAGAGCCAGTACAGATTGCTTGCCTTCAATGTGCCCGAAGTAGGCTTTGGGTCGTTCGTGACGTACGTTGACTCTAGCTTCCTCCTTGAGGACCTCTTTGCATTTGGACTTGTCGGTAACGCCCGTCAAAGCTACGACGTATTCGCCGCCGCTGCTGAGCTTGTCTGTTCGTATAACGTAATGCGCGTTCTCAGTTTCGATGGCACGCTTCGTACGCTTGCCGTTGTGAACAATCTCGTATTCCAGCTTCCAGGGCGCCTCACCAACGAAACCAACGTCGAACTCTACCACGTCATCTATGCAGGCTTGCTTAGGTCTGCTGCTCTCGATAAAGTGTGCTTGTGCGGAAGGCTTGACGTCTTGTTGAAGTTTGATGTTGTTCAGGGACCGCTCTTTGTAAACAGAGTCGCTAATCGTCTTGAAGGTATATTCGTAATGACCGGCATCTTGGGGGGTGAGATCAATTGTACTGCGGAGGCTTGCGATCTGGATCGGTGGCTTCCTGATTTCTCGGCCATTGTCTTTCTTCTCAGAGTAGGTGACCAGGAACGGCGGGCTACCGACAAAATCGAGGCCGACGCGAAGACCAATAGGATTACCAGCACATTTATCAATGATGTCTTCGCTGTCTAGGGTCAGATCCGGCTCAGGTGGGTTCTGCAGCAGGCACGAAGTAGGTTCGAAAACTTCGCCGTCGCAGAAGTCGGTCGACACAGACTTGATGGTGTATAGACCTGCGACTTTGATAGTAGGTTGCTCGCCCTTTCGCATAACCTGCTTCTGCAGCACGGCATCTGGGCTATGGTATCCGTCCGCGATGATGTTCTCTTGGGGTGTGAACAAGTACTCAACGGTGTGCGCACCGTCGATTGCGTTTTTGCCGGTGGAACCGTACTGGACTGGCAGGCGAGCGGCTTCACCTTTGGGTACTCGAAGCGGGTTCTGTGGACTGCAACCCCTGAGAAAAGCTGTAGGGCGCTCATGAACCTCGAACAGTTGACGAATGCCCGCAGCCTTGGGCCTTGGACGCTCGTCATCATCGACGTTTACATAGCTTACGAAGTTTCCAAGTCCGTCCTGCACCTCTTCAATCTCGTACTCCCATGAGCCACTAGTCGTGAGCGATTCGTTCAGAGGTACTAGGACTTTGTGCGAGCGTGCCCATGATATGTCTTCACGCCCGCTCTTGACCAGTGCTTGCGATGTGTGTTTGGACAATGGTGAGATAGCATCGTCCGGCTGCAGGTTTTGGAACTGGGATCCGCCGCGAGGCTTTCCGTTCACTATAAGGCGGTATTTGACATTCATAGGCGGTGTGCCCTCGACTTCCAGCGCCACATTGGATAGATCGCTACGGCAACGATCGTTGCCAGTTGGCTTCACGCGAGCTTGTGGGCAGGTAGCCACTACAACGTTGGTTGATCGCGGTCGCACCAAAAGCTTCGATTGATCTGTAACCTTCTTCAGCAGATACACACCTGGCTTCTTAATGGTATAGGCTAAAGTCAACGGATCGTCAGGGTCTGTTGACTTCTGCGTCTTTCTAGCCCTCTTCAGCATAGTCTTTAGTTCGCTTTTCTTGACGATGATGGTTTCGTTGACGTTCGTATCGATATCGATGCGCAAAATCTCCATTTCGTGGGGCTCGGTCTGGTTGATCATGATGGGTATCTCCAGTTGGGTGACGGACGAGTTCAGACAGAACGACTGCCTGTCTGGGTTCAATACTGCGGATCCCTCAGGCAAGATGTTGACAATCTGCTTTCCCAGGATGAGAGAGGCGTTGTGGAGGATGGCGCCAGGCTTAACGCTGCGTTCGCTGATGGCCAATTCACTATCCCACAAGAAGCCCACCAAGCCCATGAGCCATGCCTGTACCGGTATGCCGATTCTAAACATGAGCATGACATCCAAGCCCGCGTGTAGCACAAACAGGAGGAAGGCAGCGCCATTGCCCCATTCCAGCCAGGGAATCTCCAGAAGCGGCACGCCGAACATGAACAGCACATCGAAGAAGCACCATTTCAGACACAGCCATAGCGACTCATCCTCCTCGACGGCCAAGGTATAGAAGTCGTAGGTCCGGTATGCCCATAGGGCGACGTAGAGGGCGAAGACATAGAAGCGCTGTTGGGCAGGATCGAGGATGTCTGAGGGTATCAGGGGCCCTGAGCTTGATTGTGCGGGGGCCTTGGGCAGATCTGGTAGCGGCGATTTGATGTTGGGTCGCGGGGTGGTGCCATTTGGGCTCTGTAGGCCGGGAGAGCGGTTCGTGTTCTGCGGTGTTGATGGGAAGCCTCCCACGCCTCTCCGAACCTGCGGTGTGCCGTTCATCGCACCCAGAAGTCAAGACTTGGCTATATCGTGATCATGGGTTGAAGGATGTGACGGGAGTGACGACGTTTCCGGCCGGCGTCGATCGCGTGTGTTGCGCTGGAGGGTTTGTCGGTGGACGTGAAACCATCAAACAAACATTTACCTAGAGCCTACGCGACGAGCGCGACAAGGATGCGGGCTGCGGCGTCGTCGACCAATCAGAGCTCGATGACGCCGAGTTCGTCACGTGTTAGCACCCCGACCTCGACCACCACACTGCCCTTTGCTTTCACCTCTAGTTTACATTATTCCCAGCTCGCTTCCTACTGTTTCCTCGAGCCACACAGTTGATCAAAGTACTGGTGCTTCGTCTGCAGGTCCTCCATCACAATGCCAGTCTGCTTTCCTTTCCTGCAACCGCCCAACGTCCACATACACACCTGAATCACCTTAACTCTGATTTACAACCCACGATAAGATCCTCTCAACCCGAATCGCCCAGCATGAAAAACAGTTCCCCCTCCCATTTCAAGGCAGGCTCTGAGATTAAAGATGGGACACAGCAACAACAACAAGCAATGCCAAGCAAAGACTCAGTAGACCAAGCTGCTGAAGTAGCCCCTTCAATCATAGAAAAGACCAAAGACGACCCTACCGCTGAGCCGTATGATGGCTCCGGATCTCCGAGCAAGATTTCCAAGGTATCCCCTTCCAACACCAAGAAGCGAGGCCTGCCCGAACCTGATACAGCTTCCGAGCCCATCAGTAAAAAGTCAAAAGACTCACCAACGCCACTGTCAACCCAGAACGGCGCCGTAACAGCACCTGTATTCCCCAGTTCACCCGATATGCCTGCAACTGCTTTTGACAAAGCGACCTGGCAAGGATTCTGCGACATCGAAAGTGAACCCGCCTGTTTTTCTGTCATCCTGCGCGAGATGGGTGTTCGCGACGTTACTGTACGCGAAGTGTTTAGCATGGATCCAGACTTCCTTCTCGACAACATTCCCCAACCCATCTACGGCTTCATTCTCCTTTTCCACTACCGCGAATTTGGCAACGACGGCCAGGCCACGGAGTGTCCCAAGGACGTCTGGTTTGCTAACCAATTGCCTGCTCAGAACAGCTGTGCGACACTTGCCATGATCAACATCCTGATGAACCAGAGCCACGAGGTTGATATACGTATTGGAGAGCATCTAACGCAGTTCAAGGACTTCACACAGGACTTGACGCCGTATCAGCGCGGCGAGGCCTTTGCGAGCTTCGATTTTGTAAAGAAGATTCACAATTCTTTTGCGAAGAAGATGGATATCCTCGAGGGGGACAAACATCTCAGCTATAAAGTCAAGCGCGCTCAGCGCACCAAGGCCCAATTGCTGTCTGAGAAGGCCAAGCCTACCAAGAAAGGAAGCAAGTCGCGTCGCGCTGCTTCTGCCGATACTGTCGTCAGCAATGATAGTGCAGAGAGCGTTGAAGACAACGCACATCACTATATTGCTTTCGTACCTGTTGGAAATGAAGTCTGGAAACTGGATGGCCTGGATAAGCAGCCAACGTGTATGGGATCTTTTGATCCCCAGCAGGGAGAGACGTGGTTGGAGTCAGTTTCCAACACAATTTCTGCCCTCATGGCAGCTGGAGATGACGACTACGGTGTTATTGCGCTAACACAGTCTCCTCTGCTCTCACTACGCAAGAACGCTAGTCTGACGATTAACACTCTCTCGCACGTCGACGCACGCCTCGACAACGTCTCTACTGCTGCATCGCAAGACTGGAGAAACCTTGTTGACACAAATGAACAACCGCCTGACCCTCACATGCTAGGCTTCCAGGAACATCTAGCCGATAGCCCCATTTCTCCTACTGTCAAAGCGACCATCGACAGCGAAGACTTGACTCAACTCCTCGCTCGCCGTAGTTTATTGCTAGCGAAAGCTAATCAACTAGCCGTGAATATCATGATGGAGATGCAAAATGAAGCAGAAGAGAATCTGAAGGCTACGCAACGGCGGTACGACTCTGGTCCAGTCATCAAGAAGTGGCTCGAAATGTTGGCAGAGAATGGTTTTCTGGAGGAAAACCTAGACCGCTTCATGCAAGGGAAAGGAAAGAAGTGAGAGAGTGAAGATGCGGCGATTATTTCGCGGCAATTACATTGGAGTTTTAGAAGTGTTACATGCTTGTCTTTCGCTTTTCAATTTAAGCTCGACAGGATTAGGCTAAGCATAAGAGTGTAGTGTACAATACGATGACGCTCGATCATCAACATAATAAATTAATAATACAATATATTTGAAAGTTTCAACTTTTTGACTCGATTCCAGCGACATCTCTAGTCCTCTGGATATTCGTCTCGCACATTACTCACAAAACAATGATCTGCATCATCCCAGCGTTTGAAGTGACGGCCAGCAAGTTTCAGCAATGCTTCTGAAGGGTATGTGTCCGCACCAACAGGCTGAATGTTCTCAGCAGCAACATAACGAACAGATTTGTCGCAGACACTATAGGGGTTAGCACAATACAATAGAGGCAAGACAAGATGAACTTACAGTACGTGATAGAAAGCCTGGTTCCTGCCATTTGACAGAGAATCCACACGCATGTTCTGGATCCAATCCTCGTTGGCGTCACAGACAACATCCCAGCCTGTGATGACACCCTCATACCCGTAACGCTTATGTTGAAACAATTGGCCTACTTTGAACGCGACGTCCTGCGTGCGCTCGGAACGATGAATGATAGGCTTACGCATTGCATCGACCTGGTGCATGCTCTGCACGAATTGAAGCAATCGGTGGCCCTCTGGCTGATTGTAAAACATAGGGATGACGTAGCGTGATAGCAACGTCACATCCCATGGGTAGTGCATCTGGAAATGCTCGAGCAGGTACGGCAGATATTGACGGCGCCGGATTGCCGTATGGCTTGCATTAAGATTATCGTCATTAGGCCCCAGTAGCAGCATGGCCCAGATTGTTGCGTAGAAAGCGTTATCCATGTCTGGTTGTGAGTTCATCCACGAGGCCTCAATTCTGCGCGATCCAGCTTCAGTCTCGCGGATTGTCTGGACAGAATTCATGATATTGCGTGCGGTACGCATCACCATTTCTCGAGTATTGGTATCACTAAGGAAGCCTCGGTGTTCGCTGCTGGGAACACCCATGTCGCGTAGAACCCGCTGAAGATCGCCTTGTCTCACTTCGGAAGAAGAGCGAAATGGGTCCAGGTACATGTAGTCGAGCTCTGTCGAACTTGTCGGTTTGTACTCGCCATCAAGATTATAGTTTTTAGGCGCGTAGACAAGTGTGTAGACATGGAAGAGGAACCCGCAAGGTCGTGCATCAAGGCCGATCCGTTGTGCCACTGCGCAGTAGATGGCAACCGAGATGAGGGGAAGAGATTGGTGATTGGCTGAGCGTATGACAAGTCCAATGAAGGAATTTCTGAGGGCGCGGTAGGATGTGTCCGTGACACCTTGGAAGCCTTGGTCGCGGAGGTAGGATGCCAATGTTGAAGCCTGTCTTCGAGGACTCCAACTGCGGAAATCAGGATATGTTTCTAGCAGTCGATTGGCTAATGCAGTGATATCCTCGGCCACCACGTCAACGTCAACATCCTCTCCAACTCTTGCGAATACGTCGTATGCGCCCAGAGCTCTCTCGATGGATATGTCTTTGCCGTTGTGCAAATCCGTCCAGACTTTGATGGCGACCTCGCGGTGTATGCGCTCGAGTACGGCATTGGCGTAGTAACGTCTCGCTAGAACATCCTCTGTGTCGTCGGGGCATGCGCATTCCTTCAACAGCGTCTCCTTTGCATCGTATCCGAACTCTGCGATTTCGTTGATGCACCGTATGCGCTCTTGTTGACTAGTCACAATGTGATTCAACAGCTTTCTTGTGTGGCGCTCGATGGTGTGCTTGGTCATGTACAGCGCGCGCCAGTCGACATCAGACAATGGGGCTGCAAACTTGGCGATGATGTTGTGGCGAGAGTCCCATGTCTTGAATTGCGACTTGCATAGATGTCGCCAGATGATGGGCGCATCGGTAGTGAGCTCCTTGATGAGCTTGTTGGTCTGCGAAACGGACGCGAGGGATCGTGGGTCGAGGTTTAGAAATATGGCTTCGAGGATCTCGGTCGGCAGGCCAGTGAAGGAGGGGCGTTCCATGCTGATGGTGGGCTAGCAGCCGTTGCAAGTTTGCGGGCTGAGGCAAGTCGACGGCTTTCGAGCAAGAGTCGAGTCGCGGAGGGAGGCGTCAAGATATGCGAGAGCGCAATGATGAATAGCCTTCAGGCGTGGCGAGGGCGCGTAGTATGATGTCCCGCGGCGTCAACATTGGAACATGGCCGCTGATGCGCGCATTGCTCGCTAACATGGACTAGCCTCGGCAGCTAAATCGCGATAACGCACCTCCAACGCCTGTTCTCTATATCGTTTCGCCGCTCAACATATACACTCGCGGCTGGACGAGCATGGACTGAACCAAACCAACGTCTCATTCCTCAAGCAAGTCAGATACGTCTCAGTCATATACAGAAAACGAATGTAGTCAAACTTAAAATTCCATCATCTCAGTAAACCATAGAACTTACGGTACTCTTGATAGTAGCAAAGTTTCAGCAGGAAGAATGAGACTTAATAACCCCGCCAAAAAAACATACGCCCGTATCGTACGTAGTTTAGACTTGTCCATGCTGACAGCTGCATAGCAAGTCACCGGCATGTAAAGTCATCATTGTCAGCAGAAGTTTCTTGGCGAACCTCCGGCGGCTCCCAGCGGAAATGAATCGCGACACGCTCAAAACAACTATGGACTCATTGTGATCAGTGCGAAAGACACGATTCAAGCACGGCAGTCAGACAAGCAAAAGTCTCACATGTTTTTTTCCACATTTGGTCCGGATGGCGCGTAACCGTTGCCGAAACTCGCTCTCCGCGAGCCCCGATCTGCAGCCACAGTTGATGTCACTGCCGCACCGCCGCATTCATTACCATAAACATGACGCCCTAGAACCGAACGGTCTGGCTCACTACTTTTCCTCCCTTTCTTTTGGCCTGGTTAACCTGCATCCTTACTTTTCCTATCATATACCACCATGGCCGACCTCAGTAGAGTAGAGTCGATGCAGTACCCTGCGGGGCATCTTTCTCATCTTACCGAGAACCAGCAGGCCCAGCTGCTTGAGTTCAAAAACATCTGCCAACAGGCAGGCTATTACACACCTGCAGCCGGGGGGAAGCAAGCCAGCCATGACGATGAGACCATGCTGTATGCGCAAAACGCGAAGTTAGTAAATTTAGCGGGGCACTGACTGCTTACAGGCGCTACTTGCGCGCGCGTCGTTTTGTTCCCCAGGAAGCCTTTAAGCAATTCAAGGACACGGAGGACTGGCGGAAAGAGAACAAGCTAAGCGAAATCTTCAACACTATCGAGATCGAAGAGTATGAGCAAACGCGCCGCCTGGTAGACAGTCCCGCAAACATGCGCTGTTGTCCTGTCTGACAGCCTCACGTAGTACCCGCAATGGCTCGGCCGACGCGACAAACGCGGCATCCCTCTCTTCCTTTTCGAGGTCGCACCGTTGAACTCGAAGAACATCTCCGCTTACGAGAAACAACTCGCCAGATCAAAGACGACCATACCTAATGTCGCAACCAAGAACCTGCGCCTCTTCGCCCTGTACGAGTCGCTCACAAGATTCTACACGCCACTATGCTCCATGGTCCCTCGCAACCACCCGGAGACGCCCATCTCGCAGAGCAACAACATTGTGGATATCAGTGGCGTCGGGTTGAAGCAGTTCTGGAATCTGAAAGGCCACATGCAGGATGCTTCCGTGCTAGCCACGGCACACTATCCCGAGACGTTGGATAGGATATTCGTATGTCTATGAGGCGTTCTGGGAATGACTCAAGTTGGACTAACAGTGCCACAGATCGTCGGAGCGCCTGGCTTCTTTCCTACCGTTTGGGGTTGGGTCAAGCGTTGGTTTGATCCCATCACCGTCTCCAAGATCTTTATCCTCTCCCCGCAGAACGTCTACTCCACACTCTCCCAATATATCGATCACGACAACATTCCGAAGAAATACGGTGGCGGTCTCGATTTCGAATGGGGACAACTGCCAAACCTCGAGCCAGCCATTGAGGCGCAAATGAAGTGGGAGAATCCAAATACCCAGGACGGGCGCAAGACGTTCCCTATCGGGCCAATAAAGTGGGAGGAAGGGCAGGATGGTGAGATGCAAGCCTGGGGTGTTGGCAGTGAAAATGGAGCACCACGAAGAAAGCTCATCTTCTCCATTCCGAAGCCTGTAGGATACAAACAGGGGGATTTAATGCCACCTACACCCGCAACACAGATCGGTGACCCTCTCACAACCGTGGGAACGGCTACGCATCCTCCCGATACCAACGAGCCAGATATTGATACGCCTCCCTCAGACACCGAGTCGCGCCCTTCCATGAGCTCACCACCAAATACCACAACCCTACCGATCCGCGAAGGCACATCCGAGGCACGATACGAGCAACAGAACCTTACACACGCATCGGGTCAGCTCGCAGATGGAACACCCGACGCAGCAGTTGTCGACCATGGACATGGTGACAAGACAGTTACGATGGAGCCCAACACTGTGGGTCAAGCACCGAAAGAGGTACCACTCCCTGATCGTGAAGAACCCGCTGCTCCGGGCTATTTAGACCAAGCTAAACAAGCTGCTATATCAGCCTCCGCTGTAGTCACTTCCACTGCTACTTCTGCTGCAGAAGCCGTAACTGGTGCCGTTGGCGGGCATAAGGAGGAGAAGGTTGAGGAACCTGAGAGGGTGAAGAGTCCACAGGAGCTGGAGATGGACCGTCAGATTGACGCGACAAGTGCCAAGGACGTCGAGGCGTTTCTAAGGGCTAAGACTGCTAGCGGGGGTCACATAGTCAGTTGAGCTCTTTCCATCGTTGAAACATCTTGTACGTAGAGTAGAGGTTGGATAGATGACGAACTATTGATACCACACTTCAAACAGTGCATTGCTTTCCATGAAAACTTGGTCCACGCAGAAAGTCAGTTGACCACTATCAGGCAGACCCAACAATAAGGTTTCGATTGTGTACACAAACGTAAGAAACGCTTCAGCTACCTCCGCCATGATAACAACCATTCCACAACTCATCTATGGAGGTATGTGTCCAGCTCAAAACAATGATGAGAACATTTTCAATAGTCTTGCCCGTAATCCATGAAACCGACCCCTTATACACCTGACTCATGATTAGCAGTGCCAATACGCAAGTACTATAGCTCGCTTCATTATCTTCTTGGAGCTCGGTTGTCCGGAGGGTGGTTGTCAGTCCAGATATGTTTGCTATTATAGTGACGCGATCGAACACATGTTTGCAATCTCGCCTCTTCATACCAGAGATGGTACTCTGGTTTGCGACATAATGTGGCGACATCCTGCAAATACAAAGAAAGAAATGATGAAACCCACCTAGTAATGTTAGTATATGTAGAGTTTCTTAACAGTTTACAAACATACCGGCATAATGGTGAACATCATATCCAGTCCTACTTCCATGAAGGTAGCCATCAGCAATATCGTTGATACGTATGCCATAGGTATAGGGAGCCCGAGTATATACTTCGTGACTGTAGGATATCGTTGGGCAAGGTATAAAGTGCATACGTAGGCATAAGCACCTAGGACGATAATGGTGAACTGCAGATTTTGTTAGATCTTAATAAAGGTAAAGGTAAGATCAACATACCGGCAGAGCTAGAAGCTCGTAGATGTACTTGTGTATCTGTTCTTGAACACCGTAATAGACGTATTCAATATATGCTGCACCAGTGATCCATGCCGCAGCTGCGGCCGCAGTCAACGTCAAAGTGTCCTGGATGCTGGGAGGTTCCAAGCTGCTTTGTCTGTCGGTCTTGTAGTCGTCGTTTTCGATCTTGCGGTACGGTGGTGGTGGTTGGTGGTGCATATTTAAATGATGTCCTGTAAAGGTTGTTATAATAGGTAAGAGAGACACGTCGAGGTTTCCAAAACTGTAGAAGAAATAGCAACCTCGCTACCAGATAAAGGAACGTACCGTCCCACTTTACTCGAACGAAGTGGGCTGCACTTACTGTGAACTCCCCACGAGTATGTCTCGCTTGAGATCGCTCGTAGATCTTGCGCATATGTGCGATGTGCTCATCTCGATCCGTTGCATCACCTTAGTCGATGCACTCTTGGTCTATTCAGAGGTGACCGGTCTTAGCTTCAAGAGTATCGTATTGCAGTGCTCGATAGATAACAGAAGGAGGGCAGTGTGGCGGACGGGCTTCCGTACCATTGATCCAGACTCTGATTTCGGGTGTGTTGAATTGAGCTGCAAGACCCTCAGGTTGTGCCCAAGTGTAGGACACGGCAACATATGCCCAGCTGGGATGGTAATCTACTTTCTGTGTAAGGCGCAGATGAATCGTGTTTCCCAAGGGTTCAGACTCAGGCTTATCCCGCAAAGTGAGAAATTGAAGGGGAATTCGCGTGTCGGAGACTGTCTTCTTATATTTTGTCTCGAGATCTGTCAATGCTGTTTGAAGAGCTTCGGCACTGGAGTATAGTTCGCCAAACATTTTGTCAGAATCGAGCTCCATTTGTATGTTGTTGGATCTTGAGAAGATAGCAGAGTGTAAAGAACAGTCTGGTCGCTATGAGGACGATGTAGTTTAGCCTACTGGAGACTGTGAATCACTCCCGCGCAAGGCTGAGCTACGATACGGAAGTATTCACGAACTTGACCCGGCAGCCACGCTATCGTCTGCAGTATTCCCACATTCCGCAAGGCTATGCCCCACATAAGTTTCGTTACTCAGGCACTGCTGATCGGAAAGCCAGGAGCCAGAGTCCTCTCCCATGTCTCTGGATGTGAGGAAGATGCTCGTGCCTGGTGCGCTTTAAAGCCCCACCAAGCTGCGCATAGATCTACACCACGAGGCAAGAGCGAATTTCTTCAGCGTGACCGACAAAGGCATGCCCAAGAGGAAAAAAGCCCTCATACGACCGTTCCATCTCTCAATGATTGCGCGAATATGCTACTTCCGCTGACACTTACCATCAGCCCACTAGTTTAGCACCAAATTAGCATAAGACACTGCCACGCTAACAGTCCTCCAAACCTCAGCTCCGAATCCCCGTGTAACCCACGCTCCCAATACAGCAGATTACCCATCAGACTCTGTAACACCTACCCAAATGATGCCACAAACACCGCGTCGGCTGTCTGAACACAAGATCTGTGCATCCACGCAGTCAGCTTGTTAGCCTCGTGCTACATAACGAACAGATTCAGTGCTAGTTAGCGCCAGCGCGGACACGGTGAGGTACTGAATTCCATGTCATCGCGCAAATGGACGCGTGGTATGTTACAACATGGGCACGGCGTGTGGTTCGGGTGAAGATTTCCGGGTGGCTGGGAGCATGGACGGGGGCGGGATGAAAGGGTAAGAGTGGGGAGAAGAGTGGGTAAGCGAACCCTTCTGTTTTCCCACTGGAGAGGGATAGGATGATGTAATATAGCGATTACTTCATGTTGAAGCTGACAGGACGTATTTCACACGATTGTCATAGATCGGGTTGCGGACCAGTAATAACTGGCTGCGTGTATAACATTCTACTGACACTTCATGACATTGGATGCCATGTAGTAGTTCCATGCATTACAACAACATTCACTAACGTCATGGTTCCACATAAGAGTTGTCCCTCTCTCGTCTACCTTTAGACCACATGCTTCAGACAGCAGAGGTTTCGTGCTACACAGCGATGTCCTCAAGAGGGATCTCGATGTGCTTTTCGGCGAGATGCATTTCGCCAGCGAAGGTGCTGTGTGGCTTCCACTTGCGAGAGTTGCGAGGAGTGCTCTCCTCCAACATCTTATCGACTTGCTCAAGGGTGAGACCCTTGGTCTCGGGAACAAAGAAGAAAGCGAAGAGGACTATTTATTCATCAGTGACTTGTCCCATGTGGCTTTGAGGATTAGGAAGAACTCACAAGAGATACAGCAGAGCGAGCCCCATAGGAAGAAGACATTGGATCCGAGACGGGCAGAGTCCTCACGGTCGGCAACGAGGTATGGAGTGATGATACCGATAATACAATTCCAGAACCAATTGCTAGCCGTAGAGAGACCGACACCGCGAGATCGAATGGTCAGAGGGAAGATTTCACCGATGACAATCCAGGCGCAAGGCCCCCAAGTCGTTGCGAAGACAGAGATATTCAAGCAAATGAATGCGATCATAGCACGGGTGGCGTTTGGGTTAGCTGGGTGGTCGGCAGTGTTCTTGCCAGCAGTAGCTCCGATTGCCCCAACGATGAATTGCATTATGACCATGCCAGCCGCTCCAAAGACGAGCAGAGGACGTCTTCCAATCTTCTCAACCATAATGAATGAGGCAGGTGTGGACAGCACGTTGACGAGGGTCGTGACGAGCGAGATGAGGAAGGGATTGGAAATCGAGCCAAGCTGCTGGAAAAAGACAGGGCCGAAGTAGAAGATGAAGTTAATACCAGTCAACTGTTGCATAGCTTGCATAAAGATGCCAAGTGTAGTACGGCGGGCGTTGGACGAGGGCGAGGAGAGCTTGCCCTTGAAACAGGCCAACCACGAACCGAGATAGCTGTGCTGTGGTACAACGGACATTTCATATTCGTGGTTTGCAATGATCTCAGCGAGTTCGTCCTGGATGTATTCGGAATCAAGAGGTTGGCCGCGAACACGGCCAAGGGCGGAGGCGGCCTTGTCGAGCTTGCCTTTTTTGACCCAGTAACGGGGCGACTCTGGTAGGAGAGCGAGACCGATGGCGAGGATTATAGCCCAGAGAAACTGAACGGCGATCGGGATACGATAGGAGCCAGTATCGCGTCTGTTCTGAGTGGCGTAAACCACACAGTTGGCAAGTAAGATACCGATGGTAATGCAGAATTGGTAGCCTACTAACGTTAGAAGGCATATCATTTAAGCCGTACGAAAAGTACTCACCAGCAACTACGGCACCACGGACCTTCTTGGGTGCAATCTCGGACATGTACAAGATGACGATGGATGAAATGAATCCCACACCAAAACCAGCAATGAGTCGACCAGCAACCATGACACCAAGACCGGTGGAGGCAGTTTCAAGGATACCACCGACGACGAAAATTCCGCATCCCGTAATGATAGTGATACGACGTCCGATAAAGTCAGCGATATCACCAGCCATAATAGCACCAAAGAAAGTACTGTGGTCTGTCAGTTCCCTGTCATCGCACTGATGCATTTGTTCTACATACCCAGCAGAGAGAATCGATGTTACGAGAGATTGTTGCCATGGAACTACAACGAAGTGTGAGTTACGGTAATCTTTGATCGTCTGGCTCGTCGAGTCGAGGCCTGGGTACACAACGTCTGGGTATTCAGCTCCAGTGTATTGCTTAATGAAGTAGTCCATGTTGAGGACACCACCCATCCAACCTGTATCATATCCAAAGAAGATTCCGCCAAACGCAGCGAATGCGACAATCAGATAAGCCCGAACAGTGACAGGAGCCTCGACACGGTTGACATCAGTCGTGCCAGTGACGGCAACGACTCCACCTCCTGGCATTTTGTAGTTATGTACTTCGATTCCACTCAAAGAAGGCGTAGCGAATTTGATGAAGCCCCTCGCACAGGAAGAGGATTTCTGCGCAGTGCGGGAGAAAGAAGATGCTGGTAGTATTTGGAGAGAATAATCACCGGTAGGATGCCCAAGCTTTTAATATCGGATCCCAAACTGCAGCGCGGTGCATGCGTGGCTTCATGTGGTAACATTGCAAATTCTTGCTCTAGGCCTGACTGGGCTACTACTCCGCATCTTACATTTCTGGAAGGATTGCTACCATTCCCCATGGGCCGTTCGCGTTAGTCAACGACTAGTGAAGATACGTATGTCTGCATGTACTGTTGGCTTGCGGTTGGGGCAACCGGTCATCGAGACAGTTCCACACTATCATGGGATCCACGCGTTGGAGGCTCCAAACAAACCCCAAGCAACTATGCTTCCGCTGTAGATGGTCGGATAAGTCGCTCGTTCAGGCAGGACAACAGTTGGTCTGGGATACGATGCGCCTGGGGAAGGGGTCGAAACCTGGGGCGCCAAGCTCACTCAAGCTCTCTGTGAAGCCTGTCTTAGCGGGTGAGATCTGCATGTTGTCCTGGAGGATCCTTGCAGGATGCCGAGGCTGTCGCCGACATGGCAAGTGAATGAGGTACGAAGCGCATGTGGATGGGCGCCAATTGGCGCCTCTTCGGCCAAGAGCTCTTGTTCTTCCATCGTTTCGGAGAAGTGTTTGGGTCCCGATCTATCATGCTGACTTCTTCAAATAGTGCGAACAACACATGACGAAATTCATCAACTCAGCTCGTCCTGATGATGCCTGTAGTTTGCCTACGAAGCCACTGTGTGTCGGCGCCTGATTGTCCTTTGACTGTTTGTCCAGCGGGCAACGATTTAGAGTATCTCGCTTGCACAACTCCGAACACATGAGTTTCCACCATACTTGGCCTGGTGTGGAAATCAAGCGTGGCAGGCGTGTCCCGCCTGAACGGCCATCCCTTGAAATGGGTTGACCGCATCCTGGGGCATATGCATAAGCATGTTGGTTTGTTCGCGTAGAAGATGGAATGACGGGTCGAACGTTGCCAATAAGGGCGGCAAGCTTGAGGGTTGGTGTGCCTCGTACATAGTACATGCCTGTCTTGCCCCTCATAGGTCGGATTTTAGAACATGAAAATTAATCGGATGGCAAATAAATGGTCAACTGGTTGCTCATCACTAAGAGGCTTTCAGCCAGAAAATTATGATGCTCGGAAGTACTGGCGGCGCCTGTCGTGCTATTGTCACCTTACCCTTTTGCTAGCCACAGCCGTGTGTATCTGGAGAACCCTGTTACAGGTAAGCAGCCACTGATTATAGACACCGGAGCGGCAACGAGCGAGTAAGCAAAAGAAATAAGGTCTGGTGTCTTTCGCATGGGTGTCGCCGGATAGCGTTCCGAAATAACTCTAAGGTGGCACCCCGCTCTCGAAAGCGTCCCGTAAAGCGATGTTACTTTGCGACGCCTCGTGATAGTTGCCCGACGGTGGAACAGATCGTGCCGCAAGCCATTAGAGTCATCAGACGCGTTTACCGTCTACTGGTCCGCGGATAGCAACGTTTTGGAGCTTGGGTGATTCTGACTGGATGTTGGCGGGCAAGGGAGCTAACGGAAATATTGTGGGCGTCTCGACAACGGCGCGCTGTGCCGGACAAGTGTGCATGGAATGTGCGCAGCTCGAAGGAAGGCAGTTGTATATGCTGGTTATGCACGTGCATGCGCCGTAGACTTCGGGTTGCCACTGCTCTCCGTGCCAGTAATCGGGGTCGGGTAAGCTTCGAGCAACGCTTGATTTTCTCTACGGGGATTCCAATTCAAGGGTCTAAACAGACTCCCATGTGAAGGGTTTCTAGCGCCTGGTAGCGCGGTGTGCCTGATTAGGCGTCGCGGGTGCGTCCTCTAAGGACAAGAAGTCGAGAGGAATTTCAAGGCCCACTGCGACATGAAAAAAGCTTCTTCACACTACGCGAGCGACATGTTGTGAGTTAGGATAATATTAGTGGTGATTGTGAAGGAAACGCACCTAATCGACGGATGCTTTCCGCGCCCAGAAGGGCTTCGTGAGAACCGCGCCGCAGCTGCGGCATCACAGAGTAAACGCCGTCCGCGTCTCGGGCCGGCATCTTTGCTGAGCTCAACCCTCAACAACACCTCCGTTACCTAGACACAAAGCTCGAGTTGAGGAATTTTAACGCATCCCAATAGCTGTCGACAGCTTTGCACGCTACGACTGCAATGCCATGTTCGTTTTGAGCATAGCCGCTGTGTCTGGCGTCGCTAGATGTCTGGAATGTAACGTATCCCCGGCTTGGGTCGGCGCCCGATGGTCACATCCATGATACCTAGGTAAGTACCAAGCAGAGGTGTCTAGTGCTTTGATACGATGAACCAACAGATCAGTTGTGGCAGGTGCTGAGCTAAAATCCGTCCTATGTCAATGTGGCCATGATTATTTACATGACCGAATGTATTGATCAAGGCTACCTATTCAACCCACGGCCTTGACTCTTAAGGTTACCTACATACAACTTGAGAAAGCCTCTTTGACTTCTCGATAATCTATCTAATGTCTACTACCTAGGTAGCGACCAATGTAGACGTCTGTGTGACTGAAGGTAGACACTCCAGATATTCCGCCGGAATGCTGTATGCTACAGAGCAAAGCAGTATGCTCAACCTTCTTTGATTTCCTCTTGATATGCAGCAACACCCTTGCGAACAGGAATGTTTTCTGCTGGCTTTCTGTTGTTTTGAAGGGATTTACCCAAGTCTTCCACAAATCCTTGATGGAAGCGACGAATGCAAGAGAAAATAGATTCGATAGGTACCGCAGTCCACAAGTCGGTGACGAGTCGTCTAGCAGGGCTGCCTGCAGGTGTGCCATTGTAGACCGCGTTGACTACATGACATGTGGGGACCCTCCATAGACCGTCAATTGCTACCAATCCAGCAGTGGCCAGTGCAGCTTCCATCATGGCGTTCTTTGTTGTGACGTCTTGAAGCTTCTCACTTAGCACGAAAACGTCGAAGATAATCCGGTATTGGTCATTGACATGGTGTTCAAACTCTTCCACCGTAAGCTTCTTTAATTCCGACGTGGTCTTACTTGTGGTAGGTAGCTGGCCAGTGTAAACGTGGTTGATGTAGCAGGCGAACGCTTCGGCCGTATCGTCAGGGAGGTTGATGATGCATGTTTCTGCTTCTTTCCAGTTACCATTCATGGCGCGTCGGAAAAACTCCGAGCGGGAAGTTAGGAAGGCCTCGTGCGCGATGAAATCCTTGGTATTCGGAGCCTCGCCCACGCGTATGGTGACTGCAGAGGTCGACTCGAAACTGTAGGTAGGATGTTAGTCTCGCAGTCGCGTGTAGCATACTCTGTTGTTCTTGTCTTACCTCATGGTACCCGACTTGTTGACTTGGGTGATTTTCGCCTTTACCATGATGATTTAGATAGATTTGAGCGTTATCGTAACCAAGAAAGCTTGAAATAGGAAGATCGAAGTCTCAAATCAGGATATTGACTCGCCTAAATGCGGAGATGACCCATGCACAACACAAACAGTGGTGAAGGTGAGAGGAGGGATGGGGTGAACGTACATCCACCGTCAGTTGTAGTACTCACTTCACCTTCACGACCTGCGGTAAGGAAGGTATACGATGCGAAGAACTAAACCTGAGCCTGTGGTACCAGCTCCAGAAGTTTACATACCATACAGTAGTTTGGAGAAGTGTTATTTGCTCTATCATAAAGTGACACAAGAACTGTTCATATGTTTCAGAAGCGCTGTAGAAAGCGACAGTGAACTATTGCGATACTTGAGGCCAAGTGCTACGTTTGCATATGTATCAGTCTAAACCCTAAAGGCAGTTGTGGTGTGCGTCTGCTTTCCGCTCACCGCGACATCGTCTGCCAGCTCTTTGTCGTCCACCTATCAGCATTTCGGGGGTCTTCATAAGCAAGAAAAAAAGGGGATGATTCAGCGTTTTTACGGCATAGTATGCCTTTGTCGAGCCGATTTGTAGGTATGAAAACGACTTCATAACAAGGTGATTTAAAATCCTGCTTCATGTAGAAGCGAAGCACAAACCACCTTTTTCTAGGATCGCAAGGAACAAAGGTCAAAGCAATACTACAAGTGTGCCAGTCGAGAATTGGCTAAGAATCGCTGCATCGCAGGCAAAGGATTTTATCGTGAAGTAGTTAAACATCCTACGTTGTCTTGATACGATTCGATTAAAGTCGTGCTCTTGAGCGTTCATTCATGATAGCTTGTACGTTTGAGATGTGCGAGTAGGGCTGGCGGATACCATGGCGGGCGAATGTGGAGCAAGGTGTAGAAAATCTTCCCAGGTCGGCGTTCGTGTGGGATTTGCCCGGAGGGGTGAGGATACCCGGCCAAGTAAGCTATCTTATCAGAGACCCACTCATACCCCTCACATGACTTGCAGCACTCACGCGTCAGCTCACAACAACGCGTCATGTTCACCCTATTCACGAACGCGCATGTTTGAAGTATGTATTGGTTTCCATTGTTTGAGACAATAGCATGACGTCGTAGCTATCCTCCCGTAACGCCAGATTGCGACGCTGAAAAGAACAATGACAGTAGTAGCAGACATCCATCCGCAGTGACAGACACGCGCCCGAACGCCTGGCCAACATGATATACCCGACATGAAAGAGTCAGAGACGAACACCGTGGGCCTTCCTTACCCACATTCACCCATGGTAGAACCGCGCCCTCCTATAGAATCCATAGACCAGCAGTGAGACAAAGGGAATCCGTGAAGAAAATGTCGTCTAGCGTACGCTCCGGAGCGAACTCACGGTAGCATAATAAAAGAAAGAAGACCAACCAGAACGAAAAAGCTTGAGCTATAAAGCTCATGCCTTGGCCTTTGGTGTGGCCTTCTTAGGTGTGGCCTTCTTCTTCGGTGTGGTGGCCTTCTTCGCCGCAGCAGTCTTCTTTGCTGCTGGTGCCTTCTTTGTTGCCTTGGCTGCGGCGGGAGCTTTGGTCTTGGTGACACGGCCAGACTTGGTCTTGCCTAGAACGCGCGATACCTCCTCCTCGACGGCAGGGGCGGCGGCAGTGGTTGGAGCAGTCTTGCGGGGTTTGCTAGCATTGGCCTTGGGCTTAGCAGCAGGAGCAGCCTTGGTGGCAGCAGCTGTGGTGGTAGCCTTCTTTGGGCGGCCGGCGGCCTTCTTGGGAGCAGCCTTGGTGGCGGTGGTAGTAGCCTTAGCCTTCTACAATTAGAATCAGCAAGGCACTGTTGATAGTAGGTATGTACTTACAGTGGTGGTGGCCTTCTTGGTAGCGGGGGCCTTCTTCTCAGCGACCTTCTTCTCAGTCTTCTTCTCGGTCTTCTTTTCAGCGGTCTTCTTCTCGGTGACCTTCTTCTCAGTGGTCTTCTTCTCAGCCTTGGGCTCAGACTTCTTGGTAGCGGTGGCAGTAACGGGCTTAGCCTCCTTCTTCGCAAGCTTCACTGGTCCAGACGTGCCTGAATGACGCGTCAGCAAAGTTCAATTTGAATCATAGTGTCTTTGCTGCAGATGCACAGCAGCGACGCGTCGGGAGCGTGGCGTTGCGCCACAAATGGACAGGAAGGTAGTCACCTACCCTTAGGACGCGCGAAGTCACCCTTCTCCTCGCCTGACGTGATGGCGCGGTTAACGTGACTCCTGAAGGCGGCATCGGTGACGTTCTCGACCTTGTTGTTGGCACGAATGTATTTCTGAATGGCTTGACGGCTGTTGGCGCAAAGTTAGCGAGAGCTCTTAGTCTTGGGTGCTTCCAGGCAAAAGCATGACGCGACGCATGAGCGACGGCACGTGGGTGGTGGATTGACTAACCTTGATCCATTTCGTTCCTTAAGCTGTATTGTGCATAGAGCGCGTCAGTAATCACATTCACTCAATGAAGGAACGTTATCATGTGTTGTTGGGCTTCGCGCCAGAGTTGGCGGCGCAAGCTGTCGCAAAGTCATGTGCAGGGCAATGCGCCTGGGATAGACTCACGTTGATGATAGCATCCTTGACCATGTCTAATAGAGTCAGCATTGACCGGCGACAAAGACGCGACTATCTGACAACCAACGCGACCGCGTTGGGTTGAGATATCATAGCACATACCGATGTAGGAGCCATGGGCAGGCGCGGCGGCAGGCGCCTTTGCCTTGGAAGGGGTGGTGTTCTTCTTGGGAGGCATTGTTGGTAGTGATTTAGATGGGAAGATAGACGCGTTACTGATGCTTCGAACGAGAGGGCAGGCGAGAAAATCGATGGGGGGATTGTGGTTGTAGAAAGTCACGAAGTCGCTGAGTTGGGGCAAGCACGCGGCGGGTGGGGTATGCGCCGTTCTTATACTTTTCAGGGATCAAAATCGCCGCACTCAGATCACCAACCCAAAGGCGCTAACTCTCCAGTCCTGATCAAGATGCGCTTCAGTTTGATCTCATGCTGCAATACTGCCGCCTACGCTGGCTGGGCGCAGTGCGGCTCCTGTCAGTTCGATTTTCTGGGGGTCTATCCAGTCTGCCCTTCGGAAGCGCAGACACTCACCCCATCTCCTCCGCCTCAAGTCGCTCTTTCTTGTCGTCGTGACGCTTGATCAGTCGCCAACGCCTGCTAGGAGCCTGACTGCAAGCAGTCGTGGCCTGGCACTTCAATCATGCCAAAGCTCAGTCCTTGTTGTTTTACCAGGACCCTTCTATTCGAGAGGGTGCAATAGGAGCATCTTGCGCCTCGACGAGCTCATGCGCAATCCTCTGCTTTCGACGACTCGACATCTATCGTAGAGATATGCCACTACAGGCCTATCCTTTTTTCTCTCTTCGTATTGATCTCGCACTTTATGCAAAGCAGTACATTTTCCATTATTTTACTATGTTCATTTAATTCATTTCCGCTCTTGATGGTTGTGTTTTCGGCGATACCTGTATCGCGCCATCCGCCGCCTTCCATGGTGTTTCGCTTGCGCGTCAACACCTCGAACACAACCCGCCTCAACACGTACTTGTAAGGAGAATGAATACGTGCCCTTTTTCTATAGGTATTGCGCAAACGTACACACAAGTTTAGGGGTACCTTCTTGATCTTGTCAGCCAGCGTGATGCTAAACTGATGACGTGTTGCAATGTGTCAGGCGGGGGTGATCACGCGTCCAACTCTATCGCTTCAAGTCCTCCTCTTCAGCAGAACCTACGTGTCCAACGCAAGATGAGTGTCCTTGAGAATAAGACGCATGTCTCTTATATCGATTCACGCGGTTTCGGAAGCTCTGAAGCCTACCATAACGCGTCATTGCTGGTACGTGAACGCGGTGTTGTTTTGCAACTCTTGGCCGGACGATGTGGGACAACTCAACACAGATAGCCAGCATCCTGAAACTCTAACACCGGCTGCTTTTGAAAGATCATCCAAGGACAAGGCTCGAGTCTGGCAATTTAATAGAATCGAGTGCTCGAGTGGACCTTGGGAGGGTTTCAGAAATTTGGAAGTGCTAGAATATGTTGATTCCGTGCTATCCGGGCACCGCATCGCTCCAGACGATGCGCGTATAATGCCGATATTGCTGGCACACCTCTGCGCTTCGTATAGCCATGTTTTCGAAATTGACACCCTTTGGTAAGACTTTGTTGTGGGCTATACCGCCGAAGACTGAGGAATGAGCGGCTGTCCGTGGGTCTGACCGCTTGAACGGCTGTTCTGTACCTAGGTATCATGAGATTGAGATGAACACCGGCATTTGGACTATGGCCATCATGTATCAATTGATGAGCTGTGGTATTTTCATGAAAACGTCGTGTTAAAAGCAGGATGAGAAATGGCTCAGTGGTAGAATATTTAGAGAGGTAGTGCATGGTTTGCTTCGCAGACAACGCTCCAAATTGTTCCGTGCAGAGATGCATCCTAACGATTCGCTATATGTTCTCAGACGACCGTTCCCTTGTATAACTCTGATTATAAACAATTGTTTGCGACAGATTGTGATATACTCTTCGTGTTCAGTTTTAGAAATAATAATTGCGTACCTAGTCAATAGTTGTTATACTACTTACTCATACATGAATAGTAATGAGCAGGGAATAACACAAGCAGATATAGCCGATAGATATTGGGTAAGGCTTCTTCTCTAGATACTGTCGACATGAAAAAGATGAAAGCTTCAATTCCGTTCTTGTGAAACTAGCCATTGCTACAGATTCCGATCGCAGTTGGTCCTGCAAGCTACACATAATAGCGCTCCACGCTCTTTCAAAAATGTTATAGAAGACAAGACATCGGGACACGGATTTACAGCAGTGAGTACGATAGCACATTTACCAATGCAGTGGACCTGCAAGGCGTTGATAAGAAAGACACAGCCCAAAAGACTACCTAGGTACCTAGGTCAGCTCGGGAAAGTACACCTGCAACCTACTAAATCACGCTCATCCATCATTTGGTGCAATACAAGGGTCATTACCCCTCACTACATTGCACAAGTATTTCCTACCGAGGCTAGACTTCGAAGCTTACAATGAAGCCGACAGCCTGATATCTGATCGAAGGAGGTTTGCTTCACTTCCATTCAGACCGTGAACTACGACACCGCTTTCGTCATCGTCGATGTCCAAAAAAGCAAGGTTCATGATGCATGAGAGCACACTTAACTCTATTCGCAGAAGCATAAGAGATACCTCGTTCATCTAGATGTCCGTCACAATCACACCTGAAGGATGTTCGAACATCCAGACGACTGTCATCGACAGGAGTGAGGGAATAATGTCACCAACCGAACTATTCCTTGGGCAGCCAATGGCGCTTGTGCAGTTCGACGTTCTGTGGTGGGTCTGAATACGAACAAAGCAAACCTGCTACTCAAGGCTGTCGGACACCCTCCGGATTTTACGAACAAGCTTGCTCTTAGTTTGACAGAAATCCACACTTTGGATCTGAGTGACGTCGCGAAGCCGAAAGTGGCATGCTACAAGGCCATGAAGACGGAGTAACGTGATGTACACGAGATATCGGAACGTGAGCCGACGACTGTGGACGCAAAGGGGTGTGGCGAACCTCGCTTGGTGTTCTGTCGTTCCAACTGCTCAGTCCCGAGCTGGCAGACGGAGGATTCGATGTTGGAAAGGCGCCTGGCGATGGTACGTAAACTGGAAATACGATAATTGCCTCACAACTCCTATTTCGTAGAATTTGGCCTTTGCTCTTGTTTCAAACGACGCTTGCCTGCAGCATTTGTGCCACTCCAATGTATATCTATGAGTCTGGCTATCATCAACCGGGCGATTGCCTAGGTAGGTACGGAGTACTGAGCTGGCACTTTCGAATTGAGCAATTGCATTGAAGCTTTTGAGAACGAGGGGTTGTACTGCCGTGTGCAGCTTGGTGCAAAGGTAGTAATGAAAGCCGATCCGCTTTATTACCATTGGATTGCATCGTTCCAGGGTTCCAAGGTTGCCAGCCCCTTTCCATTACACGGCCACGCAGCATTGAAGCCGAGAGAACACGAGGAATGACAGCAAGTGTCGCCCATCCCACTGTTATTCTGTCCGTCCGTGAGGAAATTCGGTCATGCAATCTATTATTGTCAAGCGGCCGTTCGACTAGCAAATCGGGTCGTGTCGGGGTGTGGGGTTGGTTCAAAATTGGCAGCGGCTAGCCAGCATCAGCTAATTACTCGCACTCATCGGCCCGCTAACTTGGCCACCGCAGCGTCACTTTCGACACATTCCATCCGACGTCTATGCAGATACTCCACAGACTCCTGCCCGGAATCTCGGAGAAATGGTCCTCGCACGACCCTGAGCAGGAACCGACTGTGGCGCATTGGTTTCCGAGCGTCAAAATATGGGGAACATGGAAGTTTCTATGGACCCACGCTCGTGTTCAGATCGAATGTGACCTCATGTCGTTGTATTGTTGGGGTTTCGCCGGTAGGACCGTGATGAGGTTGAATACGAGGCTGCTGTGTATATAACCTATGATGGTCTTGTCTCTACAGGTCATCATTCAACTCAAACACAATCAAATATCAACACTACATCTACAAACACCCATTCCTAAAACACTTCACATCAAAACTCCAACTACAATCATGAAGTTCACCACCGCCGCTGTCATCGCCTCTGCTGCTGGCCTCGCCACTGCTCTCCCTACCGACTCCAAGATCAAGGACGGCGATGTTTTCACAATCCAAACCATCCGCTCAGGCACCGCCGATCTACAGTACAACACTATTCAGGCTGTCCAGAACTCTCTCGTGATCAACGCAGGCCAACAGAATGCTTCCTGCGGCCCGGAGCCCCACAACTACGCTTCCTTCCAGCTCAACAACGGCACCCTCTACCTCTACACTGCCAACCCTCCCCAGCAGATGTTCGTTGACAGATCAGGCATGGGTCAGGGCGTCATTCAGTACACCACTGGCGTACAAGATATGGTCAAGAACGGAGAGAGGCGAACCTTTGCCATCAACGACGACGGTCACCTCGTCTTCAAGGACCAGACTGGTCAGGAGATTGGCTTCCAGGCCTGCAAGCCTTCTCTTAATGGCGGCTACTCCGTCTGGCTGGACGGCGTGACCAACCCGGCTGGAGCTGATGAGTGCCTTGGGTTCGCTGCTCGAGCTATCAAGGAGGAGAACCCTGTCAAGTGCTCGTACACCACCTACCCGTAAGCGCAGACACTCTAGTTCTGTGGCTGGTGGATTTGAGAAATTTTACTTTGGATATTCGAGCGACATTTCTTTCTTGTAAATACAATATGTAAATAAGACAATGCTACTTGCCCACGCAAACTTGTTCCAGACGGATGCGATATGAAGTGGTCCTTTTATAAAAGTGACTTTGACGCGAAGCAATAGATCAGAGAGATGATAAGGCAAGGAAGGGGAGGATTTGCGATGAACAAGCTACTCAGGGCAGGTTATACCAAAGCTAAGTAAGAGACGATACAAAGGCGTTGATAGGGATCCATGGAGATTTACCTAGATAACATATCGACAAAACGTACTGAGCATGGGTTATGACGTGGGGCAAAGAATGAACAGCAGTCAACTTTGAAAAAGAAAGAACATGCGGAATGACGGACGAAAAGAGATATGGTTGTAGCGTGAGCTCTAAAGCGCAAGTCAGAAGGTCGGACTACGCCGAGCAATCTTGATGCGCACCCCTTCTCGGCTAGCGCTCCATGCTGATAAGCCGCAGGGTCCGTCCCGTTCCTGCTCTAACGCAATCGTCGTCTTATCGCCAGGCACGCGTCACACGTGCACCCATCACATTCGCTATGAGACGTCCTCTGACTGGTCCCCGGGCAGCCGATCACCATGATGCCCCAAACGCGGCCCTGCGTGACCTCGCCCAGCGTGATGCCTGGTACTGCGCCATGAGTGGCTATGTCGTCTGTCCCTTTCATCCCCCATAAACACCCATCCCCAGCGCCGTCTCCGGCCATCCCATAGTACACTTCCGCACTACCTGGCTACACTCCGAACCTCTTCCACCAGTCGATTTGCCCAGAAGACATCTCGGGCTCTCCGTTGGCGCATCTACGGCTTTGGACCCGGCGGCTTTGGACTAGACTAAAGAACCGACCTTCCGCATCGAGGCACAGTGTATTCGCTGTCTGCGAATCAGCGACAACAACGTGAAGGCGTGTAATCTGAGCTGCCGTTACGGGAGGGATCGACCCGCGAAAAGCTTGTGTATTCTTGTTGCACAGCGCCAAATTATCTCCTCCGTCCTTGCAGTAGTAGAAGGCGAGCGGTAACATGCCGGCCATGCTAGACTCCCTAGTCGGAGCCGCGAGGGATAGAGTACATAACGCGGCTGCTTCCACGGCAGAAATGCTGGCAGCAGAATCAACAGCCATGCCTTCTCTCAGGACTCTCAGCAAGATTGCGCTTGGTGGTGCGCAAGTCATCCTCGGCAATGGAGGACGCGTTATGGGCGAGTATACCCAGACTTGCCCCAATGCTCAATTGAGCTGCCACAACACCACTGTCGTGGAGAACCTCTGTTGTTTCAACGCCCCAGGTGGACAGATCCTCCAGACGCAGTTCTGGGATGCTTCGCCTGCTACCGGACCAGAGGATAGCTGGACAATTCATGGTCTATGGTACGATTGCCCTTCAGCTCCTATTCACTATGCATGAATGCTGACCATCCTGTCCAGGCCTGACCGCTGTGACGGTACCTACGACGCGAACTGCGACTCGTCGCGCGCCTACTCCAACATCAGCGCCATCCTCAACTCCTTCGGCGCAACCGACCTCCTCTCCTACATGTCCACCTACTGGAAGGACTACCAAGGTGACGACGAGTCCTTCTGGTACCACGAGTGGGCTAAGCACGGCACTTGCATCTCCACGCTAGAACCCGAGTGCTACAACGACCACAAAGCAACAGAGGAAGTTGTCGACTTCTTTCAAAAGACCGTCGACCTCTTCAAAACGCTACCAAGTTACGAGTGGTTGGCCGCAGCTGGTATCACACCCAGCACAACCAAGACATACACTTTCGCCGCCATTCAAAGCGCCATCCAGGCCAAGAGGCCCGGTGTCGAGGTAACGCTAGGCTGCAAGTCTGGCGCGCTCAACGAGATCTGGTACCACTACGATGTTCGTGGCAGTGTACAGACTGGCGAGTTTGTTGCTTCGGACCCTGATGGTACCAAGTCTACCTGCCCTCAGACAGGAATCAAGTACATTCCCAAGAATGCAAGCTCGTCTCCTCCCTCTACCACTACGACCGTTGGAGGACCTGCGCCGACATCTACTGCTGCGCCTGGAACACCTTTCAGTGGCAAGGGTAACCTCAATGTCATTGTCAACGGAGTCAAGAAGGGATGCATCATCAGCAAGGGTACTTGGTACACGACCGGAACATGTGCGACTTTCACAGCTACCGACGTAGACAACGGCTTCACCCTGTCGAGCTCCAAGGGCAAGTGCGCAGTCGTTGCTGGAGCGCTATCTTGCGATGGCTCTGCAAGCGCGACTGCTTTTACCAACACTGACGGAAAATTGGCTGCTGGCGGTAACGCGCTCTGGTCCGCGGACAAGGTTGCGTCTGGCAGCACACAGCAAACTGTGTACGCCGGTGGAGACCACTCTGCCACGTTTGCTATTACCTGGCAGTCGGCGTGAGAGCCGCCGGTTTCGGCATAGATTTCGTAGTCTCCAATCACATGAATGCAATAGTCATACCAAAGAGTTTGAGTCAAGTTTTTACATTTGGTGACTAAGACCCACTGGTTAAGCAGCGCATCTAAATCTTCAGGTATCTCTTTTTATCGTCCTAATCATATCATTCCTCGTAAATTCCCAAAATGGTAGAGCTGTTGAATTTGCCAGTCCAGAATTTGCCTTTTTGTTGAAACACCATATCCCGCTTGGAGAAAGAAACGCCATAGTACGCCGCCCAATCACGAAAAAAGCTTCATGTAGGCTTAGATGGGCAGAGGGAAGGTGACGGCCCAGGCCGCAATCTCCTTCTTGAGGTCGTTGATCTCCTGTACCTCACCGCTAGCAACCTTGCTCTTGAAGTCCTTGAGCTTGTTGTTCTCCTTGGGGAGCTCGCCTTGGATCTTCTTGCACAGCTTGATGCACTGGTCGATGTAGTTGGCAATCTTCTTGAAGTCCTCCTCACCAAGACCACGCGAGGTCATGGCTGGGGCTCCAATACGGATACCCATCGGTGTGAGAGCCGACTTGTCACCAGGAGTGGTGTTCTTGTTGCAGGCAATGTTGACTTGCTCAAGAACGGCTTCGACACGGGCACCGTCAAGGTTGAAGGGCTTCAGGTCGATCAGAACCATGTGGTTGTCAGTACCGTCGGTAACGAGCTTGTAGTCCATGCTCTTGAACGCAACCTCGAGGGCCTTGGCGTTCTTGATGACCTGCTGCTGGTAGAGCTTGAAGTCCTCAGATTGGGCTTGCTTGAGCGCAACCGCGAGGGCGGTGATGGTGTGGTTGTGGGGGCCACCCTGGTGGCCAGGGAAGACGGAGAAGTTGATAGGACCCTCGAGATCGTAGAGCGTCTCCTTGCCAGTCTTGGGGTCGGTCTTGCGTACACCCTTGCGGAAGAAGATCATGGCACCACGGGGTCCACGGAGGGACTTGTGGGTGGTGGTTGTGACAATGTCGCAGTATTGGAAGGGCGACTTGTTGACGCCAGCAGCGACAAGACCAGAGATATGGGCCATGTCCATCAGGAGGTAGCAGCCAACCTTGTCGGCAATCTCGCGCATGCGGGCGTAGTCAATCTCACGGCAGTAAGCGGAGGTACCGGCGACGAGCACCTTGGGACGGTACATGAGGGCGTTCTGCTCAAGCTGATCGTAGTCGATGAGGCCGGTGTCGAGGTTTACGCGGTAGGGGAAAGTCTCAAAGTATGTGGAAACAGCGGAGATCCTATCTCTGGTCAGCCTACGCCCCCTGTATAAGTGGCTCGTTTTGTACGCACTTCCTCTGGGGTGTTTGGTAGCCGTGGCTCAAATGTCCACCATGGGGCAGGTCAAGACCCATAAGCCTGTCGTGCGGCCTCATAATGGCCTGGTAAGCCTGGAGGTTTGCCGGGCTACCACTCAGGCACTGTACGTTGACACCCCACTTCTCCGAGTCTAGACCAAAGGTCTCGAGTGCGCGCTTCTGGCAGAGCAACTCAATAGAGTCGATGTGCTCGTTGCCACCGTAGTAGCGGGCGCCGGGGTAACCCTCAGAGTACTTGTTGGACATGGGCGAACCGAGCGCATCGAAGACAGCGCGGGAAGTGACATTCTCGGAGGCGATGAGGAGGATGGACTCGCGCTGACGCTGGATTTCCTTCTCCTACAAGAATTGTTAAATGATGTAAGATAAAAAGAATAGCAGAAGAGACTCACCATAATCTGGGCGACCTCATTGTCGGTTTCCACCAGGGACTTCTCCATGAGCTATGCTGAGTTAGCAGGGTGCATCTTGATTGTGATGTGAGGGGCAACATACGTCCTGGTGGGACTTGGGGAGCGCGTAACTGGACATGACAGGCAAATAAACGTAGGTTTTGTGTTGGAAAGGGAGTGAAGAGTAAGGAACGGAGGACAATAGTAAAAGACTATACGGGCTTTAAGCAGTCAGAGCACTAGATGTCCCTCTCACGCCAACCCCACCAATTTTTTTGGACGCGACAAAATGCTCTAGGCTCGCTTAGGCATGGCGCCATCGATAATTGCGTGCTGCGGCCGGTCGTCGGAGGGATTCGGACAGGCTCTTTGCATTTGTGAAGTAAGACATCTCTTCATGGTATGCGTAGGTGTAACGCGTGAGCGCGCTATTGATGGTGGCAGAGTGAAGACTTTCCGCTTTTGGGTTGCGAATGGCAGGTTGACTGGCGGCTCCGCTACTCCCCGCGTTTCGCCCCTCCACGATGCGAGAATACCCCGGCATGTCCAAGGGACAAAAGGAGACATTGTACACAAACGCTCCCACTGCCAGCCGTCGGACAAGCATCACCAAACATTAGGCAAGAGTTTCCTGACTTGACGTATCCGATTCTCATTCTTTCATTTACTACATAAATACAGTCCATCCTAGCGTTTCTGTCCGTCGAGTCGTTCCTCCTTCGTCTAACATCCTTGTTAAATACCAATACTCGCTCGTGGATCAAATTGATCTGATGCAAAAACCTCGACGCCGGGTATGCCAAACAAAAAGCGGTTCTGGTCAGCAAGCTGCCATCGCGTCGCCAAAAGGGTATGTAACAGTAACTGAGCTGAAGAAGTGAAGGCCGAGTAAGCTCGGCACCAAATTACACAATCGCGCCAACAAAATGCTCATCTTCTCGTTATTATTTTTTGAATGTATTCGCAGCTGTGTCGGTCCTCTTAGTCGTTGTCGGTAAGACGGTCGAGAACAATGATGCTGAGAATCATAACGAGCAACCCGATGGTTACTATTATGAGTAGCACAAAGCCGAACCATCCAAGAACCATGGCTGATGTACCGACACCGGACTTGACGCTGCCGTTACCCAGGTCTTGCACAATGGTTGCGGCTGCGACGGATGCTGTATGTTGCCAGAGTACGGAAACCAGGACGAAGATGGACGAGATAAAGATGAGCGCAAGGGCGACTTGTGAGACAGGCCTTGACGGGAAGGGCTTGACGTCGACATCGGATCCGGTTCGCTCGTCTCTCTCCTCGTGCCATCCGGGGAAGGTGGCAAGCAGGATGAATGTGAAGAAGGCGAGGATGATGGCGACAATGAGCAAGTAAGGGAAAACAACGGCATCCTTGAAGGTGGCAGCAACCCAGACGAGGTTCAGCGGGTCCTGGTCAACGGACACGTTGTCGACGAGCGCTGTGGCATTGTTGGAGCAGATGAAGCCACCGCCGTCTCGGTTGATGCAGATGCCGAAGTAGCCGACGCGCACACCAAGCTGTGCGTTGCCGACAATGTTGGCAATTGCGGCTGTGACACCGGGGTCGACCTGTTCAGGTGCGTAGGTGGGTGTGAACTGTTCGTACCACATGGAGATGAGGAAGATGCCGGGGATGAGTGGTGAAGTGGACGAGCATCCTGCTAGTAGCAATGCTGGAAGATTGTTAGCCATCGTCTTTGGGCAGGCTTTCGTCGTAACTTACAAAGCAATATTATAGCAATTGCAATAAGAATCATGAGAACATGGTGGAAGCCAAGAAACGGTATTAACCCTGGTGGTTGTCAGTCTTGATGCCTCGAACGGAGATGTATGCAAGTACTCACGTTGCATGCTCACCGCGAACCGTAAGTTCGCCATTATGAATGTGTCTTTCCTTCAACTACGCCTGAAAGGCTTCGTATTCTCCCTGCGCCCCCAGAGGGCCGGGTGAGATGAGCGGGGGAATGCACTCAGACAGCGGCTGGTGGGGTTGTCTCTCTCCTACAGAGGTGCGAAAGAGCGGGAGCAATCGTGTCTTGATCCGAGTGTACTTGGGTCGAATGCGGAATGCGGGTCGATATGCGGTACGGTCGGGATGTGCACTGCGACAATGATGGTCAGATGTCTCCTGTGTGGAAGAATATTCAAAGTGTGGGTGGTAGCGTGGAATGTGACTTCTCTCTCTGCTTGCAGCGACTGATAGTTTTGCTGTTGTGAAAATGGTGATGGCTGGTCTGAAGTGGCTGGAGGTGGTTGGCTTAGTCTATCAACAAAGCGGGTTGTCGAGGGGACCGAACACGAACGTCATGCCCAACAGCCAATAACACACCAGCGCTACTGGCGATCCAAGCTCGTTCCTGCATTAGACCCTCCTGTTAATGTCCCTTGTCCAGCCTCTTCATTCCTGCGACGACGTGGCGGCTTGCGTACGGCACCAGCTACAGTCCTACTGCGACCGCCCTTTCGCGTGCGCCATGGTTGAGGGTTCCAGAACGCGTCGTAGCGCCATGCACCTCAAGACATCCGCTGCGACACCTCATACCGCCTCATACCGCCATCCACGGTATATAGTAGTCGGTGTGCCGCCGACAGTGCGCACCCGGAGATTCAACAATAAAAAGCACCATCGTCCTCGATGCATCTTGAACACTTTGCCATGGCATTTGGTCACGGCCTGGCTCTGCGTGTTGAGTAGCTCCAAGCAAAGGGTGAGGCCATTGCCGATACTGTCACGTTGCAGTCTCGACGGATATCTAGACATCTAACAACAGCTTCTAGCAGCCTGTTTGCAGGAGCATCTTGAACTCAGGTCCGTATACTTTTTTGGCTCGGTTCGGGCCCTCAAGTATTACCCGGTGGCCCTGCAGCGACATCTCCCGACAACCTTACCTGACGGAAGCTTGCGCTGCACACCCTGCGAACTCCAAGGCAGGGCAGGCCGTACTTCTATTGAGTTTTGTAGACTTGCTCCAACATGATCACTCATCAGGCTATAATGATTGCGCGATCTGGATCGCGTCGTACGTCAGTGATCAGCGGTCTCATTTCGTGAAAATGACAGTCAGATGCTAGACACCAGCATACCAGCAAGCATTGGGCTCTGTTGACCTGGCGATCGGACTTGAAGCTTGATTGTACCCTTCGACACGGGATGATGTCACTACTACCTCGGTACACGTGGAGTCGCGCATCCGGCGCAGGGACCAGTAACTTCGCCCCACCTCAAATTCGAACTTAACTCACCAACTCTCGCGATGCACGTGTATGCTCGTAGACTAAACGCTAGCACTAATCTTTCTTGAAGATACCTGAAGCAGGGCAGGTAGTCGACGGCCAAGAAGTGTAGGGAACGCCACGCTCTCTTAGCTAGCTTCTTTCATGACGGGTCAGCAAACTTGCTTCCATCGTTGATCTCTATCACCTACCCCTGTTCATTCGCCTCTCAAAGTACTATTCAAACAAGCGAAACGAATATGGCCTATCACGAAAGCAGACTGAATCTCGACCTCGTCAGATTGCCAACAAAATGACGTCCTAGATTGTTCTGGGCATACGAGTGGTTTGTGGCTGCGTTGTTTCATTCCAGGCACATGCCAGTCTCACTCCTGCTGTGACTGCGAACGGCAGTCACGAACTATGACGTAGCTGCTTGAGACATGAGGAGCATATAAACAGCACTCGTCCTGCACTGAAGAAAGCCTCCATCAACATCCACACCTGCAACTTCAAACATCAACTAGAACCACCATCTACCTACACACACTACCCCAAAAACAACACCACAAACAGCCAACATGACCGACGCATTCCGCAAAGATACCCACACCAAGCTCGGTGAGAAGATGGTACGTCTCCTTATTTATACTCTTCCCATTACCTTCATCTCCTAACAAACATATCAGCAACCGCAGTCTTCAAAGTCCACTGGCACCAAGATCAAGGAGTCCATCACTGGCACCGGCGACAAGATTGCCCGCGAGGCGCAGCCCGACTCTTCAAAGACCAACACGCAGTCTACTATGGACAAGATTGGCCGCTCCAAGGACAACAACGTTCACGGCTCCACTGGCGGTAGCATTGTCGACAAGACCAAGAACGCTCTTGGAATGGGTCACCACACTACCGGCACTCACACCACTCACACCCATGGCAGCGGCTTGTAAGCATCCTGCTTGCCCTCGATGGTAGAAGGAGGAATGCGATACCCAAAGAAGTCTCCATGGAATGAGATGGACTTGTACTTTATGAGATACCTTGCCTGCGGGCTAATGAATTAATACCTTTTTACACTGCAACATGATCATCTTGATCCTTTGTACTCCATGCATTTGAACATAGATTGTCCTTTTGAGCATGTTCAAGTTTTTGAAATATGGAGATTGAGAGTACTACACACGTGTGTAACAAGTGGTAGTGATATAATCCAGTATCTACATGTTGTAAGTCGAACAATGTACCTCATCACCAAGAATATGCATAAAGTCGTAAAAGTTTGGACAGTCGCTAACGTACGCATACGCTCGATGTGTCTCTCTCTCCCTCCCTGAAAAACTCGGAACCCACCGCACACCTAAGTGGGCATTGCCATGACACCCGACCATCCAGTTCCAGCCCCTGACCCTCCACTTCTGCCACCACGACCAGAAGGCCTGCTGGTCGTTGTTGCGCCTCCTGAAGCTCTGCTACCGCCACTCTTCGAGGCTCGCTTCTTCACGCCACCGAAACTTTTGTTAAAGCTACCAGAAGCCCTCTTGCGGGACGAGCCCTTCTTCTTATACCCAGATCCATAGGCTTTAGATCCACCTCTTGCTGCTGGTGCCTTGGCCGCTTTGGTAGACGGAGCCGGGCCGCCACCGAGTTGTGTATATCGGTTGTTAAAGTCTGCAACGTCTTGGTTCTGGAACTGACTAAAGTGATGACTTGTGTGGACCGCGCCGTCATCGTCGTCATCATCATCGTCCTCACCAAAATCGCCGTAGAAGGACTCCTCCTCAGACTCCTGTGCAACAGGCATCGGGTCTTCGTCTTCGCTACACAGATCCACAACGAGCCGATGATTCTGGTCGTCAACTTCCTCGTCATCATCGTCAATCTCGTGGATGATCCGTGATTGTTGAGGTCGACGGTTGCGAAGTTGCGGGTTCCTAGGCACTGGTGTGTCATCTCCATAGAATTCCCTACTGTTGTTGACCAAGGTCAAGAATTGCTTGCCATAGAGATCCACCATTTCGGGCCTAATACCAGGGATGGTCTTCATCTCATCCAGACTCATGGGCAAGTCAAGACCCATCTCACGAAGTACAGTGTCTGTGAAGATGGCTTCGCGGTGGCCTTTCCTCTCTTGCAAGGTCGTTCTCATCTTCCTGGCTCCGTTCATGAAATCGTCCAAGACTTCTCTTTGTAGGTCTGTAAGTTCTGCAGTTCGTTGATCTGCAGTAATCGGAGCTCCAACCCCCTTTCCCTTCGTGGCCTTCGATGGCTTGGCAACACGTATTGGCGCAAAGTAGTCGTCGTCGTCGACAACAAAATCATCAGTCTGGTAACCACGCGTAGTCTTGTTGCGCGTAGGATGCCGAGGAATATCAAAGTCGTCATCGTCATCGTCTTCCTCCTCCTCGTTATAAGCAAACGATCGAATCTTTTGCTTGGGCGCGCGTACAGGAGAGTCGACGTTGGTCGACGGAAACTGGGTCTGCTGCTTCTTCGTTTTCTTGGCTGCGGGTGCTTTTGCGCGTGCCTTTTGTGGTGTAGAACGTACTTGTAACTTCAATTGCTTTCGTTTGCTTTCATAGTCATTGCGTGTCGAAGCAGGCTGCAGCAGTCAGTATGTGACCATAATCAGGGTCGTAAATACGTACGTGTAGGTAGTTGGTGGCAAAGCCAACTTTGTTCACCTTGCTTCTTTCCTTGAAAGCCCCCGCGTCAAGCAAATGCTGAAAGATGCGTTCGTTATCACCTCGTTCCAGATCCTTGCCGTAGCCCCAGCCGTACTCTTCCAATCCCGAGCGCTTAATTTTAGCACTGCCAGCGCCACGGAAAGCATCTACGCACTGATGCATCGTTACATTGTCCTCGTGCACTTGACTTACGAGCTTGATGGCCATGGCAGCATACTCTGTAAGATCTTTTGTGACGAATGTGGCATCCGAACGACAATTGTCGCATGTTGAATTGCACTTAGAGGCATCGAATGCTTCACTAAAGTATCCGAGTACTTGAGCGCGTCGACAGTCGGCTTTGTTCTCGCAGTACTGGATGACGGTCCGTAGCATATCAGTCAGTCGCTGCTTCTGCTCCCAACTTCCTTCACCTTCTTGAATCATTTTGTGTAATATCCTCGAGTCGGCATACTGATAATACAAGTAGCACTCTGAACGTTTGCCGTCACGCCCAGCTCGTCCAGTTTCTTGGTAGTAGCCCTCTAAACTTTTAGGGAGCGAGTGGTGAATAACGTATCGTACGTCAGCTTTATCGATGCCCATGCCGAAGGCGATGGTAGCCACAATGACGTGGTACTCATTCTTTTGCCATTTGCGTTGAACCTCGGAGCGGTCAGCGGAATCCATTCCCGCGTGGTAATGATAGGCACGGATGCCTGCCTCGGACAACTTTTGGGCCACTTGCTCACAACTCTTCCGCGACAGACAATAGATGATTCCAGATTTGCCAATGTACCTCTCTTTAATCAGATCCGCAATACTGTTGATGACACCCTTGACTTTCGGCACAACTTCGTAGGACAAATTAGGGCGGTTAAAACTCTGAGAAAATTGACGGCAGCCCTGAATGCCGAGGTTGGCCACTACATCAGTACGAACGAGTTGGGTCGCAGTTGCAGTCAGGGCAATGACAGGTACTCCGGGAAATTGGCGGACAACGTCTCCAAGTGCCTTGTAATCTGGTCGGAAATCATGGCCCCATTGACTAACACAATGTGCTTCATCGATAACGATACGGGCAAGGTTCCCTCCAGAATGCAGTTGCTGGAAGGCACTGATCATTCTCTGGTTCTTGCTAAGCATTTCAGGAGTTAGATAGAGGATTTGTATGAACTGTTGGGGATCCCGCTGGCGTAACCCATCCATGATCATGCTCTTTTGTGCTGCGGTAGACTCTCCGTTGATCAGAAACGCTTGCATCCCGAAGCGTTGTTTGCAAGCCGTCACCTGATCCTCCATCAAACTCAAGAGTGGAGATACTACGATAGTAACTCCCCGTGTCTTGCCTGAAGCGATCACTGATGGAAGTTGGTAGCAGAGCGATTTGCCACCTCCCGTAGGCATGAGCACGAAGCAGTGTTCGCCCGAGAGTGTAGTGTTGATAGCTTCCAGCTGTCCTGGGCGAAATCCTCGCAGGCCGAAACGACGAATAAGGGCGGTCCTGAGATCCTGCGACCAGGGGAAGTTCATTCCAGGGTGGTTTTTGGCAGGCATGTTTAGCTGCTGCTTCTTCGGTGAAGCCTGCTGGTTTGGTTTAGATTGGACTTGGTTGGTAGAAGTTTCGCGGAACACCTCGCGAGATTTTGTTGATACGCGACTTTCTGCACGCTCGCCTTTCCAATCAAACCCACCCGGCGCCTGGTTCTCGATATTGGTAATCTCATGAAGGAAGTCGTCATCGTCGTCGGGTCCAAAATCTTCGCCAAAATCATCATCGTCGTTTATCTCAATAGGCTGGTGGGGCTCGCCCATGTTATTGCCGAACAAGCTTCCGTCTTCTTCAAAATCAAGCTCACCAAACTCATCCGGTGTACGCTGCGGAGCCGCCGGTCTTGGTTTCTTTGGGGATCGTCGGCGCTCTGGTGTCTCGGGTACCCGATGAGATCGCTCTCTTGACTTGCCTTTTTGCTTTCCTGATGCACTGTCGTCTGCATAGGCACGAGACCCTAGATTCAGTGGCGGTAGCGGAGACGCGGCTACTTGCTCTTCAGCGAAACGAATACGGCGGGTAGGCGTCCACACTTCCTGAGCGCCAATCTCACTTGGCTTAGTATACTGTGTCTGTGGAATCCGATTCGACCCTATATCCCTGGAAGCCTTGGGAGGCGGTCGGGCCGGACTTGCTTGAGTTGATTGTATGACCACGTTGCGGTTGTTTTTCGACTCTGTTTTGACAAGAGGCGTTGACTGCTGCTTGATGGCCGCTAAATCCAACAAGTAGAACATCTGGATCTGTATGTCCTCATTTATCTTGAACAGTCTGCTGAGGGTTTCACCATCCGCTGCGTCAAATTGACCGATGTTCAAGTCATCCTCTAGCTTCTGCTTAACCCTCTGACGTTGTCCCGTAAGTTCATCCTGTTTGGTTTTCAACGAGATCAATTGCTCTACTGCGTCCTTTCGCGAGCGAGCGCGTTCCATCCTTTCCTGTTCGCTAGGATCAGGCTTGCCAAATTCGGACAGATGTGCAACGAATGCAGCCCGTGCGCTGTCCCATGCTGAGCTTGCAGCCTTGACGTGCTTTTGCAATCTTTGACCTTCAGTACTCAGAAAGGTTTCAATCGATTCTTTGATAGCATCTCTCTTTTCTTTGGATAGTTCAGAAGAGCTTGGTATGCGTTTGTCGGGTACAAGAGCAGACTCAGCAATCTTTTTGGGGGACTGAGACTTTGCTGGGGTAGGTATGGAAATCTCTTCCGGCTGATATGGGCTTGGGCTTCGTATGGTCTTCGAAGGCGACCGTATAGGAAGCTGCGTCTGACTGGCAACTCTGCCAGGGCCAGCCATTGGTGTCTTTTCACGCACTCTCTTCATCGTTGGGATAGGTGATTTGGTCCGAGACTGTGTGTCGAAATCCATCTCGTCCAGTGCGCCGAATTCATCGTCCTCGGAGTCCAGAACTGCATGCCCAACTCTCTTAGTGCCAGGTGTGTGCGAAACTCCATTCTTTCCAGTTGTGCTCTCGATCGTGACAGGATTGTTCTTTCGGGGCGAAGGGCTACGTGTTTGCCTCCCTATCTTTCGAGCGGGTGCAATCTCAGAGGGTACGCGGCTCAGTGACTTGCGCTTACGGGCCTGTGAGGATGTCGCATTTTCTGCAGCTGCCATCTGTCGCTCCTCTTCTTCCAGTTGTAACATGGCCTCCATATCGTCATCTTCAGCTGTTACAATATGCTTTGATTGTCTACCTGCACCATCTACAATGGCCGAGTAAGGTGGGGGAGGGCTATCCGGAGCCATGACCATATCATCGATGTCCGGGAAGTCATCGTCGTCGTCGTCGTCGTCGTCAGGCTCTGGACTGAGCGCGGGCGCCTTCCGAACAGGCCTGGGGGACTTGGTGTGACGGAGGTCCGCTTCATACTCGTCGCTCTTCCGTTTTCTGCTCTTTTGCGTGCGCATTGGAATCGGCGAAGAGCAGCCCGCATCGTCTCCGGTGAGGTCGATTGAATCGACATCAATTGGCTCGCGGTACTTCGTCCTCGCAGCGGCGTGTTGAGAGGCGGGAGTGTTTTCCACGGTGGAACCAGTAAGCTTCCTCACACTCGCCGAGGAGTCCTGCAGATTACTCCTGGAACCTCCTGCATCGCTAGGCTCCCTCCGCTCTCTGCTGGTTGGGTTCGAAGAGGAAGCATATTCAGGCAGCCCCGCTATAATCAGTCTAGGCTTTCCACTGGCTGGTGTGTTTCTCAGTCTTGCCATATCTGAGGCCACGTCTTCCGCCTCTGGCGGATTGTGTATGTCGATGGTTCTTATTCGAGCGAGAGCGTGGGGTGGAGCGGGTCGTGCGACTGGCAGTGCTGGTGGGGGCGGTGGCGCGGAGGCAGGTTCAGGCTCATTGTATTCTATGTCTTCGTCCAAAAATGAAGAGTTCTGATGTGGAGTTGTCGCTGAACTCGTCGGAACTGCGTCGGGATCGTATACAACAGGCGAAATCGCGGGCGGAATGAAAGGCTTCTCGGCGATCAACCACTTGAGATGTTTGCTAAGATTGTTCCGAGGCATGAGAGCGTCGCATCGTTGATGTGGGAGTCCGCATGGATATTCTACGCGTGCATCTGCATAGGCGTCGCGGTTTTACGGGCGAGATGGTGGCGATGTCATCGATGGTGCCGTCGACCGTGTTGTGCTAACTCCGCAACGCGCCGCGCTAGCACCAAATCACGTGCAGGGTCTTGAGATGCCGAACAGCGTTGGCTCTCTGGAGTGGGCCTGCCGCTCTGCAGTCAGAGATGCCGCTCTTTACACGGACCCGCCAACACACGGGCGATAACTCATATGGGCGCTACATCCATCTGGTTTGCGACAGTAACCAGCTCTATCCGCGCGAATATGGCGCAGGTTGCGAAGTCACCAGTCGCTTCTAGGTGGCCTAACTACTTCAAAACCTAGGCTCTGAGTAGAGTCATACGTTCCGTCGTACTGAGAAAGTCTTCCGGCCAATAACTCTGTCTACCAAATCAATCACCAAAACCGATCTACCTACTTGCGTGAAGTCAACTCTCATCACGTAATACATCAAGCATCAATCATGGAGGTTACAGATAATGAGCTGTTCCAAAGGCTCTCCGCTGCAATCGCAAAGATACACTCAGGCCCTCCGCCTGCTGATGTCCTTCCGTCCACGACTACATTGAATGACGCTCGCTCCAAGCTTCAGCCTCACCTCCCCAGCCAAGGTGTCGGGCTCGAAGAGAGCATACGTCACTTACAAGAGGACCTCGCTCCAGCATTCAATGGCTCTTCTCGCTCGCCAAATTACTACGGCTTTGTGACAGGTGGCACGACACCAGCAGCACTCCTTGCCGACAATCTGGTCTCAGCATACGACCAGAACGTACAAGTCCATCTGCCAAATGAGACCATCGCCACCGACGTAGAGGACCGAGCCCTTTCTCTACTCTGTGAATTGCTCGACTTCGAACCAGAGCAATGGCCGCATCGCATATTCACTACGGGCGCGACATCAGCGAACATCCTAGGTTTGGCATGCGGACGAGAGTACGTGATTGCTGAGGCCTCAGCGCACCGTACAGATGCAGAGATTAGCGTTGGTGAGCTTGGTATTGTTGAAGCTATGCGGAGTGCCGGGATTGACGATATTCAAATATTGACTACGGTACCGCACTCATCGCTAGGAAAAGCGGCGGGCATACTAGGCCTTGGGCGGACGAGTGTCAAGTGTCTGGGGCAGTCAGAAGCACCACACAAGTTTGACATGCAGCTGCTCAAGAAATCACTCGAGCAGCCTGGTGCAGCGTCTATCGTTGCCGTCTCTGCATCGGAAGTTAACACGGGAGTCTTCGCAACCTCAGGGCTAGAAGAGATGGAAGAGATACGAAAGCTGTGCGATAGTAAGTTATATCCTTGTACGAACTACACGTGAAATAACCACTGACTGCGCACACCAACATGTAGTGTATGGGGCGTGGATACATGTCGATGGCGCATTTGGGCTCTTCGGCCGCCTGTTGACATCACCGACTTACTCTTCGATCGCCCAGGCTTGTGGAGGGCTCAACCTTGCAGACTCAATCACAGGCGATGCACACAAGCTGCTCAATGTACCATATGACTGTGGCTTCTTTCTCTCTCGGCACCGTAATATCGCTGAACGCGTATTCCAAAATCCCAACGCTGCATACCTGGCTTCTGGGAACGATGCGAACGCCATCATGTCACCACTTAACATCGGACTCGAGAACTCCCGGCGCTTCAGGGCGTTACCAGTCTACGCCAATCTTGTTGCGTATGGTAGAGAGGGTTATCGTACGATGTTGGAACGGCAGGTAGATCTCTCACGAGGAATCGCAAGATACATCCTGGAAAGCGATGGATATGAGCTCCTACCTAAGAGCAGTGCTTGCCATGAAGATATCTTGAAGGGAATTTATATCATCGTACTGTTTCGTGCAGTAGACGAAGAATTGAACAAACAGCTGGTCAATAAAATCAAGGCCACGAGGAAGATATATGTATCAGGTACAGCGTGGGATGGAAAGCCAGCGTGTAGGTTCGCAGTCTCAAATTGGATGACAGATGTTAAGAGGGATTTGCCCATCATCAAGCAAGTGTTGCAAGATGTAGTATTGGGGAAAGAGAGTAAATAGCCGCACTAGCTGACCGTTTGCCGAACCATCATAGGGATATAAGTTTTTTACATATCCTCCATCTTGTATACTTCGTATGCGGGTTCTTCGTATGGATGTGCCCTGTGTCCATTAATGATGTTTGTTTGATACCACGGAAGGACAAACCCACTTCTTCAGCGCCTCTACAGCTTTGACAGCGGTATCACGGCCCATACATATAGCCTCGATTCTATACTCATCTACCTCTTCCAGTTCACCAACTTTGCCAATCTATATAATCAGTGTCAATTGCGGAAGGTTGGTTATAGCTCCAACTTTACTTGGGACATGATTAAGATGGATATAAACATACATGTGGATTGGCAGCATCGCCCGGTCTGAACTGTCCTGTTCCTCTGCTAGTAAAGCAGCACTCGGTGTACCCGGCTGGGCCTGGGAAACGTCCCGCACCGGCACCGAAGATGGCAGCCTTACAGGCATTGACGGCGGAAGGAGGAACGAAGAATACGAGCTTGAACTTGTGCAGAGTTGCTGCCATGATGGCGCCAGGAGGAGACGGCGACTACCTAGGTATGAAAGATGCGGTTCTCAACTCTCTTTCTTTTTTTCTTTTTTTTGTTTTTTTTGTTTTGGAGACGGTAAGTATGTAACTGAGTACGCTGAGAGTCACGATGATGCAAGAGTGCTCAGGCTGGTGTTTGAGGCGGGGCTACAGTTATTGCAGATGCACGGCACCGCATATGGTATCAGCATCCAAGTGTAGCCTCGAAGTCCCGGTCAAGAGCTGGGGGAAAACACATGGAGCCTACACGTCCTCGATAGACTAGAGACGAAATTAGGACGCGGGCCAGTTCTACATTGTGTGGTAGATTCTGTCTGGACACCCCATCTAGTCTAACAGTTGAGGGCTCAGGGACAAGTGGGGCGCGCGGGGCTGACACGTGCACGGGTGTTTGTTTACGCTTTTGTCCGTTAAGGCTAGGGAAGCGTCAGGTCGCACAAGGGCACTCCGCGCAAACGGCCTCCCACCACGGCGAACCCACAGTCATAGCGACAAGCCATGGCTTCAATCTCCCCGAGGAAGTCTACGCGCGCCGCTGCGACGCGCCGAAAGGCACCCGTTGTCGACGATTCGGACCACGAGGAAAACAGGACACCGACACCCGAAGTCAAGCAGGAGGCAGACGAGGAGGATTTCACACCAGCACCAGCACCGCTCAAGACGGGCCGGGGGCGGGGAAGGCCACGGAAGACTGCAGCCCAGAATGAAGAAGCGACACCCAAACCCACGACCAGGCGGCGGACTCGCGTCACTGAGTCGGTCGAGCCCACGCAGACGCTGACCCCCGCGACAGAGAGGACCACGAGGGTGGCTTCACCCTCCAAGGCAGTGCCCAAGAAGCGTGGAAGGAAGCCCCGTTCCTCTGTTGCCCCAGCACCCGTCGAGGAGGATTCCCATTTGCTCACGCCTGAGCCCTCGATATCTCCCGAGCCTGAAGTCGAGCAGGCCTCCGAAGCCACGATTACACCGAGCTCACCGCTCGCTGGTGCTGCAGACGACACGGCGGATGATATCGCCAACGATGCGGCGAGCGACGTTACAATGACCGATCGAACGCCAGAGCCGGCACCCGAGCCAGAACCCGCGCCCGAGCCAGTCGCTGAGGTTACACAGATAGAAGCGAAAGAGGAGACACCGGTACCAGAGCCAAAGATGGAGGTCGATTCATTACCAGAGCCCCAGCCGCCGGCCAAGGTCGCCGAGGAACTCAGCACACAGCAGACCATGCTTGAGCCCATAGATATCGTGGTCAAGAGACGAGCGGCTGCCATTCCAGCGCTGCACGAGCCAGTGGCGCCCAAGCAGCGGACAGTCATCACCTGGCTTGTCCTCAACAACTTCAAGAGTTATGCTGGTCGGCAGGAGGTTGGACCCTTCCACGCCTCCTTCTCCTCCGTCGTGGGTCCCAACGGTTCCGGAAAGTCAAACGTCATCGACTCGCTCCTGTTCGTCTTTGGTTTCCGCGCAAGCAAGATGCGTCAGAGCAAGCTTTCCGCCCTCATCCACAACTCGGCCGCCTTCCCAGATCTGGATTATTGTGAAGTCGAAGTCCACTTCCAAGAAGTCAAAGACCTTGCAAACGGTGGCCACGAAGTCATCCCTGACTCGCAGCTCGTAATTTCCCGCAGAGCATTCAAGAACAACTCGAGCAAATACTACATCAACAAGAAGGAGTCTACGTTTACCATTGTCACGAACTTGCTCAAAGACCGGGGTGTGGATCTCGATCATAAGCGCTTCTTGATCTTGCAGGGTGAGGTTGAGTCGATCGCGCAGATGAAGCCAAAAGCACAGGGCGAACACGACGATGGTCTGCTTGAGTACCTCGAAGATATTATCGGCACGTCCAAGTACAAGACACCTATCGCTGAGTCTGAGGTCGAAGTGGAGAACCTGAATGAAGTATGTCGGGAAAAAAGCAGCCGTGTGCAGCACGTCGAAAAGGAGAAGAGCGGACTGGAAGAGAAGAAGAACAAGGCGCTTGCCTACATTCGTGACGAGAATGAGCTGGCCTCAAAGCAGTCCACCCTCTACCAGATCTACGTCTCCGAATTCGATGATCACATTCAAGTCGCACAAGAGTCCGTCGGTCAGCTCCAGGCGCAATTGGACGACGAGTTACAAAAACACCAGGGAAGCGAAGAAGAGATCAAGGAACTGGAGCAACGATACAAGAAGGGCGTGAAAGAGTGCGATCAACTCGAGAAGAGAAACCAGGAGTACCAGAAAGAAGTGGCCCGTGTCGACAAGGAGACGGTCAAATTTGAAGAGAAGAAGAAGTTTCTGGCTGGCAAGCAGAAGAAGCTAGAAAAGACCAAAGAGACAAGTGGCTATGGTCGTTCTGAAGCGGAGAGTCTTGCGAAGCAGTATTCCGCGGATGTCGAGCGCTACAACGAGGAGATTGCTGAGCTTGAGCAGAGCATGGAGGTCGAAGCGAAGGAACTCGAAGTTGTTCGCAAGAGCTTGGCCGGTAAAACTCAGGGTCTCTCGGATGAGATCGCGGCAAAGCAGAAGTCTTTGGAACCTTGGAGTGCCAAGATTAACGAAAAACAATCGGCTATTGCAGTCGCGCAGAGTGAATTGGACATTATGCGTGAGCGTGAGAATGCTGGCGCAAAGGGCATCGCCGAAGTTGAGGCAAAGATTGAAAGCTTGGAAGAAGCGAAACAGACCAAGGCTGCCGAGCTTGACGAATGCAAAGTCGAAAGGAAGCGTGTCGAAAAGGAGGTTCGGAAGACACAGGCTAAGCTTGAGGAGATAACTCAACAAGAGCCAATGCTGAGATCGAAGCTTTCTGGCGCAAGGGCCAAGGCGGATGAAGCTCGTGCGAGCCTTTCTTCGGCTCAGACCCAGGGCAACGTTCTGACAGGCCTCATGCGCCTGAAAGAATCAGGACGTATTGATGGCTTCCACGGTCGACTCGGAAACCTTGGTACCATCGACCAGAAGTACGATGTTGCTATCTCTACAGCCTGTCCACAGCTGGACAACATGGTTGTAGACACTGTGGAGTCTGGTCAGCAGTGCATTGAGTACCTGCGGAAGAACAACCTCGGTCGCGCCAACTTCATTCTTCTGGACCGTCTCGCGAAGCGTGACATGTCCCCAGTTCAAACACCCGAAAACGTGCCGCGTCTTTTTGATCTTGTTAAGCCTAAGCACGAAAAGCTCAAGCCCGCATTCTTCCAGGTCATGACAAATACGCTCGTAGCTGAGAATCTCGATCAAGCTGAGCGTATCGCGTATGGCGCAAAGCGATGGCGAGTCGTCACTCTAGACGGCAAGCTTATCGACACCGCGGGTACCATGAGTGGTGGTGGAAGCAGAGTGGTCAAGGGAAAGATGTCCTCCAAGCTTGCGTCTGATGTCTCAAAAGACCAGGTTACAAAGCTTGAACATGATCGGGACGCGCTCGAACAGACTTTCGCCGAGTTCCAGCAAGAGCTGCGGGAGCTTGAGACTGCGCTGAGAGATCTCAATCAGCAAATACCTGAATTGGATACCAAGTCGCAAAAACTTGCGCTTGAACTGGAGAGTTTCGATCGTAATATTGCAGATTGTCAACGTCGCATCGCGGAGTTGGGCAATGAACAGACATCCACAAAGACTGACAAGGGACGCATCGCATCACTGGAAAAGAACATTGCCTCAATGGAGAAGGAGGTCGCTAAGCTCCGTGCCGAGACTGAAGACATCGAAGCCGAGATCAAGGGTCTTCAGGACAAGATTATGGAGATTGGTGGAGTCAAGCTACGAGGTCAGAAGGCCAAGGTCGATGGTCTGAAAGGGCAGATCGACACTCTGACCGAGCAAGTATCAAATGCCCAGGTCGCCAAGTCAAAAGAAGAGAAGCAGCGTGCTAAGCACGAGAAGGCGCACAACGATGCTATCAAGGAGCTGGAAAAGCTCGCCATCGATGCAGAGAAGGTTGAAGAGGACATGGCTTCGCAACAACGCGATGTTTCCGGAATTCGACAACAAGCTGAAGAGGCGCAAGAAGAGCTTGAGACCAGGAAAGAGGAGCTGCAGCTAGTCAAGAAGGATCTTGACGAGAAGTTGGCGGAACTCAACGAGACGCGTGCAGTCGAAATCGAAATGCGCAACAAGCTCGAAGAGAGCCAGAAGACTTTGAATGAGTACCAGAAGAAACAAGCCTACTTCCATGACAAGCTGAGCAAGCTCTCGTACCAGAGCGTTACCGACCTGGGCGAAGAGCAGGAGGGTGAAGGTCAGGGCCTTCCATCTTACAGTAAAGACGAGCTTCAAGACATGGACAAGGCCACCCTCAAAGACCAAATCGCCCACTTGGAGAAGAAGAACGAATCCACACAAGTCGACCTAGCTGTCCTCGCCGAATATCGCAAGCGTGTCGAAGAGCACGCCGCACGCTCCACAGATCTCGCCTCTGCTGTCAGCGCCCGTGACGCAGCAAAGCATAAATGCGAAGAGCTCCGACGTCTCCGCAAGGAAGGTTTCAAGGCTGGGTTTGACATCATCACTGCCCGCCTTAAGGAGATGTACCAGATGATCACCATGGGTGGTAACGCCGAACTGGAATATGAGGATACACTTGACGCCTTTTCCGAGGGCATTCGCTTCTCCGTCATGCCTCCGAAAAAGTCATGGAAGAACATCAGCAACTTGTCTGGTGGTGAGAAGACGTTGAGTTCTCTGGCTTTGGTTTTTGCTCTACATCACTACAAGCCTACGCCATTGTATGTCATGGATGAGATTGACGCAGCCCTGGACTTCCGAAACGTGAGCATCGTGGCGAGTTACATCAAAGAGAGGACGAAGAATGCTCAGTTCATTGTCATCTCACTCAGAAACAACATGTTCGAGCTTGCGTCGCGGTTGGTGGGCGTTTACAAGGTTAATCATATGGTAAGTTCACATTGGTACACATCAAATGGGTTAAGCATCAGTTACTGACTACAAGCAGACGAAGAGTGTTACGATTGAAAACAAAGACTATATCACCGGACGGGCTTGATTAGTTGATGGTGGGTAACGATGGCTCTTGTGTTTGGTGTTTGGCGCTGGAGAACCCATGGGCATGCATTTGGTATAGAGCGGGTTGGGTTGGGATGAAAACATGATACCACGCTCAAATACGTGTAGTCTAGTACTGAATGAATGCAATGTTGGACGTTTCCATATCTACAACAACATGATTTCCCTCGATGGAACGATTGCAATCGTACAGTCCAAATTAGCTTTCCTCTATCCGTTAGGTCCTTTCGACTCTTTGAGTGAGAGCAGTATCAGGAGTCTGTTTTCACTTTCCCTGCCACAT